AGAACTTCTCTGAAAGTCTTATTTTTTGAAATTTCTATGCAAGATGAAATACTATTCTACATTCTTTGCAGCAGTTATGCTGTTTTTCTTCTCTGTCAGCATTTTTTTAAGCATTCTTCTTTAAATATTTCTTATTGTTCAAAGAAGTTTAGTACTTCTGTATTCTAATTATATTCTTCTGATTTTCAGATTTCATTTTCTGATCTTTATTCTTTTCAACAGACTAGATATTCAATTTTGTTTCTGTGTATCTGTTTATTCAGAATATCTTCTACTTGATATTCTTTATGACCATTCATCAGTTCTGAATCTGATGATGGTAATTTATTTTCTCTTCTATTGTATTTCTCTAGCATGGAAATGTAAAATATCAGATGAATACTTCTAAATGAGAGTGATAATTGAAGCTTATAAAATTGTTTCTCTCATTTTTCAATGATTTCAAATGATTCTATATACTTATGATTCAGTTTTCAGACTAAATGAAGTATGCTTAAGTTCTTTGCATTGAGAAGTATTCATTCTTCTACATTGAATACTTATGATATGTACTTTGAATCATAATACTTTTTCTGCACTTTGCAGACAATTTAAAGTGTTTTTTCAAGACATTTGTGCATCTCTTGTAACAACTCTGTTCTTTCTGCAGCTTTTGGAGTCATGTCTTCTAATGATTTGTCCACATTTATATGTAACTCTGATCTGTACTTCATTAATGCAGCTGCTGGTATTTCTTCTGTTGAGCTATGCTTCAATTGATTGTATGTGTGTTAAGTCATAGATAGCCATTGCATTCAATCATCTTGATGATAATTAATAAACTCTCATAAATAATGTTCTAGAGTTTGATTCTGTCTTTCTGTTTAATTATCTGTTTGAGAATGGTAAGCAGTGCTTAATCTTTGTTTGGCATTAAAGTAGAAGCATAGAGTTGATCAGTAGTTGCTTGTAAATAGAGATTCTCTATCAGAAATCAAATTTTTGAGTGTATTATAGATAGTAAAGATGCACTTATAGCATAGCTCTGCTAAGTCTTCTACATCAATGTCTTTTCTATATGATAGATATAGAGCAAATTTCATATAGATGTTCACCACTACTAAAATGACATCAAAGATATTGTCTCTTCAATTAAAGAGAGATAACTCTGTGATGAAGTTCATTGAGATTGACTTCATGAATTGTAAAGATATTGAAATAGTTTCTAATTCTTTATATGTTTTATGTCTTCTGAATTTGATTCTCTGGCAGATATCATATGTCTTGACATAATTCACTACATTCTTGATAAGTTCATGCCAATAGTACTTATCTTAAATAACTTCAATGGTATGTTTCATTTCAAAGTGACTTCTCTGTGGATCATCATAATTTGAGTGTATAATCTCATTGATTAATGCTGACTGACTAGATACATATGCTCTATTATTTGTCTGTAGCACATTATCTTTGAAAATTGTTCATATTACATCTTCAGTCATGAAGACATCTTTCTTCTTCATCTCTCTTCTTTGAGTGAACATAAATGTGTTCAGTTCTTGGAGCTGCAGCAATAGAGAGATTAAGAATTCAGACATTTTAGTGTAGACTGTCTCAGACTTTATGACAGCATTAATCATGAGTCTTGACACAAGAATTGATTCTCTAATGTCTTTCAGCAGTGTTATTGTCTGTATTAAGTGCAACATAAGAGAAGAACTTGCATCAACATCTGTGTTTTTATTTGTTTCTTGTGCTTTCAGTAGGCTGACTGTTGGGGTCCCTTTGGAATCTCAAAGAGACAAGACTGAATGTCAATCTCAATTGAGTTGATTTCAATTTCTTCTCAAAATTTGAAAATTGATTCCAATCCCATCTCAAAATATGAAAACAAGTTTCATTCTCTTCTCAGTTTCAAATTTTCTATGTTATGTCCCATGCCTGGATTTCTCTATCCCTAAAACAACTTTAATTTTTTTTCAAACTTTATTTTGAAAGTGTATTTTTACACCAAAATATGACAAAATAGAAAAATTGGCACATCAAGTCAAAATGCATGTGTACATTTGTATATGATTTTGATACTAAAAATAGTATAAAATAAGGTTTTATTTTAAGTTTAGGGAAATTGGGGATCTCTATCTCTAATTAAATAATCCCAATCTCTTTAAATTAAGTCCCATTTCCATCTCAGTACTTAAAACTCAAGTCCCAGTTCCATCTCAGTTTGAACTATCAAGTCCCAGTCCCATCTCAATTTCCCATTAGTGCATTAGAGATGGGATCCCAGTTGGGAAATTTCTGTTTCTGTGGTCAGTCTAGCTTTCAGTGTTCAGTCATGCACTCTGATGCAGTTTACTATAGAAGTCAACTGTTTGTTGTTCTCTAGATTTTATTCTAGTTGAACATCATGTCTGATCTTCTGTTGCAGAGTAGATAGAAGAGTCTCATCATGATAGATGTCTTTGTAATCTAGTTGATGACTTGATGCATCTGCTGAATTTAATTTACTCAGACAGTGCAGTAATATGAAGTCATATGCACTAAGTGCTTCTGCTCATCTTGTCTGATGTCTGTTTAAGCTCTTGATTGTCATAAAGAACTGTAGATTGACATGATCAGACAAAACATGTACTGATTTCTGACTTCTCTTCAGATAGTGTCTTCAGTGTTTAAAAGCAGCTACTATAGCTAAAAGTTCTTTGTCATGAATATTGTGAGAATATCACATTTTCAAATATAATCAAATTTATATACTATATATTGTCTTATATAACATGTGTATAACATGTATAACATCTATAACATTTACAGAGTCATACACATAAATCTTGATTAAATATAAAGTTTGATCTATAACTTTTTTTGGATTAGTTCAAATCTTATTCTATAAAAGTTTATTTCAAACTTTATTTTCTAATAGAGTTACAGCAATAAGATTACCACCATAGTATTGCTTGTATAAATTATTAATCAAGAAAAGAGTAATAAATTGAGGTGATAAATTACATCATAATATGATATTACATCATATGAAATGTCATCATATGTGACATCATCAATAACATCATAAAATTCAATGTTGCATAGTTTATTTTCAAGATTAATAAACTATTGCACATTATATTCAACTTTAATAAGTTTCATAATTAGTTATACCAACTTTCTATAAATCTACATCATAGATATTCTGGTTTATGAAAGTATCAGTCACTGAAACCAGAATTTATAAAATGCTTCATATAATAATTCAGTTTTCTATAAAGTATAACTACTTTTTACAAAACTATTGCAAGTATTGCACAATATACTGCATCATACTGCATCATACATTACATCACACATGATGTAGCACTTATAAATTAAGACAAATATGTCATAACTTACATAACTCAAACTCTAAACTCACAATCTATAAATAAGATCAAAATCCCCACTGCAAAATGTAATTAATAGAACAATTCAACAACTTCTTTGAATATTTATTAACTACTTCTTCTATATCATTGTTTTCTGAACTCTATTATCATTGTTCTCACTCTACTCATTCACAAAAACCTTATATATAACTATATACTTATATATTTATATATATTTATATAGTTATTAGTAAGTATATTCTACTAACTAAGCTTTTGTTGTATGAGCTTCTACTGCACATTGACTTGCTCACAGTAGTCTTGATACATTGTTCTTTAGTATTTATCTTATAGACTGCCACTTTACATTTATAAACTTATTATGAGTCTTCTTAACATGCATGAAAATTATAATGCAATAACTAATAGAGCCGCAAAAAAAATTCTACTTAAAAATATAAGTTATTAAGCAGATAGTTTATTTAAAACTATTAAAACTGTAGAAAATTCTTTGTTTACTATTCTTATCTTTCTCAATATTACTGCTGCTGCTCTCATTAATTAAAATTCTGAAGTCTTGCAGAAGTAAAAGAATCTTTTTGAGATTATTGTTTTTGTTGTTAAGATAAATTTATTTTTTTTATAGAGATTAATAGTGAAAAGTAAGTTAAGAGTGCACTAGAACATTCAGAATGCTGCAATTAAGTTAACTATTAATTTAAATATATATTATGCTGAGTTTTCTGCTGCTTCTGACATGATAAGTAGATCTATAAAGAATCATGCAACTTAATTAAATACTGACAATTATTTAAAAAAAGAAAGCATAATAGATTATTAACTGCTTTCTTTTTATAATATTAACAGAATTTCAATTTCAATTTTTATACAATATTATTTTATATGTTTTTGAGCTTTTTTTCTGTCTCATCAGAAATTCAGAATTACATCTATCATTAGTGTAGTAAATATTCACTATTATTAGTATCATTTTTATTAGTAAGTATATACTCTCTTTATTATTATCTTACTACTTACTGTTTCTTCCCATTTTAAATTTCAACATCTTTTTAGATAATAATAAAAATAATAACTTTAGTGATTACTAAATAATTCTATTTTACTGTCTGAATGAATGAATGAAATTTTTTGGTTTTTATTTATAATTTTTTAGATGAGTGAATGAATTTATTATGTTAGTTTAATTATCTTATCTTAAATGAATCTTTTTTAAAATATCACTGCAACTTAATAGTAAGAAGCTCAACATATTAATGTGCTCAATGTAGTGCATGCTCACTATGTTGAGTTGAAAATATGTAGTAATTACTGACACCAACATTGACATTACAAGATGGTGGTAATGGTTACATAACAGCTTGGAAAATTGGTAACCTGATGGTAGTGCAGAGATACGCGATTCCGCTATGGCACTTAGCCAGTTTAGTTAAACTAACTAACTAGCTGCCCTTGGCGCGGGCTCACTCCAAAGACTGGCCAGGTGTGCTGTAACTGCAACCCTCATCTTCTCTACAACAACAATAACAACAATAACAGGGTATCTCGGGGTTGCTAAATTGCATTACTACCTGAATTGCTGACTGGCTGTCACCTCTGGCTCCGCTCGACTAGGGTACATTCAAACGCGGATTAGACGTCACCATGGCGTTGTATCTCGAGAATGCCTATAGCCTGGTGCACCAGGATAATTCTGCCGACCAGCCGACGCTTCAGGAGCTGAAGACTCAATTAGAAAAGGGAACAGACGAGTCGAAAATGGACACTATGCGGAGAATTCTGACAATTATGCTGAACGGCGATCCAATGCCCCAACTACTCATGCACATTATTCGATTCGTCATGCCTTCGAAATGCAAGCCTCTGAAAAAGCTACTTTACTTCTATTACGAGATCTGCCCAAAATTAGATGCTAGCGGGAAGCTGAAGCAGGAAATGATATTGGTCTGGTGAGTGATGCCATTGATTGGCATGTCAACCGTGCTATTTTAGAATTAACGGTACCTAGCAATGGCATTCGAAACGACCTCCAACATCCCAACGAATACATTCGAGGGAATACCCTCCGATTTCTATGTAAATTACGAGAACCCGAGCTCTTAGAGCCACTGCTTTCCTCAGCTCGTTTGTGCTTAGACTACCGACATGCGTATGTGCGAAAGAGTGCCGTTTGGGCCATTGCATCCATATTCCAGCACTCCGAAACCCTTATTCCAGATGCTCCGGACCTTTTATTTTCTTTTCTCGAGGAAGAAGCCGATCGCACCTGCAAACGTAACGCTTTCGCTGCGTTGCTCAGTATTAGCCATCAAAAAGCCCTTGAGTACCTTAACCGGACATTGGACGGTTTTCCACACACCGATGAACTGCTTCAATTGGCCGGGCTTGAATTTATCAGAAAGGATGCTCTTCAAAATTCTCAAAATAAGGCAAGTATCTCTAAATGCTAGAACACATAGCGCTATGTGCTGACTCCGGATAGGCGAAATATCTTCGTTTAATATTTGATCTACTGGATGCTGGAGATAGTACAGTAGTATATGAAGCTGCCACGTCGTTAACAGCTCTGACCTCGAACCCTGTTGCAGTCAAAGCGGCCGCCGCCAAATTAATCGAACTGAGCATCAGAGAGCCTGATAACAATGTCAAACTGATCGTTCTAGATAGAGTAGATCAACTCCGTGTTCGAAATGAAGGCGTATTGGAGGATCTTACCATGGAAATCTTGCGCGTCTTGTCCAGTCCCGATATCGATGTACGACGGAAAGCTTTAGGTATCGCCCTTGAGATGATATCAAGCAAAAATGTCGAAGAAATTGTTTTACTTTTGAAGAAAGAACTCTCAAAGACTGTCGATGAACAATACGAGAAGGTAACGTTGAATACACTATCACTTATTCAAGATAAGTCCTAATCATATGTTTAGAATAATGAATACCGACAGCTGCTCATCCAATCAATACATCAATGCGCCATCAAATTTTCAGAGATTGCCGCGAGTGTCGTTGATCTCCTCATGGATTTTATTGCAGATCTTAACAACAATTCTGCTATTGGGGTCATTACATTTGTCAAGGAAGTCGTGGAGAAATTCCCAAATCTACGACAGTCGATCCTAGAACGCTTAGTCTCCACACTAAGAGAAGTTCGGACTGGGAGAGTCTATCGTGGTGTTCTCTGGGTTATCGGTGAATACTCCCTTGAGCAGAACGATATTCGAGAAGCTTGGAAACATATCAGAGCTAGTTTAGGGGAAATTCCAATATTAGCATCTGAACAGAGGTTGTTGGATGAAGATCTTGATGAAGCTGCACTGGGAAATGAACAGATCAATGGCTACTCGAAGCCATCAACAGCACCCAAAGTTTTAGCAGATGGTACTTATGCACAAGAAACAGCTCTAACCAGCCAATCTGCAGCAGCCACTAAGCTAGAAGCTGTGAAGGCTGCACACAAACCCCCTCTTCGTCAACTTATTCTTGATGGCGACTATTTTCTAGCCACAGTACTTTCATCCACCTTAACTAAGCTTGTTATGCGCCACTCAGATGTTTCACAAGACACTTCTCGTACTAATGCTCTTCAGGCTGAAGCTATGCTGATTATGATCTCTATTCTTCAAGTTGGTCAATCACAATTTGTCAAAGCTCATATTGATGAAGACTCAGTTGACCGTATCATGTCCTGTGTCCAATCACTAGCAGAATTCACCAAAGAAAAGGAACTTGAAGTTATGTTCTTAGAAGACACCCGGCAAGCTTTCCGTGCAATGGTTCAGGTGGAAGAAAGAAAGAGAGAAGCAAAAGAAGCTGTAGAGAAAGCGAAAGCTGCTGTACAAGTAGACAGCATGATACCCATCAGACAATTTGCCAGAAAGTCAGCAGGAGATGATGGTGATGAAATGGAACTTGATTTGGCAAAAGCTACAGGGGGAGATTCAGCCTTAGAAGATATCTCCTCAAAACTAAGCACAGTCATCCAGCTTACCGGCTATTCAGATTCAGTATACGCGGAGGCTTATGTCAATGTCCATCAGTTTGATATCATCCTTGATGTATTATTAGTGAATCAGACTATGGACACCCTACAAAACCTCTCAGTGGAATTTGCAACCCTTGGAGACTTGAAGGTTGTGGAGCGACCTACTACGCAAAATCTTGGTCCCCATGATTTTCTCAATGTGCAGGCCACCATCAAAGTGTCCTCAACGGACACCGGCGTCATTTTTGGCAACATTGTGTATGACGGATCTAGCTCGATGGAGTCGCACGTTGTCATTCTTAACGATATCAAAGCAGATGTTATGGATTATATCCAACCTGCCCATTGCACTGAGATCCAGTTCCGGTCTATGTGGACTGAATTTGAGTGGGAGAACAAGGTAGATCTCCTTTCAAAAGGCAGGAATTTACTAGACTTCCTACAGCAGATTATGAAACGCACTAATATGAGCTGCCTAACGCCGGAAGCTTCGCTCGAAGGCGATTGCCAGTTCTTGAGTGCAAACTTGTATGCAAAGAGCATTTTTGGTAAGTTTCCATCAATGCCTCATAGGATGAATAGGTGCTGACAAAACTCTAAGGCGAGGATGCTCTTGCAAATGTAAGTATTGAAAAACAGGGTGAAGATGGCCCTATTACTGGATTTGTGAGGATACGGAGCCGTTCTCAAGGCCTAGCGCTAAGTTTGGGCTCCTTGCAGGGGTTGAAGGCAAATGCGTAGTGTCATTGAAATTAGTCGTGTCAAGATGTTTTGTTCTTTACTACTACTATTTTTCTATCAACTGGAGGCCTCTTGAGTATTTGAACTGCTTTTTCCCAAAAGGAAGGATTGATGGATGGATGGTGTATCTACTTGCGCTTGCTGTGTTCTTTGTTCGCGGGAAAACGCCACGAAACTCACCAAAGCTTGTTTTACCTTCTCCAGTTTTCTCAGTTGCAGCCGAGCTTCTCAACACTACGTAGAAACTCACATGTGACCACGAGGCTGCCATTGTTAAAACCGCCGGGACGGACCTCGCATCTGCATCTCTTCAACACTTTTACCTTATCTAACTTCTTCGCTACATCTCAGCCTATCCCACCCTCGCGCGGGAGCATTTGGTGCTACAGTAGGATATCCCTCGAAGGGGGCTTTTGCCTCTTTCGGCTGACGTTAGCACGAAGCCCCTTCGACGGGTTGCAGGCGTCGCCATTCCTATTCAACCGCTGGTACCAAATCGAGCTTTGAAGCATCTCAAGCATTGGGAACCTGTTGTATTACGTCGCAACTCTTTAGAACTATACAAACTGCAACACCATGTTGTAAGTCGACGCGATGACTCTAGGCAGTTTTCTCGATTGCGATCGGTCTCCAGAAGGATACTCTTCGTCTGAAGAAGAGCGGGTGCGCCTCTCGGGGAAAGATGTTATTTTTAACGTGGATAAGACTGTGTCGTTGAGGCTGTCTGCAGACGCTTTGCTTATTGTCGGCAAGTCCTCCATGCCCTTTCCCTAGCAAGGCCAATTATTCGATTCACGGAGCAATCTCTCATTCTATGGTTCTGCAGATAAAGAACCACAGAAGCATGGTCCTCGCAGATGTTGCCCCTCGTTCTCGTCGTGTATGTCTGTTCACTATTTCTTACTCGTTGGAATTTGCTGATTTTTATATTTTCTCGCTTTGTAGCGCAGAAGCCACAAAGGCATATACTTCCGTATTTTTATGTTTTATGGGCGGAGGTCACCCTAGAAAAAATCACTATCAGCTACGCCGAACCTACCTCAGCGGATGATTTATCAGTTATGTCAGTTCGTTTTGAACTGGATGCCAAGGAGAAAACAAAAACTGAAAGATGGATTGAACAGCTTTTGCAATTAGCATATGGGAAAGCACAGAGGCAAAAAAGGATTAAAGTACTTATAAATCCCTTCGGCGGAAAGGGTCGAGCGAAAAAACTTTTCGACAGGGATGTTAAGCCAGTCTTCACTGCCGCCCGATGTATGGTTGACGTTCAAATGACCACACACCAAGGTCATGCTGTGGAGATTGCGCAAAACGTTAATATAGAAGCCTACGACGTAATTGCACCTGCTTCAGGAGACGGTGTCGTTCATGAGGTTTTTAACGGACTGGGCAAAAGAGTCAATGCAGGCGAAGCTCTCGCCAAAGTCGCGGTGGCCCACATTCCATGCGGGTCAGGAAATGCTATGAGCTGGAATCTTTATGGCACTGGGAGTCCGAGCATGGCTGGGCTCTGTATCGTCAAGGGTCTAAGGACCCCACTCGATCTTACATCTATATCACAGGGAGATAGAAGATCATTATCATTTTTATCGCAATCTTTCGGTATAATTGCTGAAAGCGATCTTGGAACAGAGCATATCCGTTGGATGGGGAGTGCACGTTTTACCTATGGATTCCTAGTTCGTCTTTTCGGGAAAACGTTGTATCCATGCGACCTCGCCGTCAAGGTTGAGGTTGGTGATAAACAGGGTGTGAAGGACCACTATCGAGCAAAATCAAAACAAAAACTCCCCGACGCTATCAATCAGGACAAGACCACGCCTGTAGGCCTACCGCCTCTTAAGTATGGCACCATCGCTGATCCTCTTCCTGACAATTGGGAACTTATCACACATGAAAAGATGGGCAACTTTTATGCTGGAAACATGAGTTACATGGCACCTAATACAAATTTCTTCCCTACAGCCCTTCCAAACGATGGCCTCTTAGACCTAGTAACCGTTCGCGGTGATATCTCGCTTCTAACAGCATTACAGATGCTGACTGCAGTGGACAATGGCACCTTTTTAGATATGTCTGATGTTAAAATCCAAAAAGTATCCGGTTACAGGATTATTCCCCGAACTGCAGAGGCAGGGCATATCAGCATTGACGGGGAGAAAGTACCCTTTGAACCATTCCAGGCAGAAGTGCATAGGGGACTTGGGATGGTGATCTCGAAGTCCCGCTATAAGTACGAAGCCCCCGGAGTATGATAAGCCCTGTGGTCTGTTTTCAATTTTCTCTTCTTGTTGCTGTAACACTATATCCATTTAGAGATGTCGTTTTGTTGGGTGATTCTTCTTTGTTTTTACCTCCGGCTTCAACTACCCCTGTTACAGCTCATTGGCGTTCAAGAGAAATTTCTTACTCCATGAGTAAGTTACACGGTTATTTGGCCAACAACCCCCTACATTTCCTGAGAAGTTTCCACATAACTCCTGAGACCTCTAATGTTTCTTGCGAGTTTTCTAGGTTCCAGTACTTTGGGAAACCATTCTCCACTTGTTGAATACTCTTATCTTTCCGAGAACTAAGTTACTAACTGAAGGGTACTCCTAAAAGATGCTGTCACCAGGGGTACACTCCTTGAGCGGTTTGGCTAGTGGTTACCTATTATTTTTGAAGTCTCTAGATATTCATAGAACACATTTCTGATTATATATCTTGCTTTGCAATTATTTGTGACATATCTTCTAATAGTGAAGTTCCTGATGGACGCCTGTGGAAATTCAGACTTATAGTGCCTGGAGATGTGTTTATCATTCAACTGAGTCTTGCTTTTCTACCTACGGAGCTGAGTATACGCGTTCTCAAGTAATAGCAGCGCACAACAATGAATATTAACCGAAGCTGAGTCCTGTCACTTAGGGGTATGATGAATGCCTCAGAAGGCCTGTCACATCGACTTTAAAGACGGTTGAGAGTATAAATAGTATCCAGATGTCTGCATAGGCGGCCAAGCACTTTATGTTGCTTCTCAAGCGGATGGACAGTCTGTTTTAAGTTCTGTCTGACACGCTTCCAAGGACTAAGAGCTGGCCAGCCATTTGCTTTTGACGAGGTGCTATCAAATCCATAATATGGAATCAGATAGTGAGGGGGGAGAGATTACTTAAGGGGACAATACATTTCAAAGGGGTGCCTAAGGTTGATGAAGCCTTTAAAGCTGATTGCCCACTAGCTGAAGATATCTTTGGGGATGATAATATGAAAGAAGGTAAATAGCAATGACTAGGAAGTGAGAGATCAAATATAACCCTTTCCATGATAGTAGGGTACACTGAGATCTTAGACAAAACACAGTCGCCCCGCTGGGATTGCAAAAAGCGGAAGCAACTACCACTAATAGAATAATAAATATCTTATTAGCTCCTACAAAAGATGCAAGTGCATGAAATAGAGCCAGGTTTAAATGAATCAACAATGAATAAAGTAGTTATGGTGTTAGATTAATTGCGATACGTGCATTTCATAAGAGGGTCATTTATACTCAAAGTCTTAGTGCATCAAGGATCTTTTTAGCCATCTCCCGGTATTGCCACATTCCACCAGAGACCTTCTTGAATTGAATGCCATGGAGTGAAAACAGAGGAACCTTAACAATAAGAATCTCAAATCGCAAAACAAGATTCTCACCAGTATCACTTTGGACTCTGGTTGTTGTTTCACCCAGCACACGCTCTCCAGCATTGTGTTCTTGATTGGCTGCATAATCATCAGATCCATCTGAATTGCTAACAAAGCTTTGGTCTGGATGCCGCCGGGATGACCGTGCGTGATGTTTGCCATCATCTTTGTCTTTATCTTCACGATCATGCACACGAAGACCACCAAAGCTGATACGACGACGGTGGTTAGCCGCAACTGTATCCTGATGTTCAGGGCTTGAAGGCCGAGCATAAACAATACGGTTAAGATCAATGCTGGGTGCATGTCGACAGCTGAATCCGCCCCTAATTTCAACGTATTCAACGCCGAGTTGTTTTAAGACCCTTATGATGTCAGACCGAATAAACTGCAGTGGTTTGTTACTCGTCGTAGACACGCTGAACAGGCCCTTTAGATATACAGGCTTTGTAAAATCTTCACCACCATTGCCATTTTCTACACTTGTGCCAACTTCAGCCAACTCCGCGTCTGTCTCTTCGGGCACGTTTGCCTCCCTAGCCTCTTCCCGTCGAGCTCGACGAGCCTGAATACTCTCACGCCGGGCATGGCCCAACGACTTTGTTCTTAGCGTTTGGGGTTTGTATAAAGTTCTTGCATCTGATGCTTCTGGTACTTTGGCTCTTGGAATGTTTAAGCTAGAACGATCAGAGCCGCTAGTAAGAGGCGGGTCTTGCGCGCTAGTTGGGGACAAACTATCCAATACGCCTCTTCGTATATCCCTTCGACCCCTAAAGTCTGCAGAATTCACACTGGTTGATCTGCCTAGCGAGTTGTTTGTCTTCGAGGATAACTCGTTCCGGGAGACTTCTTGTTGGGGTTGGCTCCCGCCAGGGTGAAGAGTCCCTGGGGCTGCCTCTCCACGCCGACTTCTTCTTACACTAAAACTCTTGCGTGGAGAAGGAAGACTGTCAGGCGTGTTCAGAATTGGGACTTGCTGCACATTGCCTCGCTCCTCTCGTCCTCGGTCGCGTGTTCTTCTCGTACTTAGCCGCCTAAGCAGACCCACGGCGGGGTTTTCCTTTTTGGGGGCCTGTTCAATCTGGGGCGTAATAATTGCCGGGGGTATCGCATCTGATGGCCTGGCCAAGCGAAGATTTTTGGTGGCTTCGGTAAGATCATCGTCACCATGGGTTCGAGCTCGTGGTCGTGACCGGCCACCGGCGTCCTTATCCCCTGGGATTTCATACGAATTTTGGTTCGTATGTGCTGCTTTCGGTACAGGAATGTCTGGAAATGAAACGGGTACATCACCAGGGCTATGGGGAATGGCAAGACCACCAGGGTGCAGCTCATGCTTTTCTCTGTTGAGTTTCTCCTTAACGAGGTTATATATGGAAAGGAGTGGATGATAACCATTTATAGAATCAGGGGTTTGATGCATTGTTTCTAATGAGGCATTAGAAAGTGTGTCTTTGCTAGCGGAATTTCGGCGCTTATAAAAATCGAATACACCTCTTTTCTTGTCACCCATAGGGTTAGGGCTATGTTGTTCCTTTATGCAAGCCCGAACAGCATTCTGATACTCATCCGATTCGAGTATCTTTGTAAGTTGTACCGATATGAACTCTGGCGGTCCAAAATCAAACCCTGTCATTTTGTGAATGACTTCAGAATCCAAAGGGAGCTGGAGGGGTTCACGATGTGGAAGGTGATTTTCCGGGGGGCCGTTGAAACCCTTTGTCATCCAAGGGTGGTTCATGATTTCACTTAGGCTCGCACGTTGCTTGGGGTCCGTAACAAGCATCCGAGAGATTATATGACGACAGTCTTGGAAAGAGGTATTAACAATCGCGTCAAGCCCGATACTAGAGGTGCAAACTCACCAGATGAAAGTCCTTGAGGATATTCCACTATGCCTTTCTTGATCTTTGCATGTAACTGTGGCATGCTCTGGTCATCAAAGGGAACTTTGCCACAAACAAGGACGTAAAGGACAATTCCAAAGCTCCATACATCAACCTCTGGGCCGGTATATTGTCGAGCTTGAAGGAGTTCAGGGGCAGCAAAGTACAAACTGCCACAGAAGGTCTTCAATTGACCTTTGGGGGAGAATAAGTTGCTGAGGCCAAAATCAATAATTTTGATGTCTCCTGTTTTGCTGATTAAAATGTTTTCGATCTTCAGATCTCGATGCACAATATTATTTTTATGGCAGTACTCAAGCGCGCTTGCGATTTGGCGAGCAAATTTACGAGCTTGCTTTTCTTTCAATTTTCCATGTGAAATGATGTAGTCCAGCATCTGGCCACCATTCACATACTCAAACAACATGTACCAATGGTGATTGGTTCGAACAACGTCTCGCATTCCGCATATGAAGGGGTGGTTCAGAAGCATGACTATAGCTGCTTCTCTTGCCGTCCGAATTTCCTTTGATCGATCCGCTCGTTCACTTTCACGTGTGCTTCGGTGTTCCTCGGTGGAGTGCCTAGGAATTATTTTTACCGCAGCCTACAAAACACATAGGAAAATTAATATTGAAGTAACTCCGTATTTAATGCGGTTACAAGTCATCAATCATACCTGTTCGCCAGTCTCTGTATTCTTCGCTAGTTTCACTTTCCCCATGCTCCCAGCACCAATGGTTTTACCCAAAGCCCATTGACCTGAGGATGCGGCGATTGTGGTGCGGCGTCTTGTTTGGTTAGTGATGCCAGATCCATTGGGCGGAATATGATGGGGTGCATGCCCGGGAGCGTATCCATCTGCCACTGTAGCCGTTCCGGGCATGCTGGAGGAATTCTGCGAATACGAGGGTCTAGAAGAGGAAGGGCGATAAGAGCGAGAATCCGTACGGTACGGTAAGTTGGGGTCTTGAGAGCGATCCCTGGAAGAACTGCGACGAGTATTCCCGGTGTCGGGGGGTCGTGACGAGTCGCCGTTTCGTGGGGGAAAGCTTCGATTTGGCGGCGGGCGATTGTACGCGTAGGAGCGAGAGCCTGAGCGGCTGTGCGAAGGTGAATGTTGCGAATGAGCCCCGCCGCTGCTTCGGGCTCTTTGGTGGTTGGCTAGGGGCGGGCGGTATGAATGAGAGTGGGACGCAGCGTGGTTGCGGACTACGACTGGGGAAGTCTGTGGTGCTGTTGTGGACATTGCGAAGAGGAATTGAGCGTGCTTTGAGAGACGGAGGCGCTGGAACTCGTGATGCGTTCCCGGGTCGTCGCTTGATAAGGATGGACGATCGCTAACCAGCTGGCTTGGGGGGGGCGGAGAGAGGGGAGGCCAAAACGACAGATGGGCAGAACAACAAGTCGGGTGGCGGGAGCCAAGCGCTGGAGTTCACAGCATGGCAGCCATCCACGCAGATGGCTGGAGATGGCGTGCAGGAAGAAATAAACGATGGACTCTGCAACGTTAAGATGGCCGTTCCAGCTGGGTGGCAGGAGTTGGTGTGAAGTTGGTTTGTTTGAGACACCGAAGCAGCTGGCTGGCTTGGAGGAAAGTTAAGTGGCTAGCACTGCTGGGGGGGCGGCCGTGGAGTGGCGGTCCTGCGCTGCAGTGCCGACAGTGGATCACCCACCCGCAACCAAAGCGCTCTGCAGGAGCATCGACGTTTCTGAAGCGGAGGATCTCGACGCCTTCACACCCGCCTCGCGAGCGATCGACGGCTGTCGTTCTCGAGCCTCGACGGGCTCTGTTTGCAGCGTTTGCACTGGCCACCACGTGACGGCCCGCAAGTCCGTGCAGGCGTGTCTTCGCTCACGGCTGCTCTGCGGATTGCAGGGACGATGCCATCTGTCGGTTCTGGATCGCGTGGGTAACGTTTGGTCCCGTGGGATATCGGGCAGTTAACTAACTATAGCCGCACACGTACAGAGTACAGATGCGCGCAATGTCTAGAATGCCTTTCAAACGATCTCGAGATCTATTTGAAGACGAGCCACAGCACCAGCAGTCGTCTCAGTTTGTTTTCTACGGTACCCCCCTCCCTGTCACGGACCGTCAGTCACGCGACGATGGCTCCTACGTACCGATCTGGAAACAGGAGGTGACTGATGAGCGTGGCCGGAAACGATTGCATGGCGCATTTACTGGTGGTTTTAGCGCAGGGTCTGTTTTCAGGGTTTTTCTCCGCGAGTGTCTACGCAGAGCACTAAACAAATTTTAACAGGTACTTTAATACTGTGGGTTCAAAAGAGGGATGGAGCCCTTCCGCCTTTATCTCATCTCGTCAGGACCGCGCAAAGGACAAGCCCCAGCCAGTACAGCAGCGGCCTGAGGATTTCATGGACGCAGAAGATCTTCAAGAGGCAGAAGATGCGCGTAAACTGCACACTGCGGAAGACTTCGTTGGCTTTGGCTCTACTGCGACTGATCATCGACAGGCGGGCTTGATAAATATTTCCAAGATACGTGGAGACACAATGGGCGCGAAGCTCCTAAAACGAATGGGCTGGAGAGAAGGCCAGGGAATTGGTCCAAAAGTGCGGCGAAAAGCTGACTTGGGTGTTGAAGGGGATTCGACCGACCAAACTTTTCTTTTTGCTCCTGAAAATCCGCCGTTAGTGTCTTTGACTAAAAAGAAGGACTATGTGGGAATTGGCTTTGACACTAAGGCCAGTCTAGAAGCACCTTTGAATTGTGAAGGTGACCTGGCAGATGGCAATAGTGGCGTGCTACATGTCTCCAATATCATGAAACCGAGGTCAAATAAGTTCGCGGGCAAAAAGCAGAAGCCCTTAAGGCGGGGGGGATTTGGCGTCGGTGTTCTAAATGACACTGGCTCAGATAATGATGATCCTTATGAAATGGGACCGCAGCTGCTATGTAATAGAGTCCTGGAGGATCGGAAAGGGAAGTCGTCCAAACCCGTTATCAAATCTTCAAACCCCCTTCTAGAGAGCAAACCTGTTTTTATTCGAAAAAAAGCAGATGCAAACAAACAAAAATTGGGCTTTCGAAAATGCCATGACGGTCGTCTTCCAATTGATGGCTTCTCACTTGGAACTTGTATGTCGGAAGTTTCTCTACCCTTAGACATGAATAAATATACCCCTCCTAAAATACCCAAAGATTGGGCATCCTCTAAGGAGCAAATTTCGACAATTGACCCTGCTGCTTACGTTTCTGTCGTTGACGCGGCGAAATCTTCGTCTCTTGACCCAAGATCGAGAGCTACTATTCTTGGGGCAGCCGAGCTTCCTGGAAAGTCTGTATTTGATTTTATCACCCCAGAGAGTCGCGAGAAGTTGGCTAAAGCCACCGGCCGTACCGATCTGCCGCCTGCTCTTGGAGAAACACCTCCGGAAGGGTTTGAAGTATCTGAGTCCCAAAAACAAAAAGAGCTCTGGAATCTTGTGCCGCACCTTGGCAAAGGCATCGCAATACAGGCACTGAGCCGTGGCATAGGAGGTTGGATGCCCTACGCTGAAGATGAATCTAAACGTGCTCGCTATCGTGCATTTTTAGAAGTCCAAGCAGGGATCACAGATACACTCCCGCCTCGAGCCCCAGGCGCTTCGACAAAGGACTGGGTTACTGAACTTCATGAATTTTCTAGGGCAGCAGAAGTCTTCAAACCCATATCGGGTCTCATGGCTTCACGTTTTACATCATCCACATCCAACGTCTTTCAGTCATCACAGGCTGGTAATGATCCATTACTAAAAACACCAGTTACAACACCTAAAGATCCTGCTGAAGCTGCGGCTAGACTTGGGATATATGGTCCGATGACTCGTTCAGTCCTACGGTTTTCGCCCACACGCCTCCTTTACAAACGATTCAATATTCCCACTACCCCTGTTAGGACAGATGCTGGAAATGCTACTAGTCCTACCCGTGATGTACCTCCAAAATCTGTCGATAAGCGTAATGCTGCGCTTCTCTCCAAAAACAGTATGATCAAATTGATGGCAGAGCCCAAAGCGAACCCATTGCCAGAGTCCAGAACTACCAAAATAGATCCCAATCATAACGAGGCCTTGGAGGCTGCTCGCCCAGAGGATGCTGTGTTCAAAGCAATCTTTGGTAGTGATGATGAGGACGGCGCACTGTGACTGGCGTTCCTGGCACCGGCTTTCAAAGAAGACCTCCACTTTGCCTATATGATGCTTTGCCTCCAGAGACCCGTTTTATATAATATGCAACACTGGGTACTTTAGACGGTCATGTGCTCAATATACATACGTATTTACCCATGTACTCAATTAACATGATAAAGCAGGAAAATTATCATGGGAAATACCAGCAATTTGGATCGTTCATGATATTTACAACATATGGAGCACATCAATAGCCAAGACAGGGTAGTATTCTGTCGCAGTTAATTATCTCAACAACGAAAGAACGAAATCAAATAGAATATCAAACGGCTAGGAAGAGGACGCCCAAAACACCCACGCTAGCTCCCGACGGAAGACGATGAGGCCCTATCTGCGCTGAATTTAGCCGGAAGAAATGAAAAGGCTCAAGTGCACAAGTTAGATTAGATACGCAGACAAATCGCATACCAGGTAGATGGCTTGGCGTGAAATGGCACATTTAAAGTTAAATATCGCACCAGGGCAAGATGCCATGCAAAAATCCTAGGAAATTGAAGACGTCAAGAGGCAAAGTTAAGGCAAGTTCGTCGAGTGGAATTAGGTGGATGGTGGACGAAAACAGACGAATCGGACTAGGGGAGTGACGAGAATGTGTCAAAGAACTTTACTGAGGGCGATGGATGACAAGTGCGTTGACAACATGGCCTTCTTTCCAACCTTGAACGAGCAGACTTTCGTTTTCTTTCAAAATCTTCCCCAAGTAGGCGATTCGAAGCCGGAAAATTCTCGCAAGCTATACACTCGATACTCAGTACTATCAGTGCAAGTTCTGTAAGTGTACATTTGATACGTACCCCTATCTCCGTCTCTATTTTTTTTACTAGCGTACCAACTGACTGTTCTTTGCTGATGGGAATTTCAAGATCTGGGCCATCTCGATCGCTAAGTCTCGCACGAACCCTGATAGTATCTCGTTCGCTTTTCTTCCCTTTTTCTTCATGTCTGCTCTCACCAACTTCCTCTATCTCATAGTCGGAATCCATATCCACCCCTAGCTTGCTATTTGTCTGTTCATCATCGGCTTCAATTCTTTCATTGTCTTCGCCATCAGCTACTATGTTTGTAGGGTCGGAAACAATGACATGAGGTAATCTATATAGAGCACCATTTTCATCGTAGCAACCATCGCAAAAATCTCCAGTCGGAACGGTGACTCCAGCAGCATCGATAACGCCTTGTGCAGTAGCAATATCACCAGATCTCACGAGGGAGACAGCTAGTTGTAAAGCTGCCCAAACCTCTGGTTTACCAGTCACCCGAGTTTCAAAGAATTCTTTTCGTTCACGCGCAATTTCAGGTTTCGACCAAAGCCGGCGCTTGCTATGCCACACATGAGGATGGATGGGTTGGTTATAATGTTCGCTTAAAGGAATCAATTGGCGGCGGCGTCGATCTGATTGTGATGGATAAGGAGTAGATGCATCTGACGCGTGGCGAGATAAGGAATGACGACGGGCTAAGGGGTTTGAGGAAGTGTTTTCAGTAGTTGAATTAATCGCTCTCGACGAATCGCTATGCTGGTCACGGTCGCCGTTAGTGGGATACGGCGAGCCGGGAGCATCTCGTGATAGGCAGCAGCCCTATAATTTAATCAAGCGAATGTCAGAAAAAAGGTGACACGCATGCCGTGCAAGCTGGAAGTAGAAAGATCCAAGTTGCCGGGAGAGCATTTGGTGACCCGACGCGCCAACCTCAAAATGCCCCAAAGAAGTTTGGTATCTCATCATGCTGTTCCACCAAAGACTAAACACAAAAAACAAAATAGAGACATCCCATCTTTTCCCCTGCCCGGGAGGTTGAATTCGACGCCGCGTGCAGATCATTCCACTCACCATAGCTCATGATGCAGTGGCACCTTTTTTACGCTTCTGGTCAGCTTGACATAGCAATATAATAGCAATAGATGAAATGATAGGCCACGTAATTTGGAGCAGTCCTGGGAACGATGTTGAGCGTGAGAAAGCCTGCGAGTTGACTTGAAGCAGCAACGCAAGTGTGGGGAAACGTGCCGGATATTTCATTGCGCCGAGACTCAAGCAAACGCTGCAAACATATTCCTATCAAACATCCACCGCTAAGGATCAAGAGAGGATCTGAAGCCAGTTAATCGGAGAGAATATTCAGGCATCATTGCTTTTTGTTCATGGGTGCTTGCATTATTACTGCAGAATACTCCGTACGGAGTACTCTCTATGGTGTATGCTCCAGTTCCAAAACATGGGTGGTTGTTGATAGGCTGAATGACAAATTTTAACCACATTTAATCCGGTATTACCACTAGTCATAGGTCAGTGAACTCTATAGATCCTACCTCCGTACTCCGTACGGAGTATGGATTAGGTAATGCATGTTCTTTCTCGGAAAAAATACATCAGCCGTGCCCAGCCAACTACCAAACCAAGGGGCCACCCAGGAAACTGTTGGAAGGTTTTTTTGAGTTTTGGAGGCTATCTGAGAATTTTATACTCCATACTCCATTGTCTGTCCAGAGAACGGACTAACTTACTGTACCTGTTTGACCCGACCCCTTTATTTTCCCACCTCTAACTGCGTCGTCTAGAATGGAAGGTTTACAGAATTCCCCCTTTCTCAGGGAGCTATCGTCGAGTGGTTAGTTTCACTTTTGTCTCCCAATATCAATCGAGCTCTCAATTCCTTCCTAATATTCCCGAATTCCAGACCGACGAACACGCGATGAAGCACTTGACTCTTTAACGCTGTTTCTTAAAAGTCGCCGCGACTTACAATTGAATGATCTTTTAAAGATATGGAAAGGCTTGTTCTTTTGTATGTTGGAAGCTTGATTAGGCCTTCTATAGAATATTAACAAAACGCAAGGCATGTACCACTGCGACCGGCCCGTAAACCAACAAAACCTCTCGCGCTCCTTATCATATACACTAGTACCAAAATTGCCGGACCAGATTTTACAGCCCTTTCTCCGCGCATTCTGGATTACAATGTCTCGAGATTTTCACTCACTAGATCGACTAAGACTGGACAAGTACCTCTTTCTGCTACGCTGCTATGTAGGCGTCGCTCTTGGAATTTTCATTAAAAAGGGTATTGAAAATACAAAGGCGAGGAATAGTGCATCAGCAAATGGAAGCGATGCAACAAACTCTCGGAAGGGCAGAAAAAGAAAAAGAGCTGAGAAAAATGAAGAATTAGACGACTGGGTAGAACTAAAACATTTTCTTGATATGCTTGAGGAAGGCCCACTGTGCCCCGTGAATTTTGATGGCACAGAGACCAACCCTCTCGTGATGCCAAAAGGCCCGGATGGTATCCGATATCATATCATGGATATTTGGCTTGACGAGATTGAAAAATACGTCATCAGCTCAGTCGATCATAAAGATGATGAAATCGAAAAATATATACCAACATTGACCCCGGAAAAGAGTATCCCAATGGAGTTGCTGCTCCGCCCCATTGAGCGAATAAAAGCGAAAAGCCTCAACAAAACAGCTCGCAAAAGAGCCATAGAGACCCTTGGTGACGAACGGTTAGTAAAGTGGGGTGTTAAAGCGAAAGAGAGTAGTGTAGAGCCCGATGATGAAGAGGAAGAATGGGGTGGAATAGACTATTGAATTTTCTCTTTTGGTTCAATATTGAGGCTGACTATATGGCATATTCCGATGTCTACTGTGCTTTATATACACTTCCCAAAAACAATGAAAGCTCCTATAACCATTTTACAAGCTGATTTACTCTTCAACAACTTACAGACTTTTTATTTTCACCTTGTTGGTGCTCCCATGCCCTTCCCAACCCCTTTATTTATTTCATCCGGATGGACTGTATTGTATATGCAATAGTCTTTCACACGACATTACTCTATTAGGTTTCAATGATTGAAACATGTACAATCCCTTTACCCTCAGTACCTCCCTGTCAGGCCAACTGATTCTTAAATTATCAAAATGTAGCTATTAGTTATCTTAGATCCAGTTTCTCTATTGTCCCCTTGAGAGTTGTACAAGTCTCTCTGCCCTCACTAACACCAGCTCCGTTATAAGCTGGGTTAATTTAAACCAACTATTGGGTGGCATTACTTAACTGGTTCCCACCAAAGATTTTTAATTGAGGGTCCTGTGTAGAACGGCACATTATTAGTTAATGCTGTCTCTAGAGTAGCATCTTTACCATGGCTGCAATAAAAGAGTTTCAAATATTATATATCATTGATATACCTCTAAAAGCCTTTAGATAACATTGTCTGGGTAGCTGTGGTTTGATAAGTGATGTGTGTTATATATACAATAATTGAGGATATATACTCCGTAGTAGTTTTTCTGCGCGCCGAACCCGCATGGTCTAAGCGATGCTCGCAACTTCGTCAGGCCATCCAGCTATGCTAGTTACTCCGCAACTAGTAGTTAGTTGAGCAATTTAGCAACCGCAAAATACTAATTGTCAATTGATAATTAGTTTCCAATTTCCAAATGTCATACTCCATAGACACATATAAATAATAAATATAGTTTATGTAAAGTTCTAAATATATTCAAAGTTAATTAATATAACAAGTTTAACAACAAATACTAAAAAGTACACTTCTTTGTTTTCTTTATGTAAAAACAGTAAAATTTAGAATTTAGAATTTTATAACTAAATAGCAATTGAAAATTTTAAATCATCGATGGCTGACTCAAAATTAATGAATCAGTGATATCAAATGTGAAAACTTTAAATTTATAATTTATTAAACATTAAAAATATAAAGTAAAATCAGTAAATAGTAAATAATAAATTAAGATTCAATATAATAGGTGTAAAGTCTATATACTATATATGAATCATTGAATACTATTTATCAATATATTGATACATAAATTTGACTATTTTAATGAAAGAATTACCTTATTCAATATTGAGAAATACATTGATACAAACCATACAATAAATAGTAAAAATCAAAAAAGATTGAAAAGCTAAAATTAAGTTATTTGAAATATTAAAATTGACATTATTATAGTAATATAGACTACATTACTTTAATGATTAATCTAACTTGCAGGTTAACAAATTTACAAATTTACAATGCATCTAATGATCTAAGCATGCTGCATGCTGCAGCTACCTGCTTGGTTCATCATCAGCTCTTAGCCTCTTACAATTGTACTTAAAAAGTTAAACTTATTTTAACATTTCCATTTCCAGAAGTCTGAAAATCAACTAGTCTCTGCAAGTACTCAATCTTTTAACTTTCAAGTTTTAATAAAATCTAACATTAATTCTTCAGATTTCTCAGTTCTGACATTCTCACAAATCAGTAGTAAAAACTTTGTATCTTTCATCCTTTGAAATATCAGCATTCAGTGCAATTATTTCATAGAATTGTGCAGCTGTGCTCTTACTTCTCAATTTTAACCCTTGAGTTTTTTGAAAAGCTTTATTCAGAAACCAAAATTACAACCAAGTTAAAACGCAACATCATTGCAATCTGCTCTGAAGACTTAGTCAGTAACTGAGTGCTGATTGTTTGTCAAGTCTGAAGAGGAGGCGGAATTTGTGTGATATTTATATTGCATGGAAGTAGAAGACTGCTTTTCTGGCTTGAAGAACTTGGTGGCAATTTCATACAATGGTGATTGATTTGACTACCGAGTCAGTGTTAAAAGATAAGCCACCTCAAGTCGCTCTAAAGGTATGAAAAAGCCTTCCAAAATTTTATGTTATTTCTATCCAACTCTATCTGCAGCATGACTGTCTCAAGGCACCATGCTTTGGTATAAAGGCAGCTTATCCTCATTATCTTTTGACCACAGCAGCGCGACTACTTGTTTTTCTGGATCTCCACGCTAACTATTTTAGGCAACTCAAACGCCCACCCAGAGACGCGACGTATTCTTTACAGCATTGCGGCAGAAAGGAATTCATCATGAGGAAAAACTTATTGCCTTAAAATCATCTCTTCCATTACGAAAACCATCACCGAAGTGTACCGCTGGAAATTCCATCTCATCCAGAAATTCATCCATCTCATTGAAGATTGATAGTGGTCGCTTGGGTCGAAAACGCCGACTTGAAAATTTACTGGAAAGTCCCTCTGGCGCTTTTTTGCTATCTTCCCTACCTGAGCATCATGGTCTTAGCAATCACTTCTGCGTCGATGACGTGAAGAAGACAGCTTCTGGCATGTACCCCAAAGCTAAAGCAGTTAAACGAGAGTCAGTTAAACTTCACCGTGGTTCTCAGGAATTTCAACATTTATCTCTCGCCACTCAAAGCAACCTAGTTTTGCAGGAGCTCTATGGTGAAAAGCTTGCATCTATCAAGGGTCCTCCTGTCGCTTTTACAAGTGTCCAAAACACACGCAAAATTGACTTTAACTTTGAGTTCATCGAGCGCTATAAAATACACGAAGATGTTCAGCAAGTTGACTCCAATTTTAATGCCGGGTGCTACTGCTTGGGGAAGACTTGCAATCTTGAAAATTGTTCCTGCCTCTCTTTTGCGTTGGGTAAGGAGCAGGTAGTCATTCCCTATAAGATGGGAAAGAATGGCGTCGTTGTTTTGCACGAGGATTTTATGAAACGCACACTAATGATTTATGAATGTTCCTTTCTGTGTAACTGTGCCAGTAGCTGTATGAACAGGGTTGTTGATCGGGGGAGGACAGTGCGCCTTGAAATATTTCAGACAGAAAACCGAGGATTTGGTAAGCACAAAGGCCCAATCCTAAGCTCAGTAGGCCCCATTTCTTACTTGAATGATAGGACTGAAATCACCTGATCCAATTCAATTTGGCCAATATATTGATTCCTACTGTGGGGAAGTAGTGACAAAGTCCACGGTTGCTCGCCGCGAAAAAGCTTTTCCAAACGGGGGTGCCAGCTATTTCTTTGATCTGGATTTTTGGGACAATGATGAAGCTTATATTGTTGATGGAAAAAAGTTTGGTTCTATTACTCGGTTTATGAACCATTCTTGCAAGCCAAACTGCAAAATGTTCTCAGTCTCCCATAATCATGCCGATGATTCCGTGTTTGGGATGGCTTTTTTTGCATTATATGATTTACCCCCTGGTACAGAGCTAACTTTTGACTATGACCCATCTTGGGAACAGGACATCCAAGGAGGAATGCATGAAGTGAACCCAGAAGCAACAAAATGCTTGTGTGGAGAAAAGACCTGTAGGAGAGTGCTTTGGACATATCAGAGAGGCTGACCTTCAGAATCTGGCATTATGGAATTGTCAAATCAGGAATCTTTGATACATTGGCCCATTGGGATGAGAAGATTAAGAGACTTGAAAAGTTGAGCTTTGCTCAATGCAATGGTGAGGTATCTACCACTGCTACCAGTGAACTAATGCCATTATGTGCCATTATGATGTTGAAACTTGAAAGCTTTATCTGAAAATTTAATTTTCAATGGCATTAGCTTATGAAGTGTTTACTATTAAATAAATTGGGTTTGGGCCCAAGGCCTTCAGCTCTAATATTCTAATATGATTTATCCATGATTCTATGGATCTTTGATATAATGATATTGCAAAGTACTTTACTACTGTACTATTGTACAATGTACTACAGTACTACAGTTGTACAAGAATGAAGAAATAGTATATTAGTATTTGTTAAACAAGTTAGTAGAGACTAGATACTAATATTTAATAGTTTTTATCAAGTTTTGAAAAATGGTGAAAGAGAAAAAAAGTCTACTGATAGTCTGATTTATAAATTTGTGTTTGTAACTTTGTATTCAATGGATCATTCTATAGCACTCTACTATGAGAATAGAGTTATTCAAAAATGGCAGTAACATGTTTCCAAAGAACCAAAACGCTACCCTAATTTCCTAATCTGTTACAAGTTACAACTTGCCACATCAAAAATTATAGTACTGTGATTGATCTAATATATGTTAAACTTTAGTAGCCTACAATGATTTAAGACAGTGTTTAATCAGCTTATTCAAGTTATTCTTAATTACGGAGTACTCATTCACTACTCCGTCTCCCTGTACTCCGTACTCCATAATTAGCCCAAAATTAAATTCAACTTCAGTAGCTTATGATGAGATAACACAGATCCTAGCTTAATCAGTTAATTCTTGAGTACAGGTCCAGGTTGAGAATAGGTGAAGGGCGAAGGTTTGTGCCCTTTTTGCCTTCGAGTCTTCGAGAATCGTGGTAGAGCACTAAGCAGCTATGCAGTACGCCGGCTACTAGCAAGAGCTAAGCAGTGAACGAAGTGAGCGAGTTGTAACTACTCGTGATTGATAATTCGTGACAACTTACTCCGTACCATCAAAATCCTCTTACCGCCATCGGTCTAAGTCTAGGTATATTGAACTTTACTAGTTCCTAATGGCCTTCTAAGACAGTAGTCAATTCGTACGGAGTACTCTGTGTTACTAAACCTTGTGACGGTCGCCTTTTTAGTTGAATGGTTTAGTCGTCTGATACGGAGTACCTTAATCGGCCATTCCTTGATTACTAATCGGATTGAGAACAGCTTCTTTTTGCTTAGTACAGAATTGTGGTAAAAGGAGCACTTAGCAACTATTGAAAGAGTGGAAGAGTGAACAAAGTGAGCGAGCTCTGGTGTATTTCGTATTGGTAACATTGACGCGTCTAGATAGGAGATTAAGCGCGGCGGCTAACTCAACCGGAATCAATCGTCTTGGCGTAGAGGCTTAATCTTATATGCCCTTTGCCCCGTGTTCATAGGGGCGGCAGGGTAACTGGAAACCTCCTTTAACCCCGGCTCAGAGTTACGGAGTATGAACATGTCATACTATGAGGAGCTGTTTATGATAATTATTGAATGTTGGCATGATTGGAAGGCTTCCACAATCCTCTAGGATACTTTCCTACTAACTCGGTGTTTGGTTGTCTATATATAGTATAATATTTAGAGACTAACTCTTTCAAGGCGAGAATTCCTAATTTCTTTACTTTATTACTTTCATTAAGATGAAGGAACGGGCTAAGTTCTAACCATTATTGATATAGTTAAGGGTTATGGGCCGCTGGACCTAAATTCGACATGTTGCCACACACAGGTTCCTTCTTCAAGAACCAAAGATATTTCTGGGAGACAATACTCTATGCACTCTATGCGGCGAATAATCACCACTTTTCCAGCTCCAACTTGGGAGTTGAAGATATTTAGCCAAGAAGCTTATATCAGATGAGTGCGATGTCGCTAACATCGTTTTTCTCAATCATGCCTCTTCCAGCGAAAGAAAAACATTTTCTAGCCATTATTATTATTATTATTATTCATTATTTTTTTATGGGCTCTCTTGCAGCCTAATACTATGGAGAGCCACTCATGAGTCGTCCCGTAGATATTGTTTCAATATGTTTTCTTTCACCAAAGGTAAGCGGTATCTAGGGCCGGAAGCCTTGCTGATATGGGCTCCTAAAAAAGGCCTCTTAAATCGAAGGCAGCCGGGGGGCTAAGTGCAAGGCGATTATTGTTAGCGTGCAGGCACCGATTACTGTATGGCAAGAAAAGTAAGCGCGGCACAAAAACATAGTAGGCCGAATCTCCTGTTGTCTCAAAAATGGGATTCATCCTCAACAATGATTGCCAGGTGGAACGGCCCTCCATCTGCTTCTCGGGCAGGTTTCGCTCCCCATCTGCCGGGTGGCCAGGCAGTCCCGGTAGCCCTGGAACTTTGAGCAACAACATGAAACATTCCTCTTGGGGTCCGAGACGTGAATCATTGTTAACTGACTACCACAGAATAGGGAGCCAGCCGAGTTTAGGCTGAGTAACCAGGGTGAAGCAGGTTGGAGGTTTTTATTGTGCATTTGTGGCCGCAAAGCATTGGGTGCTGGGGGGTGACAGAGCAAGGATTCTTCGTTCACGTCGCGGAGCACCAAGATTCTGTGAAATGGAACATCCCGACGGGCTGAAAGGCGGACCGGCGATGACAGCGTCACACTCATCCTTTTTAGAGTCAAATAATAGGTATTATTTGCTCGGACCCCAAGCCTTGGTTCTCGCGGTAACTGGTAAGCTAAACTGGACTAGTGACAAAAAACGCAAAAACCTGGCCGATAAGCGGTTTAGCAGCTTAGCAAGTCTCACTAAGGTTAGAATCTAGGATCTCCTTGAAACGCAAGTGATCCAGCACAGTAGCAAGAAATCATCGCCCAGACATGTTTTCTAGTGTTATGTTGAGGCCTCCTGAGCCAGAAATCCACGAGAGGCACGATGGGGCAGATTTACAGGACAAAAAGTAGCATCGATTCGCTGTCTGATGGTATATACACAATATAGATACATAGGCAAGATATAGGCACAACCCTGGACTACCCGGGGTTAATAAAAGTATAGAGAAATATTAAAAAGTCTTATCGATAGTATCTGGGTGCCGTTTCGGGCCAGGAATCTCCTCGACGGTTTTTGAATAGGAAAAAAGAGGTGTACGGCTTGAGAATTTCGGCCGCATGATTTTGATCATGCAGTTCCTTCCATTACTTCAAATATGCCTCCCATAACGTATCGCGGGGGTTGGTGAATGGGAGTCGATGCCGAGCGGGTATTGCTTGTTGTATTCACCCGATTGTCCAAGACTTTGCTTTCCTCCTCAATCATATCCACGAGCGCAGGCATAGGATCTACCGGGCGCGGCTCCATTAGGCCCAGACCGCGCCGTTCAATCTCGTCTCCAAAGCATCGGGAGCGCTCCTCGCTGAGAGCGAGGTCGACGGCAGACGGGCGGCGACGGAGAAGCAGACTGGACAAGCGGAACGAACTGTGAGAGTGCGAGGCAAACGAATTTCGGCTGCGGCTACGAGCCCGGCGAATGAACGGGCCAAACGCATGGCTGCGAAATGTGCTGATGGGACTGGAGGTGGGCGAGCATGTTGGGCTGGAGGTGGCCGACGTGAGCGGGCTGCCGCGTTCCGACTCGGAGGGATTAGAGGAGTTATAGGAGAATGGGTTGCGGAGAGGGCTGAAGTCAGTCCAGGGCGACGGCAGTAGATCGAGGGTGTCTCGTTTGGCCTCCGCCATGTTCGATTTGGAGTTGGGGATGGTTGGGAAAGGTGTGGCGGAGCCAGGTGTTCACAAGGCAATAATGCTTAGAGATTAGGCGGGCCGCAGCAGCAGGACGAGGCGCAGGGCGGGCGTATAGGCAAGATATCTATGCGGGCAAAAGATGGAGATGCTGGCGTAGGACTGCAAGCAGTAGCGATGTCTGCGTGTATCCAAGGCCAGCGTGGGATCGCGAGAGGAAAGGAAGGAAAACGACGGATCGACCGCGCAGAAGAGAGAATCGCCGCAGGGCAGCTGCCAGCAACAATGACAACAACGACAAGCACAATTGACAACGACAACAGACGGGAGAGCGAACGACTAGAAGAAGCGAGCGAGAGCGACACAGCGGGCCTAAAGAAGGACGGGCGACGGCAGGGATGCAGCGGGCTGGGGGGGAATTTGGCGGGCGGGCGCAGGGAGGTCGGCCAGCTAGCGGGCGGCCTAGTCTGTCTCAGCCGGGCGGAGGCGAGACGAGACGAGACGTCATGGCCGACCGGCCAGCTCGCCGTGAAGCGCTCGTCGGGGATCTGTCGCAGCCATGTCGCAGCCCGTCAATGCGAGGCCGCTCGCGGGCGGCGACTGGGTGGTTGAAGCGGTCCCATAGCTCTTCGACGAACTAGCTAGCCGACGCTCGCGATCACTCGAGACAGGCACGGCCAGGCTTTCTACGCGCGATAATTGAGGCCCAGACGGCGGTTCTACTGCAGGGAGGAATCACGATCTATCTGGTTACTGCGCTTCCAACACAGGCGGCACAAGGACACATGGCCGGCGGCGGAACTAAAGTAGCATGAATGACAAACCTCCGCCGCCCCGGACCCGGTAAATGCAAAAAGAAAGCAAACAAAGAGAGAATACATGAAGCGGCCGCAGTCCTGGGAGTCCATGCGCAACGGCTGGCAGTCTGGGGCTGTCGATACGCCCGCTACTCCTGAAACACCCGTCCAGCGCTGGCCCCTCTCCGCTCTCATGCCTATCATGTTCGCATCAAATAATCATATGGAAATACATGGTATCTTCTCTTTTTTCGCTCGTCGCCAATGTTCAACAGATTCACCCGCCGTAAGAAAAAACTGAAGAGAGAAAGCAAAAGTAAAGGAGTAGTTAACTATGTAGGAGTAGGCTCATTCGCCCTGGGATCGACGCCGGGTGAAACTGCGCCGAATACTCTCACCCCAGACCGAATTGTCGAACGAGTCCATCACCCCTTGAACACTCACGGAACTGTTGGCCCGTGACCGGCCGCCAGCAACGTCCGTGTGGCCTGGGTCACCATCGCCCAGCGTCGTTCGATGGGGTGACAGCGACCCGATTTGAGACCATTCTGAATGGGTGGGCGAAAAGAACGGATCCTCCGCGGACTGTGTAGTATCGACACGAAGCCCACGGCTGCTGCGTTCCGACGTTCCCGATCGGTCGCTCGTGGGTGATAGCATCGATGGAGACGGTGCCCGGCTCTGTGTGCCCTCGGACACTGCATCTTCGGGACCATCGTCCTCGACGTAGATCTCCGGTACGGAGAACTGCGGCACCTCCACAAGACGGGAGTTATGCTTGAACTCTTGATGCCGGCGGAACCGACGAGACCAATACAAGGTGTTGAAAAACCCAACCACTATGCTGCGACGGACTGCCTCATCAACACGTTGAAGCCGGGCGCGTCTTCGCAGAAATTCTTCAAGCCTAGAATAATTCCAATTAGCAGAGTAGACGCAATCCAGAGAAAATAAACTCGCCTTAAGCTCTTGCTGTCGTTAATGACATTGTAATGAGCAAGAATCATAAGACAAGATGTGAAAGAAATCCCTCGTTCGGGGTCTGCGGAGACGAGAACCTCTTCGTAGAATGCGTTCAGACGGGCGCGTCTCCTTCGAATTTCCGTGACCGGCAGCCCCTGAAGCACCCGGTTCAGTGTCTTGAGATCAATACAATCCGTCGATTTGGCCCGTGGTTGCTGAGAGTGGCGGCGATTGAAATTACATTGCTCAAGTATATGCCCAACAGTAAAGTCGCCGTCATAAACTCGCATTTCGAATACGCCAGAGAGTTCCTAGGAGTATGTTAGTCAATTCCAACCGTTCACAACAAAATAGCAACAGCGTACCCCGAGAAGTCTTGGAAACTGCTCCTTTGAAATGTATCCAGACCCGTCTGGATCAAACGTCGCCCATGCTTCTTTATACCGACGAATCTCCTCTCTGCTGATGGCGTAAAGACCACTACTCCTCTGGTAGACATAGGAAAAACTCTCGAAAATAAGGGACACAAATAGAGAAACAAAAATGTACATGCTAAGAATATTCCAAGAAATAAAAAGTGTACGGGCCCAGGCTTTGCTCCCACAATCACTATTGAAGAATTCGGTGGCCGCGGTGCAGTAAGGGTATTCCATCGTCGCAAAATCTTCCATGAGTTGATTCCAACCCTCACCACAACTCATCCGGAATAGAAGAATCAGTGCTTTGGGGACGGTTCTGAAATTGATATTATTATTCTCGCCCTCGCCAAATTTCGTAAGTCCGAATATCTGCGTCAAGGCAATCGCATAGACAAGAAATAAAACGAACCAGGTAGTTAGTAAGTTGAAAATTGATGTCAAACTTGCTGCGGCAGTCTTGAACAACTGGTCAAGCTGGTTGTTTCGCGGAATAATCATAAGCGTTATGGAAACCAGGAAAAGTTTATGTAGCTGCATAAAAGCACGGTTTTCATGACCGATGATGGAGAGCAGAGTAGTGACAAAAGTGCCTGACACCGCAGCCACTGAATACAGATCCCAGGAACTCCGGCGAAACCGAGGCCAAGTCAGCCCAACAAGGCGGATGACAATATTAGCGATGTAAAATAAAGTCAAAACGAAGAAGAGAGCATCTGATAATGTCAGCCAAAGGTATTACAGTGTAGGAAGGGTCGAATATTACCTCTTGTCTTATCCCACCACAGCTTTGAGGGATAGAACTCCAAAACCAGCAAGAATAAATGAATGAGGAGAAGGGTAGTGATTGTCCTGGCCCAGGCGCCATGCTTTTTAACAGCTATCCTGTAAGACCATGCCTTAAATTTGCTGCTTTTCTTATCCACAGACCTTTTGGATGGAGATATCTGTCTTAATAATTTTCGTAGCTCAAGCCACGATCGCTGTTCAGCGGTCAAAAATGCCACGCCAGTCTGCTCTGTGTAGTTTCGCATAAAGACGGAGACAAAAAGTGTAAGCACGAAGACAGCGCCCAAAAGGTTGAAAACGACAAAGAACAGCCCGTTGGCCTGAGAAGTGAGGGGTTTTGGTTGCCGTCCGACACCAGTGATGCTCATAGCACTCCATAATACATCCGTCCAGCCTTCTTGAGAGACGATTTGGAAGAGAATAAACAATGAGTCCCCGAATGTATCAAAGCTGTAGAACGGGTTGTCGACCGATCGGGGAGCTAATACCTTCCAGGCAAATGGCGAAGCAGTGTATTCTCCAACACAATGGCTAAGAGAGTCGTAACCAAAATCATCATCGTTGCACTTTTTCATCTTACCATTGAAGAGGTTTAAGCCGTATATAGCAAATGGTACCAGAAATCCCATAGAGACAAATGCAGCCTAGAGTATGAAATAATTAGAGGTTAATCAAATTCAAGGAAGTGAGCACTACTGACTGAAATAACTTTCCAGCCGCCTATGATGATGACAGAGTGGAATGTTTCTCTCGCACTATCACTGACATTAAGCAGCCGTAATGCCCTCAAGGCTCGAAAAGCCCCGACAACACGAGAAACATCCCCATTCCTGGACAATGAAGCGATAACATTTATCCAAAGGGTGACTAGAACAACGCCGTCGATAAACCCCCATGAGCCCCGAAAATAAGCATTCGGAGTCCAGAAGAAGCCGTCTGCGATGACCTTGATAAGTGTTTCAACAGAGAAAAGAATAGCGAACCCAATATCGGTCCAGACAAACCAGCTCGTGACCGCAAAATGGTTTCTCTGGAAATACGCCCGTTGGTACAAGGGGGTGGCAATGCATGCTATCAGAACCATGGCAACGATAGCAGCATAGATAAACGCTGAAAATGTATACCACACGGGTTTGTAAGGGTCAACGCCTTCAATGCGAGTGTTACCACGCCCTGGGCCGACCATCCGTTGACAAAGGCGACGGATGGGATTAGTAGGCTGAAAAAGAAATAGCGAAACGTTATATCTTGGATATCTTTGCAAGTACTTTCGCTGGGCCTGTTTCCTTTGCTCAGATGCGGATAGCACTTCCTTGGCCATTGCGGTAGGATCTAACTCATCATAATCTCTTGAGATTTTTAGCTTTGAGTAGAAAGGATTGGGTTCACGGTTCATGATTCGGCTTTTCAGTTTGCTAAAGAATGTTGCAAAACGTCCAGGCTGGGCGGGCTCTGAGGATAAATCCGGAGCCTGGCTTTCTGTTTGTCGTAATGGAACTGGTTCATCAAGAAACTCATGAACAACGGCATCTTTAAGAAGCATCTCAAGGGCGGCTGGTCCATGGTCAAGGGGGTCGCGATACCTCTGCTCATTACGGCCAAACCTGAAAATAGACGAAAGTGCAGGGTTTCCTGAGGAAGAAGCATTGAGTTGCTTCTGCTGTAAAAAAGCTTTTACTTGATGAAGTCGTTTTTCATCTTCTGAAACGTCAAAGCTCTCTTGAATGACCGCAATAAACATATTCAGCACAACAAAATTGGCCAGAATAAACCACATTATAAAAAAAGATGCGGATATCCACGCAGTTTTCCATGGCGCACTCGAAGCCGTGGAATTATACAGAATCGATGTCCAGTTCTCGCTCGACAGGATCTGATACATTCCTAAAAATGAATTATAAATATTAAAAAAGGATACCCGGACTATTTCGCCGTCATCGGTCTTTCTTGGGATCACGTCACGGAAAAGGCGAACCGCGAAAATAGCTGTTAGAAAGGTGATAAGAAACACGAAGAGGATTAAGTTCAATAATCCGACGACATTACCAAAAACTGTCATGATAAGGGACCTAGTCAGGGAGAAGGCGAGAATCACGCGATAGATCCTCAAAATCTGGAAAATAGATAGGGCGGCATAAGTATTGTCGGAGTTGTGAATGAATGGTAGCTGAATTATTGCTGTTGCGACAGCCAACATAAGGTCAAACCAGTTCTGAATATTTTTGAAAAAATTTCTCCAATCTGCTGCAAATCGGAAAAGTATTTCAAACACGAGAATAACCGTCACTGCAAGTTCTATCGAATTAATTAAGTAGCGGACCCCAGATCCCGTCGATGAGCTTCTCATTCCCTGGACAATCAAATCCAAGACTATCAACGATATCCAGAGCCAATACGTTTTGGAGTATACGCGTTTCAAAGTGCTAACGCGCTTTGGGGTCTCTTCTTCGGGTGGGATAACATCTATATTATCGGCGGTGAATGCGCTTCTTTTGCTCTCTTCTCGGATGACTTGGAAGGAGGATGTTATAACGGCGATCAACAGATTGACAAGCCATAAACTCAAAACAACAAAGCTTGCAATGAAAAAGACAGAGGCAACAAGATAGTCACTGTCAGTGGTGTAGTAAAGGAGATCAGTGAAGGTATTCGAGCTCATAACGACAAACACAAGCTCGAGAGAATGGGCCACGTTATCGAAACTAATGGTTCCACCGTAGGGATTGGTTCCTTCTACACAAAGTGAGCCTTGAGGACACAAGTAACCCTTCGGTTTTGTTGCGCCTGGAACCCCATTTGATAGAACCCAAGGTTTAGCAACACCGGTGGTATTGTCTAGATGTCCCCCGCAGAATTGAATACCATCAGGAGCGTTATTCATGGTAAAATTCCGTACGTTTTCTGGGTCTACCCAAACGCAGGACCGCTGGAGGCTAGATTTGAAGCTTTGAACACCGATGATGGCGAAAAGCAGCCAAAAGAAACCGATAAAGAAGGCGACATTAACAAGTAACGGCGCGGCTTTTTTAAGACTTCGAAGGATAACCTATTGTAATTTAGATCGATTGAAGAGGTGGGGCCTTAGAGGGAGTGTGAATTACCGTGGTGCCATTTGTTAGAGCAAGTAAACGCAAGATTCGGAGACTACTAAGCATTCGAAATAGGAATATATGCCGGCTCGACTCAACTGCCATCAGAGAAAGAACAAAGGATATCCAATATGAGATTACAGCGAGGAAATCAAGCCTGTTAAAAGAATGACGTAAAAATGCTCGTCGGGCAAGTCTTGCACGCTGTCGGGCTGCCTCATCGCCATCATTAGTTTGGGGTTGAATGCTTGTAAAAGACCGTAATACGGACATTTGGCTATCCAATGGATTTGTCTTTTTAGTTGACAGATGTCTATGGGGCATAAAGAGCTCTCTCCCTTTGATAACAAGGGCATTTCGAAGGCCATTTGAACGATCCAAAGTGCTGTATTCTTGGGGATTAATGATGAGGCCGGACACAATTATTCTGGCGGCTAACTCAAAGGTATAAATGACGAAGATAACTAAGAAGGCATAATCAAATGCAGTGTCTCCCCATTTTCCGGTCTTGTTGTCGGCCTGAAACGACGACTCGACTGCAAGAAGAACTGTCTGAATGATGATAAGAATAAGAATTGTCGGCTCCGTGGCAGGATGGATTAATATTTCACATAATATCTTGCGTAGTTTATTTCCGGATGAAAAGATCCCTAAGGCTTTCCCTTTTAGTGGGTTGATTGGGACCGGACTGCTTTCGTGGTGTACTGAAGGCCGCTTTTCGGGTGTATTTTCTTGAGTCTTCCACGAACCATCCGTTCTATCGTGCGCATAGTCCGTCATGGCTGGTAAAGAGGGCGGTCCTTCCAAACGCGCAGTTTTAAGCGATGATTTTCTTCTCAATGACTGCTCGACCAATTCAGGCTCATTACTTAGGTTTACAACGCGTTGGGACATAATTCTCATCATAGAGCCCGCACGGGATAGAGCTGAGCTGGAACTGGCGGGAGACAAGCGTCTCGATCGATGGGAACTTGGGCGTGACGACCTTGGTGGGCTATCAAAGCTGCTATTTCTCCTGCCCAGCCCACCCTCCAGGTGGGGTAAATCATCTCCAAGGTGACGACCGGAAGGGGCATCTGCAAATCGCACACTCTGACCACTGTGGCTACTAAAGCTCTTTTTCCGGTTGGTAGGGGGCTCTGTAGCGCCACTTATCGGTTGTAGATATCTTCGGTCAGTCAAAGGGGTCCTATCACTTTCACTAGCGTCCACTGGCGACGACACATTCTCGTTGAAATACTCGGTTTCCATCTGCGAGAGGGAAGCTAAATTATCCGACTCAGAATATCCGTAATTATGGCCTCCAATGTTGTCCAGTCGTGAATGGACATGAGGGCTCTGTTCGCGCGGGACGTATGGTATATGCAAATTAGGTCCTCTCTCGGGGGTCCGAGGAAGCCCTCCACCGCTTGAATTGGCATCTTGTGACAAACTAATTGTCTGGAATCCATCAGAGCTGTCTGCAGGCGCCTGGCCCGGCGAATCCTCTGCGAGGCGTTCATATCTCCGAGGAAAGGACCTGCCACTAAGTAGCGAGCGTCTTATATGGCCCTGGGCATCATCAGACCTTTGTAGACCATCTCCGGTATGGTGGGTGGCCGCTGCGCCGGGAGGACGTGACAGGTCTCTTAGTGGGATAGGCTGGTTATCACTATTAGGTTCGCGATTACCGCCGCCCGATGAGGCCATTTGTAAACGTCTGTCACCGGATACCAATCATCGCCGCTTTGCCTATTCAATTGGTTCTGTCAGGGGGTCTCCCAGGTACCTTCTAAGATTGCTTGAAGGTTTGTAGCGAGAATCGTGCAGAGGACAGTTCACCGCGCAGGCGCGTTCCACGGGGAGGATCTATCAGGGTAGGGACAATTATGCGCTAAACATCAATACACAGCAGCGGACAGTATGAAATGAGTATGTTATATGTTATGTAGTTCTGGGTGTGGTCTGTCTTGCTGGCATGTTTCGGGATACCTGCGTTGATAGGTCTTCGCCCATAAATTACAGTGACATCGCCGTACAGGTGTCGTCATGGGATTTTGCCGTAGGATTTGTCTCCATACAGTACGCGCTAGTATTGACAGCTGGGGGCGGCTCATTTTTACGATAAGCCTTGCGGAAAATCGGACGGAACGCAGCCTGCACCCACGATTTTTGACAACGTCGACAGGGGTTGTTCATTATTGGGAGGGGAAAGGCGATTTCACTGTAACATGTTGGAACTTCTTTTCTTCATGAGACATCCTCCTGTAGCACTAGCAGAATCTAAGTTTTGGTTCGAATCGCGCACTTGATATAGGGTGCCAAGGGATGCTAACATTATCCATGCCGCTGATAGTAAATACTTTGTACCATATCGTAGCAGACTAATCCGTCTCCATGCTGTCTTCTCGATCCGTCTTTTTTTCAACATGGCGCTTTACACCATTCAAGAATGCCTGCACAGCTTCTCCACCTCCCAATGGAACGCCTCCACGACGCATAAATCCCCCATTCTCCACCTCAATTTGTAAAGCATCACTGATGCTGGGAAGTCCACCATCTCGTAACGCTACGGTTAGGCTTCCAAGGCTCTGTGCGAACTGGGGAGACCGAAGGACCCTCCGCAAAATACTCTTTTTCTGATCAAGGTCCAAATACGCCAGCGCATCTTTGGCTTCTTGTGGGCTAACTTCGGCAGCAGGTATTTTAAGTCCTAACTCTAGCATTAATAATGTGGATGGAAGAAAGGTTAGTAAATTATCAATCTCGTTCATATCTGCTGATTCTACCAGGGGCAATGTTGACAAAGGTGGGAGGAGTTCATTGAGTGTGGTGAACACCTTTTCAGTGGGTTCGGGGTGGGAGGCGTCATTATTTCCCTGAAGCGAGCGCAGGAGATTCTGGACGACCGCAGATGGATCTGAGCTACCTGCAACACTGAAGGAATTCTATCAGCAACAGAATGTTTTGGGTAGGTGAAAAAATGAATACTCCGGTTGTCTAAATCACTGTCCAGACAAGAAGTTCTGTAATGGCCGCAATCTAGAGCTAGAGCAACAACTTCCCACCCATATTGTAACTGTAGAGAGTAATACCTACGCTCGTCCACCATCTGCACCGCCCTCTCTTGCCTGTTCACCTTCCTCCCGGACATCCCCACCTGTAGCACCTGGTCCCGCACCACCACCGCCTGGTCGATAACGATCTGGACTGTGGTCAGTGCCCTCGACGTCTTCCATAGTCTCGTCGTCATCATGGTCTTCGGTTCTTGGTAGGCTTGCAATCTCCGCCTGAACGTCAATATCTTCGCCTTGGAGTAGTCCATTGACAATGTGGCCCAGTTTTAAGTCTCGGGCACTAAACCATGCTGGATTTCCGTGTTCGTGTTGGGTTTTCGATTGTAGCCAGAAGAGAAACCTCTGGGAGCTTGAGGAGAATTTGAGAACATATATCCTACCATTCGTTGGGCGATTTCGATTAAGGGGATTTTCAGCGCTGGTAGGTTTATAAGGTGTAAAGGTCGCATCCATTGGAACCATTACAAGATCCAGTTCCGGTTCGTCGAGGGAGACAGCTCGAGGCCGCCAGCAGAAGTGAACCAGATCATCTTCAGAGTACAAGTAAATATAGCCTGGTGTTTGCCTTGGCTTTACTGTGGGGGGTGTGACAGAGGTCTAGGTAAGAATTAGTACAGTCAAGAAAGCTTGGGTATTCTTTGTGGTGCTGTTCGCTCATGAAGCATCCTCTGGAACGTCATCACACTAGATGGGGCGACTCACATCAAGCTCGCAAAGCCCTGCCTTGAAGGTTATGATCGGAGATATCGACATGGCGAGCACTGTCTAATAGAAAAACATGCAATGTGCCCTGAAACTGCTGTCCCAGAGTCCAACTACCAGCCACGAAGAGAATCACACTACTTGGTGATGATGATGTTGATGAGGCAAAGGTATTTGGGTTCGGATGAAGCTCCGCACCCCACACGGTGATTGGCTGCATCCCGCACTAGCTCCGGATTAGCACTAGCGCCATTCGGCTAAGCAGTAGGGCACTGTAACCCACAAAATCATCTTCGAGTGTGCGTTTGGGCGACCCAAGTCGATTCACCGTCAACTCCCGCAACTCCCTCCGTCGACAACCCGGACACGCCCATTCCTACGTTCTTTTCCAAATACCTTCGTCACAGCAGCCAATATGTCGGCGACTTTGGACTCAAAGTCTGTTGGCCAGACGAAGAAGTTTGGAAAGGGTGAGAGAACGATCCCACACCCCAGCCAAAAGGCCTCAAAGTGGTATCCTGCGGTCGATGAGCAGCAGCTGAAGAAAGTCAGTATACACCATTTTTGTCTTTTTTTGCAGTATGTTTTTCGCGCATCGTGCGCGCGTGGCTACATATCAGGCTTGCCAATACCGAAATATCAAATATCACAGCGCGCTTCCCATACAAACAAGCAGAGATTGTTTACTTCTTGGAGGTTGAATAAAAATAGCTGACTGTGCCTATTGCTGCAGGTCCGTAAGACCGCTCATCCCACAAAGTTGCGACCCAGCTTGAAACCGGGCACAATTCTCATCCTTCTCGCTGGCCGCTTCCGCGGAAAGCGAGTCGTCCTACTCAAGCACCTGGACCAGGGTGTTCTTCTCGTTACCGGTCCTTTCAAGCTCAACGGTGTTCCTCTTCGACGGGTAAATGCTAGATATGTCATCGCCACTAGCTCGACAGTTGACCTGAAGGGGGTGGATTCCAAGACTTTAGAGAAGGTTTCTCAGGCCGACTACTTCACCCGTGAAAAGGCTGAACAGAAGAAGGGTGAAGAAGCTTTCTTTAAACAGGGAGAAAAGCCAGAGGTATTTGGGCACCTTTAATTCATTATTTGATATTTTGAGCTTGTATTTGGCATGGGAAACTAATCTTGCAATTCGTATCAGAAGAAGAAGGTTGCTAGTGCACGCGCTGCCGACCAAAAAGCCGTAGATCAGACTCTCTTGGCCACTATCAAAAAAGAACCTTTCCTTGCTAGTTACCTCGCCTCCACTTTCAGCCTACGATCGGGAGACAAGCCTCACGAAATGAAATGGTAGATATGCGGGTTAGGGGAGCTACGGTTTAATGGTCTTCTTTATTTGTATGCGAGAGAGGGAAATTTGCGACACTTCCTTAAATACATTTGTACACTTATGCAATTGCCATAGGTGATCTCTCTATTTTGAAGCACCTGTATTGCAGGGAGGGGCCAAATAGTTACTCGAAACTGGCAATACAAAACTTCGCCTTCAAGTTCTTTCTGCTCCACATGAGGGTGTCTACTAGCAGATGTACCTCTTTGGCCGTCCAATCATTTAATATCACTGTCGAGTGTTATGGGCAGAGGTCATTTTATTTGATTGCCTCACTGTTGCAAAATTATCGTTACATACTCTTTCAGTCAAAAAGCATACAAAACATGTCCAAAGAAGCTCCGTGTCTATGAATCTACCGTTTTTCTGGTGCGTCTCTTAAAATTTTTTACTTTCCTTCTTGACTTCTCCATCAATCTTTCAGCCAACTCATCAACATCAACGTCCTCCATGTCTTCTAAAACGTCGTCAGCAACATTGTCCCCAATAGCACTTCCAAAAACCCAATCCATGATACCCCATGGTGAATAATTTCCAGTGCCACCACTAGAGAGGTGTGCTTCCACTCGTTTCGCAATCCCTCCGATAAAGAAATTCGTAGGCATTGCTTTGTAACCCGAATATGCGAACGTCTCCTCTAAAGATATAGTTGAAAGATAAAGGATGTATGTAAGTAGGTGGAAGCGGAACATCGCGGCTGGAAGGAAAGTTGGGAGAAATTTCGACAAGAGATATGATGCGGGATGGTCGTAATGTGCTGTTAGAGGATAGGGAGTGTGTAGTGAATGATACCATGTATTATGGCACTTCGAGACATGAAGATTGGGCCAGTGAAGGACATAGCGATGGATGGTATACTCAAGAAGCTAAATAGCGCAGCTGGTTCAGTTTCCAGTTCCATCTGGGGACAACACCAGAAATATTACAGAAAAAGCACGTACCTCACGCCCCAGCAAACCCCGCAGGAGGTCTTTCAGAATGCCCCAAGGCAGTGGTAGACGCGTCGATACCTTGATCGCGCTCTTGATGCCCAATATTCTGGTCAATCCAAATTCCACGGTCGTCTGAACAAGCAGCCCAAGTAATAGATTCAGGACTGCGCACGCAGCGACCTTGATCTCTTTGCCGCTTCTTCTTCTTCTTCTTCCTCCCGTCGGTAGCCCATACGCACCTTGAGCTTTCAGCACTTGAGCAGCTGAAGGCACGAGAACATCAAAGAGGAAAAAGAGCAACGAGGGAATTAGGAAAAAAAGGAGTCGCACGGCAATAGTTCCAACAATTTCGACCTTTAGTGGCGAGTGCGACAGCACTAAGGTCGTCCATGTTATGTAGAAAAACAGAAGATTGAGGCTGGTCCCATAAGAGGACATGACAGGGACTAGCATGAAGGACAGCATCGGCAACGAGAGTAGGGCGCCCATTGCATTGTGGACAGGAAGAGGCTCGCGGGCTATAAAACTAGCTATGTACTTGACTAACACAAATACAGTGTCTTCCTTGCCTCGTTGCCTCTGGCCATCCAACCAAAATGCTGTAGCTGATGTCAATAATGTATGTATTTACATACAGCCTTCACCTCAAGAGTACTTTGAGACGCGCAAGTCAAAAACTGGTGTGTTTAGCTAACTAGTTACGGAGTACTTCGTACGGAGTACCTATTGCGTCATTTGACTTGATCAGTAACTAGTTAACCCCATGTTTTTCCGCCCCGAGTCCTCTCGGCGGATTGCTACTTTGTACTCCGTACACCTCACAACAGCCCTTCATTCACTTGAAATGCTTTCCAAAATTCAAAAATCATCTGCAGCATCACTGCCACATCTCCAGCCGGATCTCCACCCTTCCAGGATAGCTCCAGAAGGCTCAACTGCCAAGCAACTTCCGAGAGGAGCCCTATGGAGCTTATCTCTGTTATATCCGTTACCCAGTTTAAGAAGGCCTCGAAAACTATAGGCACACTTGGATCGGTCGAGAAAATCCTGTATGATCTCGTCAGTTTCATCCCACAAGCTTTAACACCAGCACGAGTGTACAGAATGCCCACATCTTGATCAACCATAGCAATGTCTGTCGATGCTGCATTATTGTACGGAAGACATTTGTAAATTGATGCCACCTTTGTTCCCACTGAGTTAGAGGCTTAAGGTCAGGCCTCGAAGATGCAAGTTGCATGCCATAGTTAACCGCGGTTTGTTCGGCAATTGACCAAGCGCGGTCATGCATCTAACAGGAAAATCAGTATCAATCACACAGGGCATAGATTAGATTCCCACATCACAGTCAACAAGTTTTCCTGTCTTCCGTTGGTCCAAGAATGTCGCCCATTTCGATGCTGCGGGATTACCAGCCGTGCTATTAGAGTATCCCAGCGAGATCGCTGCTCCACGTTGGATAGCTTCTAACCCCACCGCATTGACCAAAGACATAACAGTTCCTTGGGTTCCTAAACCCCTTGTAACAAAAAATCCTATAACAGCCTCAATTGCGTTGAACTGGTTCTCAGAACCGAGGTGACTGAGTTTCCGCCTCGTCATATATTGAATAAATTTCAAGCGATCGATCATTGCCATTGAATCGAGGTCCTTAAGGGTACAGTCAAGGGAGTTCCAACAAGGCATCACAAGTTCGGTGCCTGGAATTTCATTCATTACCCCCGCGATTTGATCATGATCACTTGCACTGGAGGTGGCACTTATACCTGTATTCAGGAAAAAAATAAAATAACGACGAGGACCCTCATTCCGATATCCTGAATATCAGTTTCACAAATAGCTTGATTTGGCTATAGACAACAATGAGGCCGAACGGATCCATCAAGTTCATACCCTGTATCACAGACGCCCCTCTTTCCGTCGTTGGAGTCACATGTTGGGAGGAAGCCGCAACGCCCTAGCCTGGCTGAGCTACGACCAAAGCAATGGAATTGTATTAAGTCAGCAGGCTTTAAAAAATATAGATACAAAGTAGAGGGCTGTATAGTCTCATATAATAAATTGGCAGTGAGTTATGGGCTATCATCTTAGCAGTGTTTAGTCTGCCGCTGGAATGCCGTGCTTTCGGCCCCAGTGTCGAGCCTTTGAGCTCAAATCCGAGATAACGTAGAGAAAGGCGAGAGAACTGATCCAGCTCAGGATCGTATCTCGAATAGAATTGTTGCGCGGGCTACCACCTAAAGCGCTGGTTTTCATAAGAGTACCGGTGAGTGCCGTGGTAATCATGTAGTCACCGTTTTGGAGACCCTTGATTGCTATTTGGGCGACTTCCTCTGGAGTCTGCGGAGTATCTGCTTCTTCCAGTAGCTTCGTTAGCTCAGGTTTTATCTTTTGTTCGTTCTCAAAGCCAGGAGAAAGGATGCCCATTGGGTAAACTATGTGTATTTTCACATCTGCCGGAGGGGCAGCAATTTTCAAATTGGTTCTTGCCCCGTTGTAGACTTCAATCTCCTGAGCTAGAGTATCCGAGAGGGCACGCATTGCCGCCTTGGCGGGGCTGTACGGTGCATACCCAGTTATAGGGACGAAAACTGCAACGGATGAGGTGAATATAAGATGTCGACAGGGAATAATATCAGATTTCTGCCGAGATGCCGTGGGTGTAAGCCATTTCCTCAGTGTTGCATGTGCTGTGAAGGCTGCAGTCCAGTAGACAGTGTCCATCTGATCTTTCAAAGTTTTGGGAGGTGTGTTAATAAAGTAACCCGGCAAAGCCTGGCCAGCGCAGCACCACAAAATATCAGGGGGCGCGTCATTATTCCATACAGCAACTTCCGTAAGAACTCGGTCAGCTTCATCCGCATGTCTGAGATCTGCACTTATGAAGTGGAATCTCTGGTTCTTCAAATCAAGAGCAGCAGCCTATGTCAAGAATAAATAAATAACGAGGTCTCTTGCATTAACAGAATCTCCTTATACCTTTATATCTTTGAGCGCCGCTTCAAGCTTTGCTACAGTGCGAGAGACAATGACAACATTCGCACCCTGTCGGGATAGCTCAATTGCAACACTTTTCCCCATGCCTTCAGAGCCACCAGTGATCACAACAGTCTGCTGTTTTATTAACGAAAAGAAGTAAAAAAGGGCTCATATTATTAACCTACCCTTCCTTGCACCTCGAAGGCATTAGCTGAGCTGAAGCCCAGCATAGCTGCCAGTAGATATCCGAATGATAGAAAAAGAACAGCCACAATACCCAATTCGAGGTTTAAATGTGTCATTTAGAATACTCAATTTAAAAAGGTCATGGATGTCATGCCATGAGCAGTAGTTGAAATGGTAGACGATGCTTAGATCCGATCCACACACTATAAGAGGAACCAACAATCAGTGGTAGAATAAATGAATGAAATCTTCAAAGAGCGCCTTTCACACCCTTAGTCCGTCTAAGGGAAGACGCGAATACAGCTGAGATACGGAGTATGTAGAATACTACGCGCCTCGATCCATACAGAGTCCATATAGCAAGTACAAACAGCCGTTTGACTTAGGAGGCAAGGTTGATTTGTTTGCTAGTTAGCTATTCTAAATGTAGACTAGTGTCTGAAGACGAAATTAAGGTTTAGGTACCAGCTTAGTGTTTCTGTATTTCGTAAGGTAACGGCAATACATCAGTATCAACTTTATCGTCACTTTTTTTTTCAAAACTCTCAGCTTAGGGTATCAACTTCAACCCAATTGATGACGCTACGAAACATGGGGAAAAAGAGAAAGTCCAGGTCATCTTCTGGTCTATCAGTCTCGAGACCCGGAGTACGCAAGGAAACTTCGCGGTTTGATCCCGACGAAGAATTTACAGATTCAACGGACGAATTTCATGCGGGAAGAGACCTCATTCTACTTGATGAGGGTCCGGATACCAAACGGAGGCGGAAGTTAATAGAAGATGGTACTTGTTGTATCTAAAAAAGAGGCTGGAATTTTGCTAATTGTTTATTCTAGAGGAGTTTCTTCAACCCTCTGATGAAGAGGTTTATACCTGCCCGTCAGTGTCTGATGATGAATATAACTGTAGCGATAGCGCAGACGAGGAAGACGACGGCAACGATACGGCGCAGAAAAAGTCTCCACGTTCAAGACACCGAAAGGCTGTAAGCCCAGCACTGCTGGAGGATGCCAAAGCCTATCCGGAAGAAGAAGAAGAAGAAATTGGCGGTTGGGGCTTATCCAGAAAAGATTATTATGATGCGGATAGAATTGAAACCGAAGGAGATGCATTGGAGGAGGAGGCGGAAGCCAAAAAAATTCAGCAAAAGAGATTGCAGTCCATGAACGAAGCAGATTTTGGCTTTGATGCAGATGAGTGGGCCACGCCTATACAAGCAGCGTCGACACGTAAAATACAGGATGGGAATGTTGTTACGGAGTCGTTACCAGAATTGGAAATCTCCGCTGACATGACTGCTGATAGTCGCTTAAAAATACTGAAGCAGAGACATCCTGAGTTTGAGCCACTCTCGAAAGACTTTATTCACCTGCAAGTGCTTTACCGAGAGCTTTCTGAAGTGATAAAGCAGACTCATATGAGTATTGATGATAGCTGCTCTATTTCTTTATTAAAGTGGCGCTCTCTCTCGGCCTATCTAGGTGCTATTAGCATGTATTTTGTGCTTCTAACATCGCCTGGGGAAGATTCTAAAAAACTCTCGCTTGCATTGTCACCAGCTCAACTCAGGGACCATCCTATTATGGACATCCTGATTAGCTGCCGAAAGCAGTGGGAATACGTCCAGAGCATATTAGAGCCAAAGCAAGATTCCGTCAACAGCCAGACCTCGAAACAGGATACGGATGAGCCAACTCTCAATTCCAATAACTTAAAACGTCTCACGGAAAAATTGGCAACGAAAACGGGGGAGAAAAAGGTAGAGACGGCTTCGGAACAAGCCAAAAAGGCATCGCAGTTACGACGTGCGGAACGAATACGCCAGACTGAAGCTGGCTTGGAAGAACTTTCCCAGATACTAGAATCTCGTGTATCACGAAATCTCACGCCTAAAGGGGATAGATCATATGCCGGTAACGATTCTGAGTTCGGTGATGAGACCACACTTACACCCCACGAAGCAGCAGAAAAGGCAAAGAAGAAAAGATCACTGCGTTTCTATACCTCTCAAATCGCGCAAAAGGCGAATAAACGTGGTGCCGCAGGCCGAGATGCTGGTGGCGACACTGATTTGCCCTACCGAGAGCGACTGAAGGATAGACAAGCGCGCCTCAACATGGATGCCGAGAAAAGAGGTCGCCAGCAAGCAAATGAGCTAGAACGTCTTGGCGGGGAAAGTGATGAGGATGACTACAGGGCTGCAAAAGAAATCCGGGGTGGTGGTGCTTCCGATAGTGACGATTATTACGATTTTGTTGCTTCCAGGGGTAAGGAGAAGAAGGAGGATAAAAGAATTCGTGCAGAGGCATATGCCAAGGCTACCCGTGAGGGTGGTCACGTTGAAGTGCAGGAAGAGATTGGTGCTGATGGTAAGAGAGCCATTACATATGCTATTGAAAAGAATAAAGGTTTGGCACCCAAGCGAAATAAGGATGTGCGCAACCCTCGTGTGAAGAAGAGGAAGAAATTTGAAGAAAAGAAAAAGAAGTTGGGAAGTATAAGAGCGGTATACAAAGGCGGAGAGGGCCGCGGTGGCTATGGAGGAGAGTTGACAGGTATCAAAAAGAACCTTATCAAGAGTGTCAAACTGTAACTAATGCCGGGTTTCTTCGCCCATAAACTGCCACGCTTCGACTATGAGATGCAATTTGACATTCCTTCACTCGTCTTACCGCTGACAGAACTGGAAAAGCTTCTGCTATCGAGAATTTCCCGGGTTTCTTCCTCCGTGGAAACGCTGGTTGTGCCACTCTGACCGCCAATGATTTCGTCAAGGAGAGAGGTAATCTGTCCAAACTGGCCTTTTCGGTGAGGCAGAGACCTCGACTGAGCAAACTCAGCTTGAAGGAATCGTCTAGCAATGATCTCCTAGCTGACTTGTTAGTTAGGAGCATAGCGACAAGTCTTGTTACTTTTTTCGAATGGCGACAGAGAATGACAAAGCTTGGCTTTTTGACTTACAGCGTCTTCGAGCACATCTAATTCTGCAACAGTTACGCCTGCGCATGCCGCAACAATGTCCCCTCCGCAACGTAGCATTTCCCCAATTCTGTTCGCCCGGGAAACGATAGCAGGGTCGATGCCATTCATCGCTGCGCAACTATATAGAAATATAAGGGAAAGAAAGTAAAAGTTGGGTAGCAATTATACCTGGTTCCGAAGCTTTCACTGCTCCATCCAGATCGAAAACTGAACTAGTTAATTTCGTTAGTGAAAGTTTGGGTGTATGGGCCACTCACTTATATAGATATGTAATCTGGTCTTCAATTTCGGATGCAGTCGGGTCTATTTGAACTTCCATGTGTCCAAACTGAAGCTCAGGCGTCTGACACAAGAAACCGTTTTCAAATATTTCGTGAAAATGTGTAGCAGCTAGAACTCTGGGCCGTTCCTCATCCCTGTGTATCAAGTGCTTGAACAGTCCACAAGCCAGTCCTATTCCGTCTAAATAGTATGTCTTAGCATCGAAAAGTGCCCAGGAATATCTCGTCATACCACTTGATTCCGTCCCTTTCCCAAATTCGTCGATTATTATCAAGCTTCGGCGAGAACAATGCGTAAGTGCGAACGAAATTTGCTGCAGATCTATGGCGAATGTGCTCTGTGTCTGTTTCATGTTGGCTTAAGAATTACTAAGACTTCTATAAGTTTGAAATTATACCTTGGAGACAGTTTCTCGGGTTGTGATGCGGGTGAGGATCTTATCGGTCAACCCGATGATTGCCATATCTGCAGGGACAAAACTGGTAAACAAGTAGTTAGGGTTCACAATTAGCCGGTAATTCTAAGTCTTATTATACATATGTGAATGCCAACATACCTCCCGATATGAGCCATGTAGACAATCAGTGCAACCTTATTTTTTAAGTCAGTTAATATCATTCATTACCTATGTGTCTAATCTCCTTGCCTGTTTTAAGTAAATGCTTTTCCCAGAGTAGTTCGGGCCAGTTAGAAGAACCAAACTGGGGCCATCCGAAGGCACCGCGCTTTTGAAGTCGTTCAAGAGCCCCTCGGCCGTAGAAACTTGTGTTCCTAGATTCCCCTTTCCACCTACAAGAACGGCATCATTAGGGACGTAAGACGGGACACTGGCTTCTTGAAGCAGATGACTATAACCCTAAGCACGTGAAGAGCGATATCCGGAGGTTTCTTACCGGCCCCCTTTGATCTTGACTATATTTTCGTCCGTCATCTGAGGTCGCACAAGCTTATACAAGCTCGCGCCCTGCGCTAATGCTAAAAGACTAAAAAAGTTCATAATCTATCAGCCTCGTTCCCAAAAGAAGAAAAACATCCGGTTGCATACCTATCGATCTCACCACATATGTCAGAAGCTTCAACAAGAAGTGGTTCGTAACCCAAAATACGTTGAGCAAGGTCATAAACAATCTCAATTTCTTTCTCTATTGATAATGAGGAGTGGGTTAGAAGCTAAGGCTGAATATCTGGCTTACCACATATGATCCCATACATATCACCTAGTCTTTCATCCATTTCTCGCATGCGAAAATCTTTGAAATAGGCGCGATTTTCGGTGTTGAACACTTGCGTCCAAGCCTCATCCCCCCCTGCGTATACTGCTCTACCATGTGCATCGAGGGGTATCGCAATATTGAATCCAAGTTGGGGGAAGTAGATGACATTCAGTTCATTGCTTATGTTTTCTGGGAGAGTAGCTGCGATAGCTACTGCCACCTGGCTCAGTAACGAATCCATACCATCATACGCTTCTTTAAGCCTGTCAAGATCCCCGTTGACTCTGGGTTTGACAATCGTCCGATGCTCTAATACTGAGCTCTCTAGATCTACCTAGACTCTTATTAGGTCTTCAAAAACACTGAAAACCTGGAGCAATAAATTACTGTTTCGTGAATCAACCTTCCAACTTGATGTAGTTTGGTGAGATCCAATTTATGCATTGCCTAGTGCTTAGTTATCAGTAGCAGCCCCAGTAAATACGTATCAAGGGCATACTTTAACACATAAATCTAGGTTCCCAACATTGACAACTTCCTTCAGGGTATCGTGAATATCAATGGCATGAAATGCAAACTCCGAAGGTCAGCATTCATGTCATATTCCAGTGCTAAGGGCTGGCTGACCTCTAAAATAGTGGCCCAAACGATACTCTTGAATCCTTTAAACTTCGCATTCCCGGTGCTGATACCTTTCTGGAGATGAATCATGATTGGACGCAAATTCTTAATACCACTAAGACTCTTGATCACTTTTGACATTGCATCGTCATTTTCGGCTCTTAAAAAGGTACTGATAATGTTATGTCTCTCGTAAATAACAGTTGGTTTGGTGGTAGGCCGAAGAAAGACCTTCTTAAGCATTCCTTTCCCTTGGGGGGTACGAGCAAACCTATGAAAAAGGCCATATATAGAAAGGCTCTCTTTAGAGCCGGAATTCGTTTTTCCGGGACCTTGATTAAATGCATTTGGATGGGATTCTGACTGGATAATTTGGAGCGACGAGAGTGTATCTCGGTTAATAAACCTATACGTGCAAACCTGAGCTGCAGTCCATAAGCTGGGGGGCACCTAGAATGCTATACTCACATATTCCCGTCCAAGCTTCGCATTTCAATTGCATTTATTTGAAATGCCTGGTCGCCGGTAGGGTCCCCATGCAGATACTGCGCTGACTGTTTCCTTTGTAAGTACGTTATTAAGGCCCCTGCACATCCAACGGAAATGCAGTTCTCCATGTCAACGATGCCACTAATATTCAAAAATTTCCCTTGCTGGTCTGTGTAGCCAACGTCTTCGCCGTCAACATGCTCGTGCGAAAAAGCGTTTCCAGGAACAAGAAATTTCGGCGCGCTCTTCTGCCCACGGTTAAGATTCATCAGTTTTGATTTTGCTGCTTCAAAGCCAAATTCCTGGCAAGGGCGAATCTCGAGGTGATACGGGAGTTGAAATTGCTTATCTAAAGCATCTTCGTAAGAATAATGATGTTAAGTATAGATAGATGGTATTGTTATTAAATACCGTTTATTGAGGTGGCTTCGTCTGGATTCATAGTACCAAATATCTGCGCATCTTGGTCTGCACGCGTTGACAGGATAACCACCGTAGGTTCAATATCGAGTTTTACTGCAACCTTTATATTAATACAAACGCATAGCGTGATGGGCGGATGACAGAACGGGTTTCCACAATATCCAGCCCTCCAAAAGTTATATCCTCCATGATAAATAGTATCTTCTGTTCAGCGACGTAGTAGGAACAACCAACCGTGCCACGATCTTTCATATCAATGGCCATGACGACCTGGCATATATCGTCGCCTTCATTTTCCAGAACACTCTCGGGCGAGTTTAATTCACTAGTGGACAGCGGACTATGGGGAATGGGAGGGACGTTTAGATTCACCGATAAATTCCTTGTCGATTGTCTTGAGAAAGACGAATTGCTGTGGAACTGGGTGGACGGTGTGCTTTGCGCGCCATGAACGGCTCTGCTGGATCGTTGTCTAGGAGGGAACCGCGTTGATTTATTTGCACGAGGGAGTGCCATTTTAGAGACGATGAAGAAAACACTGGAATAACAAGAGAGAAGACAAAGAAAAATGGAAGGTAAAAGTCCTGGTGAGTATATGGGAAGTGGGTGGGGAGGACGGGGGAGGAAGATGGGTAGACGTTAGAAATACCAGATTGGGTAATCGGGGATATGATATATATTACATGAGCTGCGATTATGGTACAATATCAATCCTATATGTACAGTCGTTACCTATAAACTCCAATATCCAAGTGAGCAGAGTACATCAGCGTTAAAAGTAAGGAAAGTACCTGACTTTTTTTTATCTCATTATTCAGTTATTGGAAGGTTTGTTGTAATATCAAGCCCGGTTTTGCTATCATTCATAGTAACGTATGCTGTCTGGCCGGATGTAACTTCCCCACGAATGAGTTTGTCTGCTAGGTGATTCCCGATTTCTCTAGAAATCAAACGATTAAGAGGCCTCGCTCCGTACCTTGGGTCATACCCTCTGCTACAGAGCCAGTCTTTGACTTCGTCATTTGCTTTCAAAGCAATTCGTCGATCATCCAGTCGGCCTTGCAATTCTCGAAGTCTTATGTCAACTATATCCCTAAGAGCCTGACGGGAGAGTCTCTTGAATATAATAAACTCGTCTATCCGATTTAGGAACTCCGGCGCATATGACGACTGGACGGTTGCCATAACGGCGGCTCTGATCTCTTGTGAGATCTCATCTCCACTCGCGGGGTCTGCCGCCACGAGAATATCAGCGCCTAGATTTGAAGTTAATACGATTAACGTGTTTCGAAAATCGATCTTGTGGCCTTGAGCGTCCGTAAGGAATCCCTCATCCAACACTTGTAGAAGTAGGGAAGATATATCGCGGTGGGCTTTTTCGAATTCGTCAAAGAGCAGTACAGCATAAGGCTTCCTCCTCACTGCTTCTGTTAACTGTCCAGCATCTTCATAGCCAACGTAGCCAGCTGGCGACCCAATTAAGCGGCTAATCGTATGTTTTTCTTGAAATTCGCTCATATCGAACCTTACGACGGCTGTTTCAGTAGAGAATAAGAATTCTGCCATTTTCTTGCAGAGCTCAGTCTTTCCAACACCGGTTGGTCCAAGGAACATAAACGAGGCCAATGGGCGGTTTTCACCACTGAGACCTGCTCTTTGCATTCTTACAGCATTGGCAACGGATGCCAGAGCTTCATCCTGACCACGCACGGATTTCCGTAGAGTGTCTTCCATATGGATCAATTTTTCAACTTCCCCAGCCATGAGCTTGTTGACAGGAATGCCAGTGGTCCGAGATACCACGCCTGCAATATCATCAGCAGTGACAGAATCATGAATAAGACTCTGACCATCAGTTGCTGAGATCGTGGCACCTTCTTGCGGGAGTTTTAACTCGAGTCCTGGGATAATAGAGTATCTTAATTCACCAGCCCTCGCAAAATTTCCTTCTCGTTGTGCCTGTTCGAGATCAAGTCTAGCACGTTCAAGTTCTTCTTTCGTCTTTTTGATTTCATCAATCTGAGCACGCTCCTTTTCCCAAACCTCATTCAGCTTGCCGACTTCTTCTTGTTTACCTTTCAGCAGTGTTTCAAGATTCTCTCGACGTTCCTTGCTGGCAATATCTGTCTCTTTTCGGAGCGATTCGAGCTCGATCTGGATGGTCATGATTTCTCTGTCTAGCTTCAGAATAGCATCGGGTTTAGATTCCTGTTGGAGGCGTAATGCAGAAGCAGCCTCATCAACCAAATCAATTGCTTTGTCAGGTAAAAAGCGGTCCGTTATGTATCTATTGCTGTAGGTAGCAGCGGCGACTAGGGCGCCATCCGTAATCCGCACACCATGGTGGACTTCGTAACGGTCTTTAATGCCTCGCAAGATAGAAATAGTATCAGGTACTGAAGGTTCGTCGACTAGAATGGGCTGAAATCGCCGCGCAAGCGCCACATCCTTTTCAATCTGTCGATATTCGTTAAGCGTAGTAGCACCACAACATTGCAGCTCGCCTCTTGATAGGGCAGGTTTGAGAAGATTACTGGCGTCAATGCTACCTTCGGCTTTTCCCAGGCCAAGCAAGGTATGCAATTCATCCACAAATAATATGATACCGCCTTGGGCTTCGGTTACTTCTTTCAACACTTTCTTCAATCTCTCTTCGAAGTCTCCACGAAATTTTGCGCCGGCAATGAGCTGACCGAGGTCGAGCGTGATTACCTTTTTGTTCTTTATGCTCTCTGGTACGTCACCCTGAACAATTCGTTGGGCCAGTCCCTCTAGAACAGCCGTTTTCCCCGTTCCCGCCGCTCCAATCAAAACCGGGTTGTTCTTGGTCCTACGTGACAGTATCTGAATCGTCCTGTGAATCTCTGCGTCGCGTCCGATTACCGGATCAAGCTTCCCATCTCTTGCTCGCGCAGTGAGATCAACACCGAATTCTTCGAGGGCAGGCTTTTCGGGTTCTCCGCCAAAATTCATACGGTGTGTCCCGCCAGGCGGATGAGGTCGTCCGTTTGCGTAGCATCGGGCAAAGGTGACTTGTGAGTTGCCGATTAGAAAAGGGTAATTTGGGGCAATGGATCTGCTATACAAGGTGGTACGGTGTCCAGATATTCGAGGAGTTGTCTGGCATCGTGCAATGGCTGCGGAAGCTCTCAGTGCTGATGGTTCGGCTCTCGAGAGCTTCGAAAGCAACCGTGTAGACATTATTTCGAGGAAAAGATAAAAGAGACAAACAAATTGATTCTAGACTTAACTAACTGTGCTAAGCAAGTCATGGCCGGCCGAGCGCCAGAGCCTACTTTATACACAACACTTCCCTCCGACCGTTCTCGAAAGCTCTGTAACTTTCCCCGACAAGCAATGCGGTCATCCTCATCACCTGACCGCTGACTCAGCAACGCGCCCCTGCAGCCACCAACCGAGAAAAATCTGAACAATAACGCCCAAGGCTCTCCCAACCACCCCTCCTCGTACATCCCCTCAGACCTTTCTTTCTTCCACACATCTTGTCACTATGGGTTTCGCCGACTTTTCTGCGGATTCTGGCCTTGCCAGTAAGCTACCTTTGCTTTTAAATTTCGCGTTTCGTTGCCTTTGGCTAATTACTCTGCCCAGTCGCCAACCAATTCTTTTCCACACACAGCTATGTTGAGGGGTAAGTCACCTTTGGAGAACATGATCTCTGTTGTCCACGGCTCCTGTAATATTGTTTATGATGAGAAAAATTTGGTCCGTGTTTATGAGGCGGCTTAAGACCCCGCTGAATGACTACCCACAAAAGCGATTTCGCACCTCTGACCTTGTTGCCCCTGTTCAGTGCCGATTTAGCACTTTGCGAGTACGAAGCCTGACGAGCGTGACTGACGAATGTATTTACAGATATGCCCCATCGCAGGCTGATGTCGTGACATACAAAGCTGTTCAGGGTGCCCCTGACGCTGCCAAATATCCTCATTTCGCTCGTTGGTATAAACACATTACCTCGTACGAGTCGGAGCATTCATCCCTACCCGGAGACTCTTCTAAACCTTACACCGCATATGGCCCAGAGAACGCTGATATCCCAGTGAATGTCAAGGCTGCCCCTGCTGCGGCTGCGGCTGATGATGATGACATGGATCTTTTTGGCAGCGAGTCTGAGGAAGAGGACCCAGAAGTTGTAGCTGAGAGAGAGAAGAGACTGGCTGAGTACAGAGCGAAGAAGGCCGCCAAGCCCAAGCCAGCTGCTAAATCTATTGTTACAATGGAAGTGAAGCCATGGGGTAAGTCGTCAGAGTCGCGATGAGCGAAAGTCGAACTGCGCTAACACATCATAGATGATGAGACCGACATGGCAGAGCTGGAGAAAAACGTCAGAGCCATCGAAAAAGATGGTCTTGTCTGGGGTGGCTCGAAACTCGTCCCTGTTGGCTTTGGTATCCGGAAATTGCAAATCACTCTTGTCGTTGAAGATGAGAAGATTTCTCTCAGCGACCTCCAGGAGGAGATCGAGGGCGATGAAGACCATGTCCAGTCTACTGACATTGTAAGCCGTATTCCTGACTTCCTAGGGTTTTTTGGTATTTTGGATAGATTGGCATCCTAACATATTCACAGGCTGCTATGCAAAAACTTTGAGCGAGGATACTCTGCTTGGTTAAAAAGGTTCGATTGATGGATAATGATATTTAAACACGATAACCTCCACTAGCATCTAATGCCATGCTGTTGGAAAGCTAGATACCAACCTAGCATCTCTGAAAACAATTAAAATGATTCCAAATTAGATATGTGATGGCTTTCTTCTGCATCGTTGTGTAGCTTGGGATCAGAAGAGTAGTCATTTTGTACTTCGTAGCGCTCAGGAGAAAAACGTACCCTAAACTGGCGACCCGGTCTTGGCACCTGCGGAGAACTTGCGAATCGCAGCTTGCCGTATCCGCCAACAATCGCAACCATCTTCACCCAGAAAAGAGCGTCACCGCCAACCACACGCCTCAAAGCATGGCATTCCTGCCTCGACTCCTAATCGCCTTCGGGCTCATCCTCATCTCTCACGCGTAAGTACAGACGCGCGCCACCGCCCGCCGCCTACTCTCCCTCTGCGCTCCATAACACTGACAAAACGGGCGTCAATGCCCGCACTACCTATCTAGCGGCTACTCTTCGCACGAACACTCTATTCTCTACGGCAGCAGCCATCCACTGCCCCTCGATATCACCTTGGAGACGCTCGTCGCCGTCGTCCTGGTGATGCTTGGGCTTGTGCTGGGAGCCGAGCGGCCGAAGCCGATTAGCTGGAGTGCTTGGGCGGGCGAGATCGAGAAGAATGGCGGCAAGGAGAATCCATTCCGGGGGCTGGAAGATCGCACAGGATTTATAGATATTAGGGTGAGTTATTTTCGTGTGGTAGCTCGAGGGGCGTGGGTTGAGTTGTGTGCTGATGTGGATTTTTTTGGGGGGGGATAGGCGAAGCGGAGAGAGTTTGCGGAGTGGATGAAGAAACAAGGTAGTGAAGGGACGATAAAAAAGCAGTGATTTGGTGTACGGAGTAGATGGAGGTTTAAGTGATTTTTAATTCATTTTCTTTGATATGTGTTTTTAATACTATAGGGTAAGTGGACTTGGTATTTTCGATTCACAGGCTGGAAATAGCTAACACATTCTTTTTTTAAGATGATGCATATATTACCCTGTTTGCTAGGTAGTAAGGTATGGGAGCTTCGGCTAAAGCCTGTCGTGACGCTGGAGTCATTCATGGCAGTGCAGCAGATCGCCGCGCTGGGTTGGCGGTGTCCTTCCCAAGGCAGCGGCATTGAGCGGTGCCACCTAGTCCGGAAAGCAGGCAGGCAGGGCGGGAAAGGTAGCCTATTTGAAACGAAGACGTAATTGATACCCATTGCGGCTAATTTATATATGCGACACTGCCTCGCGACAACCAAGACAATGCGCTTGGCCGAAGGAAGAGTTTTGATCGAACAGAAGCTTGTCTGAACCGACAGAGCGATTTCTACTCCGTAACGATTCATCATACTAATTCTGGGTCCCTGGCCCTGGCCCTGGCCCTGGCGATTCTGGGGTTTGGTGCTTGTTATGGATGAAGTAGTTATGATGTATGTGTAGACTTGGGTGGGGATCTGGGTAAAACAGCATGTTTTGGGTGGCGCAGTCTCAAATGCAATTTTTTTTTAAGCATGGCCCTTTGCTGAGCATGAAATCGCTGCCGCGAGGCGTCGAGGTTTGATGATCCGACGCGACGACAACGCATGCGTTCGCTCTATTGATCGTTAGCTGCCTGACGTGGATAGCATCAGGGGCAGGCCAGGGGGGCTGTTCGCTTAGAGGCTTTTTTGTCTCCGGCGGCGCCCTGGCAACCGACACGCGTTGCCCGGCGCCCCGTGCTGGCAGCCTCGATCTGCACGTCGGAGAGAAAACACGATAATAAATAATGGGCGTGATAATGATGGTGGTGATGATGAAAGATGGTTCATTAATAATTATAATTTTGCTCCCAGCCTGGTTGCTGCGACAGCGCGACAGCAGAGCGCGAGGGAGTGGGCCTGGCGGCGGGCCAGCAGCGTTGGCAGACACTAACAAGCATCGCCATTGTGGATTGGCGGCGCGGCGGGCGGTTCCAGATGCTGTTTCGGTGGGCTGCTATTTTTGTCGTCGCCACTACTGTTGGGAATGCAACCGCGCGAGGGAGCCGGAGTGACAGGCAGGGCAGGTTCAGACGGCTCGGGGGTTAGCCGTGTGACGACAGCAGCGAGGATCAGCGCGGGCGGGCAGGGTCGTCGTCGTAATAATAAAATAATAATAATAATAATAATAATAACATAACAACGATAAGCACAGCGCGTGCCAATACGACGCCGGGGAGAGTGCTGTCGGTGGTTGTTCTTCGCAGCAAGCTGGCCTGGCCACGCCGCTGCCGCCGCCGCCGCCGCCGCCGCCGCCGTTGGCCGTGCCGAGACGCCCCCGACCGCCGTAGTGCTGCTACGGCGTGCCGCTGCGGCTGCGCCAAGCCGCGCTGGCCGTGTCCGAAACGGCGCTAAGGCGGGCGCGGCCAATCGCGCGGCGATCGGCGCTGGGATTGGCTGCTCGCCAGGTCGCATCCGGCTGGGCTGCCGCCGCGCCATTTAAGAGCTGACGAGGCCCCTACCGAGCGCTTCCTCTTTCTTTTCTTTCTTCCATCTTCCATCCTCCTCCCTCGTTGTGCTGCGCCTCTGTACTATACGCTCGCTGTATATTATCCCCTCGCCGCCCTTCGCTCGTTCATTCAGCTTCCCAACGTTCACACCACCACCTCTCACCATGCGTTACTCCGTCGTCTCGCTCTTTGCTCTCTCGGCTGCCGCCGTTGCTCAGAACTCTGTCAGCGCTTCGGTATGTCCCTAACTCTGCTCGGATCCCCCCTTGTAATTGCCCTGCTAACATCCCCAACAGCCCTCTGCGAGCCTGAGCACCCCCATCTTCATCCCCACAGATCTCGCCTCCAGCTTGATCCTCACCGACACGGGCAGCATGACTATTCTTCCCATTCCCACCGTCACCCCCACCCCCTCTGGTCCTTCTGGCCCCGTTGGCACTGCTCCTGGTGGCACTGGCTCCATGCCCGGTACCAACAGCACCATGACCCGCTCCACCTCCAGCAGCTCGACCAGCCGTACCGTCAGCCGACCCTCCGGCACCTCCAGCAGTGCCTCCGGTACCTCTCGCCCTTCGAGCTCCGCTGGTCTGGCTCCCACCAACGCTCCTCAAGCCATCGGCCTCGGCCTTGGTTTCGGTGCTCTCATTGCTGCCTTCCTTTAAGCGTCTAATCGAACGGTCTCGTTCCCAAAAAACTTTAAAAATCCAACAAAAAACATAATTCGTATCTGGTCTTTTGGCTATCGCCTGCATGTCTTGGACAAGCAGCATTCTCGGCACGGTATCTCATGCAGGACTGTCTTAAAAGGCTACTCTTTTTTAAATAATTGTGACAATGTTTCGAATACCCTTACTCCACCTAATCTATGTTTTAAATTGAGACCTGGCGTTTAGACCCATCGGCTTCTTGAAGCTGTTTATTTCTTGTATGGCTCATTGCCGACTTACACTAGTACATTATCATAATTGTCAAAGTAACGAATTCGCATGCACTGTAGTAAAAATTCCCATGTTATTCCACAGACCATAATAAACCACATAATTTTCGGCGAGCCCGCCTCCTTTTCCCACAACAAAACAATAAAATTAAACCACAACAATGCCAGCCCGTCTTTGTTTCGGATTGTCCTAGGGGCTGCGTCATTAGCTCCAAGCGATTGGCTGCCCGTTCAGCCAATGCCAATGTGGCTTTTCTGGCTTTCCAATGTTTGTTGGTTTGGTTCTCGGCACCGGCCCGGCTTGGTTGCATGGCAGTTAGCCAATCAGCAGCTGGGCTAGGCAATTGCTCGGTCACGTGATCTAATCAGACACGTAGATTCGGAAGGGACGCGTTACGCGTTGTTTGGATCGCACCTGCAGCTCTGTAATTATTGCCTGTCTGAGCTAGCCCCGCCCCGTAGCTGCACCAACGCCCGCCTGTCAACAAAACAATACATCATCGCATCACTCTCTTATCTAGGATTCGCACTGAGCAACATAGCGGAACCAAAACCAATAAATTAACAATGGTAAGGATTGTCGCTCCCAGCACCATTATCCCGTACCACGGATCTCTAATCTGACTTATCTTGTTTTGTAGGCGTCCGGATTCCGCCGCCTCGTCGCTGATCATGCCTCCCTCCACAACTCCGAGCTTCCACCCAATTATTTCTTCCCCCCTGCGGGCTCTCACTCGTCCATTCCGGACGATTTGAGACAGCTCACGATTCTTCTGACTGGACCGCAAGAGACGCCCTACGCCCAAGGCCTATGGCGCCTGCACCTTCGCATGCCGGAGGACTATCCGAAGAACCCCCCAAAGGCAACGTTCAAGACGCGCATATGGCATCCCAATGTGGACGAATCGACCGGCGTGGTGTGCGTAGATACTCTAAAGAGAGATTGGGAGGCTTCATTGACGTTGAGAGACGTTCTCATCGTATGTTTTATTCTTCCTACTTCCGCTAAGGCGATCGAGGCTAACACCCGCTGACACAGATAATATCGTGTCTTCTCATACATCCCAATCCAGACTCAGCTTTGAATTCTGCGGCCGGCGCCTTGCTGCAAGATGATTACGAGACATTTGCACGGCAAGCGAAATTATTGACCTCCATACACGCCCCAATTCCCGCAGAACTAAGAGATGTCGCATTTCAAGCTAAAAGACGGGGAGAAGATCCCAGTCTCTCCATAAAGACAAATAAAGAATTTACACTGCCCCTACAACCAAAGCGGGATGCAACTCGGCCTTCCGCTGTTGTGATGAAGAAAAAGAAGACGATGACGTCAAGCCGGCGAGAGGTGGATTCAAAGTTCGACATCGACGTTACTTCCGAGATCTGGCAAGAAAGCCCGCCGATTTACCACCAAGAAACCGAGTCAGATGATGAAGCCGAAGACCCTGCTAGCGCATCAAAAGAAAACGACCCTTCCCTGTCTCCGTCACCTGTTACTCTCCCACCTCCGCCCAGCCCGCGCAGAAGCGTGCTCGGCAAGCGACCGCTGGCAGCGCTCGATACCCCTCAGCCAGCAGAAGTCCTCATAATTGATGATCCTGAGGATGACGATGGCAATGGTGCTGATAACCGTTTCCGCCATGGTCTAAGTGCCTCCGAGAGAAACGTTGTGGCGAACAGTCACGCGCCCAAGACCTCAAGCGATCAGTATCTCTTCCCGTCCCAGCGAAAATCACCCAAGCTCTCGAGCGCAGGCAGGAGACCATCTGCGTCCAGTGCCCGGACACATACACTGCCCCACCATAAGCCACACCCCGTGCCCGATCATAGCGCCTCATGCACGACAAGACCATCACCACCACTACCAGCCCAAATCCCGTTCGCTTCTTCTTCCCTGCACATCTCTAAACCATCATGCCAAGACCTGAAAGAAAACATGGTTGCCTGCTCACCTGCAGCGGAACCCGCCTCCTCCACCGCCCCAAGCATACGCAATCCCCACCACCTTTGCGGGTCTGAGCCCTTGGGACCTTCTGCCGGCCGCTCGTCGCCCGGCTCTTTGTGCCCGCCAAGTTTACCCAGGAACCCTACTCAAACACCCTCAACTATGCGGAAAAGTTCGAATTCTAGTAATAGTAGTAGTGCCCGGGCGAAGCCTCGCATAGGGCTTCGCCGCTTATAGTTGCTGTCATTGTCACCTCTTGAAATATTCAGGACGATCTCTCTTGTATAGCAAAAGCAAGTGATGATGTAACTATTAGGCTTGGCATACAGAGTAACTACATCAGATACATTGATTGGACAAGCGTCAATCGAGAACAATTTTGTATTGATTAAAAAAGAGATAATGGTACTTCACAAATTTTTTTCTTTTTAGTAATATCCTCTGTGCCAGTTTTGCTATGTGGACAACCATTAACGTAACAATAAAATGCACATTGAAATATGCCATGAACAAGTACTGAATCAATTTGCCGACCCCCTACTACCAACCTCAACGACCGCATAACTTTAGACAGTGGAGACATGCTGCCACGGAGATATAAAGCTCCACAACCCAGAGAAAGGATCTTGATCATAGATAGTGGACGCATTTCGAAAGGTGCTGCTCGACTATCCTGCTCAACATTCAAAACAAATAAGGGGTGCTATAACCACCGTAATTCAATTTATTGTTGCAGCTGGTCAGTTAATATTGTGATATGCATAAAAAGTACGAAAACACCCAAACACCAGAGACCAAACGAAAGGCCTCATGTTAAAGAAAGATGATGTATCGACAGGGGCATAATATTAGTTGACGATGGACAAGTATTGGCGAGAAAAATTAGTGGTGAAGGGGGATGTGTAAATATCCGCAGTGCGGGGAACGACTAGTGTCATTATAGAGTCGGTCTGAGAATCTTACTAGATTCAAAGAGCGTAGGGGTTCACCGATCGAATGGTCAGGCACCTATTTTGATTCCAGGTCAGTATATAGCCACAACGATATTAGAGGACAGAGGGCGACCTACGGTGGGCTCTTAGAGAGGTCAGTCTTTAGGATGATGGGAACTCGGGTCATCTCAGTCACATCTTGGATGTACTCTCCATCTTCCTCACGGAGTTTAAAGAGATTAAGGTATTTCTCTTTGTTGGTTAATTTGGACTCCGGAGCATCGGCAGCACTCACGGCTATTTTTGGATCGGATTGAGTCCGATGGGGGCCTTGAGCGTGACCATTCCTGGTTGGGGAAGGGGGCATGCTTTGAGTAGAGCGGTCTCCCAAAGATACACCGGATACCATTTCTGCAATCTCGGACATATCATCGTCGTCGTCAAAGAGGGCGTCAACATCATCTGTTGACATCGTTCCTGTTTCTGTTTGTTTTCTTTGAGCTTCTTCCCTTTCCATTGCCTTTTGCTTGGCTTCTTCCGCTTGCCGCGCAGCAGCAGCAGCCGTAGCAGCGCGGGTACTTAGGGTAGGTTTGACCCGTTCGTCCTCGGGAATGTATGCCGAGGAAGGGACGCCTTTTTCCCAGTAGAGTTCAAGCACCCGTTCGTCCTTGCGGAATTCGGCCTTCTTTAATGGAAGTTGGTCACAGTGCACTCGCTTCTCAAAACCGTATTCTGGAATAAGCACGTCAAAGGCGGATTCATAGACAGAGAGGACAATGCCTTCGGTAATAAGGTCGCCTCCAACTTCCTGTCTTTTCTTGTCAATGATCCGGCAGGATTCAATGTGAACACTCTGCTCCTGTGCAATCTGAGCGGAGTCCTTTTTATTGTTGCAGTGCTCGGCAGTTTTTGTTAAATTTGTAATGTCGTCAGGCAGGTCGACACCTTTTAATATCGCCTCCAACTGGCGATGAACAATGATGTCTGCATAACGCCGGGACGGATTTGTAAAATGGGTGTAAAGAGGAAGATTGAGCGCATAGTGCTGGCGATCTTCATCCCGAACAGATCCAGCAACATAATATTTTGCTCGGCGCATTGCTTTGATCAAAATGGTCTCCATACCCTATAACTAAATTAGCAAGGCTGAGAAAGGTGGTATTGGTAATAAATACGAACATTTCGCAAATCAATATCCTCAACTTTGAAAAGGCTGTCTTGTAAAGTACCACTACTAGTAGAATCGATTTCGAACCCAAGCCGCGCCATCCTGTCAACAAACGTTCTCAGTCGTCTGAAATTGGGGGGCGCTTGTCGTCGGAGAAAGGCTTTTTCCGGAGAAGCAGCAAAAAGACGTTTGGCAATAATGGAGTTTGTCTTGTGGCTCAGTTCTTCCATGAGCTCGTGTGCTGGAGACGAATTGAAAATATTATGCAAAACAGGAACATTTTCATCATCAACTTGATAGAAAAGCCTGAGTGATGGAATATCAGTAGATCGGTGGCCAAAGCGAGCTTCTCTGAATTTTGAGGTAATATCCTAGAAGCAATGGGTTAGGGTGCATACAAGAGTTTTGAATCAGAAATGATCCACTCACACTCAGCAATTTGATATCAGCGAGAGTAGCCGCACTGAGTTGGCTACCTTTCCCAGCGAGAACAGCATCAACCTCGGCATAAGTCAACTTTCCGGAACTCTGGATTATGCCTTTCCCAATCCAAGGCTCCTCTTCCACGGCGCCCGTTTTTGGATCCACCTTGCAGACAACACTGACGGTCAAGCGATCTTGGCCTGGATGGAGAGAGCATATTTCCTCACAGAGACGGGGAGGTAGCATTTTTACCACGCGGGTCATCAGATAGACTCCGGTGCCACGCTTCTTTGCTTCTCTGTCAACCAGCGCAGTCGCTTTGATGAAATGTGCAACGTCGGCGACATGAAAGCCAATTTCTACTTTATTATCAGGAAGCTGTTTCACATGAACAGCGTTATCCAATTCCTTCGAGCCATTAGGATCAATTGAAAACACTTTCTCATTACGGAAGTCATGGCGAGACTCCAGTGAGGCAGCGGTCTCATCATCAAGGGACCAGTTTTCGAAACCGACATTCTTCAGGACGGCGTCGGAAAATTCATCGGAGGCGAAATTATTGTCTCGTAAGAGCGCGTCGGTCTCAACATTCAAGTTACCCATCTGGCCCAACTGTTCGACGAGAGTGCCGAACGGATGTAGAGAGGTGATAGGCCATCGTTTAATGGCGGCGACGAAAATGTTGTTTGCATAATCCTGGTGCCTTTCAACAAAATCTCTAGGGGCCTGTTCAGTAGGTATAGCAATTAGGGGAACACGTTTGTCTGTAGGTTTAAACCAAACAATCTTTGGCTTGTCCTGATGGCGATCCTGTTGAGGTCGATTGTGAGCACCGTCTCTTGCCTGCCGTTCGGCTTCTTGTTTCTCTTTTGTTGCTTGGCTGCTAGGTCGAAGGAGGCCAAGGGAACCAGAGAACATTTGGCCAGCGACACGTTCTATCACAGCAACTACGTGACCCGCGTACAATGGCTTGTGGTCATCACTGATCTCATCTTCTTCAACAAGTAAAAGACTTTGACCTTCAACTTCCACATCATCGTTTTTCTTTTGCGTTGGCCGTTGACGAAGACTTCCTCGTCGACGAATACTTCCATCCGGGCCAACTTGTGAATCCCCATTGGTAGTAGAATCCGACCTTCCCTTTTCCAGGCCGGCACCGCTGCCGCTTCTAGTATCGGTAATATCCTTGCGTTTCTTTTTCTCCTCTTTCTCACGCTTCTGACTCCACACTTCATCAACATCTAGAAGCTCTATGGCAACAAGGTCACCCTCAAGAGCTCTGTTTCTGTCTTTGCTACCACAGATGAAGATGTCTGCATCAAGATCAGGGGTGGTGACATATGCGTCTGAACGATTCTTTTTGTTAACTCTTAAAATGCCCGTGACGAGTTGGCCGTCACTGAGCAGGGCAGGTACGTTCGCCTGGGGTAGATAAGGAGTGAACAAGGTCTTGCGTGGCTGCTGTTGCTGCTGTTGTTGAGTAAGCTGAGGGTTTACCTGTTGATTACCTTGCAGAGTAACATTCTGCCCATTGAGCTGCCCACTTTGTTGCAGGGCCTGAAGCTGAGCAAGCTGGAGAGCTCCCAGTTGTTGTCCGGCAAAGAGTTGAGGAGGCGTCATGATAACGGGGCCCTGGGGAAGTTGAATAATTTGAGGCTGCCCAGAATATTGAAATTGACCAAGAGAGCCGGAAGACTGATGGTTTGTGGAGCCCCGTGTACGATGGCCGGGTTGAAAGTTGCCTGACGGTTGTTGCTGGTTGAATCCTCTCTGCGGATCCGGGGCTGGGGGTTGATTGCTCTGCTGGCGCCAGTTACTGTCGAAGTTTCTTGAGGCATTCCGGCCATGTCCCTGGTGGCTCGCTCGGCGGGAAGCATCTCCAGAGCTGTCTGCGCCTTGTGGAAATTGAAATCCACCAGCCCCTCTGGCAGGAGGGCCGCGGCCATTACCAACAGCTAGCGACTGGCTACGCATATGAGCCCCACCACGAACATTGCTAGCCCGTTGAACACCGAGACCTTGTGAGCCCTGAGGTGCACCGGTGTTCTGGACTCCCTGCTCATCCGGTGCAGAAACAACTTCAGCTTGTCCTGTATTGGAGCCGCCAGAAGAACCAGGAATTGGGAATTGAAAGCCAGAAGTTGTTCGTTTTTGCTGAGCTAATTCAGCAGCCTTTCTGGCTTCAGGAAGAGCTAAAGAATGGCGACGTTGGTGCCCGCCTCCAGGAGCACCACGACCGCGAGACGAGCCCCCACCTTCACGGGTAGGATTGCCCTGGGTTTGACCTTGCTGATTGTAATCATTGTATGCTGATCCAGAAGAAGGGGCAGGGGGTGGCCCGGCACCGACATTAGAGATTGCAGACTGATTTCGACGATGAGACGACTGATTTTGATTGTTCATAGGAATACCGAGCTGCTGTTGCTGCACTTGTGGGAACTGAAATGCGTTTCCATGAGATGATAAACCTCCAAGACTAGCCTGTCCTTGGATGGCAGGATTGTAGGCATTTGCAACATGCTGTAGAGGCTGCTGGGGCTGCAGATAACCCATGTTTACATATTGTTGGTGTGTCGCAGCGATATGCTGTTGTTGTTGCTGAAGCAGCTCGATTTGTTGCTGTAAAGCTAGTTGTTCCACTAATATCGATTGTTAGCCATACATCTTTCCTTGCATGTGTGAGATGTCTATTATAACGGATGAACTCACTCATAAGTGGAGTAAGTTCGGAGGGGCTTCTCCGGTGGGCGATGTGAAGGCGTCGGCCAGAAGGGCCCGGTATACCTGATTGACCTTGTTGATCCATCCTCAAAATTCCACCAGCAAACAGGGTGGTATGAAGCGGATTCTATTGGAATTAGGCTGGAGTCAAGAGATGGGTTTAGAAGTATATTCTACATGAGACGAAATTTAGCTCATGTAACAAAAAAAGCCACTTTCAGCTATTGCTGATACACCGGAATAGCCATACAGAAACTGAGAGGAGGACTCACACTTTTATCAAAAGATAGAACACACTATTCCTGTTTCATGAACAGTTTCACCTAATGACTAGACAACAAGACAGGGATAGATGTCTCATATATGGGATGTTTTGGAGGCGATGGGAGGGGATGGAAAAGATGGTTGACACAGAACTCGACAGCTTTTTTTTGATAGGGATGTTTATTTGTCTGTACGCGTTGTAGTCCCAGAGGAAGGAAGGGACGCAGTGACTGAGAGGGATGAGGGCAGTTACGATCGAGAAACGAGTATTTAGCAGGACGTGCTGTAGAAAGCAGTTAGAATAATGGATTGTGTTGAACAGGAGGAAAGACTGCAGAAGGAAGAAATATCGACTAGTTGGGCAGGGTGGGCGTGGGTGTACTTGCAATGAAGGTAGCTGTGATGCCCGAGGAGGGAGTGAGACAGGCTGCGTGATACAGAAAAAGCTGCGGTAATGAGGGAAGGGGGCTATGAGAAAGACCGTGCGCAAACTAAACAACAACAAGACCAAGATTAAAAGCGGGATTAAGAAACAGCAACGACAGAAGAATGTAAAACCGAGACGCAGGCGGAGAGAAGAACAACAATGCCGAGTTCAGGCGGACTGAGAGAGGCGAGAATGGGGGGGCAAGCAGGCTGGGGGAGAACGGCGGGCGCTGGTTGGCCAAACGAATTCGTTCCGAGCTCCAATAGGGGCCCGGCCATTTCGGGCCTAGTGCGAGCAGCTGTACGGCACTTACCTACTTAGTCCTAGCGCCAGCGAAAGCGGCGCTAACCGGATTGGGGGAGTAAGCTTCCCTTTAGTGACGAACGACGGCGACAACGGGTAGCAGACGGACGAGTGGATGGAGCACTGGCAACAGTGCGTATTGTAGACAGCTGTGGAAGAAAGAGATCGCTGAGAACTGTGTGTAAAGAGGGCTCCGATGTGAATCGGCAGCGCTACGCGAAGGAGGCGCAAGCCGATGGTGGTGGAAGAGGAGTGGAGGAAGAAAGAGAAGAAGAAGAAGCAGAAAAAGAAGAAGACGATTGCTCGGGCGCCGTTTTTTATGGCCTAAAACAACTGGTTTGACTTCTGGCAACCAGAGAACTGCCGGCCTGCAGGTTGAAGTAGTGATGTAAACGCCACCAGGGAATACCTGCCCGCGCGTTGTTTCATGCTGTTGGGTTCCGTGGTAACTAGTCAAAGAACTAGGTAATTGGCTTTTCCTATCAACTCAACCACAACACGTCCATCCGCCATCTTACCTGACGTCTACCTACCTCGGGAGTGGCTTTCTAGGTTGAACCAGGCGTGTTATGTACTTATCGTTATAGCATTTGATTTGTCCTAAACAACGACTCGAAGCCCACAGCTGTCTACGGTAAGAGAAGCTCCGCTGCAGCCGAGATACCTCGTCCTTAGTGCTAATTGCCTTTTGTTCGCACTAGGACTACGTGTTTCTATCCATCGTTTTAAGTTCGAGTGTATCCTGTTCAGCACCTTTCAGCACGAAGACGGAACTTGGATTGTTCTGAGTCTGGTAATTCTACGTTCCATTACCACGGTATCTCGAAGCTCCGGGCGTTTTTTGGCGGGAGGCTCCACACAACTACTGGTTTGCTTTATTGTTATACAACGGTGTCAAGGACAGGTTGTCATTCGCTTCCTTGAGTTGGTTCTTTTCACTTCATGAACAACTCTTCCTTCAAAACCATGGATATTGTGAAAATTGCTCCGTATAGCTGATTATCTGGTTTGGAGCAGTTCAGCTTTCCCTCATTTGTCTTTGTAGCTTTTGAGGCAATTCATTCTAGGAAAAAGTTGATAATCTCTGCCCTTCGTGTTCACTCCTTGTGCGGCTGCATACACTATTTGTTTGACTGTCATTCATTAAATCACGTGTTCTATTATTTCCATCTGATATTACATTATCATGACTCGGGTGAGAGCACTGCTGGATAGCCCGTCCAAGCAGTTGATGCAGGATTTGGTGAAAGATCTTGAGCAAGTACGATTACATACTACTGAACTTAAACGTGTCAAGGAGTATGAAAGACGTTCTTTTATTGAACACCTTGACCGACTTGACCGCGAACGGGAACAATTACACAATGATGCATTGAGTGCTACTGCTGCGAAGCGAGAGCAGCTGCGAAGGGAAGCGGAGGAAACTCTACGGCAACACCTACAGAAGGTTGAAGAGGATAGAAGACGGGCAGCAGAGGAAGAACGGATAATAAGGGACAACCTGCAGCGCCAAAAAGTCGAGAATGAGCGTCGCGAGCGAGAAGAAGCTGCGAAACGCGAAACCGAGAGGGCGAAAGCAGAGGAACGAAAAAGACAAGTTGAAGAGAATGAACGCCTACAGAGAGCAAAAGAAGAAGCAGAGAAAGCTAGGATAGAGCGCGAGCGCCTCGAGCAGGAGAAGAGGAGACAAGAAGATGCCCAGTTGAGGTCAAAGAAAGAGCAAGAAGAGCAAAGGCTTGCGCAGCAAAAGAAACAGCAAAGTGAACATACATTTCTTGGAGAGACAAGGCGGTCACCTGAAGAGATTGCTGAACACCGTCGCTACCTAGAATTACACAAATACCTCAAAGAGTTCCGAAATAGAATGCTGGATGAAACAAAAAGGACTCCAGTTCTCAAACAGCAGATGGGTGATATGCGTCGAACAATAAAAAAGTGCGTTGGTCAGCTACTGACAGACGATAAAGTAGCCAATAGAACACCGGTGAGACCAAATTCAGTTTCCCTGAAATGTACTTGGTAGATACAGTTCTAACCCTTGTTAGACCAACGAGATCGTCAACGTTCTCAAAAAAGCTGCAACTCTTCAAGAACCCTCAATTGACATTCGTCAAATGATCGCATTTCCCCCACCTCACATCGCAAACGAAGAGAACAAAGTGCCCGCGCTCTTGATATACCTTCTCAACATATTTTCCAAAGCAATCATAGCACAGCTCGTAGCTGAAGCCGGGGTAACTCCAAAGTGTGCAGGTCCACTCGGCGTTCTCACTGCCCAAATATTCTCAATGGATGCCTTCGTCTATAAAGGCTGTCCTCTCATAGACATTTTGCTTGCGAAATTTCACTACGTATGCCCCGTTCTCTGGGGCTTTTATGGCAGCGAGTCTACCGCTGCTGGCAAGACGGCGCTAGGTTGGTGGCGCGATGAGCCCAATGGGCCCTTTGTTTCCAACCAAGTCCATGAAGAGCGCATGATTGGCCTGGGAGCCGGGTTTGCAGCAATATCGCTGCGTGACTTTTCAAAAACTTCCCGGCAAAATCCATTGCCGAACACACACTTCTGGAGGGCACTTGCGAATATCGTCAATGTTCCTCCGGAAGAGGTCCAAGATACTCACTTAACTGTTTTAGGTGCCATGTTGAAGTTTTCGGCGCAGAGAGTCGTTGGGTTTTGGGGTGATATTGGACTTCTGGCACTACGGAATGCGATTGTAACGTTCCCTGGGACTTTACCCAGGAAATCAAGTGCGAGGTCGTCAGTGGAGATTCTAGGGGATCTGTATGCGAGAGAGCATCGAATCCTGGTTTAAAACGGCGCTCGGCATGCGATGTCTACATCCGCTGTCACACCACCAACGGTGGTATAAAGAAGATGTCCCGGCGCCCGCCAACTTCTCACCTAGGTATAACCCTTGATACTCCTCACTATAACTACTTCAAAACCGCTGTCCGCTTATAGCTAGTGTTTATATATCCAGGATAGAAACTGTTTGCAGGATACTTGTTTGTTAAAGGCGTGGAAGGTTTATTTAGTGCCCACTTTGTCAAAAATCTAGTAAATGAGATTCAGAGCGTGGTCCCGCGATGCAAAACGGAGAAAGAGCTCGTATCTACCTACAGTACTCCGTAATGTTTTCGTCACCACTCTGGCTCGCAATCTCACTTAAACAATCTAGACCTGTGGTCGAAATTCAAATATTCCATGCATTTTGGCCTGCCCCCGGGGTTGCTTGTTCAACCTAAACCATGCCATCGGTTGACCTCGGACCCAGTGCAACGGCTTCTGAATAGCCACGGAATTGAGGCTAATCTGTACCAAAACTCTATGACGTAACCACCCAACTATGCCTAGACACACCTTCTAGTCTGAAGGAAAAGCCATGTCAGTGTTGCCAGGTGAAGAAAACTAGTAATAGCATTCTGGTATCTAAATCCAAGCTGCGAAAAAGATCAAAAGCTTCCAACAGGGGTATAAGTGGCTACAGCCAGGCAACAAAGTCAGAACAAAAGAAGACAGTAAATAACGAATGATTGGCAATAATAAAGGGAAAGCAGAATATAATGTACAAGTAGATCCGTTGGGAGATTAGTATTAAGAGAGATAATAAATGGGGAAAATGGCATAACAGTCATCATTACCATGCGTCGATGGTATTTGCAAAACCGAAAATATCAAAAAGCTATGTAAAAACAAATGACATAGGAAATTGTACGATCTGTGTAGTATTTTCAAAATATAAAAATTTTCCAAGATTTTCACGACTAATAACGCCACGGCGCATCGCCGTTAGATCGCCGGGCCAAATGGGCCATCGTCTGCTGCCACATCAGGGTTTTGGGTTAAAATGCCGCCAAGGATGCTCTCATTGTCATATGCATCATCAAAACCAGCGGACTCTGCGTCGTGGTCATAGCTTGATGTTTGCAAAAGTGGCGGTGTCCGCGGCGGTTCCGCCATTTGACGGTTTGCTTGGCTGGGTTGCAATGTTGATGGTCTGTGGAGACTTCGGCCAGAAGACCTTAATGGGCGGCTGTCAGAGGACACCCGACTCTGGGGAGGAGCAGATCGGTTCAACGGCAATTGCCGCGTGTTCGAATTCGGAGGAGTCAAAAGGCCGGATAGGAACGTTTGAGAGGTCGACGTCTTAGAAGGCGTGTGATCAGCGCTGTTCGGCCCGCTATCGGTAACATTTGTCTCCCTTGCTTTACGCCAGTTCCCCCATGCGGCAGCAGCAGCAAGTGGTAGCGCACGAGGTGAGGCAGCAAGGCTTGAGATACTAGCAAGAGAAGGGAAGGTTTGAGTGCTACCGGTCATGATTCGTTCTTTTTCTTGCTGCTGCATTTGCAAATTTGCTTTTAAGCGAATGGCAGCATCGCGCACAGCACTTTGGTTGAATGATGATTGTGAGAGCACATGGATGATATCTTGTAAGTCATCCAAGCGAACATGGAGTAGCTCGCGAAGCCAGGTAATCTCTGTCTCCTTTTCTTTGATTTTCATTGGGGCATCCTTATCGACAAGTGAGAGTTCATGCTCAAGCTCTTCAATACGGCCTTCACGCTGCTGCAACTGATCCTGCAACACCATAATAGATTCGCGCAGTGCTTGGGGTGAAATCTTTTCAGGAATATTGCTGCCTTTAGAGACCCTCATTGATGGCGAGAAAACCTGACTGGGAGACACGGTATGCGCTGCCTTTGCGTCCTGCGCAGCTTGTGCAGCTGTGCGGGCAGCTGTCTTGGCGATCTCGAGTCTCTCTTCTAGCAGAGCAACTTTGTCATGGAAGTGGTCAATCTTTTCATCTCGGAGAGCAAGAAGCTCCATGTAGTGAGACTCTTCGCGCTGTCGATCTTCTGAACTATTATGCAGAGCTCGAGCATGTCGTTCTCGAAGGTCATTCAACGTGCGTTCGTGCACAAGACGCTGTTCCTGAAGAGCCAGCTCCTTGGATTCTGCAGCTTCTCGAAGTGCAGCTATCTTGGAATCTCTAGCTTCTTCTAGCATAAGCTCATGCTTTGCCTTCGCAGTATCAGCATCCATCTTTGTGCTCTCTAGCTGATTTTCAATATTGTTAATTTGGTTTTCTAGCTCAGCACGAACAAAGTTGACCTGGTGATTTGCGTTGTCTAAGTCCGCTTCCATTGAGGTTCTCACTCTCTGGATTTCGATACAGCTGCTATTACGCGCCTCGATGAATTCTTGCTCATACCGGGCAGCTTTACTTTGATAGTCATGGCTCTCCTGTCGCACCATTATTAGCAACTCCTCCAATCTTGCGTTCTCTTCCTGGGATTGGCCAAGAATAAACCGCAGTTTTGTGGCCTCCCTCTCCTTCTGTTCTAGATCGCCAACATGGAGTTCCAACTTCTGGCGACGTTTAACTTCATCCTCGAGCTGAGCTTTGAGAATATTGTACTCAATGTTCTGTTGCTCCTCCCTCTTCCTCCAAGATGATTGGTCGCGGGCGATGTCTCTTGTTGCGGTCGCCATATCCTCCTGAAGTTTTTCAAACTTCCCTCGCAGATTTTTCCGGGAATGTAGCCCATCTTCCATTTGAGCTTTCAACACACTGATGGTTTGGCAAAGTGCCTTGTTTTCAGACTTGACTTCTTCGAGGTGAGAACGTAAATGATCCCCGGTTTCTCTATATTCGTCTAGGGTGCCCTGAAGAGTGATATTTTTCTGGGAGAGTTCTGAAAGCGTCAGTTGGAGACTTTCTTGATTTTCATTAAGCAATACTGATTGTTTTTCTAATCGGTCAAGCTCGGGCAATTTCTGTCCCTTGAAGTTTTCTAATGCTTGCTCAGCAGCCTCGGCAGCGAGCTTGTATTTGGCGACATCCTCTTCAGCAGCTTGCAGATGCCTTTGAGTGTCAGATAGAGAGTCCTGCACTCTTCTGCGGTTATTGTACTCTTCATCAGACCGCTCCTCCGCAAGGCGCAACATGTTTTGAAGTCCTTCTAGCTGCATTTCGAGCTTCTCTGCGTCTTTAACAGAATTTGACGCACCAATCAAGGCAGTGAGTTTTGGGTGATTCACAATTGAGTCCACGATGTCAGCCTTCATTTTACTGTTTTCATCCTCGCCCGACTTTGCTGTGACTAGCGTCTTTAACACTGAAAGAGAAGCGTGGACCTCAGAAAAGTCGACAGGGGGTACATCTCGAGCAGCCGACTGGGCTGTGAAAGTTCTCAGCTCCGATAGTGACTCTTGAATTTCAGAGAAATCCCTTCGCAGAGGAGCCTCCTCTCGAGCCCTACTTGCCACCAAACTATCCACAACTGCCTGCTTGATCTTCTCGATCAGTCGATTTTGCTTCTTCAGAGGGGACCGGGATCTGTGTTTTGCGGCATCTTCGTCATCTTCGTCCTCGTCATCAGCATCACTATGCTCTACATCAGCAGGTGTACCTTTGGACATTGTTTGCGCTGCAAGCAAAGCAATTGAATTCTCAATTGTGTCCAACATTCTTTCTAAAGGAACAAGACGATCATCTAATACTGCTCCAATAACTTCATCAACGTGTGTATCAAAGAAGCGTGCTCTTTGCTGGAATTCCTCATCTTGGGCGGATGAGATTGCATCATCCCATTCACTGATGTGGTCAATGTCAGGGTTGTTCAATTGGCGGATGGGAGATTTATATCCAAGGTTAGAACTATGTTGAGGAGCGAACATGGCGTGTGAAGATGCAGTCAGGCTTGTTTTTAGTTTTGGCAGATTCACTTGTGCAAATTGACCGCCATGAGCACTTGGGCTGGGAGCATCACTGCGAACTAAACTTGGTGCACTAAGCTCAGGTGTATCATATTGGCGCTCGGAGAAATTTCTATTTTCTACCGAATGCTGAAGGAACGAAGGCTCGGTTCTCTCAACACCAAGATCAGAATCATCCTCGTTGAGCTGTCGCATTACAGCGTCAATTTCTTGCTCGTCGGAGGAATTATACTCCACCTCGTCGTCGAAACTGCCGGCGTTCACTTGAACTTCCTGTTCTTCGGGAGTAAGCGAAGTCTCTCTGGTGATAGGAGAAATGGGAGGACTTGGCGCAATATATTTGGAGCCTTCTAAGCCAACTACCTTCTCTCGTTCTGAAGGACGAAGCTCAGATATGGCCGATACTGGAGAGTCGGCTGTAGCAGGCTGGAACTCAAAAAGAGCTGCGGTTGGCTCTAGGTTTGAGAATGCCAGTGGGGTGTCCTCAACAACATTCTGAGAGGTAGCTTTTTGGCCATTTTCAGCCACTGTGGCGATAACATCTTCCATATTCTGATCAGCCGACACCCGGCGTTCATCTAACGGAGACTTATCGTTTCCGTAGGCAAAAGAGGGGCCAAGTGGAAGTGCAGCATGGAAAGCCGCAGCATCCTCCTCGTTTTTGAATTCAAATGGTTTCCAAGTGGTAGATTCACTAATCGTCGTATGAGTAGATCTTTCTGTTTCTGCTTCAAGTTCATCGTCAATTGATATTCCAAGCGGAATAAAATTATGGGCTTCGTTGTCGGAAAGTTGAGTTAAATCGACCGTGGGCAAATTTTGTTTAGCACTAGCTGGGATATCTGCTAGATCAGGCAAAGATACTTCTTGATCGTCATCTCGTTGAGATCTTCGAACACGTTTCTCACGACCTTGTTTCCCTGTGCGACCGGCCTCATCTTCGAGAATGTCGTTGTTCTTCTCGTCCCCTTTTAGCTGCTCTTCAGGTCGTACGATTGGTATTGCCTTTGACTTTTTGGCAGGCGGCACGATTACTGACGAATCAAGACTACCAAAGATCTTCTGTTCATCTCCTACCGATACATCTCGGACATCACTGTTAATATGTATACTCTTGCCTGGGTTGAACACAGGAGCCTCTACATTGAATGAGGCTGCTGAGAATTTGAACCGACTAGAAATCGATCCCCGAGTTGATTGCCCAGCCAAAGATGGCGAGTTTACATGGAAATTACCCGACTTCGCGCTATGTTGTGAGATAGGGCTGAACACCGAATTATTCCTGTTAGACCCTGGCTGGAAATTATTGGCCACGAAGGAAAAATTGGTGGGTGAGAAAGAGGCTGTTGGATCAAACGCCTTGGCACCAATGTTGAGGTTCGACATAGAGGCCTTCGCTTGATGACTTGGAATAAATGTGCCTGTACTGCTAGAGTGGTGATTAGACGTGCTGAAATTATGGTGGTGCATGCTTTCATTGGTTGGAGTCCCCATCAGGCTCGGATTTGTATCAATTTCGGAACCATCAAGCTGGCCATCTTCATGAAGCTGGTCGCCAAAAAATTGTTGCGGAAGGGAATGTGGCTGCTGGTTGTTTTGTACGGGGGAAATGAAGGCTTTTTGAATAGCATCATTATGTACCGCCCATCGCGACTGCATCAAGTCGTTGTGGGGTTGGACAATGTTGTGATCTCCAGACTGCATCCTTATAGAACTCTCCAGCTGGAAATCTGCCCGTTCGACACCTCTCTGAAGAGTTTCGCTCAGGTTATGACGATGGCCTCTTGGAGTTGGATGTGCTATCTCAGGCCCAGAGGACGACACCATTGTTTCTGAATTCCCTTCAACTACCAAAGCACGATTTTCTACAGGAGGTGAAAGCATATTGCCTGTCTCATCTAGTTGCGTTGTTTGGTGATGATGAGTATTGAAGCCGTGACTCATCGCATGAACATTGATGCCCGTTGAGAATTGCTTCGAATCATCCGGAGTCAGTGGGGATACAGGCTGCAATAACGAACCAAAATTCGGCAAAGTTGCACCGCCCGCAGGTGATATAACACTAGGCTGAAGACCGTACACATTTTGAGGTGTAAGAGTACCCTGTGTAGTCGCCGCTGGTGTCTGATAGGATAAAAATGGATATCCTGGCTCGTTTGAAAACGACGCAGGTCCACTGGGAAATGGAGAACTAGCAGGATAACCGAAGGGAGATGAGGAGGTAAGAGTCTTCGATGTCTGCGCAAGGATCGCAGCCAGGGGATTTCCCGTCATATTAAGATGATTACTCGCTGCTGAAGAAGTGGGAAGAGGGGGAGAAACAGTATTCCCAAAGAACTGAGTCGGAGTCTGGCTCACTGGAGCAGGCGATACGTCGTTGCCTCCAAGAGAGACTCCAAGAGCTCTGAGCTTCTCCTCGTTCAAAAAATTTACATAGGAATCCCATTCTGCTTTGTTAGGAAACCGAACTGCATAGTTTTTCTGTTCGGGTCCCCTTTGAAATTCAGTGGTATCAGGGAAGGCAGGACGGCTTTGCGAGACGTCCACACCAAGCGTTCGAACATTATAACCTTCCGCTTCCCATTTTTTAAGGCGTAACTCCACGTCGGCAGGTGTCAGTAAAGGCCCTGTGTGTTCGATTGAGCCGCGGACGTCATGAATAGGTAGCGCAATTACACATTGTTTTCCGCGCCATGCCACCCGCTTTTTGGTTCTTTGAGGCGTGCTTCTACTAGTAGGCGCAGGCTTCGGATTCGGCGCTGGCGCTGGGCTTACAGGCACCGCATCCATATCTGGCGGAGGAGGGAGTGGTTTTTCTACACCGGATATTGATAGACCTGGCGCTCGAACCATGTGCTCAGTGCCAGTCGCAGAATTGGGAATCGTGGTAGGAATTGCGTCTTGGTCGTAGCCGAAATCCCAGAAATCGGCTTGTTTCACCGTAGCCGTACTATTTGTTTTGAGATGCCTTGCTTGAAGCCTCGGCAGTTCAAGCCTACCAGCCCGTTCCTTGAGTTTTCGTCCAAATGAAGAAGCGGCTGTCGGCGTTTTCAAAGGATCTTCTTCCAATGGATCGTCGTCGAGGCCCAACCAGCCTTCAGATTCACTTAAGTGGTTTTTAGCAGTCAGGTACGAAGCAAAATCGTCACCCGAATCGTCGCTCAGCCAATTCGTTCGCTCGGAACGTGATTGGCCGGTAAGATATTGATTGATCCAATCTTGGGTGAAGTCTTTGATCGATTTCCCGCCCTGCCGCACGAGATGATCTTTCTCCAATCGTCGGCCAAGCGGACCGTAAAGGTGCTGCGAAACGTTCGATGATGCCGCTCCAGTGTCTTGCAAATTAGAATGATCCCTCTGCGACGGGACAGACTGGCCACTCAGCATGGAGTGGGCAGGAGAAGCATCCAATGCAAAGTCAGCAATGCCGTGACGGCTTCTTATCGAAGAAGACAGCCGCCTAGGACTGGGCGTAGCATACGGAGAACCCCAAGCGGCGGTGTAGTATGCACTGCTCAAACGACTTTCAGTCCTCCTATTTTCCGGGGAAGCAGGGTGCGAGCCGGCGGTGGAATGATATCGAGCAAGGGTTGGGAGCGACAGTCGACCGGGAGAGGCAGGCCGCGAGATGCCCCGGACAGAAGGAGGAGCGGCAGCGGCAGCAGCAGCAGCAGCCGTCAGGCTCGACGGTCCTGGTGATACGGACCGCTTCACCACAGGCACGATGGGTTCGTGGCAGCTATTGTGCTTCAAGTCGTGGGGAGGCAGTTGGGGCGCCCGATTGGCGGGACCTAAAAACGAAGAGATCTGTAAGCCTGCAAGTCTCGCACATGTGTAGGCGGGTTAACGATCGCGGGGCAAGGGGAGCATGAGAGCGCAGTTGAGGCAATAGGGATGAATGCCCCTGAGATGCACTGCAAACAGAAAGTCAGAATAGGTCTCAGGAACGCACGGCGTAAATCGACGGACGCAAGAGGCACCAGCTTGCCGCTTGTAGTATCCGGCGGAAATTTGAAGCATGGAAATCACACGCTCCAAATTCGCACCGCGAAGCACTATTCACGCTCGACAGACAGAAAACGCTGTTGGAAGGAGACGTTGACGAGGCGTCTGCGTTGGGCACCTGACGCGACGGCCGGGGAGAATTGGTGCCACGACGATAACCGACAGTAGTTCGCGAGAGGACGGTAAACAAAAGCGTGTCAGAGTAGATTGGAGCGGTCCAGGACGTGAACCATGGCGCGCACTCTCGCCTCAGTTCGAGCTATCCGTGTAGTCGATGTTTTTTTCCGGTTGGGGGACGGAAAACGGCGAAAAATAGGTTTGGCCTCGCCAGGGGAAATTTACACGCTTTGCCACGCTAGCAACTGGCCATGCCTGGCATCGCGGAGCAGCGACAGCGACCAGGGCCGGGGGAAGTGGGCTGTCTTGACTACAGACCAGCCGCCGACATTGGTATGGCCGAGGCTCAGCCCTTTTAAAGCCAGAATGCCAGTATTGTTCTAGTTCACACTGCTAGGCATGCTGAGCTCGCCCATAAATGCGAAAAGTAACCTCATGAATTAGTTAAAGAGCGGCTATAATGTATGTAATTATCAATAGCAGTTACAGTACCCAATTTTCCCTTGGCCGTATTGAACCGGCTAAAAACGAACTGCAAGTGTCCAGAAAACAAAAATATAACAAAAAACACACAAGGAGATCGGAGGTTTTAGAATCAGAAGAGTCCAATTAGCTACATCAGTGCCCTGGCAGGCACGCTTTTGGTTCCCCCAAATATTTTAACGCCGATCTCAAATGCCAGCATGCATGGAAACATGGCGGGCCACTTATTGGCATTCAACCCGGTATTTGGGCTTACGTTCTGCGGTGTACATGCCCCAATGAGTCTCGTCGGCGGCGACCCCGTTTTGACCAATGCTCTTAGGCTTCCATGGCTCATCAAGAAACTCGAAAAAGAAAAGGTCGAAGCCCCAAGCCAGCATTCCGCAGACGGCGCTGTCATGGTAAGTCTTAGCGTTTTGGGTTCCGGCTTTGGCAGCACCATAATCAGTGCCACCATCTGCTCCGGGTTAGAACCCAATACCAACTAACAGAATAAAAGGAAAATACTTACCAGAAGGCCAGCCGGTCTCTCCAACAGCAATGTAGATGTTATCAGCACGCTGACCAGCGAGCTTTTGAATATGAGCGGTGGCCTGCATCATATCATCGAACAACGTAGCAGAGGCATTTGTGATGGGCTGTGCTTGCCAGTAGGAGAAGGCATTCACAAGGCTGAAACAACAATACTTTAGCAACTCCCAGGACAGGAGAAAAGGAAAGCCATTAACTTACAAATAGTCAACACCACCAAGAATCAGAGCATCAGCAGTGCCATCAGCATATTTATTCCAGCTGTCTGCAGTGCCAACTTTGGTTCTGGGGAACAGCTTCTTGACCTGGTTGATCTTCTCCAATAGTTGGGGGCCAGTGAAGTTGCGGCGGTAGAGACTCTCAGAGCCGACGGTAACAGCGGCAATTATATCTTCGTTTCCTGGCATAACCTTTTGTAAAGCGCGTACGTCCGCATTAAAAGATGACTCAGTATCGGGCCTAGACAGACATGGCATATTTCATTAGTATCCTTTAACAGTAGCGGCAACATCCAGATCAAACCCACCAGACACCTATGACAACACTCACGCCCTTAGCTCTGGCGGCTGGCACAAGGGCATCAACATGATTACAGTCGGCTGCGGCGTATGTTCGAGCAACCTTTGCATGGGCTTTCATGACATCGAAATCTTTTTCGAAGTCCTGCTGGGACTTGCAAGAACCATCGGGGTTCTTGACGCCAAGAGCAAACCCGAGAGTTCCAGCAGCAGACACAGCGGGAGCTGCCGCTAAAGCAAAAGGAAGGACAGTCGAAAGACGCATGGTCACAACCTGAGAACGAAATCTTGAATGAGCGAGAATATGTCAGGGGTTGCTAAGGTGAGGATATGCGAATAGCAGGGGGAAATAGTGGTTAAGCAAGAGAATGTGAAGAAGGAGTGAAAAAAAAATGGAAAACAAAGATGGTAGACGAAAAGGCAAAAAGAGATGGCGAAAAAAGAGAGAACGACAGGAAGATGAGAGAGGGAAGAGAGGGAAAAGGCGATCTTGTTTGGCCACAAAGTTGGTTAAGGGAAGACGACGTGGAGGTGGACCCTAGTGGTTTCCTCGGCGTATCGCCAATACAACCCTAGCGCCAAATATAGCACGCGCCAGGGGAATTTTACACGGACGCGGTGTTTCAGAAACAGCGTGTACAGGCGCTAGCACTGCTGCCCAGGGTAGGTACTACTGTAGTTAGATGAAGAACGCCGGTGTCAACAGGACCGCCTTCAAAGTCTGCCGCCAGTGCGATCTCCAGGGCTGCAGCGGACCGTGCAAATCGACGTTTTTGTGTGCGAAAACCACGGGTGTCGGCTTGAGCATGGCGCCATGTACCCCCACCGTGGATAACTAGATCAAACCATAACGCCTCACGAAACTTACGAACAGCGGGAGCCAATGTCGGGTCAATAATAATGCCTGATCGTTTCGCCCATGATATATAACTAGCCACGATGGATCTACATAAAACGCGAGAGGAATAACGCCGCAACCGCAGAATCTTCGTATAAAACTTTCATTCCGTCCGAACGTGCTTCTTGAGAATGCTGGCTGGAAGTCGCTTCCCCGTTTTATCGAAGAACCGCGAACTGACCCGGATCCATTTGTCCTCCTCATATTTCGCTGCGATCTGATTCAGAAGAACGACATCCTCGAGTGTAAACGCCTCGTCGAGGTAAAGCACTTTACCGTCACTCTCTCGCGCGCCGTCCTGGTAATAGGGAGGACACGACCAGTCAGCTTGGACAGTGGCAAAGTCAAAATGGTATGTAGTAATTGTGGGAGCTTACATTGTTGGACGTAGTCAGCGGCTCTGAAAACGATACCTTGGGGCCATTGGGTTTTTCGGACCCTTCTGGCTTATCAGGCTTCGTTTCCTCGTGGGTTTTTCGTGATTCTTTTGAATCCTTAACTTTTGGTTGAATTCCTTCCCACCGGGCCTTCAGCGCAAAGACTGGTTTCCCGATCGATGCTGATATACTTTTCCAAGATGAATGTTCAGCCTTCATCTTCAGTAGTTGGAAATCCTGTTCCGTAGTCCATTCTAATACATTATTTGGAGCGGCAGGGGTGGCAGTAGGCTTCGTATCCTGTTTCTCAGACTCAGGCGGCGTAGGACCAGATTCCTTTGGAGGTACTGAAGATGGTGCCGCTTCTTCAGGCTTCTTCTTGTTTGCTTCCAATACAGACCTCTATATAAAAAATCAGTTCAGCTTGAGATACGTCCTTGGAGGGGCTGGTGTCCCTGTACCCGCAAAGCTGCAGCCGCAACCTCCTCCCGAAGCGTCCTTGTGCTTTTAAAGATATCAGCAAATGAAACTTTGCATTGTACCGGTGGATATCCAGCGGGAGACATAGTGCTGAAAGTAGTCTGCAGGATGGTAGGTACAGGTTTTAGATATGAACTCTTAGTGCTTTGGCTATCTGAGTGAAGTCAAAGGTTGTTAGGTATTCAGTGCAGAGGGCAAAGTGCAGAAAGAGCAAAGCAGTAATACAACAAAGTCCCCACGATAGTGCTGTGTCAACCCATCTTTTGATACAGTAGTTATATACTAGTGAATGAACATAGTTGCCGGCAACCTCAGGCAGGATATATGATTTTGTGCTGTTTATGTATTCAAGGCTACCTGGCAGCACTCAGAACATGGAGATGCATGCTGTGGTGACTCTCTAGCCATTAGATGTGGCTACCTTATAACGCAGGAGTTCTGTATTATATAAGTACAGTACAGAGTAGTGATAATGAACAAAGCAAAGCCATTATTATTTCCCAGGCGCGGCTATCCCTCACATGGTTGATGTGGTCCGTGCGCTGTTCTCCTGGAAATTGAGTTGGACAACTTGGTGTCAACGGCAGCAGAGCCAGAGCCAGAAACTTCACACTCCATCCACTCAGTCTGTTATTTGTTCTTCTAGCGTTGCTTGATGTTCATAAGACAATATTGAGAGCGATTCAGCATGCGATTTTCTACCTTCTCCTGCCTGGCGGCGACGCTGGGATGGATGGGCGCTGCTTCAGCACATAACATTCTTCTCCATTCACACTCGCGAGAATGTTTCTTCGAGCAATTGCACACTGGTGATAAAATGACAGTTACATTCCAGACTGGCGACAGAGAATATGGTGGAAGCAGTAACCTTGATATCAACTTCTGGGTATGCCAAATCCGGCCTCGATGACTATTGTGCGATTTTTACAGGCTGCTAATACTTTGATCGTTTTCGAAAATGACAGGTCGAGGATCCCTCGGGCAATCACCAACACAGCAAAAACGGCGTATCCTCTGATGAATATACATTTACTGCGGCCCGAGATGGGAAATACATATACTGCTTTAGCAATGACGGGTGGTCGTCGAACACCAAAGAAGTCTCCTTCAACGTCCACGGAGTTGTCTACGTGCCAGAAGCCGATCTACCCAGCGATCCTCTAGAAGCTGAAGGTTTGTCGCGTTTTTTCGCGCGACAGTTGACACGCGAAGTTATATGCTGATTGTAGTTTTCTAGTGAAAAAATTGTCTGAAGAGCTCGAACAGGTGAAAGACGAGCAGGAATACATCGTCATGCGCGAGCGTACGCACCGAAATACTGCCGAAAGCACAAATGCTCGAGTAAAATGGTGGAGTATTTTCCAGTTGGCGGTTCTTATTTCAAACGGCGTTTTTCAGGTCTGGTGGTTAAAGAGGTTCTTCGAGGTGATTATTTTTCTCCTAACTCCCCGCCTCCCGATGACCAAGTATATTTCTGTTTTTGCTAACACTTCTCGATTGTTGTAGGTGAAACGAGTAGTCTAATACCTTATTTTCCGTTGGAGGGACGATATCATGGTTACTGAATGTTATGTGACATGAAGTACTTCCAGGGGGCTTGCGCTTTTAACGTACGGAGTAACTAGTGGTTTTGTACAACTAAATTCATGGCATATTATGTATCCCGATATTCTGAGTGTTACGAGTGAATAAATTTTGAGTCGGGTTATTTCTGTAGACAGGTGGGCGTTAGCTCTTCGTCCGCAGCTCAATGTTTGGATGGCCTCCAATATATCGAATTTCACCTTCCGGTCACATAGGTGGTTGCACAAAGCAGCAGCGGAGAATAGACCCAGCAATACGGAGTACGGAGCATATAACAAGTTCAGCCATCAATCAACAACGGCCCTTGTGCCTCTTTTTAAAGTCGGGTATCACTGGAAATGGGTCAAGGTGCTTTATACTCCGTATTGAACAGGCATTCCTTCTCCGTCCGAAAGGCCGACTTTACTCCTTCGGAATACCCCAGATCGAGAATGCGGTCCGTGGGTTGTGCAACACACGAGACGCGGCTACTTCCGGGTGCCCTTGCTGGCGCTATGGCCTGGAAGAAGATATCACATCAGCCGTGGCGTTTCTCAAGAAGCCCAATTCGATACATCACCTCCATAGCACCAGGTAACACATGCGGTGATTCGCTAACCCCGTAACTACTCGTACTTCGTTCATGGGACGAAATGTGACCTCTGGTCTGATGTTATTGAAGGTCTTCGCGACCCGAGAATCAGGGCATAGAGAATTCTAAGACTATTGTATTTAACACTGATGATACTCATGATATATGTGTGCCTCCGCCTGGCTTGGATTTTGTAGATCAAATCCCGTTCTGTTGCTTCATGCCTGCGCTCGAAATATTGGGCGAGTTTCACGCCATCACACCAACCCGTATAGTTAGCTAGCATGTTTCGTTCCGCCAGGCCAGGCCGGCCGGCGCATGTCGAAACATCTTCACGCTGATCAACAGCACAGGCTCGTGACCCCGCCAGGAAACCCCCTGCTCGGACAGCCCGGGAGATCTAGAACGGCATCACGCACTGGGCTCCACTGCTGCGCGCCGCCACAGCCCCCTCCCGGAACGACGACGACGACGACTACGATGACAACCCAAAAGAAAGGAGGTGTGAGAAACCTGCGAGTTAGCGCCTACGAACAACCATGTAGGCATTTAATATGATTTCATGCGTTTGCCTCCTCCCCCGCCTGGCTTTTTATCGCTCCGCGCCCCAGGAGAAGAGGGTGTAAGGGGGGCCAACCGAGCCCACGAGTAAAAGTACCCTGCGTCGATTGGCCCGGGCCAGGATTTTATTTTCGGGAACAAGCACCGTGTGGACGAGCACGCCGTGGCGGCGCCGGGTTGGGTGTTGCGTATGTGTGTACGGAGTACGGAGCAGGCCAACACGGGGGGGAAGGGGGAGGCAAGGCAATCGCAGGGCCCGCTCGGGGCGCCAGCGGACACGCAGCTGTCTTGTTGGTGCTGCGGGGATTCCGCCCCGATGATTTGTTGTCGTCGTCGTCATGCTTGACTCCGAAATCCATGCCGCGCCGGGCCCTGCACGGTGTTGGCAGGCTTGGGAGGCGGTGCGCCATGCGCGGCGGCCCAAGGCAGGAATGTTATAACAGCACAGTATTAAGTCTTCTTCTCCGCATGGCATGAATCCGTCAGAAACGCTTCGACCCAGCGTGCAAGATGGGACGGCGCGCGGGGGGGGGGGGGGGGGGGGGGGGGGGGGGGGGGGGGGGGGGGGGGGGGGGGGGGGGGGGGGGGGGGGGGGGGGGGGGGGGGGCCGGCTGTACGGCTGGGGTTTTTCTGGTTGAGACGAAAGCGACGTATTTCTCACGATTCTGCTCCGTGCTGCGCAAGCTTCTCCACTAGCAAAACTTGATTGTTCTATTAGGAGAAAAAAAATAAAGTCTATCTATCAGACATGATTCGCAGATAATCACTCGAAGATTGAGCGTTTTGCCGCTTCTTTGTTCTCCGCTGCAGGCTTCTCATCATGGCGGCAACCCCCAAAGAAGAGCCGGCCTTCTGGGGCCATGAGCATTCATGCGTTGCCTCCCGTTGTTTACATGTACCCGTATATCCAGTAAGAGAGTAGAAAGGAAAAAAGGAATTAAATAAGGTGCACAGCCAGTCCCTGATCTCCTCGGTTCCCTCCCCTCTCGACGGACAATATCGTGACCGTGGCCTTGAACGATGCAAGGCGTCTGTGGCCCATCCTCTGGGCTAGATGGATTCTAGAGACTGCAAATTAGCACATTGCTCTCCATGTAAAATGCATCGCGGACAACAAATTTTGGTGTAGTTGGGACAAGAGTCGTACTCACCACTTGTTAGTGACATTATTATATATATAGTATATTAACCATTAATTTCTTCGACATAATCTTACACACAACGTGGGGATTTGTGTCCCCACAATCGCAGTTCACGCTGGGCGAGCCGAAGGACTCGAATTTGGGGGGCTCCCATAGTCGTCCTTCGGCTCCGTTCGTTCGGTCATTTCTCCACGCTCAGCGTCGCGCGCACCTTCGCCGTTTAATAAGCGCTCCTGTCGCTTATACATGGTCCAGAATACAGTGCTGCCATGGATCTGAGCTGCCGAGAAGGCACAGTGGAGCAACGGTGCCGCGATCTTAAACGCCAGCAGCCACTTGTTCCACAAGCACCCCAGGAAAAACATGATCACTATCGTTTCACAGGTGGTGCCGACAGCCGTCGTGATACACGAGAAGAGGAAGACGCGGCTCAGGAAGCGATGGTCGTTAGGATATATGCGGTAGAGAATAATGGCAACGTGGGGGAACATCTCGAACACAATGTCGAAGGCACCTAAAAACCAAAAGATTGCTCAGTTAGAAATGCTATGACGGGAAAGTCGGATTCTGGTAGAATTACCCCACATAACGCAGAGGACGAACTCGAGATTTGGGTGTGGTTTTCTCGACGAGCCCAAGCTGAGGGCGATCACAGCTTGGCCAATAAGCACTGTTCCAATATGGTGCAGCATAGCGACCGGCGATACTCTGACTCGGTAGATGAGCTCAAAAATGTACATAGCAATCAGCATCTGAGCGGCTATGATTAACATGTCACCCAGAGTTGTACGCGAGCCCGGAGCAAAAGGCGTCCGAAAAGCTGCTCGTCCCGACACAACCGCGACAAACGGATATATAGCCAACACCAGAATAATGGCCTTCGTGGCCCCGGCGATATGATGGTTGATGAAGCCACGGCGGTTGAGATCGCTGAGATCTGTATATACGCGGCCATAGAGCCGCGGAATCAGGCATCTTTCCAAAAGGTGGTAGCGAGTAAAAAAGAGAATCACAAATATCGTCGAGATGATCAGGCCGCAGTAGGGAGCCAGGCGCGAAATTGGCTCCAGAGGTTTGTTCCGAAGGGCGGAGAGATATCGCTCGCCGTGGCTACTCATTGGAGAGAGTAAGGTTGGTAGGAAAGGGGAATGTCGGTGAAGGACAGTATATATGTAGAGCTGCCAAAAAAAAGAGGGAGAGAGGAGAAAAAGCAAGGAAGAAAGAAAGGATAGCGCAGGCTCAGGGCCAGCAGTTTAAAAATAAACGGGCGAGTAGAAGAAGAGAGGGTGAGCCGGGTTGAGAAAAAAGTAGGATTCTGGTCTAGTAGATGTTTGTGGTAGGAAATGCGAGCGGACGGGCTCGGAATAGGATTTTAAAAAGAGAAAAAAAAAAGTAAATAATAAGACGACGGCCGTTCCCTCCGTCCATCCCCATATTATTATTATGTAGGGGACAGAAAGGGGAACAAAGGCCGTACGATGGGTCCAGGTGTACGTACGCAGCCGCCTCAGCCCTAACCAAGACTGACCTGGCGGATACGTTAAAAAAAACTCGGCTCAGTCGCTGCACAGCCTTCGCAGGTTAGTGAAGTGGATGTTACATGGAAGACGTAACATCGGAAGTTTCGTTTCGACGGGCATTTGTGGCCAGCAAATCTCGGGCAGCCGGTAATAATACTCTGTACTCCGTACGGAAGTATGGGATTGCTGGTAGAACCAGGCCAGTAGTATTTTTTTTTTTGAATTTTTTTGTTCTAGGGATGCCGGAAAGTAACCAACTAACTAACTAGGCTGGCTGGCGTGAGTCGCAGGAGTCATAGTGAGGGGGTCAAGCTGCAGGACGTGAGTGGCTCACGGGCAGGTCGGCCGCCAATAATGGGCGCTGTGATCCTCAATTATTATTATTATTATTATTATTATTACCATTAGCGTACGGAGTAGTCGCAAGGCACAGCGCGTGCCAAACGGGGGGCGCGCTGTGGTGAGCAGTACCAGAGCCGGCGGGCCTGGAGCATCCACCGGAGGATTCCAATCAAGCCTTTTTGGAGCCCGTTGGGGATCGTTCAGCCTCGGCGCTGCGCGGTCGGGTGGTCTGGCCTTCGCCGCGCACGGCGGCCGGGGGGATAATCCGGCGCGCGCCCTCGTTTCACGCACCGCGACCACCGCCGCCCCCGATGCCGCGCGCGGGAATGCGGAGAAGAGCCAGCAGAATGGGGGGGGTGTTCGCCCGTGAAGTCTCCATGCGGCGGTGCTGCGGGCGCTGGCCTTCGTCGACGAGACGCTCGCCATTGTTGCATCCGCTGGTGGGATCCCTCACCATAGCGCTCGTGGTCTACCCTTGTTCGCGGCCAGAGCTGGGGCACTGCTGGTGATGCCGGCGCTCTTTATAAAATCCTTCCCTGAGTTCGCCTCAGTAGTAGTCAGCAGCGCAGCCCCCTGAGGGTAATGGGTCTGCACTTTAAGGTTGGTGGCCGTCTCTGTTCTGCAGCGCGCCCGTGTGTGATTATTGGATGTTTAATTAGCTTATCCGCTTTTTGCCCCTTTTTCACTGCTGATCGGGGTGCAGTGGTCGTGCGAGGATCGTGTTGCTGAGCGTCCGCGGCGCCTTGTGGCTGGCGGCAAATTGCTTCGCGAGACTCCGTTCCTCCGAAGTGTCGACGGCATATGGACGACTTTTGTCCTTCGTACCCCGTACTATCGCCGTTGGGTGTTTTGAAGATAAACTTTCTGCTTGGAATTTCGCGTGTGCTGAAAGGACGGAGTTGCCAGTTGCTCGTATGACGGGAGGTGGTTGTTTGCGCCTCCTCAGCACTGCTGTGCGATTGGCCGGCGAGCCCAAGAATGCGGCTATTAGGTTCGCAACCCATTTGTCAATTGCTCGGCTTAGAGTTTGCTGGTACAGAATGTATTGATAAATAGTGAGAACTTTGTGCATCCTTCTCGCAGCTGCGTCTCCTCTTGGAAGTTAAGAACTGCCGTGAGGAGCTAGTGATCAGCACTTGTTCTGTTCTGTACGGAGTGGCCGTACGAAGTATTTCCTACGTAGGCGATTTCAACGATTTTCCTTGGATGAGCAGGTAGGTCACCTAGGTAGGTGAGTGGGAGATAGTTGCCCGATTTTCCTTAAATACGGAGAACAGAGTACGTTCCAGCTCATCGATCTATGGCCTTGAAGTGCTCCTGACACATCTCCAGTGGCTGAATAACATGCTTGGTGATTTCGCTCCGCCATGAAGGATCCCGATTATTATTACGCATTCCTTCGAAGCACCAGTTCACAGCTGAAGCATATTAATCGTCACCGCCCTCGTCCCCCACACTCTTGGACCACTCCCGCGCCGCGTGGACCTCAGACGCCCTCCTACCTTGCGCTTCGTCGAACGGGAATTCCCCGCGAATTCTACATTGATCGTGATCCTCTAGTCGTTGGCCAAAGCAAAGCTCCAAGAGAATGATACCAAGCGAGCGAAATCGCAGCTGTTTTGCTCGGCTGTCCTAGTCGAAAATTCAGAACATCTCGACGGACGAATGGCTCATCGTAGGCCATACAATTGCAATCACCTGGACCTAGAAAGAAGAGAATGTCCTTTTTTTGAAGAATCAACTTTGAGCCATGGCGTGAACTGCAACCGAGTGATTGAGGATGCAAGCAGCAAAGCAATGACGTAACGTTGGCGTCGACTGAGTAAGTTTCCGGAGAGAATATGACACAAGCTTTATGCATTGGTATCTTCACACGGCTCACTCTTCAATCCGGGTGTAAATGGTATGTTTCACCTGCCCCATGAGTGATTTCGGCGCTGTCGTTATCATGTCGGTAATGGTCTCGACTTTGGTCAACCTGGAGATTTGAGCCAGCTATCTCTAGATGAACGCTACATTCATCTGCCTCGATAGGAGAGGGCAACCAGTAAAGCAGCGCTGCGGTTTCGATAGCCGGAGGGCATTTGCGGGAATAGATCTCATATTCCAGATGAAATTGATCTCAAACAACGTTTCTAAAAGAGCGTGGTGTTCTAGCTGAAGGTTTATACAATGGTTCTTTCTATAAGAGCACGGCCACTGCTTCTGGAGTGCTAAAAAGAATTTCTAATTTCTCTCATAACTTCTTGAACACCACTTCCAAATGTGAAATATCGTTCACTCTATGATTAGAGATGTTTGGCGGTGACAATGCTGGCTTGATGTTCCTGATTCTTTTCCCCACCCGCTCATTACCTATGTCCAACTGGTCAAACAGCCCCTTTCTGAGAGGACTTCTAAACTGAATTTGAGCCAAAATTCAGCGCAAAGGGATTTTGAGCGTGCTGGTTGCCAGTTGAAGGTTCCGAACCTGGCTCCGCCTGAAGCTGTATTGTCAAGGGACAAATACTCTTTCAGGCTCATTGCTATCGCGTTTATCCTGCAGATAGTGTCCAGAAATGGTTCATACCAATATCCTGACGCACCCTGTGCAAAACATAGTGCAAATCCATGTTACTCCAGCCTCTGCTTCCTGGGTCGTTCACCAAACACCTAGCTTGAGGCGATCAGTGGAAACGGCCCGACGAGAATGCCAGCCACTTCAATACTACTTATTTTGATATAGAAAAGTAGAGGAGAAAGGAGGTGATCTGATTCTGGAAGATTACCTGAGGGCGCTTGAAAACACTACGTTCCGATGGAGAGATGTTGTATGTCTTCTTGATGTCGGCATCAGAGACTGCATGTCCATTCTACCAATTTTAGTGACTCGGTTGACATGTGAGGTCGTCTCTGGAAGCCGCGAAGGGTGGGTAATCTCTACAGCCCACAGTGACCTTAACAAGAACAATGTAAATGAAGAGACGGAGCTTCTAAAGGAAATCGCAGCATGCGTCACACCGCTCTTCAGAACGTCCGATTTCGTCTGCCAAGAATCACCTATGTAGTTACCGATCTATTTGCTGGACTCCTAAGTCGTAATCGACATAAATTTAATACCGATTTCGATATTTCTCACAGATGCAAGAAGCATCCGAAGTTCGTCGAGAAGGATACATTTGGCTTTGCACAAGACTAGCCCAGGCTATTACAGAACGACGAGGCTACTTTGAATACGTTGAAGAGTGCAATGGTAAGAAGCTCAAAGCTATAACTCCTGGAGATAGAGCTCTTGCAAACCGAATTTCCCGTTCCCTTGAAACCCTAACCCGTTTTGTATAGTCTACCATCTAAAGCCGCTATGGAAAGCGTTCATGAGTCCAGTAAACAGTATCCTCTCTCGATCTGTCGCTGAAAAGGATGAATCAGACTTAAGACAATAAGAAGTCGTATGCCACTATATCTTACTCTATACCTTACTTCGTCGATAGTGAGGTGTCTAAGTCAACCTCTGCCGAAACTCATCATTTCAAGCTGCGAACGAGACTTAACGAAGCAGTGAAATGCTGCCCCATTTTGCCTTCAAGGGAAGATATTTTGGAATGAACAAGAGTGGTGGAAACACCTTTTCTCCGATATTTGTGCTCCTATTTGTGCGTTTTCAAACTGCGACTCCCCGTGCTTCTGCGATATCGATGAGAGGTTTTTACCATGAAATGCAAACTCATCGTGTTAACTACTCATATGATCAAGGCCACGAAAATAGATATCCTTAGTATTGCCAAAAGGTCACTAGATAAGATATACCTCTTTAACTGCCTTTAAAAAACATCTCGCATCTCATCAAGGACAATTGGCATTAGTTGCAGTCACTAGTTATCTTATTTTTTAATGTTTAATTATTGCCACAAGTGCAAAAAGAGAAGGGCAATCCTCTTTTATTACACCCTTTGAATAAGCGTCATCTGAGTCCCACCTCAACAGACCCAAGACCTACGAAGGTACTTTAATATTTCTCCAATTTTGTGTGAGAAGAATTTAAGACAGCCAGGTGCCTCAGATACATATGAAAGTTGAAAGCTGAAGAGAGCTCTAATGTTGAAAAGTTTTTGTTTATGACTGCAACTGAAAGCCAACGAGGGGTATTGGGGTCGACTCTGGAAGATAGTAATAGTAAAATAAGCCTAACAAATCCGTCGGATGACTCGCCTTTAATAGTTGTTGCCAGAACCGGGCATGGGCCAGTGGTAACTGTGGGATTATTGCTTGAAACTAAAAAATTGGATGTGAATGAGAAAAAATAAATAGTTACATGCTCATTGCACATGCTATTTCTGAAGTTACTACTTTAAGGGGCTCTTAGGTCTTCAGGATACAGGTTTGTTCTCTCAACGTAGTTTATACACGCGGTAGAATCATCGTAAACTAGTCATCAGAAGCACTATGTTATTGAAAGGCTTTGTCCATAGATTAATTTAAACGTCCATCTTGTGATTTCCCCAAATATCTTGGAGAGGAGGGGGTATAAACAAGTCTAAGACGGATACAGCAAGCAAGATTTTCGCAGTTGGGAACATTTATCGGGTCGGCAGGACGGAAAATTTGACGATATTCCTTTCCTCTCGAAGTAGCACAGGCGCGGAAGTAAATCCCCGTTGACCCTCGAGGAACCCATTCGGTGTACCCTGCTGAAAATCCGCTTACATCGGAGCCCGGAGGGATATCCTTTTCCTCCCAAGAAGTGTATCGGAGAGCCCCGTTGGCATCAATGTAGACGGTTTGGTTTCCACTATGGGCCCAATTGTCCTGTTTTCATTGAAGACAAACCCTTAGTTGATTCAGGAAGGCGATAAGAAGTATTGATAGCGTACCAACTGGTTCATCAAGCCATGTCCATCCTTGAAGCGCGTACTTTGATCAATTGGATAGTGTTTGTATATGGACCAGTCCACCGTTGCGTTACCGCCGAGATAAAATTCGCCATAATACGCAGTCACCGGCCACACCCGCCCTTCTTCTGGATACTCGCCGAAAAGAACAAACGTTTCAGGCACTACTGGGGGCCCCGCGAGAGCGACCGCCCCAAAAAGGGGTGCCAGCAAGGCCAAAGCGCAAAGCTTCATTTTCGATCTGCAAGGAAAGTACCTAGTTCGGGGCCCACCCGAAACCAGCAGGGTATAAAGAACAAAAAAATGCGTAATCTATGATGTTTCAGAAAGCATCAATTCGGGAACACATGCTTATCTTTATATACGGTCAATATCCGACAGAGACGATGTATCACCTGCGACCTGACCATCATGGGTGATAGAGCGATTGCAGGGTTAATCGCAATTCAATAGGGTATACAGAGTACAATCCGATCCAGAGGCAAGTTTGCTTTCACTCAACGCATCGAACAAAAACGATGTAACTTCGTTTTGAGACTATGATTGGTGTACTTAAAACCCACAAGTATTTAACTCTTGAAAGATCTCGTCTCGAGTTTAGATAGTTGAAGATCCGCCTTGTTGGGTGACACAAACTCACAAACTGGGGACTCATTTCACTAGGATGGGTAGCCAACAATTATACAACGCCGTATAGACCAGTTCCTGTCAATAGTAGACCAGAAATCAGGCTTTTTTTTTTTTTTTTTTCAGCATCATCCATAGATGAAGTCTAGCTTGATGTAGGAGTTCATCGGCCTCAAGATTACCCTGAGCTAATGAGGTAAATATTCCAGAACACAGATGAGATTTTTGCAGAATCCATTTTACTCCCTGACCATGTTGCATTTTGACTTTTGAAACCCCGACTGCAAGAACCAACTTTGCAGAGAATCTAGAGCCGTATTCAAAAAAAAAAAGGGGGGGGCCTCAACATCTTTCATACTCCGTATATACGCGAAGACCATGAAACAACATTTTAACCTCAAAACAATAGTGTTCCGTAGAAAAGAATACCTGAAAACTTCGAGGAGCTTGTTTCAGTCATTTTGGTAATTGTTAGTGCTTAGGGTTGAGTTTCGTATTCCAGGCCCCCGAATTTTATCCCTGTTACTGATCAGATTTTTGCGAGCTCAATTTCCATATTTAGGATAGAGTGCATTATCATTGTGGGTAGCCAACGATTGCAATTTGTACTCTGCAGCACACGATATTCTAAGAATAGCTCTGCCTGGTCATGATTGTGTGATGTGTTTTGCTATAAGCAGGTGGAACAACTAAGCGCCGATTCCGAAATCCTCGCCCCGCTGGTGAGGGTTTAACTTGTAAACTAGCGCATTTTTGTCAGAAGCTTGTTTCTGCTGCCAAAACTCTAAAACACGTGAAGAATCCAGCTTTTCGGCACGCCCGATTAATGGCCTGGAATTTTGGAAGAACTAGAATTAGAGTTGAAACTTGATTTTCCAGTGCAGATCGTCTAAATGGTGTTTTTTGCCTACACTCCACATTGGAGCTTGATCTTTCGCCCGGCGCCGCGGACTTTGCATATTCGGGAATTGTCATAGAGGGAGAATCACAACGATGTGAATGATGAAATCGAGAGGCTAGCAAAATACGGAGGTCGCCGCCAAAAGTTTTGGTCCCCCCATAAAATACAGAGCCGTAAATAAATTACAATAGATTACCACTATGTAACAAATTACACCCCGCCAAATCAATTAATCAACTAGATAAGTCAACAAGCTTCTGTGTGGAGTACGCGCTATTCTAAAATCACCATATTAAATTGAAAATTCTACAGCTCTTCAACCTCTACTGTTTCTATTAAATCAAGCCCATCAAACTGAGATAGATCTTTACTTGAATCATGTTCAAAATCACCATCTATGTCTGAATCAGAATTGCTTGCTTCATCAGGGGTTGTTTTCTGAGGGGTAGAAATTAGACTTCACAGCCAACACTTTTGAATGGTGACTGTAAAAGCTTGTTCAAAGCTCCTACTTCATGTACAAAGAATATGGAGCACGCGGAGTAGAGATCAAGCTCTCCATACAAAATCATTTTTAAAGCTCAGATGGAAACCAAAAGAGGCCCCTTTTCAGCCTGGTTACACTAGTGTACAGTAATTATGTTGTATGCATTTGGAAATATTACAGCCGCTAAGCCCCTGAGGACCAAAACTTTTGGCGGCGACCTCCGTAGCGCCTTTAGAATGAAAAATAATAGCCCCAACAAGGCACCCCAGTATTTTGACTTTTGTTGAAGGATGAAAACCTTTTTCCCCAAATCACAAACGAAATGGCACCTCTATCCACCATGACAGAGATGTTCTTTTTTTTTCTCTCTCCTTTTCAACGAGAACAGTGGGCCTCTATCGTGCAGTTATCTATCGGAGCCGATAGCTCGAAAAAGCCCGAGGCATACGTGGCTACACTTGAAAAAAGCGATAGAAACATTTGCCTGGGATATGGAAGAAAAGATTGACCATAGCTTGACCATAGCGTAAGCTTCTGTGCACCTATATAGAGGATGCAGAACAGAGACTTCTATGGTTACCATTGTTCAAAAGAGCTACTACTTTGATATAGATACCCGCGTATCCATCTTGCTACACAGCCTTAAAATTAGGCAAAGAGGCATCCAGCAATAACTACGAAATTAAAGAAATCGTGATATCAACTCAATAAACTCAAGAAAGTAACCAAATATGCAGATGGAGTGCAGTATATCTATTGGTTTGTGTTCGTTGAGAGAAAAGTATCCTCTGAACCTGGTGGAACGCGTCAGCTGTGCTTATGTATGTACTCCGTATGTACTTTCAATTTCATCTCTGATATTTCCGCTCCGGTGTTTTCTTTTATTAAAATATCAATAAGTAATCCCATGTCTAAACTTCATGATTTCTGTCTCTAGACTTATAGTCTGCTGGGCATGCATATAATCGACCATTCTTTGTCTGAGTAAAGACTAACTTTGCTGGATCCCAATTCAAGGGGCCATTCTTCAACAATATTTCCTATGTACTTTTAGAGACTTTTCTACTCCGTACAGAGTACTATGATGCAGATGCTGTGTCCTACGCGTTCCCTTGAGCTGTTAAACTCTAAACGTTTGCAAGTTTTAGAACTGCGTCGCATCGAATTCCAGAGCAGTTGATAACTAGATCATCTAGAATAGCCACGCAATACAAGCGGAAGAGAAATCGACCATTTCTCTATATGTATAATACATGCCTCCTGTTGCCTTGACAAATCATTTTGTGGTGCATCCACGTGTCTCGTACGAGGAGATTGTTCACTAACCAAACAATCATAGATCTATCTATGTGCCAATTCCTGGCTTCCAAGCGCGCCGATTAACTGTTGCGATTTCTACAAGAATGGATAGTATTGCTGCCGGGTCTCACTCCTATAAATTAAGCCCTAACGATGTCCTTCGTTTCTGCTGGGCTTTTCAAGATTGCTCCGGCTGCTTGAAGGCAGCAAGCTTCTGCAGCTGGTGCTCGTCCGTACGTCTAACACCACGTTGTTCTATCTGCTTCGTTCTCGATCATGAAGTTATGTTGCCTAAGACATCACACTTTCCATAGTCTTCGACTTGTGTTCCCAATAGGGCCTCGATACCCATCCTCTCGCCGCTGGGAAACGATTCGATATGCGCCCTCGGCCCAAAAGAACGATGGGAGCTACGATCACGACCTTTCGGATGCGCCGTTAGCACATTCACAGTCTTGGCTACAGCGATAGCCGTGTTGGTCACTTTGATACTGGCTGCTATCTTGTGGGTGGTGACTTCGGCTGTGACAAGAAGGTTAAGAGAGAAGCGGGGTGAAGAAGAAGACGGGATGGGAATTGCTACCGGAACTGGGGTTCTAGGGATGATAGAGGCCTGGTGGGGAAATTCGAGGTTGGCGCAGATGCTAGAGAGCCGAAATCAGGTCGGAGTGCAGAACTACCCCGATGACGACGGTGAGGGTTCCTACGAGGGCGCAGATGAAAGGCGTCCGCTTTTGGGATGAGCTTTTTAGTATTCCCTCGAATAGTATCTGGGGAATGGTTCTGGGCTATATTAAAAATTATATTTTGATGATATGTGATGGGTTTTTTGGGATGTTACGAATTATGATGTACGATAATAATACTCGACGGGGAAATGACAATGGATGAAATATGAGATTCGTTAAATCCTTCAGTATATATAGTTATATACTCTGTATCGAAATCCTCAACCTTTGCAGACCTTGCTAACTTTGTATTCGACGATCGGGCGCTGACCTTTTTCGTAAATAAAGTGGCCGGCAGCGACGAAGACTTCAGTCTCAAGGAAGGCGTAACGTTCATCGCCAGTCTAGTAATACCGGAGGTAAGAAGATGAGCAAAACATGGTATAAGTGCACTGACCTCGAATGTAAGGTGGGTAACTAGCAAATTATTATGTTAGTATTAGTCAACGGAGTAACTTGAAAGAATCAAAGACAAGGGGTATCGCACATGAATCGCCAAACGGGGTGGTGATTGACTCAGATTCTCCACTCAGAATTGCAGTGAGTTCTGGGGAAACAGAAACAATACCCGTATAATGGAGGTAGACGGACTAGAGCATCGTCAGCGTGCTTATGTATTAGTACAATTCGCCGGGCCGTCAAGGTTTCTTACCGCTCCATCCTCAGTCCTAGCACTTTCGTTAGCTGCTCGGGGTGTCTGGAAAAAGAGGGGAGTTGCTTACTGGATCACTCCATGTGCATTGAGCCTGAGCCGTTTACCGTCGGCATCCACACTAATATAATCATTGCCAGTGCCAACAAATTTGCCATTAAATGCAGGAGCAAAGCCCGGCTCACTCTTGATAGAGCCGCCAACCATAGGCTATGAATGGAATCGTTAGACCTCTGTCGTCTGTCCCATTTTAGAGGCTTCATCATACCGTCACTAACAGGTTGCATTTTCGGGAAGAGTTTCCTTTAGCATGATATCGTCAGCCCCAGTGGGACGGCAGCGGTGAGGAAATAACATACCAACAGTAGTGGGGGGCTCAATGAAAACCTGCTTTGCGTCAGCTCATGTGCTAAGAGTGTAACTATCTCCTGCAGAGCCCACCTGGATGGTAAAGGCAGGCTGCAAGCTTGGGAAACCCGACATTTTCGCAAAGTAAAACCTCGGCCGGGATAACTATCACGAGTGACTGCAGAACAATGTGTGAACGTTCAGAAGGACAGTAATATTATCGTTCTCGATATTACATCTGGGACCAGGGAGGGGCGCTGACTACCCCGCCTGCCATGGGTTGGACAGGCAGTCAGTTCCTCGGTTGAAACCATCATCCGCCCCAAGCACGACAGCTCGACCTCAACCACCTCTGGAGCGCATGGAGCGCGGCGACAGCCGCTGCACCCGTTTCACTGGCGGCCCCTTTTCGGAATTAGTCACGCCTGGAAGCTGCGCTTGCTGGTGCTGCTGGCCTATCTCGCCCCTACCGGCTAGGACAGCTAGTTAGCTCGCTAGTTGGCACATCCTGCGCTCCACCGTTCCTCATGGCGATGCTGCTAACGCGGCATGACCGCTAGTTAGCTAGTTACCTGTCACAAAGCTGTCATGCTCTGCGATTCGCATATTGCCGTCGCGCCGCCAAACGCCTCGCCGCTGAGGGTGTCAGCCTGGTGATGTCATTTGACCCGGCGTCAGCCAATCAGCGGCGCGGGCCGCTCCTTCCCAAGCCTTGTCACGCTTCCTCGACTTCAGCTTCAATTGGGCGGCATCGTGTCTGACAGCTGTGATTGCGCCTCGCCCTCGTTGCCTACGCTTCTTTTATTTTTACCCACGCTCGCTTTGCTCCCTTCGCTTTGCTCCCTACGATCCATGCTGTAGAATGAGCTGTTGGGCGCCGGCCCTCGCAACTTACCGACACGATGAGCCCCTGGTTCTGGAGGATATCGCTCGTGGCAGCTCTTGCGTCGGGACTATCTGCACAGACACAGCAGCCGCTGCAGGGGAGGATCGATTTCGAAGGCCAGACCTCCTCAATCAGCAGCCACGCTAAACCGAAGCTACATGGCCGATTTTTACATATTACCGGTGGGTAGAAATCCGAACCGCGTGGATCTGTCTTTGTTGACACTTTTTCCCATCGTAAGATATCCATCCAGATCCGCATTATAAGGCCTTCACCAAGTCCGATTCCACTCGTTCGTGCCACAGGGGCAAAGGTGATGCGGGCTACCTGGGCACTGCAGGAAGCGACTGCGATAGCCCTCTGACACTCGCCAACGCGACTTTTAAATGGATACGCGATAACTTGAGAGATTCTGTTGACTTCGTAATTTGGACAGGAGATTCAGCGCGCCACGATAATGACGAGAAAATTCCACGAACCAACGAAGACATCGCTGCGCTTAATCAGGCCATGGTCGATGGTCTCACCGATGCCTTTTCTGAGAAAACTAAGTCTGGGCGGCATCTCCGGATACCGATCGTCCCTACAATCGGTAATAATGACATAAAGCCGCATAATATCTTAAAAGCTGGCCCTAATCGATGGACGAAAACTTTTTCCACTATGTGGGGCGCGTTCATCCCGGAAGCGCAACGTCACACCTTCGTGGAGGGAGGCTGGTTCTATTCCGAAGTTATACCAAACAAGCTGGCAGTTTTCAGTCTCAATACGATGTATTTCTTCGACAGTAACAGCGCTGTGGATGGGTGCTACGCTAGATCCGAACCAGGCTATGAACATATGGAATGGCTACGAATTCAACTCCATTTCATGCGAGAAAGGGGCATGAAGGCAATACTGATTGGCCATGTACCTCCTGCCAGAACTGCTTCAAAAGCGGCGTGGGATGAATCATGTTGGCAAAAGTACACTTTATGGCTGCAGCAATACCGCGATGTGATAGTGGGTAGCGCTTATGGACATATGAATATCGATCACTTCATGTTTCAGGACTTTCATGATTTAAAAATCGGAGACAAAAGCGCCCTGGCGCTAGAGAAAAGATCCGATGTGTCCAAGAAGCTAAGCATTCAGTCAAAAACATCGTACCTTCGCGAGTTGCGGAAAATTTGGTCAAAAATACCGTCGCCTGCTGAGGATAATGACGTTCTGCTGCCTCTTTCCACCAGGAAATTGAAAGATAATTACCACCGCAAAATAGGCGGGAAATGGGGTGAACGATATGCCGTTTCTTTAGTCTCTCCCAGTGTCATTCCCAATTACTTCCCAAGTTTACGCGTGATAGAATACAATATTTCTGGCTTAGAGGAATCGGAGTTATGGTTTCAGCGCTTTCTTGAAACCCCTTCGACTCTTGCAATTGATCCGCCAAGTCTTTCGTTAGAGACGGCGAATGAAAAAGATTTGCCTGTGCCAGAAATGCAGAAGAAAAAAAAGAAAAAAAAGAAAAAGAAGAAGAAGAAGAAGAAGAAGGGAAAGAAAAGACCTCCGAAGTTCATAGTCCCAGATCCGCCTTCAAAGACGGCACCCCCAGGGCCAGCGTACTCGAATCAGCCATTTACTTGGCTGGGATATACCCAATATTATGCCAACATTACAAAATTCAATGCAGAGTTCAAACGTAACTCTGAACATCCAAAAACACCTTTAAGCTGGCGAGATTACCAACTACAGAAAGTCGATGGCCAGGACCCGGAAGACATCTCATTCGAGTTTGAAGTAGAATATGAAACTACCATGGATAAAGCCTTTAAACTAAACGATATGAGTGTTAAATCCTACCTAAAACTGGCGAGGAGAATTGCCCAACGTTCTAAGACCGCCTCCGGCGCTCGGAGTGACTGTGGTAACGATGACTGTGAATATCAAGCCATTGAACCCGAAACCAACAGCAAGCTTACAATTTCAAATGTGAAGCCTGGAGAGGAAGGTGAAAAAGATTTATATACTGCTCGTATAAATCCTTGGAAAATATTCCTTCGTCGAGCCTTCGTTGGGTATTTTTCCGATGACGAGCTCCATTCGATAAGTGAATATGCCTAGGCTCTTTATGGCCGTCTTTCCTTTTATTTCTGCATTATGGGACTTTTGCCCCCCCCCCCCAACAGGCTGCATCGAGCGAGTTTGGTTTTTATTTTTATTCTACTTTACCTCCCTTTTTTATATATACAGACCTTTTATGTGCGCCTGCCTGTTCATAAATACCAGACCTGTTTTTTTGTCCTAGAAGAGTGAAGTTTGATTAGACTATGCGATATTGATCATCTGAATGATACTGCCCTCGGGGCGTTCCGAGTCACCGCCTCAGCTGGAATCCAACGGTGAATGGATTCCCGCTTCCCTTCGCGCACTTTGATGTCCCACCTTTCAGTGACAGGCATGTTTTGCCTCCAGCAGGTGAAGGCATTCAAATTCTTACTAGCTGGATCTTTGAACATAAATACCCCTTCGCCCCGTTCCCTTTCCTTTGCTTCTTCCTTCATTCTTATTCTTCCACTACTCAGTCGCACAGGAGCGGCTCAGACTCAAGAGAAAGCCTGTTTCTTGCCATGGTTGAAGTGCTACCACTAATGAGTGAGCCTCTTGTCAATATACTTGGCAATTTTCAGAATTTATTGAGCTAAGAAGGTTAATAAAGCACAAGAGCAGAACAGTATATTCTCAAAAGAAGATCTAGTGAATCTAGCTGAAAATATCTGGTTTTATATAAACGTATGCTACATGTGTGTACATACATTCGCGCCACCAGCAATCTCACTTCAATGAGATAGCTGATATCAGCAATATCAACCTTACTGTTGGCACTTTTACCTGCCTTCTTGAGGCATAATTGCACAAAATCAGTTGACTTTGATTTTATGACAGTATTGAGCTCCAATTACAGATCATCTGTCTGATTGATCATATCGATCTCTTTAACTTATGTCTGCTTACTGCACTGCAGCGAGAAAAACTACACCTTAAATAAAAGGAGCGCCTCTTCTTAAAAAGTAGCCAAGGTTTCGAGATATCTTCCTTGTTCTTTATGCAGCATCAATTTTTGTGCTCTGTCCGCCCCTTTATTGACAAGAAATAATAAACCTTCGAGAAACAGTAAAAGCCGACGACAAGATGGCCTATCCTCTGTGAGGTGGAAATGAAGACTAAGTGGACAGAAGGCGTACAGCAGGAATCGGAGGATATTCTCTGGCTGCTGGGGGCATGAATCGGTAAAACTTCTACAGAGTGGGTAGTCCCTGCGTGTCTGATACCCACAAGCCTCGAAAATATTTCAGTGAGGGAAATCGACTATAATACACATTCTACCCACTCCCCAGCAGTTTCTGATAACTAGAGATACTTCTCAGTTCTCACCCAGAAAATGTGGAGCCATCTCACCCTCACCATTTGCTAAAATGCGTGCAAAAAATAAGTATCTGTTTCCGTTCTCAGTCAGATTACACTCAAAAATTTGGAAATGCCCCGTTATCTCTGTTTCTCATTCTTATGAAGTCTCTGGTTAAGGGGCTTCAATCTAGAGGATGATTGAGAAACAATAACTATTAGAGCTTAAATATCAGTTTACAGACTGAGAATCAGTAATTGCGATATGAGCCACGCTAGACTCAAAGGATTTGTTAAAGTGGTTTCTTCTCTTGTCAAAAAACTCAAGGCTGACAAGGCACTTGCGGACAATGTCACTGCAACTGCTGAAGAAGTAGAAGAGTGTGGTGCCATTTCTGTATTTTGATAAGTTTCTGCACCATCATAGCCACCTTTATCAGACATCATTGTATTCTGGTCTTAAACAACTGTTTTAAGTCATAATCATTAAGCGCAAAGATGACCTTGCGACAGACATAACTAGGTAGTTATGGAATGGTAGCATCGCAGCAGCCTTCTATGGATGCTTAGTTGCATGATAAAGAAGCCTCCTCCTTATGTGTAGGGATGCTATGTACGGAGCAATGGAGGAGTGATTCTCACTATGGAGTGCTCCGTATAGTGAGTTTTTTCATAACTTCAGAGTCCGAGTTTTTTCAGATTCTCAACATTCTTAAAAGATACGATGTCTTAAGAAGAAGTAGTTGGACAAATGATTTCATAGTTGATCATGATGACACTATGAATTCATCATCTGTGAATCCTTTTGCTTTTCTCAGTTGGCGTGTGAGAAACAGATCAGTCCTCAATATTCTCCTTGAGTCAGAATCATATTTATAATTCATTAAAAAAAGTTGATCCGCCAAATGAGAAAAATTATCTTTCGCAAGAAATAATGAGAGAATGCCAGAACAAAAAATAAGTCTTGACGTATTATCTGGCCACATATATGTTGGATAACAATTTGCCTATACTCTGCAGTTATTGGACATGTCTAACAAGAAAAGTCAATACAGCTCTATTTTGATCTCTTCGAACGATGATAAAGAGAAAAGAACACAAAGAAAAATGCGGAAGTGGCCACAGTTGATTGTGTTATTTTGATGCTATTTTTCTAGATAATCTCATAAAAAGGCTGCGGTCGCCATTGCCCGTTAAAAATTGTTATGCCTGATAAAGATATCGCTCGATAGTGCATTAGTATATTAAACGAGACAATGAGATACTCGTTCTTATAATTTGTGAAAATGGTAAACATATGACGCATCGATATATTTTTTCAACGGGGGAGGGCAAAATCTGAATTTTTGAATGCCAGTTGCCGGCATGGTCTTCAACGACAACTTATTTTCGAACGAATAGTCGGGTATTCCAGATTTAACATGGAGTTACGATATCAATGAAATACTGACATTCACCCAGCACCCGTCAGTGACACTACCTTGAACATGCCGCAAAGAAACGGATTTCTTTCTGTTCTTCGGGTATATGTATATATATATATATATATATATATATACAAGCGAAGCCTGACACCTAGAGCATATCAGCATCGATACCCAGTGTCAAAGAAGCGTTTCGAGTGTAACTATAAAAAGCATCAAACAAAATGGAATCTCAAAACCAAGATGCCGCCCAAAGTTCGAAAGTAAGTAAAGAACTAACTCACAATCCAAGCGTTCCCTTACTTGCAGCACTAAATATTAACCATCTATTGACTAACATTAACCAGTCTGGAGGTTTGAAACCAAGGCCATGGCATCTCTTAGCATCAACTAAACATCCTAGGTACCAAATGGACTTCACAAGAAGAAAACTTTCTTGTTATCCATTCAATGGATCCAACAATATCCAACGATTGGCTTTTTAAGAATATGCCAGGAAGCAACGGAAGAACATTAAATTCGGTTGCCGGCCACTTTGGTGATATGCGACTCAAAAAGCGACTGGCTAAGAGTTGGAGAGCAAAGACATGGGATCATAGCACTCCATGGACCATCGAAGAGGACGCAGAGATCCTGCAGTGGCACGTTTCAGGCCGAGCATGTTTAGATGCACAGATATTTTACGCAAACGACCGTGCTGGCGGAGCAGTACTTGAGCGAGAAGCCTATCTTTGTGAAGATACAGAGCTAGTCGAGACGGTTGCGCGAATTGAGGAGAGGTTGAGGTTGATTTTGCTCGAGCATGATATGATCAACGCGGACTCGGACAGAATGATAATGCGACATGCGGCAATCGAACTTCGACGAGAGGAGTCGCATGGCATCGACGAAATTTTTACCGCAATCAAGGACTCATTGAGGAACCGGGATGGCTAGGATGGGGATGGGGATGGAAATATCACTAACTCGAAGCAGGGGTATATTTATAATCGCTTTATTTAGCCATTCGTTGCGTCTTGTTTGGACATATGTGTAAGTATATATTGGTGGTCGAGGGAAATTTGGTATCAGGGAGCGTGGTGCGTTAATTACCCAGTTAGTAGTTATAGCAAATACTGGAGGGTTCATACTTAGGTTCTTGCCTTTGTCCTTTTGGTATAACTATGTATCTCAATGATAGCTTATCGATTCAAAAACATGTGCGAAAGAAGTGTGGTAGACTGAGATTCCAAGCGAAACATCGTTGGTTTTGCATATGTCTACGATGGCATCTGGGGGCCTTGGCTGGGCAAGATACCTGCGGAGTACGGAGTAGTTACTCTATTTGTTGGTGGGTTGGAAGGCGTCCTAAATTTCCTCTTTCGGCTTGGGTGGCTTGTCGAGTTTAGCACTGTTGACGCCACCGGAGTTGAACTGCTAGGTTGCTCACGCCGCTCTCAGAGTTTAGAGCAAGGCATTCATCGATATTCGTTTCTTGTATATTTTCAGAAAGGCCGTCTTCAATGGACGAGGTTCGATCATTCCCCAGGTAGGTATGTATCAGCACCGCAGACGCAAAGAAAATGGGCTGGCGGTGCCTTGGGCAAAGAATGAGCCTTAGGAGCGCCCTAGTTTGCAGCTTGGGCATGCGCTCCCCGAGTTTCCGCCCCAAAGGGCATTGGGAACCAAACTCCCGAGGAAAAAATAATTGGAAACACGCAACGGCCAGACCCACCAGCTCAACGCCAACACGCGCTCGACGACGACAAAGACCACAATCGATGTTGGGGCGGGAACAAGCGGTGGCTGGGAGCTGTGCAAGGAACCAGGGATTTTCGCGCGGAATCTCGGGCCAAGACGAGGCGGTGCGCACAATACCAGTCCGCCGATATCGATTGCTTTGCTCACTTACGAACGCACAGTGGCAGAGCCAGGGCAGGGACCGAAACGTGCGACTCTCTCTCCCTTGCATCTCATAAGACATGAGCTTTTGCTCATAGCCTCACAAAGAGCACCGCTGAAGCGGAAGCGAACTGGAGCTCGGACATGATACCAGGGTTGGACACACGCACTACTCCCCGCTTGACACGTAGAACTGGCGGTGACGGAAGTTTCGCCGCAATGCATGATCCTGCAGAGCCAACACGCACAACGTGAGGCTAACCTGCCTAATGCTTGGACTTAGTTGTGCGGAGATGATGGAATAAGGTTGGAAAAAACAATGTTTTCCAGAACGAAGCCTTGCCCTGCTGCCCATGCCATGTGTGGTGATTTCAACTTTTCAACGGCCCCATCCTGATCGCCCACCCGTTGTGGGAAACCACCAAGTTCTCCGGCGTCATTCGACCCCAGAAATTTGCGGCGAAAGGAGCAAGACGTTCAATTGACGCTGGAAATCTTTTTCTACCAAGCTTTGGTTCCTATTCCCGACAAAGCCCTTGCAGCTCGGAATACTCACCCAAGCTTCTGATAACTTCCTTCTGACCGCATCAATGGAATCATTTCTGCGGGATCTTTTTTCGAAATGAAGCATCTACCCTGAACGTTTTCCGGCACGCTTCATTTTTTTGCTCGCCGTGGCCCTTGTATGCGCCCAATTCATCGCTGTCACCCTACCTAACTGTGCCGCAAGGCGCCCGCTTATTAACAACCGCCTTTGCGCTCAATTACAGAAAATGACTTGCAAATTGTCGAAAATCTGCACACCTAACTTCTCAGCGACATTTCGACTCACTGATCTGCTTGGTCCGTCTTCGCCGTTTCACTGTCGCTTCCAAAACGTAGCCGTACGAGGAGTCACACCTGTTTCCCAAGACAAACTAGAATTTCTGCAAACGTAAGTTCTCTGGTGGAACATTTGAGATTCAAGGCTAACGCGACCATTCAGATAGGTATTCTATATTGCTATTCTTCTTGCGCCCTCGTGTACATTACATTCGAATTACATCTGAACTCCGTTATCGCAAACATCCGGCTTGTTTATCTAGTCGCTTCGGTTGTCACAACAATCTAGTCTATTTGATTTGCAGAATATTGTATTTTATAAGCCAGCCCCTTTTCGTTGCGGATACCAGTGTTGGGACCAAAATTCCCAAGGACAAGCTACATAGAGCAGTGCAGTTTCGACTACATACATCCGGGATCCCGTTTGCGATCGTGAACACTTTGAGCAATCATTCAGGTGCGCCTTTGGAAAAGGCTCTGTTCTATTATCGCATCACCGAAGAGACCGGGGCCAAAAGCGTACTGCAAGCGCGCGCGACCGTTAAGTTTCATACCAACCAGCAGGCACTATTTTCTAAAATTAGACCCCGTATCAATCTGGATTCTGTTCGCTTTCCTAAATTTCGCCTAAGCGCCAGGCTGAATCGATCAACGGACGTATCTGAGGTGAGTTCGGAGTATATTTGTTTTTAGCTATTTAGCCGCCCAGGGTCGCATAACCCCAGCAAAAGCTCCCCTGGCCACTCCGCAATGCCTGCGTTGAACTCTACTATAAAGCAAAAGGGCCACCAGTTCGTGTTTCCTGTTTGATCTTGTTTCTTTCCGCACTTGTACTTTTCGTGAATTACTCTTGACCAGTGTTCGATTGCCCTTTTGGAAATGGATACCCCTTCTATCGAGAGCATTGAAAATTTATGCCAGGACTTTGATTCGGTATCGGAACTAACATCATGCTACTACTGCCAGCTCGAAGAACCTGTTTCATATATTGCGTGGATGGCCTCCTCCGATGTCGACCAAAAATTCTTGGGCTTATACGCGGAACGGACCAGCCATGACAACCCATTTCTCTCTGCGATGCTTTATAAGACCCTCGGACTTTCGGTGATATTATCCAAAAAACTTCTTCGGGCCCGCAAGCTACGACGATTAGATCCAACGCGGGAAACTAAATCCCTTCATCTGTACCACCATATACTATGGCTTTCGCGTGAGGGTTTGATTATAGTTGAGCAATACATCCTTCCCATGGTTGCTGACTACATAACCCTCAAAACTTTGGCATATAAACTTCGAGCGTCTTTCTACCATATAATCGTTCTTTTCCACAATCAACCAAGGGTTTATCAGTCACGAATCCATACCTTTCCTCCGTCTAGCTCGCATGTCGACGTTACCTCTCACTCCCAAAATAGCCCAATTGAACTAGATACCTCTAGTAACCGCGATTCTATCGTCCCATCCCCCCCGCCAAGCATAGGTGGGCCTGTTGGCGGCGGAAGCCGTGTACACCTTCGCCCTCCAGGCCTAGGAATAGATCCTGAAACCCCTAAATTTGCGGCATCTTTCATACTTCCAGCAATAGATTACACTCCCCGCGCAAGTGAAAGTTTCAGTTACGCAGCATATCTTGCTGAAGAGCTGCTTCCCGGTTCTCACCCAATCAGACTTTCCGTCAAGCTAGAATACGCTGCCTATTTGTATGATTGTGTTCATGATGCTGCAGCCTGCAGACGGGTGGCTAAAAAAGCCATCGCTGATGTATACAATGCTCAAGAAGGGATGGACGACGAGTCTTTTGAAGATGCTGCACAGTTAGTTGGAGTTCTTGGCAAAATGGTCAAGAGGGGAGCAAAAGCAGGCAGCGCGGCTGGTAGCAGTGCTGGAGTTGATAAATCTTGGAGCGAAGGGAGCCAGACGACGCCGACGCGCACCGGCGTGAGTGGAGAAAATACGCCACGAACGTGGCATAAGCGCGTGCCTTCAACAGATGGGGCTGTGGGTTCGCCGGGTGTGCACATTCCGGGCGATGGGACACCGATCTAATGCAAAACCCCTCGGGAATACCGTGTTGTACTGTTATATTTTTTCCTTGTGATACCTTTTTTGCTGGCGGAGCAATTGGACGTAGTTTTGTGTACACCGGAGGTCATTTTCATGTTTATGAGTTTTGATGCTTTGAAATATATTAAGGTATCTATCATTTCTGCCGAATCCGAACTAGGCATACAATTCACAGAACAATGCCTACTAGAAATAACTTACCTATGCCTACGGAGTACATTAAAAAAGCACCCGTGGTTGAGTGAAGCGGCATAATCTCGAATTATGATAACTTAAGGCTGTTTTCACGCACTACTCTGTACATAATTGACCCAACTAACTAGCATGCCTCGTCATGCAGTTTGAAACTATGGTTCGAAACACCAATTATTCCGGCCACTTTGACACCTGTCGCGGTCAGGAAATCATGGAGATCAGGGTTCAAATGTGGTTCTGGGGGCTACAAAAATTGCGAAATCGCTCAACACCAAAATGTCTTTTGACAGCGATTGTGCCGACTGGTAAAACCTGTGACATGGGCCGATTTGCACGAAGGATCTCTAGATGAACGGGGCAATGGGTGTCACATCAAGACACAGGTTTCTTTATATACGGAGCTTGGAGCTCGTACGTGGGTCCCCTCCTGAGGAGGAAGGATTTCTCAATGAGACCAGTCTATAGCTATAGAATGGAGTACAGAAAATCCGTCGAAGCTGGGCAATTGTGTACCTAAACAGTTTCTTGGTCGCTAACGACCTTTAGAGATCAAGGTTGCGCCGAGTTTAGCGCCCCCCAGCCTTTGAAACAAAACTTTCAACGACGTTCACAGACTCCCACGGCTTTGGCTCCAATAATGGTGGCGTTTTCTCGGAGCATTACTAGCCCAGGTCAAATCCAGAGGCTTCGTACAGAGTACGGAGCAGTTACACATGGCTGAAACCGCTTTTTGCCGATATCGAAGGGCTGCTTCCATGATATCTGATTCGTCTCATTTTCTCCCAGCGCTCTCCCCATTTATTCGCTACCTCAAGTTGGCGAAAACTGGCGCACGCCCAATGCAAAGCTAGCTGCACTTGTGGAGTAGCCCAGACCTGTGTTTGGAAGTAATCGCCTGGCTCAGAATCCCTATGTTGGGCTGAGTGGAGATCCCCCTGGCTGCACGCAAGCAAGCTTGGGCATGCATATATACTCCAGTTATTCTCCGAAGATGAAATATATGTTATCACATTTGGGTGGCAGCCCCCTAGAATACCTTTTCTCCCACCTGGTTGAACAAGAACGTGTTCTTCAAATCCTCTACCCACGGGGTGTTTTCAACTGCGATGGATTCATTGTTCATTGGCCATCGTCTGCCACTATTGGCAACGAGGATCAGCAAACCTGCACTGCTGGTCAGTTCTTCTGGCTTTCGAATTACCTCTCACTATTGCTAACGGGCGCTCTAGATATCTGTGTGGGTGTTTTTCGGTGTCACTACCTTGCTCCTAATCAGCCGTTTTGTGATTCGAATTTGTGTTCACCGCCGCTTATTCTGGGATGACTTTCTCGCAGCACTTGCCTATGCGCTGCTGCTCGGCCACAACGTTCTCGCAACCTTGGTGGCACCCTCACTCTACTCCATTATGTCTGGACTCCAGGCAGGAAGACTTCCTATTAACTTCATTTCCCAGGTTGGCTGCCTGGCTAAATTAACCTTTGCAAGCAACATCATTTTTACGCTTTGTCTGTATGCCGTCAAAGCCAGCCTGCTTGCATTGCTTTGGAGGCTTGTGAAGAACATTGCTTCATTTCGTAACGCATGGTATGCGATCAGTGCAATTACAGCCGGGCTAGGCATAGTCTCCGTCGTTTTAATTCCAGTGGCCTGCTCACATCTGAATGGCTGTATGTATTTTCCGAGCTTTATCATATTAAGTCTGGATTTGGCTGACGCTTGGGCTTCTAGTCAGTTGTAACACCCCTAAACACATCAGACGAGAAGCGATTAGTCTGCGATTCACTACTACCGCTGATATTCTTTCAGACTTAATGCGTATGCACCTCCATTAACTATTCCATCCTAATAGCACTAACTGGTATTTGATCTAGTCATGTCCCTACCAGTTGCATTCATCCTCACCTCTACCCTTCCTTTATCCCAGAAACTCGGCCTGGTTGGACTGTTCCTGCTTGGTTTCACCGTCATTGCTATGTCGATCCTTCGAATTGCGGCCATCGACAACAGCCTTAAGGCACATACGCCTCCATCTTGGCTCCTCTTTTGGGATGCAATGGAATGCACTATAGCTGTGATAGTATCTTGCGTTGCAGCTTTCAAGTCTCTTTTCACATATCGCAAGCATGCTTCTGCATTTAGAAAATATGCTAATGTTTCCGAAAACTCGGGGTCTAACAAAACTGGCATTGCACTTCATTCCCGAAATTACTTCGATCCTACACCTATGACTAGTGGGAAATGCGATACCACTACGCATATCACGCCAGGAAAGGCAAGAAAATGGAATGATGGTAAATCAAGAGAAGAAATCATATGCAGCACTGAGTTTGAAGTGAAATACGAACAACTTCCGATACCTGAGCAGCCGCCATCTATTCGGCTTTCTCGCTGATTACGAACCGATATGGTTTCGAAAGAGATTAATCCAATTATTGGGCTTGCTGCTCAACGGCCTTCGCGAACCCACCACTTTCCAGAACGTGGAGAATAAAAAGGGAATTCGGCTGATCAGATATCATCGGCAAACCGTGGAGTGACAATCAAGTCCTTTCACTATTTCACTGCTGTAACACTGGGTGGGACCTGGTACCATGCCCCTATTATGTTGGGGCCATGCAGTTCGGAGTGGAATCAAACGAACCGCTATGGTCGCCATCTATGAATACAGATGCTTAGAGTTTAAGACGAGATTACTCCCATCTTTTATACTGATATTCAAGATGTTCCAAGTTTTTCACCCACCGCCGTTGCATCTCCGATTGCCATCGACGAACGTCGGAAGCATCTCCTGCGCCAAACAATCTATGGAATATGTTGCAGGACGTAAGGCTTCTAAAGACATGGACTCCGTCAACTGTGGGGGTTTGATACTATAGTTATTATATTGTCTATGTTTGTTGTAGAAGTTTGTAGGTTAACTACCTAGGTAACTACCTAGTTAAGTTAGCTAACTAGTCGGCCTCGGGATTCTACAGGTAGTTAACTATGTAGTTTTATTAGTTAACTAGTTGGAAGTCCATGTAGAAAGAACAACAGAATCTAACTATCAAATCCTCCTTACTATTTCTTCACGCTCTGTGTACTCCATACGGATACGAGTGTTCCATATGGACCTATGTATATTTATCGCCACTGCTGGGCCTCGGCTACAACAGCTCACCGGGCCACGGTTAACAAACGCTAGTCAACTAATTCCCCGGACCTCCACAGCTCCAGGCCTGGAGGAGGGGAGTCTCAAAGCCAATAATGCAAGAGACATATATAAGACGCCTCCGACATAATCAACCTCTGGCACCACGGAGTAGCCGTTCCCGTTCTCTCTCCCAGCCCCCACGCGACCACAATGGCGACGAACTCTGAGAACCCCGTTCCCTTCTCCGAACCACCGTACCTCTGCGGCCTTCCTTCTCCCTACTACACCGAAGCACATCGGGAATTCCAGAAAAAATGTCGCGCGTTCCTATGGGAGAATATGACCAAGCATGCGATGGAATGGGAGCGTGAGAGCCAAGTTCCCGAGCATGTCTTTGGGACGTTTGGGAAGCATAATATGTTATTGCCGAATTTGCCCTCTCCGCTGCCCGTGGACTGGCTGAAGAGGCTGGGAATTCATGACATTTTAGGCGTCAAGGTGGAGGACTGGGATATTGTGTACACGGGCATCTATCTGGACGAGGTGGGCACTCAGCGGATTTGAAATGGCACAAGATGGCTGATGGACAGCTAACGGATGTAGATGGCACGATCTGGGCTTCATGGTCCGCCTAGCTCTATGACAGCAGGTCACGCCTTTGGGATCCCGCCGATAATCAAATTTGGAAGCAAAGAGTTGCAGGAGAGATTCCTGCCAGACTTCTTGACGAGCAAGAAGAGAATGTGCATTGCGATTACCGAGCCTGATGCTGGCAGCGATGTCGCCAATATCACCACTACTGCTGTGAAGTCTGCAGATGGCAAGCATTATATCATTAACGGCACGAAAAAGTGGTGGGGATTTACCTGCCTCACCTATGGCGTTGATTACCTAGCTAACACTTGTTTTACAGGATCACAAATGGCATCTGGTCCGATTACACGACGATGGCGGTTCGAACTGGCGGAGCCGGTGCAGCTGGCTTGTCAATAATCGTCGTGCCATTGAAGAACTATCCAGGTGTATCGATGCGTCGGTTCTACGTCAGTGGTCAAACCGCCAGCGGCACGACGTACATTGAGCTGGACGATGTCAAGGTGCCCGTTGAGAACCTCATTGGCAAAGAGGGCCTCGGCATGAAATATATCATGACAAACTTCAACCATGAGCGCCTTACTATCGCAGTTGGGGTCACTCGTCAGGCGCGTGTCGCTTTGAGCGCTGCGTTCGAATATTGCTTGAAGCGAGAGGCATTTGGTAAGACGCTGATGGAACAACCCGTGGTGCGGCATCGACTCGCCAAAGCAGGTGCAGAGCTGGAGTCAATGTGGGCCTGGGTTGAGCAGTTCTTATACCAGGTGAAACACATGCCGAAGGAAGAAGGCGACCGCAGGCTAGGAGGGCTTACGGCGCTGGCAAAGGCAAAGGCGGGTATGGTACTGAACGAGTGCTCTCAGGTTGCCGTGCTGCTGTTTGGCGGTAATGGCCTGACGAGAACAGGCCAAGGGGAGCTCGTGGAAAGTAAGATTTGGCACCCATCCAGGCATGCGACATTGTGAGATTTAATCGCTAATATATATTTACTCTACAGAAATCTCCCGTGAAGTCTGGGGTGCTCGCATTCCCGGTGGCTCTGAGGATGTGCTGCTGGATCTTTCGATCAGGCAGCTCGTCAAGATCTACGCGGCAGAAACTAAGAAGTTGGGACAGTCGAGGCTTTAATGAATTGTTTTATTGTAGGATCAGGCAAGTGTAGTTTTAAATAGGACTTTCCGACACTTTACATATACCCTTTGACGTTTGATTCGGTGTGGCCCCTTGGTCCCTCAACATCCCCCCCGCAATTTTGCAACGCGAAATGCCGAGAAACGAAGTACGATCCTGGATTGTAATAGAGCCTGGCACCTGGTCATGCATGTAACAAGGCCTGCAGGCGCCCGACGCATGCCCGGAGTTGACTGCTGCATCTGTTCATTTCAGCCGAGAAACAACCAGCCGAGCAGTGGAACAGCTTGGCTGTTGGCCCGCAAGGCTGAGGCCTGGAACTGTTACACTACACCCCCGCCGAACAGAAGTACTGGTCCCAATGCTGTTGTGTTTTAGCTGCCGTCTATGCTTGGGATACAGGCATTCTGGTCCAACGAATCTTCCCGGCTGTGTCTCTCCAGGCTGTGTTTCGCTTCAGCAGCGGGTACACCAGAGCTGTGCCAGCAGGCCGTGCAGAGGCCGTTCAAATACCTTGTTGTCAGTTTCATTTAAATTGTTTTGCTATGGCTAGTATCTGGCCTGCGATGATGTCGTGCCACTACAGCTATGGGTTCTCTCGTGGAGCAGCGGGTTTTGTTCACTTCCACCTCTGGTCATGAACATGCTCGTCGTTGCATGCAAACATTATTCCACGGAGCATTTTTGATGATGAACATCATATTATAAAAGATGAAGAAGGGCTTGTACATCTTGAAGGCTTGGCCGATGTTGCTGTTGTCTCTCTGCACAGCTTCAGGAGAGCCGCTACAGCTACCTGGACATACTGGATTTTCCTCTATTATGCCATCTGAAGCGCTCGAAGGCATGAAACACAAATTTTGACCTCTTTAAGCTTGATACTTACTATCCTGGGCGCAGATTCCTTTACCACGACGAAATATACCTATCCCAGCACTCTCCTCGATGCAGACGACGCGATCGTTGACACCTCATGCACTAAAAGGAAACCCCCCCTCGAGCCCTTGATATCATTCGCCTCGAAATGCGATGCCAGTTCAGATTGTCTGTGCAATATTCGCCCTAGAAGGCTCCTCTCGCCTCTAACACACCCCATTCCCGACGGCACGCAACAGAGGGCATACCTCGACCCGAATAGTAATATCATGCCATCCATTGAACCAGTGACATCTTCCGGGCAATTGGATTATTCAGAAGCAAAGAAAATGTACACACAATCTCCATTGATCACTGGGCAGCCATGTTCCTCTTACAATTTGGCCTGCACCAACCTCGCAGTGACGAACTCCTCTTCCGAGACAAATTCGGGCGAAGCATTGTCCGAAAAGACTAAACGTGAAGTAAAACGGAGCTGCTTCGGCCTAATCGTTTGCTTGTTTGTTGCCGTGGTATGGCTCTGATGCTGGATGTAGCGGAGGAGATAACAAACGCCAATCGTGGGTTTCTGGACGATGATATGATATATGAATGATGATTCAAGCTTGTTCTAGGGCACATTATTTTCGGCGCAATCATGAGCCAACCGGCGACGGTCCTCTGCATGCAAATACACAAATGCATCTGTTTCCTATCTTTTCCTGCGAATTTTCTCTGTCTTATGTGATTATACTACAATAATGAAACAAGAAACTTCCTTACCGGTTTAAAATGCCCCGAGAAAATGCCACAGAAAAAAAAAAAGGGTCGTAAAAAGCTCTTTTGGAGGCGATCCGAACAAGAATTTATGAAACAATAAACACAACTTAAAAGGCATTTAGTGGCTGGTAAAGACTCATAATGGCAGGTCATTCACTAATTTGACAAGTACCGGGGGATTGTGTTGTGCTGTAATCGGCCTGATGAAACGACAAGGAACTTCTGGATGTATACCATTGCTCTATTCCAAATCCGTAGGCAAGCACATCAGCCAGGTCATATCTCTTTCTTGGTTGAGCGCTGGCTTATCGTCACTCTTTGTCTTTCTGGAATCATATTCCTCTTCCATATCCATTGCTACCGTAGCTATGTCTTGCAAGACATCCAACCACCTCTGGACGCGGGGACTGAAGACGCGATACTCGATCATCAGATCAACACAGTGATTCCAGCCCATATCAATGGTACCGGGAGGCAATCTTTCATAAGTGCTAGGGCACAGGCGTGCAGCTAACATTACAGTAGCACAGGTAAATAGGTACCCAATATTTTCCCACCAGGCTGGAACAGGGCCAACCTGATGAGAACTATCATCCAGACGTTCGTTTTCTATTAAAATATCTGCAATTTCGCGGGCAGCGAGGATGCACTTAGCGGCTGCCTCGCTCGCAACCATATAGATCAGTGGCGTATCAACAAGCGCTTTATCAGATGAAGTTGGTGAACAGATTTCTGGATCAGAGGCAAGAATAGCCAACAGTGGACGCCAAAGAAGAACGCGCATATGTAGATATCTAACACGAAGGATATTATGCTGACGCTGTGCGATGGGGTGATCTAGGTAAGAAGCCTCCGACTGAAGGTATGGTGGCAAGGAAGTATTCCAATTGCAGAGTCGCCGATCAGCGTCGAGTAATCTCTGGGCATCGAAAGCCTCTAGAAGTTTGCGTGATGAACCAGTGGCAGTAAGGCGAAGCTCTTCCTCGACTGCAACAACATCGCTATATCTTTCATACAAGCGCGCCGAGGCCGTAAAGAATTCTACAATTGAAGGTCTATCCGATGCAAGAGTGGGTTCTTTATTAGATGCTTCCCCTCCAAATATGAGGTCGACGTATTCTGTTTCCAAGGGAGTAGGTAGTGTCGCTAGGGATGGTGGTGATTTTATGGACGATTTTCCAAAATTGATAGCAATCATCCTGTCCGCGAGTTAGATCAGCTGATTGCAAGTTTTCAGTAAAAACTAACCTCTCTAACATGATACAGCTATGCCACACTCTTTTTGCAAGCTCCCTATCAACCCTGCGTTGTAGATGGTGGCTGCCTGATTTAAGGTGAAGGTGCAACGACTGAGAAATCCGAATAGCGATGCCAATAGATTTCCAGGCAGCATTTATATCACCGGTGGCAAACAAATATTGGGTAATAACAAGGTAAGCCTGGATATTCGTAATACTTTCCCCAGTTGCGCTTCCATCATGCAAGAGATTTCGGCTCCTGACGAAATACATCGTTCCGTCGCCCTGCGCGCTAGGGTCGACAGAGAGGCATCCAAGGGCAAACATGGCATTTACCATACCTTGAAAGACAGGGTCGTTCGGTGAGGCTTCAGTTTTCCACATATCTGCGTATCGGGCTTCAAAGTCAGGAATATGAAGAAGTGGTAAGTTAACGTATTCGCGAGTTAGGTAGGTGGCCAGCAAACGGTCGGCAACACCCCGCGGAGGAAGTATGAGATCTTCGGAAGCCGGTGTTAACGCCGTGGAGCTATTATTTAGTTGCATAATATCCGACCGTCGTCGCAATTCATTTCTAGATATGTCGGAAAATCCCGGTTTCGAGGTGTCTGTCCGCTGGGCGAATGCTTCATTCAACTGCAAGAGAAGCGGCGGTCGACCTTTGTGCTCACCATTTGTGTTCATGCTAGCATCGATGAAGTCGGTTCCATTTGTGCCGTTGTCATTTATTTGGTCGCTCAAGAGAATTGGTGAGGGAGGAATTGCTGAAATTTCTCTATAATCCTGAGTCGGTGACTGCAAAGGGGTGCTATAGTCGTCCCGAATACTTGATGACACCACACTAGCCTCGCGACGAGGAGATCCTACGGGGCTTTCGGGTATGAGAACGCTCACATCTTCCCGTCCGACATTCCCGTTCATATCACTTCTAGGAAGCCCATTTGTGGCCGGGGACGAGTGAGATAGCTTTGGGTATTTCCGGCGCGATCTTCCTTCTTCCCCGCGAGGCCTTACACGAACTTGCCTTTCCTTTGCGGGTCTATGCTAATGAATTAGAGAATAGACAAGCGGTTGCATGGTCGGGGGTAGCAGCTTACAGAGAATGACGGTGAATCGGCTGGCTGACGTACTCACAGCGAATGCTTCGTTTTTCGCAAGAGCCGCAAGCTATGGGCGATTTAGTCAATTGGCGCTGGTTATACTATACTGAAGAGACACTCACTTGGAGCCTCCCTGTCGCATTTTTTCCGAGATACGCTACAGGGCACGCATCGCGGTTGGCTTGGAGAAACAACTTTCTCCGGGTCTAGTGTGTCATATGAGCAAGATGTTTTTCTCATCAAGCACGAGGTGCAGGCTGTGATTTGAAGTTAGCGACGTTGAAGCTTGCAAGGTAAGGTTCGAGGTGAGCTGGCAGAATCCACTCACTGGGGGTCAACGCATCGCATTTCCTATGGCTTTTGCGACAAGGTATACAGCGCAGGGGCCGCGACGGGGTGCTGGACGGCGCCATGCTGGATGCCGGCGTGTCTGTCATTGAGCTGCCGCGTCGACGCAGCGAGTTTGATGCCGCAAATCGACCTGCCGCATTGGGATTCTGCCGCCAAAAACGCTGACTAACGACCGCAGGCGGCGAGACGCTGACTCAGCGAGCCGTTGACGTTCCAGACTTCGCCGCCGTCGCGCTGTCTCTCCTCTTCTGTCTCTGTCTGTCTCATGCGTTCTCCCTCGTCGTTCGTTCCTCTTGCGACTCAAGACCGTCACCGCCACCCCCGCCGGACTCGGCTGCTCTCGGGCCCCGATTCATGCTTTTTCACTCTCCTTACGCAACCTTCTTGTTTGGGCTGCCAACTATGGGCGACGAAACCCAACCGTCATCTATCATGGAACCCTGGCCGTAGCGTGCTTAGTCACGCAAACTTTGCAAGTTCGCGTTGAGGGGCAAAAAATGGCCTGGATTGGATACGGGGACTAGGCAGAAACCTGTTCGCTGAGATCTGTGGGAGGTTGAAGCTCGCTCTCTCGTAACCACTCGCCTGGCTGCCGAACTTTGTTGTTTCGCACGGTAGGGGTACGCACGGGTGCCCAACAAGTCTTCATGCCAGTGCTGAGTGTTTTAGCAGTGCGTTGACGCCGATCTCTCTCTTCCTCGTCAGGAGCGCATCCAAGCTCATTGATTTACCCGCTCTGACAGTCCAAGTCTGCCTACCAGATGCTGCCACCTCCTTGAAAATTTCCGATCCCGATGGCGCCATCGGACTCTCATGACAATGGAATACCGCGTCCCCAGATCGAAAGCGCGGAATCCATTACTTGCCCCTCTGGTGCTGTCGGCCTAGAGACCACAGCCGTCCAACCCCTTTCGGCGCCCGTTGCAGGACTTGTTCCGCCAGCCGATCATATGCAGAATTTGATGCCTATTCCGGATGAAAGCCCCCTGTCCGTTTCCGAGAACCTCGATCGGGTCTTCCCGATCCGATCCGTCGTCTCCGTTCAGCCATCTGTTACTGACTTACCGGAGTCGGGCCGCACCCCAGAAAACAATCCCTCGTTGTCCCTGGAAGACTGTAACGCTGTTAGTCATCGGGGACAATCACAGATGGTCGAGAGGAGTGACTCCAAGCCCGCCGCGAATGCTCCACCTGCGGGAAGTTGCTCTTTTCAGAATCCTGCCTCGCCATCCATTTCGCAGACCGCCCAGGAAAAGCCACGTGAAGATCGGAATCACGTTACAACGCGTTTCAAACACATCGTCACTGATAAGGGCCATGCAGTTGTCACTGGGCATGGTGATACAAACTTTCAATACTGTGAGGATGAGCCGATTCATACGCCGGGTGCCGTGCAAAGGTTTGGCGCCATGTTGGTATTGCGAGAAGAATCGGAGGGTCGCCTGATTGTTAGAGTCGCCAGTGAAAATTCCGAAAGCATCGTAGGCTATTCTCCAAATGACCTCTTCAGCTTGGAAAGCTTCAGCAGCCTGTTGATTGGCGAACAACTCGATATCCTCCTAGACCATCTGGAGTTTGTTAGAGATGACGCGTGGAATCCTTCTGTTGACGGCCCAGGAGTGTTCATCGTGTGTGTTTTACAACCGGATGGCGAGGCACGCCGGCTCTGGTGTGCTATTCATATCAACCCAGCGCATAAAGACCTTGTTATTTGCGAATTTGAATTGGAAAAAGATCGCATCAACCCCTTAAATGTTTCGGGCGAGAGTGTTCCGCTAACCCCAGCTCACACTCTGGGCTTTGAGCCGTCGCCAGATGTATTCGCAACAAGCACTCTTCCTATCAGCCAGCCGTTACGTGTTCTTCGAAACGCTCGTAAGCGGTATGGTGAAGCTGCTGCAATGGACGTCTTTAGTATACTCGCACAAGTACAAGAACAGCTTGCTCAGGCAGGTTGCCTTGATGAGCTGCTAAATATTTGTATTGGCTTGATCAAGGAACTGACAGGTTTTCACCGTGTCATGATATATCAATTTGATCCTAGCTGGAATGGCATCGTTGTCGCTGAATTGGTGGATCCAAGAACCTCTAAAGATATGTATAAGGACCTTAGGTTTCCTGCTTCGGATATCCCCAAGCAAGCCCGCGAACTTTATAAACTTAATAAAGTTCGTTTGCTTTACGACCGCGATCACATTACTGCACGTTTGGTTTGCCGAACTTTGGAGGACCTAGACACCCCTGTGGATATGACTTATTCTTATCTGCGAGCTATGTCCCCCATTCATGTCAAATATCTTGCGAACATGGGTGTCCGCTCTTCCATGTCCATCAGCATAGTGGCTTTCGGTGAGTTATGGGGTTTAATTTCATGCCATTCGTATGGCGACTCGGGAATGAGAGTTGCATTTCCTATACGGAAGATGTGTCGTCTAATTGGCAGTGCGCTCTCACGCAATATAGAGCGCTTTTCCTACACATCCCGGTTACAAGCCCGCAAACTCATAAATACCGCCCCAACGGATAAAAACCCGCATGGGTACATTGTTGCTTCCTCCGAAGATCTACTAAAGTTGTTTGACGCTGATTACGGTGCTGTGGCTATTTGTGATGAAACTAGAATTCTCGGGAAGCCGATTGATTCGCAGGAAATACTGGCATTAGTCGAATACCTTAGACTACGCAAGATTAACTCCGTGGCTGCCTCTCATTGTATCTCCGAAGACTTTCGTGATCTTCGATATCCCCCGGGATTAAAACACATTGCAGGTCTACTTTATGTGCCATTGTCGGTGGATGGTACCGACTTTATTGTCTGTTTTAGGCAAGCAAAAGTGACAGAGGTCAGATGGGGTGGAAATCCTTATGAGAAACAAATCAAAAGTGGCACCACTGGCTATCTAGAGCCGAGAAGGAGCTTTCAGATTTGGCGAGAAACAGTTGCGAACCAATCTAGAGAGTGGTCTGAAGCAGAGGTAGATACTGCCTCTGTGGTATGTTTGGTCTACGGCAAGTTCATCCGTGTCTGGCGTCAGAAAGAAGCTGCCATGGAAAAATCGCATCTGACCAAGTTACTCCTGGCTAATTCCGCTCATGAAGTACGGACGCCATTGAATGCGGTCATTAATTATTTGGAAATTGCTATGGAAAATCCGCTCGATCAAGATACGCGCGACAATCTGGTCAAATCGCATTCTGCTTCGAAATCACTGATTTACATTATCAATGACCTGCTCGATTTAACCAATGCTGGACACGATCTTAAGCTCATCAAAGACGAATCCTTTGATTTCTATGCGGTTATTAAGGAAGCGACAGAAATGTTTGGAGCAGAAGCACAACGGAAAGGTATCAGTTATACTGTGACTATTAATCCTGGTGTTGCGAGATTTGTCCTTGGTGATCAACGACGTGTTCGACAAGTGATCATGAATCTCATTTCCAATGCTTTCCAACACACCTTATCTGGTGGAGTGACAGTGGAGTTTAGTCAACCGAACACCGAACCTGAGCCTGGCAGAGCCTATGTTGAGATGGCGGTCTTAGATACAGGTTCTGGGATGTCACAAGCGAAGTTGGACGAACTGTTTCATGATTTGGAACAGGTTTCTACTGACGATGAATATATTCCTGAGCACCTGGAAATGGAAGGACACTTATCTGGTGTTAAAAGCTCCAGGTATGGAAATGGTGAACGCGTTTTGGGTCTTGGGCTGGCTCTAGTTGCCCGAATTGTGCGTCACCTGGACGGGCAGCTCAGTGTCAAATCGGAAGAAGGCAAGGGAAGTCGATTCAAAATCCTACTTCAATTCCCGATCTCTGAAAATGAGACCGATACGCATGCTGAGCTGCCTGCTCCGCCGACAATCCCATCACCACCTGCGGACCTCGCCGGCGAATTTATGTTAGTGAAAAGAAACTCTGCTACACTACACCGCCGACACAGCAACGAAAGTAACCGCAGTGGCCTCAGCTCTCGAAGCGGAAAAAGTCAGGCCGATAGACTTATTACTGCCATTCAGGAGCCATTAGAGGTCAATCCAACGGTTGACGGAGCTGCCAAAAGCGCTATGCCAGTATCGGCCGTTCAATTAGAATCGGAACTGAAGAAGATAGAGGCTTCTTCCCGGATAGAGGAACAAATGACTATGCCATCTCTGGAAAAGACATCTATGGCATCAACTTCTCCTGCTAAAGCGTCCGCTCGCGCCGACTCAGACGTATCAATGCCACAATCAACCTATCTGGAGGCGACCAACGAAGTACCGCCCGCTTCTTGTAGCTCTCCACCCCCACCACCCCCACCTCCACCACCAACAGTAGGGAATCCAGCAACCCTAGCTTCTTCGCCTTCAAGCCAACCCAACACTTCTCTTGTGATACCTCCATTTCCGAAAACCTCGCTGTCAGTACTTGTAGCTGAGGATGATCCTGTTAATAGCAAAATTATTCACAAGAGGCTGGACAGACTGGGTCATGTCGTTCATTTAACTGTTAATGGGGAGGAATGTGCCGCTGCATTTCGAAAGGATCCGATGGGGCATGATGCCATCTTGATGGATATTCAGGTATGCTGGCTTTTTTGGGCCTTTTTTTTTTCAGCAATTCGCATGCGATATACTAATTACTGTGCTAGATGCCAATTGTCGACGGAATTCTTTCTACTCAGATGATTCGCGAGTATGAGAACGCCCAGAATAGTACTTCGCCTTCCAGCTTGATCGGAGGCCGAAGAATACCCATTTTTGCTGTTTCAGCATCCCTTGTAGAAAGGAACATGCAGAAATACATTGATACTGGATTCGATGGTTGGATTATGAAGCCAGTGGATTTCAACCAACTCAGCACTATCCTCACTGGTATTAATCAAGAGAGCGCCAGGAGCGCCACGGCATACCGGCCCGGCATGTGGCATAAAGGCGGCTGGTTTAAATCCGTTGAGTAACACCATCTGACGGAACGATCGTTAAATAATCATGCAACAAATTTCAAAGGGGACTTGATTACTAGCTTGGTTGCATCGACATTCAGCCGCACCCGAGTTACTTACACTCAAGGTTCGAGAAATACTTACTTAACCTATTATACAAGCCTAAATACAGTCCATTATAACGTATACCCAATTTCTAAGATAATTGAAACCAATTTTCGATCAGATAGATCCATTGAAAATAACTATCAGCGTTCTGCGGGACATGAAAACTGCGCTATACCCCTTGATATTGTATGAATACGGACTTGGAATTTTTGGTTAATATTTGTATAATTTTTCCCCGGTTTTGAAGAGCTCTAGAATAGAAAGCGTATATTTTGCGAATGTTCCCTCTGCAAACCTAACTAGCTAAACGGCCTGCTCATCCCACAGAATTCTATGTATGCGTCTTCTATGTGCTCCATATCAAGACCTCTGGTTTTTTCGATTTCGAACCTCCAGGTAGCGAATGGTCCAATTGCAGCTTCGGCGCTCGAATCCGGGTCCCCGCTACTCATATATCCAAGCATTTGGGTATTAAGTGCTCGGTTACTGGTGCAGTCTGTGAGGCCTTCGATCCCACGATTTTCATATTCGAAATCGAGTCGCACCGGCTGAGATGAAAACCGCCACGTAGTCCGTTTTTCGTCCACAATCTGCTCATCACCAAGCATCGTAATCTGCACCGAAACTAGTTCCTGCTTCAAATCGTTCTCGCCGACTTTCAAGCCTACAATCCAGAATCGAACTTGACTCAGGCGGATGTTGTTTTTCTGGTAAAACAACTTTGCCTCCGGCTCTGTCTTGCTATTGGCGAGCATGTTTGGCCTTAACCGGATCATTACGCCGTATATCTGAGTAGACTCACCCGTTTGAGTATCCGTTTGGCCTCTGCATTGTTTGAGAGTGAAAATTTCTCCTTCCGTGAGACGATATACTGGACCCATGTGGCCCTCCGACGGCCACTTCGATTTAACAAGATAGGAATATTTCTCCTTCGCAAGAACCCACTTTTTTTCCACGTCTCTAACCCATTTATCGAGCGCATTGGAGTTGTATAGAGGTCCATCGCCTTTGAAAGCGGGTATATCTACCAGTCCCCAATATCTTACGGCCCGTGCAGCCATATTTATGTACAACATCGTGTCGAACCTCAAGTCGTCGCGGGCCTTTCGTAGCCAGAGGCAAATTGTTGGCAAGTTTGCATTTAGCGACATTTGGGCGCTGCCCAGAATTTCCAGTTGTTTATCACAAAGAGACTTATCTTGATACGCGTTCGAAAGCATTTCCAAAGCGGAATTATATTCTATTACAGCCGCATTACGGTTGTTAACAAGCTCCATATAGTCATCTAAATCTTGTTTCAGCTTGTCACCTTTTTGACTGGGTATTGCATCCTTGAATCTTTTCAAAAGGTCCCTAATTTTATCGACTTCGGCCATGATTTTAATAGCATTAGGGTCATCAGGTTCAAGAGAATGATCACTTCTGCTGCGGAATGCGTCTGATAGCGACATTAAAGTTGTCCCGGCATCCCCCAATTCGGTAATAACAAGGTCCTTTTGTACACTTACGCCAGAAGAGTCTTTGATTTCAGTATATGCCTTGTGGCCAACATTGGCAGCTTGAGTCTGGTAATAATTAGTTATTTGACATGAAAGATGAAGCAGAAAGGTATGGCAGAAGGTTCTGAGTCACTTACAGCCACGGTAAACCATGCTGGTGCCATGGCAAGAGTTGCAAAAGCGTCTATTATCATTCCAGCATCTATCTGAAGGCGATTTTTGATATCTTCAGATACGACCTTCACACCTTCTTTGATCGCGGCTCGTTTTGCCTTCAGGTTTGGTGTGAACAATGATATTTGGTATGACGCTGTTTGTAATGGTCCATTTGAGTCTTGCAAAATTGCTATGCGGTTTTCAGCATGCTCTTTTCTTTTTTCGAACAAGGTGGTTCCATCAGATATTACATCCGCGGCCTTTGCCTGATCCTTCATTGCGCTTATATAGCTCTTTTCTGTCGTTTCAAAGCTCTTCACCGATTTTATTAGTGAATCGATCCGGCTCTTATAGAAATCGTATGTTAAGCGTGGGGCGAAATCATCTGTGAAACCAAACATATCCTTTCCCTTCAGAATCTGGTTAAGCATGCTAGTAGCTTGGGAATGAATTGTAACCAATTGATCCGCCATCTGTAAGCTAATCTTTTGATTGTCTTGCATGTCGGTGTATTGCTCCAGTAAGTTAGACTCCTTCGCTTCCAATGAGCCATCTGGCGATGAAGACCACAAGAGTGGTACAAAACTCAAACGGTTGACTAAACGTTCGTACAAAAGACAAGCCATGCCACGGCTTTTACCGTCAATCGCGAAGTATAAATTGTTTGCCGTGTTGAGAACCATTTGACTTTGCTCAGGAAGAGCGTATGCATGGTTCACGTTAATCGTTTTAAGGCCTTGATTGTAAGAGAATGGGAAAATTTGGACGTGTCCTGCTGCACCATCTTTTCCACGGCTACCAACGCTCACACCCGTCTGGGGTCCGTTCCCGCCTGGCCCAGCAATACCTATCATCAAAATGTTACTTGGCGGTAAAACTATGGGAAATGGGGGAACATGAGAATCTCTACCTGTTCGCGCGGTACAGATATTGTTTTTGATATCAGACTGCTGTTTTCTCATCGCAGCTACCACGAAGTTATACAAAGGTTTGAAAAGTTTCCTTAGGTCTGCAAACGGTAAGCCCATAGGGGTGGCAGCTAACTGCAAAGCACTCATTAATTCATCGTCTGTCGTAGTACTATCTTTCGCAAGCCACGCTTGAATGGTTTTTTTGGCAAGATCCAAGCTTTCTTTGCTTCCGCATTGAACGGGATCGACATCAGATTCTTTCCCCATTTGAAGAGATAAAAGCCGTTTGACATGGTCGTTATACAATGAAGCGATGTTTTCTATATCATAAGAAACTTCTCGTGATGTCTCTGGTTCAGGCGACAGAAGAGAGTCCAGGGCTTCAGAAACGGACTTCACCACCTCTAGCAATGCTTTCGCCTGTTCTACCAGAGATTTAAACCGCGAGAGTGTGTCATCTGAGAGCACTGGAGGATCCGCCGTTATCAATGGCTGCAATATATCCTTTTGTATACCGGCAATGGAATCTGCCCAGGGCATTGAGGAAGATTCAGCCTTATAAATAGCTGCGGCTATAGATTGGGTTTGATGCCCGTAGGAAAGACTGATGAACCCTATTCATTTGATGAGATTCGTAATCATGGTCAAGAATTGGGCCACATACCTCCACGACCTCCATTACCTCCATTACCACCAACTTTGTCTTTTGCTGATGTGCTACCCCCCGGTCCTCCTCGTCCTCCGTTTGCTATCAGTCGTAGATTTTGAGCAATATCGGATGCCATGGCTTGAACATAAACACGTATACTTCCAGCTGGTTCTCCATTGTCTCCAGCAGCGCCGTTTTCCAGTGTTTCCGGATCCTTTGGGTTCCCTGGGCTCCCTGAAACATCGATTGTTCGAAGAGAAGAGCCGAGTCGTAGTGTGTGACATGCAATATCAATATCTTTGCTTGGTAGTGTGATGTCAAATGGAATTTCTAAAATCTCGGCACGAATAATTACTCGTTGTCCTTGGAATTTGAATGGTTTCTCGAGGGTGTACTCCTTCGCAGAGCAGATAACTGTCGTTCCATTTCTCGAGAAAGAAAAGAAATTGTCATCCGGAACTTGGATTATTTTGGGAACATCGATTTCCGCCATTGCTTCAGAGCCAGTTTCTTCACGAATCGGGGGGATGGAGAGGTTGAAGAAACTTAAGGCATGAGAAGTTGAAATGCCATTCTCTCAATACTTTTCTTCGCCCCCTGAAGTTTCCAACTGGCCTTTCAACCAGCTCGAGAGTTTAGATAGTTCCTCCACCAGCTGAGAGCGGCAACTCCGAAAGCCCGCCAGACATCGTAATGACTGAAGCGAATCGAATCGCCTGAGAGGGGTGCGGGGTGAGCGAGACGTTTACTCATGACCCTGCTCTCTTCTACTCCGTACAGGGCGAAGGTTTCGGAAGCGAATTATGCAGAATCCTGCATGAGGCGTGTCTCGCGTGGCATCCCGCACCGGGCCGTTCCTGGTTCGACCCGAAGGCAAGGCTGCTATTTGCTAAAAAAGTAGTGGTGGCGGCGGTTGGAGCAGAAAGGCTTCGCGAAAAAAATTCAATAGTCCCGAGTCTGGATTGTGATTACGCCTCTCGTTTAATGCGCCACAACTCTTGACCTAGGCTGAGAGTCGAGACCAATTCGCTTTGCAAGGTACAAACAATTAGAGTATGGATATCGACGACGTACTCCGTACCTTGCCAGCGACACAAGGCTGGTGAAAACGATTTCGAGATACCGCAATCACTACGGAGTAATCCGAAGTTATGTATATTAATCACTCCCCGCCGCCATGGACATCACTATCCCCACGCAAGCTTCTGATAGAGAAGCTTGTTTAATAATTTTCTCTTTTGCTGAACTGTTGTCTGTTGAGCTGAAAGCTTCTACGCAAGATGGCGGCGAAGACTTTGTCCCTTTCTGAGCTAAACAAAGCAATGCAGCAAAAGGACTGTTTGCAAGGCTGGGATATTCTAGTCTCTTACCAGACAGCTGTGTTAAATGAGATTCTGAAGCAGAGAGCCTCCAAGATCGAAGGCTTGACAAAAGTGCCAGAATGGCCTGCTTCCTGGCAAGGTGAGTATTCATCATATCGGACTAGATCGACATTCCACTAATTTGACGATAGATCCCATCACCGGTGACACCGTGACATCTAAGGTCTCGATATCGCTATCGAATCCTGCTATGAACTTCAAAGATGACCAAGCGTCTGTTACAGTTACTTTCTATTTATCAGGAGAGTCTCGACGCGAAGGCTCATCTGCACCTGACGTGCTGCCACCCAATATGACCCTTCAGTTGGACACATATCTTATCGATGTTAGGGGTGCGGTTATCGGCTCTGGTGCTGCCGCCGAAATCACTACATCCAAGGGGGAGGGCGATCCACCGTCAAAGATATCTGTTTTTGAGCCTGGAACTGAAAATGCTAGGGCCATTTCGATCGATTTCAGTTCAGGCAAGCTTACGATAGTCCCAGGACCTAACACGCCTCTATCAGACGAACAAGCTGCCTTTATCAATTGTATTTCAGTGGATATCCAAGAGCACTTCCAAAAGTCTGTTGGTTTGCAATGCTACCTGGGTAGTGTCTCCAATAAGACGTCTACTGATATTCCGGGGGCACTGAAGCCGACGGCATTTAGTTTCTCAACAATCGCTGGAGATAGTAATACTCCTGGTGTTCTCTGTATGTGGATTGGGGTGGAAGGAGGCGCCGGGAACTATACGGTTCCTGATCAAGGGAACTCGTTACAGTTCAAAATTGATACAATTGAACACAACCCAATCCCAAAGGACCACACCGCAAGCATCATTTTTAGTCACCAGATTATGTCAAACAAATTCTTCCTGGTATGTTCCATAGTCATTTTTTCTGGAAACAAACTGATAATCAACAGCCTGCCCTGGAGGCTAGTGGCATGAATGGCGCTGTATGTGACTCTGTGTTGGGGACTCCAGGAATGAAGTTCCGCTTCTATCTCGCGTCAATGGAGCTTCATGTCGACAAAAAGGACGAGCATGGGTCGAGTCTGTTGGCTACCTGGCGTAAGAAGCTGGATGCGGTGGATTTCAACATGAAAGACGAGATGGTGTCCCTGGAAATAGGCGAAAAATCGTCCACGAATTGGTCACGATCAATTAGACTTAACTGGTCGGTTTACTCGAATCCAACATTCGGTTCGGCTCACACTACCCACGGAGAATTGACCTTGACGTTCAAGATTGCGAAGGAAGGATACTGGAAGTTGGACGGCAACAAGATCTCGTTTGTTATTCAATTTCCAGACAAGTTCGAAGTCTCGGCTGTCGCAGATCAGCATAGCTTTTGGGAGAAATTTTTCGATTCAGCATCCGAGGATATACCTAGCGAGTACAAGAACCTTTCTCTTGATATCCCCGTAGCGGACATGGAGTTGAGATCAATGGATTACTTCCTAACGACCAACCTGGTTTTTCCTGGGTATACGTCTTTCGTGCCTAACAGCCCTGACACAGGTCTGGCAGTTCCACGGGATACAATCATTACTGGCCAAATTCAAACTTCCGGGTCGGCAACATCTTTCGAAATCCAGTCTACCAAACTGGAGGCATTGAAAGCAGACGCTACCGAATCCTTGATACCCGAAATCAAGGCAGATGGTGATCCGATTACCAGCATAACGACCCGCATGTTAGCCGAAGATGTCGGAGCGGTTGAGAACTCAGCTAGCGAGCTGCCAGAAGCGTCTCAAGTAGCAGAGAAACCGGCTTCCATGTTACCAAAAGATCTGATGAACCCGAAAGGAACCCTTTTCCTCGACCTCACAAAGGCGTCCATGGATAAGGAAAACTCATTGAAGAACGTGCTGAGCGTCGTCGACCAACACGGTTACGGCCATATCACTGAAGCTCAGGTCAATCAAATGTTGAATGTTGCCACACCAGGGTCTCAGGTAACGGATAGTCCGGTAGAAAAGAAAAGCCAAGAAGGGAGAGTGCTGCAACAGCAACAGAGTAATCAAACGCAGCTCTTTTCTCTGAATTTATTTGGGGGGAGATACATCTTTGACGGCTCTTCTAAAGAATTGATCGTCAACCCCCAGACCGGCCGAATAAAGGTTGACGGAGTTGAGGCAGTCCCAACATTTTCGACCGACCCAAACACATATATCACCACCACCAGCTGGAGCGTGCCTTCGAAGACATATTCTGTCGTTTTTAGCAGCGATATTTTGGATGACGATACCTTCCAACCCACCTTTGTGGGCAAGATGAAGGATGTCATTAAAAATGAAGAAGTCGATATATCTGGAAAAAAGAGAATACTAGATACCACTGATAAGGGAATCATAAGTGCTAAAACAAGCGACATAATCACGATCGTCGGTTTCAGTATTGGCAATACCCTCTCACTCATTGGACTTGCACTCGCTATTCGTTGGCGCCCAAAGGACAAAGTACATAACGATCCTACCCAACCCGCGCAAGTGAGAAAAGAAAATGGTGAGGAAGCGAATAAGTTGCTCGAGAGATCAAATAACGTAGGCGAGGTTCGACGTAAAGCATCCGTTGAATTGGTAGAGGTCCTCAAAAAGACGTCTGAAAAGGAAGCCGAGGCCAGATCACACATGGCGGAAAATGAGAATATCTTTGTCACTGATGTTGATAAAATCTTAGAACAAGAGTCCAAGCGCATTCAAGATCATACGAAAGGGATTGCCGTCGAAGAATTGGCCGACGGATCGGGACCAGCTTTTGAGACTGAAGTGCATAAGATTAATGACGCTCTCAAACAGAGAGTGGAGAAGTATGTGCAGCAGAGCATCAGTCCAAATATCAATGACAGTCTCATGATCTGGAAAAAGGCGGGGTACATCACCGATGCAGAGATTCAAAAGATTGCGACGGATGGTCTAAAGCCGTTAATCGATCGACAGTTAGCAGATCTCACTAAAAAAGAGGCGCAACAACCGTCAGTAGCAGAGGCCGTAGTCTTGCATGCAGCAGCGGAAAAGGTGTTCAAAGAGCAAGAGGCATTTTATAAGGATGCAGAAGTTGCTAAGGACGCAGCGTTCACAAAGGAGAGGACTTTAGAAAAGGAGTATAAAAAGAAAGAAGCAGCCATATCCAAAAAAGAGGAACTAAAGGATAAGGAGCAAGACCCGGCAGAGAAGAAGATAATGGAAGATGCGATTGAGACGATGAGGAAAGAGCTGAAGCTTAAGACGGAAGAGCATAAAGCAGCCGCCAAGGAAGCGCTTGAGAAGGTGAGGATTCGCGACAAGGAGAAGCTCAAGCTCGATAAGAAAAATGAAAAGAGGGAAGTGGAGCAGAAGAGGAAAAACGAGGCAATCCAAAGGGCTCTCAAGCTGAAGCACCATTAGGCCAGGCTATACTCCGTACGAGCCAAGGGATCCCGGATGTCAGCAGCAACTTTGGGTAGACGTGGAAGCAGAAATCGAATTATAGAGATGTTTTTATTGTTATAGTATATGGTTTTCACAATATGACTTTTGGTCATAAGCATAGTACTCAGGTAGTCCGGAGACACTGAAGCACCGTAAAATGGTAGAGAACAGCTGGTGAGGCCATCTCAAACCATCTGATTCCCGCACCATGCGTGGAACTGTGGGGGGCGAGAGAAGAGGGGACGCGTGGTGTTGGGCCTTGCCTGATTAGGAAGTGGATACAGCCAGCGATGAGTTCCAAGTCAATGTGGTAGGGGTATGCAAGTAACAGAAAAGAGGAATAGTTTGTATGTTTATGCATTACCCCTGGAGCTACGCAGAAGTGGATCAGCAGGTCTATGATCCATGCATGTCATCTGGAGCATTGATGGACCAGAATCAACTTGGTTGCAGCAGACAGACAGAATGTTCAGCCGCACTACCAGACATGCGTTAGTGAAATATTGTTCATGGGACTGACATGGGGGCGAAGGGGATAGTTGGCCATGTGGAAGAGCATAGGGCTGGCGTGGCAGCTGCTGTCTTGTATTCAGTGAATGAGGTCTCAGCGAGTGCTTGTCTGGTATGGCATTTGGGTGACAGGTGGGTGTTGAATAGCCCCAGCATTGTGTGGGTGAAATGGCCATCAAGCTCAAGGAGAGTACCGATCATCAACTAGACAATAGAGAGAGTTGCAATTCTTCGTGGGAAGCTTGCCTGAAAAGAGGAGAGGGTGCAGCAGCGTGACATGCCAGCTCAACGGCACGATGCAGCTAGAGAGATGAAGGAGACGACAGAAGTTGATATCGTGGGCTTATGTAAGGGGCTCGGGAGTTCCCGATCCGGCAAGTAGCCGAGCATAACGGCTGAGGTGTCCAACACGCCCTTTCGGCGACAGACGCGTGACGTGACGTTGTTGGATCTGGGCCGGAGAACCGGCGGGCAGTGAACCAACAAACCACCTATCAGCTGATGCCTCCGCCGTCAACTCGCTAATTAGCTAACTAACTAACCGACCAACTACCTAGTCAACTCGCTGGCTATTCAATCTCCCATCGAGGTATCAACTCTAGCTGCCTTTCAGCTCCATCCCGTCAAGAATTGGGCTACGCTTTGTGCAGCATCCAGGTACAAACTATCAGCATAACACCCTAGTGAAATGCAGGCAGCGAACAGGCTACAGGCCGCCCTCCGGGCCACCAAGCCTACGTTTGGTGCATGGCAAATGTTGCCGGGGACCAACCATGCCCGCATCATGGCCAGAGCCGGCTTTGACTGGATCTGCGTCGACACCGAGCACGGTAATATTGCAGGTATGTTCTAGAAGCAGTACCATCGGGAGCACCGTTTACATTTCCTGGTGGAATGAAAATTTAAATATTGCCGGTCTAATTGGCATATAGATGCCCAAATGCACGAAGCTGTTGCCGCAATCGCCGCTGTAGGAGTGAGCCCAATAGTGCGCATTGCTGCAAACGAAGCCTGGATGGTCAAGCGTAGGGTTCCGGCCCAGGTGAACAGGAGGGAACTGTAAACCTTGTTTGCTGACAGCCGCTTGAAGGTGCCCTTGACTCTGGCGCTCACGGAATCATTGTACCTTTACTCGAGACTGTCGAGGATGCTCAAAAACTGGTGGAAGCTGCCAAATTCCCTCCTATGGGTAAAAGAGGCTTCGGCAGTCCTTTCGGCCTCGGCTCTGTGGGAAATGTCTCTCAAGTAGACTATTTGCTACAAGCAAATGATGCTCTGGTCACAGTGGTGCAGATCGAGACCAAGGAGGCTCTTGAAAACGTGCGTTTCCAGTAATATGAATGGAAGTCTCCGTCTTTATTGCCCAGAAGATAGAAATGTGGTAACTAATACAGGTATCTGAATAAAAAGGTCGAGGAGATCGCAAAGGTACCAGGAATCGATGTCTTATTGGTCGGTCCGTTCGACCTTGGAAACAATATAGGTCGACCAGTACTAGGCCCATTCCACCCGGAATTAGTGGCAGCAATTGAGCGGATTCGTAAGGCAGCGGTGGACAACGGTAAGCGGGCTGGAATTTATAGCCCAGATGGCGAAATGGCGAAGAAATTTGCCAACCAGGGCTTTCATATGGTATGCCTCTCCCATCCACGAGACTTAAGCAACGACAATGCCTAACACACTCCCTTAATGGCACAGATATCTGTCATTGGTGATTTTTCGGCACTTGCAACTTCCCTGAAGAACGCATTAGAAACTGCAAGAGGAAATTGAAGGCTTGTATGGTCATGTAAGTCTTAGAATTCCAACTTCTTACGGGGTAGTATACAGTACATCCATACCCAATTACGTATAGACTTGCATCAATGCCCGTATGGTAGCTTTCAATTGGCTCTTTCAACTTCATCCATTGCCTTTTCCAGCTCTTCCTGTGTGAATCGATGAAAGAGCTTCTTTGCCTCCGTCAAAACCTCCGGATCAGCGCCGGCTGACACGGGCTTTTGAATATGTAGCACCGGGACTTCGTATTGGTATGCTCTCGTCCATTCCTTCTGCTTCATCACATCAACTTCCGCGTAGATGAACGGCCGCCGCTTTTGTACCTGGTCCAGGGTGTGTTTGACGACATCGCAGAGCGAGCAATTTACCCGCGTGAACAGCGTAAGTCGAAGATTCTGTGAGAGCAATCTGGTCGGCCGCATCCTGGAAGTAGACGGAAAAATGTGCGTTGAAGGGGAGAGGAGAAGGATGTTTTGCGTCGAAGGTGGAAGAAACTTCGACCAGAAGCTTCCGACGCTGCCGGGAAGCTCTTTCAAACACGACCCACGCACGAGGAAGACTTGTCGCCCGCAAGTTGCTTTCTGGCTCTACACCATTGGAACCCTGGCTACCAACATGGCTCTGAAATGTGTCCACAAGGGTTGTGGCAAGCAGTTTGAGGACCCCGAAGAGCCCTGCCACTACCATCCCGGCCCGCCTGAATTCCACGAGGGGCACAAAGGTTGGTTCCTGCGGCCGCACTGGGGTTATTCTAGTCCGGCCTGCAATAACAGCTCTACAAGCTCATTGCCTGTTATAGTACATCGGCTAATCAATTCCTTTCCCTCTGCATAGGCTGGAAATGCTGCAAGCCCCGTGTTCTGAGCTTCGAGGAGTTCCTGGAGATCCCGCCGTGCACCGTTGGGAAACACTCGACGGTCGACGACACGCCGGCCGCAGCGGCCCCCAAGGCCGGCGCCGAAGCTGCAGAAGAAGCTGAAGCTGCCATCCGCAAGACCGTTCCCGTCTCGCAGACCAGATCCAGCCACCCGCCCGACACGCTCAGCACCAGTGCCATACCGACACCGTCGCCAAGCGCACCCCCCGCTCCTCCAGAATCAGAGTCCGATGACCCGTCGCTAGATATTCCCGCAAACGCGGAGTGTCGGCGGAAAAGCTGCGCGGCAAAGTATGCAGCTGGTGCCGCTAGGGAGGAAGAGCAATGTGTGCACCACCCCGGCCAGCCGATCTTTCATGAAGGAAGCAAAGGGTGGAGCTGCTGTAAACGGCGAGTCCTGGAGTTTGATGAATTCATGAAGATCCCCGGATGCAAGACCAAGACGCGACATCTATTTGTCGGGCCGGGCAAAGCAGCGGAGGAGAAGGTCGACACTGTTCGGTGAGACTCCCCATCATGGACTCCTCGTCTACGCATGTAGAACATTAGCTAACATATCTTTTTCCCTCTCACAGAACGGACTTCTACCAAACCCCCTCCACCGTGATCGTATCCTTCTACCTGAAAAAGATCGATAAAGCTACAGCCAAAGTCAACTTCTCGTCCCCAACCACAATCGAATTCGACCTCCCGACCACAGACAACAAGCGATTTATAGACACATACGACCTCTTCGCGCCCATCGATACGGAGAAATCAGAGTACAAGATCATGGGCACAAAGATGGAACTGACGCTGGCAAAGGCAGACGGTTCGGCGTGGCCTGTATTGCGAAGTAATGATAGAAGAACCGGGGAGATCATACAGACGGGGCGGGCGACAAAGGCATGAGCATGAATCAATAGACTGGCGGAGGGGATGTCACTGGGTTGGTTGAATTACTGATGGGGGTTGTTTCAATTTACGTTTTTAGCCGGATTCCCGGAAAAGCATGGAGTAGGCATTGCAGCGGTGGGGAGATAGCCGGAGGAACGAGATGGTGACGGCAATTAGGAACGAATATCCATAATGAGAATCGAGTAGACGTATTAGACGTTTGGAATTGAGTTTATATTGTCTAGCAAGATTTATAGGTAACAAGCATACGTTTGCCGACAGTAGTAAAAAAGAAGCTCCGACAAAACCCACAAGAAAATCATTTATAAAAGAAAAATTATCATGTCACGCCCTCTCCATAGCCAGGCCCCATGTAACGAAGCTCAGCCATGTCGATTGTCAAAGACGCAAGTCGTCAAAATCAACTCTTCTCTCCGAAGCCGGGAACGGAAGGCAATCCACAGAGGAAAAAAGCGGAACAACCCTCAGCAAGCCGTCAATGACGGAGCTCCGGTGCGAAATTTACACATGGTCATGTAAACCTCTACTGATGATGAAGAAAGAAAGAGAAAAGGAAAAAAGTTGCGGTGCGCGAAAACTTTTTGTAGTAAAAGTCGCACGTGGTAGCACGTGCTGTCATGTGATAATCATGTGAGACATATTCAGGCTAGCCATATCCAGCCTAGGCCTGGGCCTCGTCAGCCCGGCATGATTGGCTGCACCCCATAAATTCAGCGAATCGAAAGGCGGCTTGGCGGCGTTGAGCCCAACAAATGCTAGCCTCTTCTAGCCTAGCACTCGTAAGAGCAGCACGGCAATTGGCCGGCCAGACCCCACGGCGGGGCACAAACAAGCACTGGCAGCGGCTCCACACCCAGGAACGGCAGGTTGAGCACGAGACCACGGCCGCCGTCTCGCTGCGTCGCCGCGTCGGTCTGGTCACGGCATCGTGAGTGACGGGCATCGACGGCCGCACGAAGGTGAGTGACGACGGCATCCGGTATGTCTGGCGGGTGGTGTTGCAGAGCGTCTCGGATATCCTTCCTGATTTGCGTGTTCTGGGGGGGGGGACAATAATACGCCGCCGGATCAGCACCCGCAGTGGGGAAGAAATAGCTCCCATGTGATAATAGCGGGTGTTTCCTCCAGGCCGCTTTTTCTTGTTTTTTCTCGTCGTCTCCTTGTTCGAGCCCTGGCTGACGGCGCATCGCCAGTGCAATTCGTAGGCTAATTAGTCGAGCGGAGACGTTGCTTGCTTGTTCTCCCTCCACCTGTCCGTTTTACCCACGTTCCACCACCAAACCATCCCCGCCTCACCCGCCGCGCCCCTCGACGACCGAAGATACCGAAAATTCCCCCGATAAGACATGGCTCGCAGCCTGGCCACGGGCCCGGCGGACGGCGCGCCGCTGCGATATATCCCCCTCTCGTACAACCACACCGACTCGCAGGCGTCGGCGCTGCGTCTGGTCTTGGCGCTGAATCCCGCATGGGAGCGTGCGGCGGGCAAGATCGAGTTCGTGCGCTTCACGGATGGCATCACGAACACGGTACGTACCTGCTGGTGGCCGGGTTTCGAGTGAAGACATCCCCCCTTGCCTAACCACTGCTGCAGCTGCTGAAGATCATCCGGCGGGCCCCTGGCCTGACAGACGAGGAGATCGACAATGAGGCCGTGCTGATGCGAGCATATGGCAACCACACGGAGGTCATCATCGACCGCGAAAGTACGTCTCCTCCCTGCCCTCTAACTACCTACTAGTTGCCCCTGGGGACGAACGAACTAACCGGCTCCCGTAGAGGAAGTCCGCTCCCACGCGCTGCTCGCGGCCCGCGGCCTGGCCCCGCCGCTGCTCGCGCGCTTCCGCAACGGGCTGCTGTACCGCTTCATCCGCGGGCAGGTGGCCTCGCCGCACGACCTGACGCAGCCGGCCATCTGGCGCGGGGTGGCGCGGCGGCTGGCGCAGTGGCACGCGGTGCTGCCCATCAACGAAACCGCCGCCCACATGAAGCCGCACCATGAGGCGGACACGCCCGCCACGCCGCTGGACCTCGCGGACGCGCACCTCCTCGACGGAGCGGGCGTGCCGGCGAAGGACGACGACATCGTGCCGGTGGCGACGGCCGAGCAGAGCGGCGGCGCGACGCTGTGGACGGTGCTGCAGAAGTGGATTGTAGCGCTGCCGGCGACGACAGAGCGCGAGCGCGAGCGGCGCCGGCTACTGCAGCGCGAGTTCGAGCGTACGGTGGCCGAGCTGGACGACAAGTCGGGGTTGGGCGAGAACGGGGTATGTGGGAGTCGCTGGCCGTCCATTCGATTTCTTCTGAAGCCTGCTTGCTAACCCGGCCAATTTCACTCCTGGTCCAGCTCATCTTCGCACACTGCGACCTGCTGTGCGCCAACGTGATCGTCCAGCCCAAACCCCCGTCGAGCACTTCCACCGCCAACAGCGCCGTTGAAACAGTCAGCTTCATCGACTACGAATACGCCACGCCGTCGCCCGCCGCCTTCGACATCGCCAACCACTTCGCCGAATGGGGCGGCTACGACTGCGACTACAACATGCTGCCCACGCGCGCCGTGCGCCGCGGCTTTCTGGCCGAGTACGTGCAGAGCTACCGCCAGCACACGCCGCCACCGCCGCCGGCGTCTCAGACCTGCGACGCCAGCAGCGCTGACGACAGCGACAGCGACCACGACGATGACGCGGCCCTCGTCGACAGGCTGTTCCGCGACGTCGACCGCTTCCGCGGCATCCCTGGCTTCTACTGGTACGAACACATCCTAGATTCTCCCATGTTCCGTATAGACACTAACCCGTTATACTTTGTTGATAGGGGCGTGTGGGCGCTGATCCAGGCAACCATTTCGCGCATCGACTTCGACTATGCGTCGTATGCGGAGGAGCGGCTGGGTGAGTACTGGGCGTGGCGTCGCGAGCTGGACGGGTCGCGCGCCGCCGCCGGCGAGGAGATGCCGCTGCGAGAGCGCCGCTGGGCCCAGGAGGCGTAGGGCGTGAGGATATACCACCCCATCATCGCTGGACTAGTTATGTACTACGTATTCTTGTTATGTGTGCGTGTGGGTGTGTGTGTTATTAAAAAAGGTCCGCCGTATGCGGCGTTGTTTTTATATATCGAGTAAGAAAATCAGGGAATTATAATGTAGAATTTATATTTCGGCCAGACGCCACTTTCGGAGTACGGAGTACATTCATATGTAGAGCTCAAAGATGAATTCGAGAGGATGGGCCCCGCGCGGCATGCCGAGCGATGAAACGCGGTCCAAGCTGCGGGCATGGCATCGGGCACGGGGCAGCCAGTGGCCCGGCCGCCTTATGGAGATACGATCAGACAATACGAGAGGAAGACCATGGCATGAATCATTTATTATCCGAGCAAGAAGCTAACAATTACCTACTCGAAAACCCCCGGAAAAACGATATCTCAAGACAGCGCTATCTATTTCGTACGCCCAGAGCACCTGTTTTTGTTCCCTGCTAAAAACCAGCCAAAAGACGAATACCAATCGTAACAATAATAGAAAAAAAGGGTTGTGTCATTAATAAAGAAAGCAGCCGCCACCAGCCGAGAGCGAAAGTGTATTAAATAAGTATTAAGTATAGAAATCAAGCCTCGACGATTACAACAGCAGGCCGGCGACCACAGCCACGACACCCACGGTCGAGAACGCGCTGCTCAGTCTGGAACCGGCGCCGGGGAACATAGGCGGGTAGGGCGTTTGCGAGGGCCGCATGCCGCCCGTGGGCATGACTCCAGTCGGCATGACACCGGTGGGCATGGGCCTACCGCCTCCCAGGAGCGTAAAATTGCCGCAGTTCACACGCGTGCGGTTAGCCCAGTGCACGACGATGGAGAGGTTGCCGACGAAGGAGCCCAGGCCGGGGACGTTGGTGGTGTACAGGTCGAGGTAGTTGGCCTTGAAGTTGCCGGGCCCGGGGATGCGGCCGTACTTGCCGCTGAGATCACCGACCTCGCAGGTCTGGGGCGCAGACGAGTTGCAGCCGGGCACTTCGCCGCGCTGGAAGGGGTCGAGATGGGCGAGCGTGCCGGTGCAGTTGCCATCAGCAGGGACGGGCAAGGCGTGGACGTGGTATACTAGAGTCTGTTAGAAGCGTGGTATCACAGGAAGAGCATGATGGAATGCTTACAGAAGGGCCCGCCAATGGAGGGGAAGCCGGACATGTCAACGTCATAGTAGATACCGCGTCCATCGGGCGCGCCACGAACGGTGACGGTGCCGCGGATGTCGGTGTTGGGCTTGTCGAGGAGGGTGGCCTGGTAGAGGGTGTTGGGTGGGTTGTTGGTCGTGACATAGGCGTCGCCGAGCTTGCCGGTCTGGGCGGCGGCGAGGCCAAGCAGCGAGCCGGCGAGGAGGGCGTAGCGCATGGTGAGCAGATCAGGGAGGGAAGAGCGTCAGGTTAGCGGGCTTGGTGTTTTGGAGACGGAGCGAGCGAATTAATGATTATTATTATAGTCAGCAAACGATAGAGGAGTGTCGAAAGAGCGAGCGGGTGATGTAGCTACTGCAGCAAACAAAGACGCAGATGAATGCACAAGAACTCGGAGGAGTAGTGAATGAAAGACACGGAGCGGGCGGCGGGCGGCCGTTAAATAGCGAGCAGCAGAGCCGCGGCGCGCCCAAAAATAGCAGGCGCGTCCCTGCCGTGGCGCGTGCTGGCAGGATGCACGACAACGCCCGGATTGGGTAGGCAGCGGGGCATGCCAGGCACGACAAGCGCCGCGCCCCCTGCCTAATTGGGAGGCATGGGGGCTGGGCACTGAAACGGCGGATCCACAGAGCTATTTTAGGCAGGCACCAGCGCGCGCCCCGGCTGAACTCTCGCCCGCCAGGATTAAACTGGGCCCCGCGAAACACCCGATTGGGAAGAAACAAACGCCGCGCAAAGCCCGCACGCCAACCCGCCCGGCCGGCGTGTTGCTTGCTTAGTCCAGCCATTGCGTGTGTCAGCCCGTTGTCGCGCCGGGTATATCAATCAGCGTCGTAGTAATAGTAATGCCAGCCTCCAGACCCTCCTTTACGCCGCCCGCACCCCCTTGACCGGGTGCAGCAGCATCGGCGGCAGACACATGCGGCCCTCGCCCGCCATTTCGTCCCTCTCCCCTCCCTGCCCGTCGCCGCCCTTGCCGCCCAGCCAGCGCGCCCACAGCTCACCTGCCAGGTGCGCCGCGTAGAACCAGCTGGCCCCGCGCAGGTGGTGCTCGCCGTCCCCAAACACCGCGCTGCGCGCCCCGCCGCTGGCGCCGGCATGCCCGCCGTTCAACACGCCCGCCAGATACGCCGCCGGCCAGTGCCGGTCCAGGTACACCGCGTGCGGCGCGAACACTGCCTTGAAGCCGTGGTGCAGGCACGCCGTGGCCGGCCACATCTCCGAGAACATCGTGTGCCGTTTCTCGCTGGTCTCGCGGTGCATCGTGTGCAGTAGTCGCCGCGACAGCCGTGACGCCGTGATGACCGCCGCTCGTCGCGGCACCGCCCCCTGTCGATACCCCGTTACATCATCGCGCAGAAGCCACGTCGTGCCCGCCGGGTCAAACAGCGGATTCAGCACGATCAGGTCCGCGTCCTCGCCCGTCCCCCAGTCGTCGTGATCCTCCGCCATGCCCGTTGGCGGCGTGCCCTCGCCCTCCACCTGCAGCACATCCGCCGCGTCGCCCGGACGCAGAGGGCCCCAGATGGGTGTCTGCGGTTGCTGGTACTGCCCTTGTTGTTGCTGCTGTTGCTGGGACGCCCGTCCGCCGCTGGCTTTCAATAGTGCGCTCCATCGGCCATGATAGTTCTCCTTGCTGTTGTCGTGGCCCTGCCCATTATTAATATTACTGCTCCGGCCCTTCGTATACCCGCTTTCAGTCTCGATCCTGCGCCGGAAATCCTGCCACCCGCCATGGACCGTGGGCACGTAGAACCTTCCACTGCGTTCCCACAGATGCTTGCGCGGCTGCGCCTGCGCCCACGCGCCCAGCCCTTGCACTAGCGCATACCAATGCCCCGAGTATCGGACATCCAGCTCCCAGTTCCACACAAACTCGTACTGCGGGTGTCGATGCGAGAAGTGCTGTACCGCCATGAACGCGCTCCGGTACACCCCGTGCACTGGCAGTCCGCGCGCCATCGAGTCGTGCAAGCCGCCGTAGATCAGGCCCATCTGCCGCTCCGTCCAGAGGCTGCCCAGTCCGCGGAATTCCTCTGGCAGCGCATCGCGCAGCACTCGTTGATATGTCGTGTCGTCCGCCCAGATTGGCAGGTTGTCGTCGCGCACATGTACCAGGAAGTGCACTTCAAACTCGCCGCCCGACTGCAACGTCAGCTCCGCTATTAGTGCCCGCAGGTTCAGGATTGTCTCTTCGGTATACTCGAAGTCGTGCCAGGTGCGGATCAGAAAGGCCGTACGTGGTAGCTTCTCGCTGCCCGTCGTCATATTATTGCGAAGCTCGTCTTGGGCACCGTCCCTCTTTTCCCGCGGCCCTGTTGGATCAACCGGCCCTGCCTCTCCCTCCCCCACTCTCCGAAACCGATGCTCATTGCGCCGCACACACCGCTGCACCGCATCCGCCCACTTGACCTTGCGGAAATCCACCGGTGGCACCTCCGCCCACACTGCCTCCGCACCCGCGCGGTCTCCATGCAGTCCTGCACCACTGCCGCCTGCCTGCCGCCCGTACCCCAGCCCGTACGGCCCCAGCCGGCCAAACCGCTCAAAGCAGATATCGTCACGCAGACCCAGCACAGCATTGGAGCCAAACGCAGCATCAGGAAAACCACGCGGCACACCGTCGTAGTAGCGCACTGGCGGCAGCTTCACGGTGTCGTCGTCGGTCAGAAAGCAATCCTGCTTCCGGCCGAAGCGCTTGAGGTACTCAGGAGACGTGTAGTTCGGATACGGATCAAACACGTAGCTCTCCGCCTGGAATCCCCCTTCCTTCTCGCCCTCCGCAGCACCTGTGCTATTCGATTCTTTTTGTTCCTCGCCCGCATTCTCCGGCACGTTCTGCGCTCTGCGCACCAGCGTCCGCAGCCCACCATAGTACCGCTGCAGGACCGGAAACCCTTCCCACGTCGGCGGCAACTTGCCGCCCTCCAGCAGCTGGCTGTCCACCGGCGACACCCCAACCAGCACCTGCAGCAGCGTCACGCGGAAGAGCACGAACACGAACAACACCAACGCGAAGAACACCGCCAGGCACACGCACCGCATGATCTGGTGATGCAGCCGCCGCCCGCGCAGAATCGTTTGTGGTCGATAGTGGCGGTGATTGCGCCGCCGGAGGGGCCTGGCTTCGGCGTAGGAGATAGTGGTGTGGGAGGAAGTGTCGGAATATGGGTGGGATTCTTCATCGTGCTCGAAGGACGTCTCGCGCGAGGTGTACGGCGTGGTGCTGCTGTTCGAACCAGTACTGGCTCTAGGCCGGCTCTTCTCCCAGTGGTATGTGATCTTGTCTTTTCTCTTCATCGCTTTTTCTCCCCCTTCAAGTCTGTGTGCCTTGTGGAGTAGCAACGGCCTCGGTGAGGACCATGCGGCGGTACCCCTCCCTCCCCAAGCACAAAAGGTTCCTACTCGCGCCTTTTTATCTTCTCCAGCTCTCGATTTTGACGTGGAAACAGAAACAAAAAGGGAATAGCGGTAGGTCGTCGTAGCTCATATCAATCGTTATGCAAATCGTATCTCATCCCGTCGTGTGCCTTTCGAGCTCGCGCTGCTATGTCGTTGATGTCAGAGAGGGAAAGAGCCGCCGAGTCGTCTGTCAGTCCGTAAACATCCACTTCCATTGACCAATCATTGTCGACTATTCAGGACCCACCCAAGGGTTTCTCTTCACTATTGGTTGCTCTGAGCGCCCCATCTCTGCTAGCTCCGACTCTGCGTCGTCATGGCAACGGGCATGACTAAGCTGCGAAAGCATGGCAACCTCACTGTATTTGGACTAGCGTCTTGCTACGAGCCCGAACTTTTCTGACTTACATAAGCGATCCTCCTTTTCACTTCCTGCAATTATTTTGGCGGTCACTTGTGATAGTGAAATGAAACAACTTTGTTTCATAACTTAATATCCTCCAGTCTGTGGAGCACTAGCGGGCTTTAAACCAGTATGAAGGGGGAAATTGCTTGCTCAAGAATGGTAAACTTATTATTGTAAAAAACAGGACATTTTGTAGCTCCGGTTTCTTATCTCGAAATCCTATGCAGAGTATATAGAAGAGAACAAGCTTTAAGTTAGAGTCGAGAAGGAATTTTTCTAGAAGAACAAAAAGAGAGAGGGGAGGAAGAAGGCTAATGATCCATCACAGTGATGCTGCAACTTCCTTTACACCCAAAAAGCATACAAATAATGATTCCAACAAGTCATCTGGTTTTTTTTTAGGCGGATAGAATCCACGTGCATTGCCACCACGCGAGGGAGCCAAATCCTAGGACTGCTCCATATTTGATACTTCAGCTAGTTATCTGATTCACACTCCGCTAGGCTGCAGTAGTCCGCCTAGTTTTTTTTTTGGCAATTGTGCTGTTCTGTCTGTGCCATGGGGAGACACGCGTTAGCTGGGTTAGTTAAACCTAGAAAGTAATATAACATATCCTTCAAAGGGCCATGGACAGCTTTGAGGCGTTTTAATGCGAAAGCTGCACTGCAACTGGCCAGCGTATCTTCAGCATAGCGGAAGATAATATCCTCCAATCATGTCCAATGTACTCCGTACTCAGTATTCTTACCCATATTGCTGCTGGCAGGTGTAGACGAATGGCATAATCATTTGGGAGACTTTCGATATACCCCGTATTGGACTAGGAATCCGAATATGCCCTTCACTCAACTGAAAGAGGTGTCGACCGAATCTAATACCTGACTCATGAGATTTTCGGTCTTCCCTGGAAAGACATCTGACAGATTAGTGTCATTTGTCAAGCCGTGCTCGGAGAGACACCAATATGGGCCCACCGGTATTAACGGCTTTGGCCCTGGAAACCTCGTAGATATGAGTAATGATCACCACTTATGAGTCAAACTAACGGCACGAAGGGCGCCTGGTATGCAGGCCCTGCGCGACAAGAGTAACATTCTAAAGCCCAACGCATTGTTCGGGCATTGTTGCATATCATAATCTATTCAGCAGTTAGCGCCCGGAGCGAGGAGGAACAGACGGCATGTGTATATGTAGAGCGGTGTTCTGCGGGAGGTGCGAGAACCAATGAGCAGCCGTGTGGGTTGTTGTTCGTATCTCGACGTTGCAGAACGGGTTTTGGCGGTGAGCTTGGTATTTGGATATGTTGAAAGAGAGGTAGGTAGAAGCTGTGCAGTCGTCACTAGAGTCGTGCTTCAAGATTTTGTTCAAGCCCAGTATATTGCATCTTCGTGCGAGTACATAATGCGTCGTTGGGTGCCTAGGGGGCAGCAAGCAGGACACAGTCACCAACAAACAACAGGGCCATTCCGATCAATATCGGGGTTCTTTTTCCCGAGTCTCGGGGATCTTGGCCCGTGGTACAAGGTCCTGAAGGAGCGCATCCATTATTAACAGTCGGATTCTTATTATTACCAATGCCGCCGCAGCCACTGGAAGCCGAACCGCCCTTCCTTACCTTGGCGTAGGAGCCCCCGGCCCAGGCCTCTCGACCAGAGGTCATCCAACGTACAAAAATATCTCAAACAGCGGCGACTCGCAGGGCGCGCGCCCTTGGGACCAGAGTAGCAGCTCCCGGGCCCGAGACTTTTGCGAGCTGCGGCGGAAGCCTGGACGTGGATCAATGGGATGGCTTGCCGACGGCCTGACTGCAGCGCGAGACAAGTTAAAAAACACGAAAAGAGTTACACCAGCCAACCTTGCTTCTCGCCTTGCGTCTGATCGGTCAAGCGGCACGTCCACAGCTGGCGTTGCGTCGTATTTGCCAGTTGGCGGAGAGTCTTGCTGGGAGGTTCCGGTGCCGCGTCGTCTCAGGGGTGGCCAATCGTCCTTGTCGTCACCGCACAACGTCCTGCCAGTTCCAACACCCTTCGCTGACGAACGGCATCTGAAGAATCTCTAACCGTGAGTCTGGAGGCGCACATACTTCCAGGCGCTATGCCTTTTGACGCAACGCTGACCAGCTAGTCGAGCGATGGCGCTGATCTAGACCCCATCGATGCAGCGCGAAATCCGGTTGCTGTGGCGCTGGACGTGCCTGGCTGTCATCTGAGCAGCAACGCATTTAGGCGTGACGGGCGCTGCAGCTGGTTATCAGGCCACAGCAACAACCCGCCCTACTCTGCGCGCGCTGTGAATCCCCGATTATTCGCTGGCTGGCTGGTGCTGAGCAGTGACTCGCATGTCGGTCGAGGATACCGCACAATGGGTCTTGTGATAAAGTCCCTGAAACATCCTCCTGTCATATGCCGCTCAGTATCTTCTTCTCACTTTGCCGCCTCTCGGATATCACCGCTGGTATTCTGACGTCCATTTGAACGAGGGTCTGGTCAGTTTATCCTGTGCTCTCCCTCAGCCCCCTCCTGCAACGTGACTTCTTCTCTCGTAAACTGCAGCAAGATCTCTCTCACTGCCTTCTTGATGGCCCAGCTCGTCAGAGCACAAACGGTAAGCAACTGGAAGACCTCACTGTTCCAGCTTTCCTTTCTGCCTTGGTGTCTCTTCAGCACAGTATTTCCCGTCACTCACATCTCAGCAGCCGGGTGTCTCCCCGATCCGCTTCGAAACTATGGCTCTTGAGGACGAAGGTTCTTACCTCTCTTCGCCGTTCATTCTCACTCTCATTTCCACACTGTTCGTGCTGGCCCTAAGTCTCTTCGTCCGCAGGGTCCAGGTTGGGTACCATGCTTTTCTGGCTCTGGGACCAGGTGGCACGCCGTCAACCTTTGCAGGCTACCTGCGAATCTGTGTGCTGAGGATCTTTGCCTTAAGAAACCCTCTCCATCCGCCATTTTTGTCTCCCAATCTGCCTTCACAGACTGGAATTCTCAAGAATTTACCGAAGCGAGCTGGCCCGCGGCCCAAGGTCGTTGGGATAGCTCCTCAACGCCAGATGACCCAACGCGGGACGCCGGCCATGTATGCAGCGCTCACTGCCGCGATCAAGGAAATATCCGCTCAAAACATCGACGGCCTCTACCTTGGAACGTCCTGTTTTGAAAAACACAGCACAGGCCTCTTCTCCACGCCCTCTCTCAGAAGCCAACCGACCTGCAATGGTGAAGTGTGCCATTCCCACCCTAGTGATGGCAGCCTGCACTTAACCCTCCACCCAGCAGACGTCAAACATATCATCGAGAAGGGCTGGGGCGAACGCCACCCCCTCGCTCGTGAAAGCTGGTGGTGGAAGCTCAGGTTTGTGCCCGTCGGCTTTGTCATGATTTACGCGCCGCAGACGATGGAGGAACTGCAGTCTGTTATTCAAATTATCCATGCTGCGGCATGGTGGGTGACTGGAACGGAGCCGCGCTCTCAACAAGCCTCGCTCAAGGTTCTGGGACAAGTCCCTTGTGAAAGTGTTGATTCGCAGACAGCAGCAAATAGCGGCGTGAAAGTCACTTGGTGTGATACGGCTGGGTGCTCTATGGGGGCGATTTGAGAACGAAGTAAGAAATGATGTTTTTGTGATGCGCATGACTGAAGACGATAACGCGCGACTACGACTACGACGACGATGATGCTGACGATGCTGACGACTTATGCGAACAACTACCTTATCCAAAGTCACAAGATTGACTGAACCCTTTCGCCATCATACCCTCTTTATTCGCCAACTAGGCGAGTATCTCCAGACCTAGCATTTTCTTCTACCAATCTTTTCCCTAGGCATTCCCTTGACTATACTGATTCCCCCAGCGACCACGACTAATTTTCCTTGACTCCTCAATACTCATTGGCCCATGATTACTGACTCTTGCTCTGACCTGTTTCCTTAATGTTGACCTCCAGCAACCTTATAATACGTTGATGTTTACATAGATGCCTAGTCCCACGATAATCAATAATAGGTAGCATCGATTTCTCAAAACACACCCTGTAGCAGTGAAGTCTATGACTTAGATCTTTCCTGCAGTATTTCTAAATACCCAAGGAAGAGTTACTGCTCCGTAGAACACTAGAAATGTTGCTATACAGATCAAATTGTTATCTCAAACTCAAATCTGGGAGGCCAGACTCCAGAGTATGCTAAATCGAACAATAGGCATGTGGGTAAAGAAGGCATTTCAGATATTCTTTATTACCGACGGATAGAAAAAGAGCACTTCCCAGTACACTACGACCAGACGACATACGCTATTAGACATCGGTTCCGTGACGTCGTTGTGAGCTACTCATACTGATTCGTTAAATGAGATGAAAAGGCGGTTGCAACACCCAAAAACGAAGTAGAGAGGAACAGAGCCTTCAATTAACAAGACGAGAATGACATTAAAGAGACAACAAAAAAAAGGGGGGAAGCATATAAGAGTTTAGAAAACACGAAACGGCAAACTAGACGGGAAGTAAGAAGATGACGCCAGGATGGAGAAAAAGGAACCCTATCAAAAACATGTTCCCGCAAACCCCATATTTCTGCATCGACGCAACACATAATCCCTGGTTTGGCATGACACATCAATCATTGCAGAGCGTTCAGTCATGCCCGGACTTCTTGAGGGCGTTTGCCAACCATTCGAGGCCCTCGTAAAGACCATCACCGGTGGTGGCGCAGGTAGATTGAATGTACTTTGGACAGGTCAGCTGTACGGTCATCTCAAAATAGCGGTGAGAGAGTGGCTTACCCAGGCACGTTTTGTCAAGCTTTGAAGACCAAGTTGCTGAGTAATCTCAGCTGGGCTCATGGCATTCTAGCAAGAGCAATGGTATTAGTAGTGTGTCAAACCAAGCGGCCAGTCGGCGATATAAAACTTACGGGAAGATCTTGTTTGTTGGCGAAGACAAGGAGGAGGGCATCGCGGAGTTCGTCTTCATTGAGCATGCGCTGAAGTTCCTCTCGGGCCTCGACGACACGGTCACGATCATTGCTGTCGACAACGAAAATGATGCCTTGCGTGTTCTGGAAATAGTGTCGCCAAAGGGGTCTGATCTTGTCCTGGCCACCAACGTCCCACACGGTGAATTGGATGTTCTTATATTCGACCGTCTCGACGTTGAAGCCTAGCGAGTGCAATAACACAAATTAGTTTCTCGTCCAGACCGCCGAGGTAAATTCCAACTTTTTGCATGCAGCATGAGGGCCGGCATAGCCACTTACCAATTGTGGGGATAGTCGTGACGATTTCACCAAGTTTCAGCTTGTATAGAATGGTGGTCTTTCCAGCAGCATCAAGGCCAACCATCAGGATTCTCATTTCCTTCTTTCGCCATATGCTGTCGAACAATTTCGAAAATGTCATGCCCATCTTGGCGGTGTTGTCGTAGAATCAGCAGGGACAGGAGAGCGGGCTAGCTGGTGGCAGAAACAATCCAAGAAATTAGCATAAAGGTTTCACACAACAGATAGATGCACTGGGTAGTCTCGCAGGACCGAATCCTTGGGGCAGGGTTGCGAGGTGGGCTGAAGTGGGATGGTGGAGGGCCCCAGTGAGGTGAGGGTAGGCACCCAGGGGATCGGAAAAGGTGTTTCCTCCACACACGGGCAGCAGAAAGGGCAGAGGCCAACTCACCGGGCAAAGAGCAGCGAGAACGCAGAGCGGAGGCGAGTGGGAGTGGGCAACTGGGGTGTGTCGGTGGGTGGGTGGGCAGCGAGTCCAGCGATGGGTTGCTAATAGTTGTTCTGATGGATGCAAAATTCGGGGAGAACGAGGAGTGCAGCGTAGCCTTTGTCACCCGCGCTAGCAGCCAAGCACACCCACACCACCACACAAACGGCAAAAACGTGACCGGCGCGGGCTGATGGCAAATCGCCCAAGAGCCAGAGAAAACTGCTGGCCGCCGGTCTTGCGCGCGCGGGCAGGCGTCTGCGTCTGCAAGCCGGCGCTGTCCAGCCGTGATCTCGCGCGTTGCTCGCAAAGAGGCCACGCTGTGCATGCTGAGTGGCGCAGTTACTAGTTATGTACCAACTATGGCTTTGTGCTTGCCAGCTACCCACGCTCTGATGCTCTCCTCTCCCCATCATCACGGCATAGATTTAAAGACATGTTGCTAATGGCTCCCAGTCCTTCTCGCAGATCCAACTTGTCCAGTACTCCCAGGTCCAAAAGCTTTCCAGAAACCCCAAAAAGGAATAGAAGTTCAATCGCTATCCTGCCATCCAATGCCCTAGTCAGGCACGATTTCTCGTTCTCCTGCGATGGATCGCTCTTTGTATCTCTATCACGCGATTCTTCAATGACTGATGCGTCGATATTCCGCCAATGGCATTGTTGACCCATCCAAACAAAGAGAGCCCCGCAATGGACAAAAACATTATGACCGCAAAGGAGACCCAGTAGTTCTTGACGGTATAGGAGTTCTTGAGGCCCTCAATCTCCGTTGAGAAATAGCTTGTCAGCAGACTCACAGGCAGAAAGAGGATTGTGACTTTGGACAGCAGAACTGTGCTGCGCGTCAACTTTTCCACGGCGCTCGAGTCTCTAATGGCGATCAAGTTGAACACCTGGACAACTAGTTAGCCTACCAAACCCTAGAAGCATATCTGCATGGTGTCGTTACCAGAAATGTGAGAGTCTCTTTCTCATTCAAGCACTCCTCTATTTCACTGAGAGCGTATAACCGTATTCGATCCGCGAGCCGCTCAATGCGATTGAGCGCTGCTGGCTTTATCTGCACTCCTCCTATTCCATGGCGCAGTCCAAAGTCGTCCGGGGCCTCCTCATTACCCATCCCCTCGGAAACTTCTTGCCACCTGTCCTGGGGTAGGGGATCAAAGATGTGCTTATTCAGCCCACGAATCTGACATGGCGAGCGATGCTTGCCATTGCGGGACCGGTTCATCATGTGCAGTTGTCTGTTGAGAATTCTGGTCGCTATGAGCTCATAGCTCTGATACAGGCGCTTCAGCACTGCAAGCTCTCTTCCTACTCGATGTAGATCTGTGACCAGATCTATTCGCGGCCTGGTGAGCATGCTAGTTCGCTATGCGATCATTAGTGACTCTGCAGTGCTGTAACATTCAAGAGGTTTGCGGCCTTACTAGTTTTTCAAGGGCAGCACTATACGAGTGCTCCCTCCCAATGACCAGGCTATAGTTGGTCGCCCAGTCGTCAAAAATATAATAAAAAAGCAAGCTGGGCGCCTCTCCTTTTCTAATCCGTACATCTTCACAAGAATTAGACGAGTTGCGGATATGCGTTCCCAAGAGCGGATTTTGCTTCTTTTTATCACTATGCTGTTTTGGAATTCCAAAAAGCACCAACCCGATGTTTCGTCGGATCACTTTGAGCGCTTCTCGTCTTTCCTCAAAACTCAACGTTTCTCGCGCAAAGGGGTTTTCTTGTATTGAGATCACGGTTCCTAATGGGCATAATCAGCTTCTGCCAGATCAAGAAGCCTAAGCACCCTGGGCAATCCTACCATCTGAACATAGTACAAGCCAAGACCAAACTCTCTTTCCGTCGGGACGACCTGGTTGCTGGCTGAACTTGAGCTTTGGTACCACATAAAGGGAATTATACCCGATGCATATATCTGTTTCTGATTAGCGAAGCTGCCAATCGCATTTGGACTGAGATTACTTACACTCGTTGCCATAATCCACAGATGAAAAGTGCCAGATTTTATCTACTAGTTGCGAAAATGAAATGCCGCTCAAATCAAATTCTCTTAATTTCTCCAGCGACCGAGGTGCCTCCTCTAAACTCTGGCCGGTTTCGATGTCTTTCAACACCGTTACCCCCGACGAATCGTCTTCATCGGTTGATTGTTCCCGTGCAAGCATTGGAGATACTGGCGTAATCTTTTTCTTTTTGGTGGGATCGGAGCACATCAAGCCTGCAAGCCGATGGGACATTCCATAGCGCGCAGTGAGAGTCTTTTTCTTGTCAGTACATCCACTTCACACAGCAAACCATCTCTGATCTCAAATACCTGTACAAGCTCAACTTGGCGCTCAGGCGCCCAGATGTGTCTGAAGTTCAATGTATTAGTCGAAGCGAATTGAGGTAAAAGACATTGAATTTCTCACATCCACCTCGTCTCAAACGGCTTTGGCGTCTATATGATTCTTTCGCCTCAGCATTTGATTTACGATCAGGTCTACGCAGAGTGCTCAGTAAAACTTACGTTTTTATCTAACAATGCTGAAATCTCATCATTCTCAACATCGACTGAGCACCAAGCTCCGCGGTCGTCAAAGTCGACCACAAAGTTGCGCGCCTCCTCATCTCCGAGGTGATACTGGCAATGTCTAAAACCGGAATTGTCGTCAAGGTTGTATATTTTTTTAAGGAGTGATGGGCAATTTGTTAGGTTCTGGTAGTACTCTGGGATCGCTTTGGCTGGTGGCAGTTGGGTCATTATGTCTGGGGAAGCGCGGGGCCAGCAAACTCAATCCGCGCTTGGGCCTTGTCGCTGTATGGAGCAGAAGATGAATTGTCAATACAATCACCACGACGGTCTGTCAGGCATTCAGGCACTGAGTAGGCCGTTGTCAAGCATGGATTCTGTCGGCTTTTTTTATCCTCGATCACAACTATTTTCAGACAAGCCTTGTCGACTCCCATAAATAGTTTTGACCTTGCAGGGAGGCAAGCCGGCGCTTAATCTCACTATGCCCGCCATGGAATGGATCATGGCATCGCTTGCAGATGCACCCTGACCTTGTGCAGGGGGTTCGACCAATAAAAGCTGTGGGTCAACTCTCAAACGTTATCACCATCGGGTCAACTTCGGTTGACTCATTTGTTAGAAAGAGGTGAGTCAGTCATATATATCTTGCCTCTTCTCCCTTGCGCACGGAGCACGGCTTGTTTAGAATGAATTCCAAAGAAAATACCGCCGGTGGCCCTTGCGCAGACATGCATCGCAGCACAAGCACGGTGATCCGAATTCCTTCCATTATACCCCCAAACTTCCTTCAGAAGTTATGCGTGCACTATCGAAAGGCCCGTTTACGTGCGCTGCAAACTGACCCATCCGCGTTTTCTTCGACTTATGAACGTGAGGTCCAATTTCAGGATAACGACTGGATCAAAAGATTGCTCAATCCACTGGCTCAAAGTTTTGTGGCGTTAGTCAAGAGCGATAATCTTTCTCCCGCTGGGAACTCGATATGGGACGAAAGTGATAAAAGTTCTAAAAGTGGTGTTGATCATGATCATCTACAATTATTGTCTGAAAATGAATGGGCTGGGATGATAGTGTTGATGGGCCCCAAAGTGCTTGCTGTGGACGGCTCCGAGTCTGGAAACCCATTGAACGCGTTTCATTCCATGGGAGCAGCTGAGGCGCCAGATGCTGTTTCTTTTGCTGGGAGAGAGCTTGCGTACATTGCGGCGTCGATGTTCGTTTTGCCGGAGGCGCGCAGGCAAGGGATCGGTCGCAGACTCATCGCTGAAAGCTGGCAAGCTGTTAAGAAGGATGCTATGGCTCTCAGTGCCCTGAAACTAAACATATGCCTTTTAGTAGCTGGTGAAAATGAACCCGCTATCCAGCTATATCGCACCTGCGGGTTTGATATTTTACCAGGAAATCTAGGATTGGAAAATAAAAGTACAACTGTAGCCATGGTAAAGATGACTGAACTATAAGGCATATTTTTCGAATAGAGAGATAACTAATTAATTCGAATTTTCATTCACACCTCGTACCCAGCTTCCACAATCTATGATCGATATGCGCTGAGCCCAGAATTTGCAGTGAGGTCTCATGTGACATAGGGTTGCGCTAGGACGCTTTGGGCTAGCACCCACACATCTGCCGAACAAATTCCAGACTCTTTTCTCGCGATTCGACAGCAACATCAAGCGCCAAAGTCCTCACCATAAGAATCACTGTTTAGGGTATTCTTCTGGAAGACTGTCTTCATCATGTCTAAAGTCACAGTCGGTAAGATTTTCGAATATTACAGCCCCTGTTCTGATTGGAGATCAAGCAATTAACGGACTTGTGAAATAGCCGGCGTGCGCCAAAATGTTCAGCAGCTTCTGGACTACTCCAACAACCAGAAGAAGAGAAACTTCCTCGAGACCGTCGAGCTCCAGATCGGATTGAAGAACTATGATCCCCAGCGTGACAAGCGTTTCTCGGGCACCATCAAGCTTCCCTCCGTTCCCCGCCCTGGAATGAGCATCTGGTACGTTTGTGCTCGCTCTACACGACCTATTCAAGGATTCAGAAATAATTGAGTATGGGCTAACGGTGCGATTGCGATTGATAGTGTTCTCGGTGACCAGCACGATATCGATCGTGCCAAGCACCACGGCATCGATGCCATGTCCGCTGATGACTTGAAGAAGCTTAACAAGAACAAGAAGCTCATCAAGAAACTCGCTCGCAAATACGATGCCTTCCTTTCCTCCGAGACCTTGATCAAACAGATTCCCCGTATCTTGGGTCCTGGTCTCTCGAAGGGTTAGTCAGATGATCGGTCTTGAATGGCCAAACCACAGATTGCTGACATTTATTTTTCTTTAGCTGGTAAATTCCCTACTCCCATCTCCCACAATGAGGATCTCTCCAGCAAGGTCAATGATGTGAAATCCACCATCAAGTTCCAGTTGAAGAAGGTGCTCTGCATGGGTGTCGCCGTCGGAAACGTTGGCATGACCGAGGACGAATTGATCTCCAACATCATGTTGGCCATCAACTACTTGGTCTCCTTGTTGAAGAAGGGATGGCAAAACGTTGGCAGCTTGACAATCAAGGCCACTATGTCTCCTCCTAAGCGACTTTACTAGGCTTCTGTGGTTTGGACTGTACGACTGCGTTGTGATGACAATAAATATGTATTTACGGTCTGCTACAATTAGCGAATAAAAAAACCCATACCGAAGTCAATTGGAGCTATCTCTCGATATGGAATCCGTCAAGTGATATCTTGCATATTATACAGTGGCGATAATTTTGTAACAGTATCGTACACTCTAGTCTACCTCTATGATGCGTATAAGATCTACTCCATACCGTCCATCAAATCCGTTTTATCCAAAATCATGCCCCTCATCCCCAAAAGCTCCCTCAAGCTCTCCCACTCTTCCCCTTCCTCCTCACCCTGCATCCAAGGGTCTTTGAACCCCCAAGCCATAGCAATCTTATCCATTGCGCAGCGTTCCTCTTCCCTCAGCCACCGATATCGCAACGGCGTCCCCTGTAACCACACCACCCGGCGCATCTGATCATTTGCCGTGGCGAGTGCAATAAGCCCGAGGGACGATGTACACGTAACATATGCCATGATGGCGGAGAAAGCCATCCACGTTGATGTAGTTGGGTTGATGGTATTCTGGAAGGTGGCGGCATAACTGGCCAGCCCGTATGCTGCAAGCGGGGTGCTAGCTAGTCCGGCAATGGGCAGAGAGGCCTTTCGGAGGATTTTGGCGCGGTGGAAGGCGGGGGCGCAGAAGGTTTTATCGACGATAGCGAAGGCGAGGGGGAGATTTTTTTGTTCAATGGCTACGTCGAGAGCCATGTCAGCCAGGTCTTGCGGAATAGCATTTTTCGCAGCCTTAGGATTTTCGGCACGGTATGTTATTACCGAGCCGTTGGCTTGCGGTGCGGGCTTGTTGGCGTAGAGGGAGAAAACTTCAGGGAAATGGTTGGCTTTCTTAAGTTGGGTCTGGATGATGGTATATTCGCGTAGTATATTCGGTGATATGAAGACTTTCGGGTCGCATATCACTTCATTTAGCAGCGATGATACCGCAATGATAGCCCTCTGTCGGAAATTTTTCTTCGGTATTACTTTTGTTTTTGCGGGCGCCTTGTTACTCGCGCCATTCTCGTCTTCCAAGTCCAGCAGTGACGACGTGGCATTGTTTTCGGTCTTCTGCGTCGAGATATAATGATCAGAAAGGGCGATATCGGCGATGATCTTGCATCGTTCAAACAAATGAAGGATTGTTTCTTCCGTAGGTAACGTCGTCGCCGTAATTATTGCATGGGAGTCTTGGAGCGCGTCACGAAGCATATGGTCTGGGTCATTTTGAGGCGGGGTAGCCGAAAGACACGCAAGAGTCTGAGCAGAGACGTTAAGGAATCCGAACCTTGTCGGACTGTTTCTGGGTCTAAGAGACGTTTTTCGAGGGCCTTTGGGGCGTGCTGGCAAGGGCGAAGGTTGAGATGACAGGCTAAATTGTTTGGGAGAAAACGTAGAAAACTGGCAGAATTGGCATATTGAAGCATGGGTCCTCCTAGAAGACCGTAGAGGAGTCCATGTCATATTGACTGCTTGCTGTATGGAGTGTTTCTTCTGCATAGTGGTTGTGATTTGACGTTGGTTGTTGGAAGAACGAAATTTGCGGCGACTAGAGTTTGACGGAGATCTATATGCGCGCCTTTACGACATACCGCCATTAAGGCCACAATTGCAGGGAAAACCTATCTTAAAGTCTTTCGGGTCTAGTATAGTATATTTATTTGACTAAATACGATTTTACCTACAGAGGTGTGGAAGAAGGCTGTTCCTGACACTGCACTTATGTGTGTTTCGAGGCTCCATACGGAGCACTCCGTACTTGAATTTAAACTCTGATTATCCTTACAGCCCTATATGTAGACAGACGGCAAATCAAATCCACACAACCGTAAATATGGCCAATAGTGAAGCAATACTACCAACGGCCACGGAGATCAGGAGACCTCAGGCTTAAGTTTCCAAAATGGTAATCTTTGTCAAGTCATCTCGCAGCTGCTGGTGATAAGGAGATCAATTGGGTGCCGTATAGAATTTAAGCATTCGATTAGGTTCACAGATGGAAAGTGTGGGAACTTCGAAACGGTGCCCCGATCTCATTTCTCTTGATTGAAGAAGTTCCCAGTTGACATGGCTAATTGATAGGTAAGTGAAGCTGCGGGAAACAATCAGTTGGATGTTACATAGCATTTTAATAAAGTAGTATTTCCAGTGCTTATCCGATGTGTAAGTAGCCACTCGCACAAACTGTGGCTGTCGATGAGACTGTCATATCTCAACGAGAGTTGATAATATTGCCAATACTCAGGTGATATAATCAGCCTTAAGCTGTAGGGTTTGCTATTCCAATAGGGGCCGAAATTATGAGGACCAAGAAGTGAAGATTTTGAATTAGCAGATTGAAGTTACAGAAGAGAAACTCTGTAAAAGATCAAATCGTTATCTCTTCTAGTCACCAGAGCCTCTAGTGAGGCAAAAAAAGGAACGAACTCTCCAAAAATTGGACAGTAATTGATCCATAAAACCCGGTTGCCCTCTTTTATATGAAGGAATAAGCATCCACACAATATCAGGGTTGACAATAGTGTGCAGATAGGTGAAAAGTACCATCAAGGCGAGCTAGCTTTCTTACAGTAAGCGGGTAAGAAGGCGTATTGTGCTTATGATGCTCTGCTAATCAAGAAAAACCAAAAAGCATTCGCCGGTGGTGCCTACTACTATTTGACGAAACTAAAGCGTAATGATGACTAAGCGTAAAAGCCACGTGCCAAGCATCGGCCCGCGTCCTCCGGAGCTTATCTAATCGACGCACCGCCACACCTTCTCCACACGCTTGCGATATCAGTGGCGTGGACAGGCTGCCTCTTTCTCATGAAATCAACTTCGCTGTCGCTATATCATCTGGGGTACGACGTTTTGAACCGGCCTTCTTATGAAACTGCTGAAGTAGGCGGCTCTCCTAACTCATCACTCTCCGCTGGCCAGCATGCCTCCTCCGCCAGCACCACCACCTCCTCCTCCACCGCCTTTGCCTGGCTTTGGCGGTGGTGCACCTCCCCCTCCCCCTCCGCCGCCGGGTGCTCCTCCTGGAAATCTTCCTACGCAGCCGCCAAAAGGTGCTACGAAAGATCGAGTATGACATTCCTTGCTCCCCCGTGTATGAGATCGCATGCTAATTCTGTCTAGTCAGCGTTATTAACAGATATTACCAAAGGAGCACGATTAAAGAAGACTGTTACAAATGACAGATCTGCTCCAGTACTATCAAAAACGTCCGGTAGTTCTGGTGGTCCTCCTGTTGGCGGCGCACCGCCTGTTCCTGGCATGTTGAAGCCCCCCAGTGGCTTTGCTCCTCCTGTTCCGACCGATAGCGCAAGCCGAGCCCGAAGCAACAGTGATAGTGGTGGAGTGAACACGGACAGCGCTGGTGTACTCTCTTCGGCTCCGCAACTCGGTGGCCTATTTGCGGGTGGAATGCCCAAACTACGGAAACGTGGTGGAATTGATACCGGAGCCGCACCCGATGCCTCGTACCTCTCGGACTCGGAAGCTCGAAGGTCGAGGCCATCCACTCCTATGGGTAGTGCTCCAAAGCCGCCAACAGCTCCAAGAGTTGTCCCTCCTCCTCCTCCGCCCTCAGCAGATGCTCCTTCACAACCTGCAGTGAACCCTTTGGTAGCGAATTTACGAAAGCCACCCCCAAAACCAGCTTCAAGGCCATCTTCGACATTTTCAATAAAATCCGCACCTGATATGCCACCACCACGAGCGCCTCCACCATTGCCAGGTGCAGGACGTGCACCCCCTCCACCGCCTCCTCCTTCTGCTCGAAAAGTCTCTGCACCACCCGCACCTCCGCCAATCGCTAGAATGAACTCGCCTACGCCAGCCCCCCCACCACCGCCTACCATTTCCGCTCCAAAACCTCCCTCTCTCCCAAATTCTTCACCGGCCACCAATGGCCCTCAAGCCGCTTCCATCGCAATGCAGGCTGCCCGCAACGCCTTTGGTCACTTGCAAACAACTTCAACTGCCCCTTCTGCACCGCCTCCCCCGCCGCCCCCTCCAGCATCTCCGCCATCCGTATCTTCCGCTCGCACATCCTCCCTTGTTTCAACGCCATTGTCATCACGGCCTTCCTCTTTCGCAGATCACGCCGCACATCAGCAGCCCAGCCGTTCGATGCTAGATCCATCTACGTACACACTGTCCAATGGCGGTGGATCGCGACTAAGTACTGGTTCCACAGCGTCGGCCAATAATGGCCATCATTCTCGGCTCGTTATACAAGATGCAAGATTTAAATTCCAAAGTGAATCCCATCTACCAAAACCGCGAGACTTTAAGGGCGGGCCGAGACTATATAGGGCAGGAAGAGGGAGCAGCGTTCCGTTGGATTTATCTGTGTTGAAATGAGCATTGTTCGTTCTACGAAATGTTTTTCCACTAGGCTAGTGGGTATCTGTTCTGGTCGAAATACAGTGCCCCATCACTAGGAGGAATATCAGCGCTTCCTACCTTGTATCATGCATTTCTGCCATGATGTATCTTGTACCTTATCGTAACGACACCTGAATTCTGAGCATTTGCCGTGCTATGAAAGGATTCGCCCTGCGTCCATGTTTTTAAACTTTGTCGAGGAGCGTATAGAAGTAACCTAGGAAGTGCCAAATTTGAATTCCGCAGGATCTTGTGTACCTATTAGGTAGAGTTGAGCAGTCAGGTGACCAGAATCCAGATCCATATGAGCCAGGAGAACTGTAGGTTTGTCACCTCATCTGGATAATGGTATCAATGGTTTTATATTTGCCTATCAGACTGATGGAGAATAGATAACAGAGATTGACGAAAGGGGAAGATCGATTCTGAAGCAGAAATGGAGGAAAATTAGGAAGAAGGAGGGCCTGGAGATGGGACGGAGAGCACCGCGCCCTATATAGGCGAGGGACGACGACGGATGTACCTTTAGGCGGCGTGCCGTCTGGCAAGCCAAATCTGGCCGGGTTAGAGAGACCACGCGGGCCGAATGGGCGGGCCGCAGCGGTTGAGCCAAACTGAGTCTGGACGGACGCCAATAACACGAGGCAAGATCGGGAACAAGGGGCTTCATCCGGCCATGTTCTCAACCGTGTGAAGTCAATAATTATCATAATGTATCTTCCGTATACATTAGTATAAGCAACTCCTGCAACCATGTTATACCTGGTTGATCTCTAACCTCTGAGAATTGTGATATACTTTCAAGATTCTTATAGAGAATTAGCCTGAAATTTCATGTTTTGGCTGCTAATCAAATCTGTTTTCAGTGGAATCCAGGGTTTGGTGGGGGTTGGTATGTTATGTATTATTCATAATTTAAATAATCTACGTAGACAACCCCCTATGCTCATCCCATGCTTAAGCCCCGAGCCATATCTTTGGTTGGTAGCTATACTCCCAAGTCATTTCCTCGAATCGTAAAAACTATCATCGTTTGCATTGCCACAAGTGACGTTCGGACAGAGGAGGATTCACTCAATGTGATTGTCGACCGCATCGAGAGCTGCCTTTACGTCCTCTTTGGTGCCTTCATCAGGGACTTTGATGGTAGCGATAATAGCATGAGTACCCCCATTCTTCTCCCTCCAAACCTTCCATGATTTGGGAATTTTGTTGCCTGCGTTAACTTGAACCTGAAAACGGTGGAACTTCTTGCCAGCCTCCTCCTCGGTCCCAGCGAAATCGAAACGAACGCCCAACTTTTCCTGGTCCTGTGCGGTTTTCGGATAGGCGGTATGATGAAGGCTGACGGTTGGGCGGAGGAGCTTTTTGTAGCCGCCTTTCATAACAAAATCTTTGACTTTGTTCCACTTGTTAGGCATGGTGAAGGTGTTCTAATCTCTAAGTTTAAATCGAGTTATTGTATATAAACATCACATACTCCGTACCTTTATTTATACACAAATGTAATCTTTTCTCTAGCCAAGTGTCGTTTGTTTCGAAAAATATGCAATGGTTCGATGTTGATGGTAGAATAAAACTGAGAGATGGAATATATGGCCTTTATGAACAAATGCGCGGGCGGGGTCCGACAGTTCACGGCTGCCCCGGCGGGTCAGAGCAAACAAAAAGGGGATAATTCAGCAATCATATTATGATTGGTTGAGCCCAACTAGATGTTGAGCGCCCTTACCTCAAAAATGAGACCCGAATGATTGAAAATGGGGCTGAGTCGTTTGATCCAACGAGAGAACAAACCACACGGGTCAATAATGGATATAACCAAATCCCAACGAATGAATTGTTGTAAAAATGCTTACCCTTGTACCCCATGACAAATAATGCTCACGCCAGTATCCCACTGGGTGGGGTTTGAGAAGAAAAACGAATACGACACATCTGTTGAGTCCAAGAATAAACATGGACTCGAAGGGCACAGGAAAGCGATCTTAAAACCTGGGGGCTAACTGACATATCCGTCACTTCAGTCAAGCCCTTTCGTCATGGTCGTCGAAAGGGAAATGTTGTTGCAGAGCAATCCGCTCAATGTCGGTTTCAGAGTGTGCTAAGAGGCCTGCTTTGATTGATTGAGCTATAGCCTTCGCTTGCGCAAGATGATCATCATCCGGGACCCACCCTTGGGAATCAATGCCGATGTGGGCACGTATGTCAGAGAGCTCTTCTAACTTCTCTTGCTCTTGATTATACTGTGAAATAAAATCATTTCTCTGCTCTTCAGAATATTGTACCGGACAGGGGCCTAATTCCCGCGGTGTATCATCATAAGGCAGTGGCCAACATGTGCAAACTTGGATAATTGTGTGCCGAAGTGACAAGGAGTCGCCTTCCCATGGTGCCCCAGCACGATTAAAGAGTTTGGCACGGAGCATTGCGCCATTAGTTCTCAAGGCATCGAAATGATCCGGTAGTTGTTTCAGAGTCATTGCTGCATAGTAGAAATGGACCAGTCTTTTCCTCATAGATTCCTGTATCCTTTCTTGCTCTTCCTCACTTAAGGTATCAAAATTCTCTGGTAATGTGAGCTCTGGCTTAGCCAAAGATTCCGACAAAGGGTCGCCCCAGTTCTGAAAATGATCCGGAATGCCCGCACAGAGGCAGAGCGGAAGCGCCACAGCGTGCTGCCAGTCAATAACCCCCACGATATCGTGGGAATCATTAATGAGTATATTATTTGGTGAGAAGTCAGGATGGCGGAGAACGGGTCTGGAAAAGGGATGGCTTGGTGGAAGGTCTAACTGGGAGATCAACATTAATACCTCAGCAAGCAGACTGGCATGGACAGTTGGCGACATTTCTTTGAAGTGGTGAAGCTCGCGTAGATATCGTTCAATGTGAAGCCGAGGTTTGCCAAAACGTTCACAAAACTCGATTTCGCGTTTCGCAGGAGCCTCAAAGCATTCACGAAAGGTTTTCCCTGTTCCAATTGTTAGATAAAAAGAAGTTAGCGATGGAGTGAAGGTAATTTACATGGTCCGCGGTTCACAGTCAATGATGATCTATGCTCATACCACCATTGAAGTTGCGCTGTTGGACCGACAACAATTTGATCTGATGTGGGCTGTTCGGACAATGGAATTGCAAAGTCTGGCGGTTGAAGATCTTTCAGATAAAACAAACTGCCGCTTGCTGGAAGTTCTATGCTCATCCATTGCTTTTCCACGTTGACGATTTGCCTCATTATCTTAACCCTAGTTTTATTGTCCATGGTGAACCACTGGTCACCTAACGGAGTGCCATTTAACTTTTCTAGAAGAAGGTATTCGGTACCAACAGAATTTTTCGAGTCGGAAGAATATCCAAGAACTTTAGGAACTGGAATTCCACGCGCGTATAGTAAACCTAGCGTTGCGGCTTCGCTAGCGATAGCATAGTGCTTGGGGATGGTTGTCCGGTAAGGAATTCTCGCAAGGACCGCGTAGCCGTCACTAAAGGTGGCTTGGAGGATACGGTTGAAACCCCCTTCGGCGAGTTTTGTAATAGATGTAAGTTCCGACCGTGAACGGTTGGCGCATCGACAAATAACTGCCGCGAGAGCGTTGACATCGAACCGTACAAAGCGTTCGGATCGGCGAACCTCTTCATTAAATCTACAGGAATGAACCGAGTTCCAGTTAGCCTGAAAACCATGGAGCAAATCGCAACAAACACTGGGCATTCTCACAAGAAACGGCCAGAGGTATACGTAAACAAATCATCTGAATTCCATGAACTCAATTGTCTAATCCTAGGTTTAAATAGTCGCAGGAAAACTTTGGAAAAAATCTTCATGTCTCTTGGAGGAAAATATTATTCAGTGTCTGATTTTAGGTGAGTACTCTGTATGGGCTGGAAGCTTTAAACTTAGTAAAAACTACTCCGTAGATGATAACTAGAGGTTAGTTATATGGTACTCCGTAGTTCCAGCTAGCGGTAGGGTGGTGACTAATCAGTCTCTATGGCTTAAAGTTCATTGATGTCAACAACTTGAGCTACCCCTCTGGCGAACCTCTCACATTAATGCCATTAATCTTGCAAGCCGTTCAAGTTATGAAAGCTCTTAAAAGCTAATCCTCATTACCCGCCTCCCCAATCTTACCCAAGGGAAGCCCGAACCAGTAATCAACAATGTCTTTACAGTCCTACATCAACAGTTAGTTCCCTACCATTGCATCTCACCTCTCGTCGAGAAATTCCCCAGCTCTAAACTAAAACACGAAGACATATTACTAACGATGATTCCTATGTGAAGAAAAGGTCCTGATCCTTACTGTCGACGGGCGCACCCTGACGGGCATGCTTTTGTCGACGGACCAGCTTACCAACCTCGTCCTATCGCAGACTGTGGAACGAATCATCCGACCAGCTGACGACCCTGAACCGAGTTCCGTAGTCGACCATGGGCTGTACCTGATTCGCGGAGACAATGTTGTTGTGTGTGGGGAAATCGACGAGGAGGTTGACGGGAAGATAGATTGGTCGAGGGTCAAGGGCGATGTCATCAAAGGAACGAGGCACATTTGAGAGATCCTGGTTTTCTATTCGGGCGCATGGGATCGCTGCTGTGAGTGACCGGTTTGGGGACGAAGATCCTGGGCCTCTGGACGAGCAAGGCATGGGCGAATTACAGATGCATATTCGCTCTTGTTATTTTTGGCAGTAAGTATAGGCGCGCCGGTGGGGGGGCATTCCATGGGGGTCACGGTCCAGTGAACGCTTTTTACGAGGCCCAGGGCTAGGCGGTTTCAAGAATAGGGCGGTTGCATACATACTTTTAACCCTCTGGACTGGAAAAAAGATTTGGCAGTTCGAAAACTTGTGTGGTTACAGGCGTACTTGGTGTGGGGGGATCAACGATCTGTCTCTCCTTGAGCACTGAGAGGGAACAACGTGATTGATTTGTGGCCGTTCTACGGGCCAATGAAACATCACCCGAATTTGGCAGACTCGGCGTGGACTGGTCATTGGCGTGATTTGTGCGGAGTATGCTCGGAGGCAAAGACTTTGGAGCCGGGTTTTTGGCGCGCTTGCGGGGTCGTGTCCCCAGAGCGGTGTGGTTTCGGCTGCCTACCGCCGAACATTGCTGTATACATCGACAATTGCGATTTATCTAGCATCGATGACTTGAGAACATTCCATTGCATATTGCCATGCCGTCGTATGTGGTGTTGGTGTAGATGAGAGATACCGTAGGCTGACTTAGTTATGCAGCTTGGCTGCGAGTGGCCTGCCTGCCGTGAGTGCTTTTCGATGCGCCCCAGACTTGTTTCATAAATGTTTCTGGAGGTACTCAGGAGTTGGTACTCCAAACCAGTCCAAAACGCAGCATCGAAGAATGTGACAAAGCGCTGGCGAAAACCAAGACGGCGCATGGGTCGTACGGGCATGACGTGGGCACTTTTACGCAACTTTGTGGGCCTGCGCAATGCGAGCGAGGTCCCAAAATCTCTCATCCGGGTCTACGCGGCGGAGGCCGTTGCCGCTCGTACGGGCTGCCGGGTGCCTTGGCCGCGCTCGCCACGCCGCAGCGCCACACCGTCTCCTGGCAGCTACCTAATAATAATTAATGGTTGGAAGGTTGAGTCCTCGTCGGCCGCTGCGTCGTCGATGCCTCCCGATCGGGACAACTCTGATCACGTTGGCACGCCGCAGCGCCGCGTTAAGGTTAGCATCAAGGTTGAGGCAATACCGTCATGAAACAAAGCGGGGCTGATACCGCCGGCGAGGGCGCTTGGCCCGCGGCAATGCTTGATTGCGCCGCCCGCCAATCGCCGCCCGGCTGGCTTCGCAAGCCCAGCGCTAGCGGTATTGTCTCGTACGGCGTGACCGCTAGTGAATCCGCTGCCCCCACTCCAGCCCCTCGTCCTGAAGCGGCTAGTTCGCCCCCTAACTCGCTCAGCCAGTATCCCAGCGCGACTCTCGACGCTCCGGATTCCAACTCCTTTTGCGTCTCCTCTGCTGCTAGTTCTGTGTCTCCTTTGCATCTGTCCTCAATTTTCCGTTGTTTTTGGCGGTTGTCCTCCCGTTCTCGTCTCGCAGGGCGGATGACGAGCAACTATATTTCCTTGTTGTTGCCACGCGTGTCATTGACGTCGTGCTTCCACCGCTAGGGGCCATATCTCCGATCCGAAGATCTCCCGTCCACCAACCAACAAACAGCCTCCATGTTGACAAAAGGCCGCAGGACCTCGTCTGAAGCTCCGATATCAAGTCGAACAGTGCTATCCGGAATGAACCCGCACACTTCTTCAGCCAGAGTCCCTGTGGATTGCACCTGCTATACGCTCTGAACGCTGCGGAATGTGGCTCTATAGGGGAGTCCAATCTGCGGTGTTCTACTACATTTCCTGCACACCTTGTGGCGATTACCATTACAGACGGAAAAGAAGACGAGATGCCGCCCGCACTGTCCGAGAACCGAGTAGGGAGGGTGTCGTCACCGACCAGCCGACTGTCTTCCACCAGCCCTTCCCTTTTACTACGAACACCTATTGGAGCGAAGAGATTGCCCTAGGGCCGGGCCCTCCATCACGAAGAAACAGAAACGGTGCCAGTCGCACCGGAAGTCAGCGCAACCTATCGTCTCCTGTACCACCAGCACATCCAGCGGAGACTCCCGACACCTTGCCGAGCGCCAAGAAGGACAAGGAGCCTCTCAAGAATTCCATCGGCGATGCTTGGAATAGAATTCGATATCAGCGCGAAGACGAGGTTCTATGGGGATTGGAATTAAAAGGGTCATCTATTGGATTATCTGGTCGCGGTCGGGGCGCTTCGGACGAAGACCGGTCGTCAAAGTACTATATTGCACGAAATCCCGAAGTGAACGACTTACACCCGCCCGTTGCCTGTGGCCCTCGAAGTAAAACAGAAACAAAATGGATGCGACAGCCGCCCCCGAGCGCGAAGGTTATGGCAGGAAAAGTGAGGTCAGACACTGTACGGGAACATCGGAGGACAAGTGGCCGAAATCGTGCTTTGGCAAATCTCGATTTGCTGGAAGACGACGAACCGCCGAATAATGTGACATTCACCTCGCCCGTTTATGACTCGCAAATCCCTCGACATTCAACACTGGCGGACAAGAAAAAACCCGTCCGTCGACCCCGCGATTCCTCTTCTCCAAGCCCACCCTCAAAAGACTCGTCTCGCTTAAACTCCCACTCCCGTGCCTCCCGCAAACCACTTTCAACCATCTCCTCCGGCTCTAACCTTGTACCTTCCTCCGAAAATCTCGAATCACTCTCCCGATCCAGCTCACCCCTATCCCGGCAACTTGACCCTATAAGACCACCACCCCCAGTCTTACTCCGCAAAACCGCAACTACCCATGCCGAAGATCGGCCTTCGACGAACGGAACAACTGACAGTGGAAAGGCCTTCCACCTTCGAAGCCCCCTGCCATCGAAATGGGGGAATCATACTCCCACCAACACCCATAATAACAACCACATTAAGTCGCATCTTGGCTTGAGCCTTCACTTCGCCCTTGACGATTCAAGCGATGAATATAGCGATTTCGACGACCTAAAACATGTTCGGCCTTATCGGTGGAGTATGGATATATAAAAAGGGATTGTGTTTTGTTTCCCTCCTTTTGGTTTTGGATTGGCCTTTTGTTTTTTTTTTTTTTGTTTTTTTTTATATATTTGGTGTGGTGATACGCAGTCTTTCCCTCACTTCTGCAGCTTGCCCTGGTGCGCCAGCTGCCCCCTCCAATTTTGCAGTTCTTTTCCACAAAAATCGAGCAGCGACTTTTGCTATTGCCCTATTGATACTGCCCCCATATAATACTGAAGATTGGGCCTGCTTTTTTTTTTTTTTTTTTGATTTCTTCTTCCAGAAGCGGGCATTGGATCCCAGGCAGCCTGCTGGCCGAGAGCTCTAGGCTGTTCGTCCCAATGCTACCTAGACCCCCCCCTTTTCTTTTTGCCAGAAAGGGTCTGGTGAAAGTTGTGTGTACATACATTCTAAGAACACAAATACAATCCAAATACTTCACAAGAATTTTGCGCAGTGAGCCTGGTCACTTGAACCTATATCTATATGCTGGTGGTACAAAGACGGAGGCGCGACTGTTTTTTTTATTCCTTTTCGGCCAGAAAGGTCTGGTGAAAGTTGCGCGTACATGCATACTTCAAGGACACAAGATTGTGTTAAGCAACTCAAATTGACTTTATTGCTTCGCCATCGTGGGGTAATATTTGCGCCATATTTACGCCACAATTTCGATAGTTCCGTACACAATTTGAACAGAGACTATGAAGTACGGATGGACGTTTTTTTTTTCTTGCGGCTCGTTCCGATTCGATCGTTGCCCTCTATTATACGTACTCCGCATCCTATACTCCGTAGTACAGAGCACTTTACTCCAGTCAACTCACGCTCTCATGATCTCTGTCCAAGACCATCAGCAAACCCAGCAATTCCAGCGGAAATGACTGACATTATTCAATGTTAAATTGGGCATATTTTTTAGTTTCCTTAAGATTTCCTACGTGAACGGCACGGCACTAAGCTCGGTTTGGAATGCCGGCGGAGGAGTACGGAGTTCTATAATAAATGCAGATGTACACATAAAACCTTTGTTTTTCTTTTAACTATCTCCTTACAGACGCCAATGGAATATGGGGGTTGAAACAAGGAATATTTGGCGTTTGATTGTATGTACTCCGTATCATTATCTATTCAAGGGATATGTACGCCGCAGAAGAGAGATTAAACCAAGAATTGCGGCAGTGCAGACCAGCAAACGTATTTCCTGCTCTTTTAGATTTTGCGGGGATGTCGCGAACATGAACACGGGGGGGAAGGAATATGGTATGAAGGAAATTCGCCGAGGGAAAATGATCGTCACCGAGAAGCGATGTCGTATGGGCGATAGTTAGGCCAGGCTAGGCCTGGTCTGGCCCGAATACATGGATGTAAGCTGAAACAGCACGATGCTCCATCCACTGCCATCCATCCTGCTTATAGCTCTTCCTGTTCCTTTCGTTCCTGATGTCCGCTGTGGGCGCTGGGCGCCGAGGCCGGCCAATTTACCTTCGCCAGATCAACATCCATACCAAGGGAGGATATATATTTAACTAACTGGGACCCTCAGCCGTTCGTCCCTCAGCTGGGGATTAAATGCCCACCGCAAGCTGCAGGAGCCAGAGGCCTGAACTCCGTACTACTACTGACTATGTGCTAAACGGCAACGATTGATCGCCCAAGCTTGAAAAGCACTCCTCTGCCGATGATAGGATTGAAATGGATAACTGCTCGCCGACGTACACGGGCCTGGCACCGCATATCCCTGGGAGATGGCTGTGGGGGTCAATTGCTAACCATGACTTCGAGGATATCCTACCTGAATAAGTACTCTGCACTCGCTCGGTCAGGTTTCGGGGCTTCGTCGGGCGGCAGGAGGGTACCTTTGGGATGGCCACCCCGTTGGCTTTGTTGGGCTATAGAGTACGGCCCAGGCAGGTGTATTCTGCTTTCATGGCTCTTCATAGCATAGTTCAATTATGAATGCGACTGTCAAGACATGCAACTATGTAAGATATCGATATCCTATATATAGTACATTACTATGAGAATAGGGATTTTCAAAACATCATGTAAAACTCTAAGCTCTAATAATGCATTGCTGCATCAAAATCCTTTTTACTGGGATTGATTGAAGCCATGTCTTCTATGGAGTATAGTTCTGTCTATGTTTTTTTACGGCCTGTAGCACAATTATCCATGGTCTATTGTTCCCATTCAGACTGTAGGTTTTCTGTTTTGTGGTCTTTATGGTTGTGTTCTAATAGTTGTTGAATAGGAGCACTAATAAGCAGCTTCTAGCTAGGCAGAGCAGCAAATGTAGCTGCTCATCTGGAGTATACGTATGCTTTCATATTCATGCTTTCAGAGTGCTCAGACCACTCTGCTTAAGCCGGGCCCGTCCTTCTGGCGCTGCTCAAAACTCCATTACCAAGACGATTCCCAGAAAAAAAAAATCCAGCAGGATTTATATCAGCCCTTGACCTACGTACCTGCTGGGAATTGGGGAGGAGAAGGCGTACCGTGACTTCAAAAGAGAAACTGTGCATGAACTGCAAGAATTGATATAAAAGAGCTGGTTGTTCCCTGGCTTCATGATCCCTTTCCCACCATCCATCCTGCAAGTTCAGTATCTCAGAGTTATTTATCCTTCTGGTTCTCAATTCACCGCCACCACCACCACCATCATCATCATGTGGCTCAAACATCTCCTCTCTCTTACTCTGCTGGCGGCCTCAGCCGTTCTCTCCAACCCTCTTCCAAATCCAAACCCCGCCGACATCCCCGTCTTTGACAACAGCGTATGCTCCGCCAAAGCCGAATGCAAGAACGCTCAAGTGAGCGCGAAAGTAAGGGTTTGCGTTAGCCCCTCTAAGAACGGAAAGGTTGTGGTGCAGATGCAGGCGTCTGAAATTATGCTCGCGGCCTACGTACCAGGAAGGGTGAATCGTCCCTGGTCAGCACAGAATGGACAGTATACCTACGAATTCAAAACGGAGCTTAGTACGATAACCTTCGACGCAAAGGGCGAATCCAATAGTGACAATACCTGGGTGAATAGAGCAGCTGCGATTGGGCCTGGAAATGCTTCTCTGCGCTGGGGGTTTAAGCTGACTCCCAAAAAGGTTCCTGAACAACTTGTGAAACATCGCGTCACTGTCGAGGACTTGACCTTGAGCTGCGAGTGGAATGCGCTCTCTGGTTTGACCATTCGATCTGGTTAAATAAACTTTGCAGCCACCATGTATACGGAATGAACAGAGCAGCATGGAACACGGAGGGAATAGTTAACTCAATACAGATGTGAATAGCTGGGCGATGCTCTTCTGATGGGACCGAATTTCAGTCAGGAAACCGGGTACAACTCAATATGAGCATGGTTCACATGTCATTTCTTGATCAAGGATGCTGTTTTTGTTGTTATTACCAGAAAATGTTCAGGTTGACTCTTTGTATCTCATAGAGACTAGTTGTTGATTTGTATAGAGTATCATGGTATCTTCCCAATGCAAATCAAATAGATCAAGCAAGAACTGCAGTATTAGCTTTGAATAACTCCAAGGCATATGATAACAGGGTAAGATGCATGTGAGCTTGGCCTGATGGTAAGATGAAGAATTTGGTACATTTGATATTGAGAGCAAGAACAGTAGTACAATGCTAGAATAATTTGAGGTTAGAGACAGCAGTCCAGTAGTTCCATTTGAATATCATCAAAACACAAAAATCCATGAACATGAAAAAATCTTTCTTGTTATTGTTCGTAGCTTAATGCACATAATTCCAGATTTTACTGCACCGGAATCCAAGGGGGAATATGGCGTGAAACCAGCTTAATAGAGATACAGTATATCCCCTCTCTGTTTGTGTCTCTTTTTTTTTTCACGAGTATCAGGGGGCTCATGATGTCAACATTATCCAGAAAACATCAAAACTGGAAAAAACAAGACATGATGTCACCTTAGTAAAAGGGTCAAGTGTGTAGAAAGAAGCACAATTAGTAGACCTTCTTCTTTTCGTCCATGCTGAGCTGACCAGGGCCCATGTTTACCAGGAGGAGAAGGCCACCACTGGAGCACGAATTAGTAATCGTCGTCAACAACAATATTGGGGCAAGCAAGAGTCAGGAGAATACTCACACAATGGAGAGCGTCTGGAAGAAGTCATATTTCGCAAAGTCCTTGTGCGGATGTTTGGAATGAAGCTATCCTTAGGTCAGTATCATCAATCCACATAATTCAGCTGGGCAAAGACCACATACCGCCCACCAGTTGTTAACGAAGATGTTGAAGATACTGAGCACCACAACCAGGATAGTTGCACTCCACTTGGCCTTGAACCCAACGACCACCATGACACAGGCAATGAAGCCAAGAATACTGACAGCAATTCTCCAAAAGCCCCAGTCGCCAGAGAAGATGAAGCCAAGGAACAAGAAGACCAGCAGGACGCGTCCGGCGAACTGAACGTACATTTTGCGATCCTTCTCCTCGAGCTGGGGAAGGCCGGCGGGAACAAACTTCTTGCGGACCCACGAATCAGAGAGCACCATTAGAAGCCCACCGATAACACTGAGATTGCGAACGAAGAAGCTGAGGTCGAGGACCAATCCATATCCAATGGCCTGAGAAACAACAACACCCAGGAGACCGGCAACGGCGTATTCGCTGTGTTTACGGGCGATGACGAGGACGGAGCAGATCAACATCGCGATGACGTTCAAGATAAGGAAGATATGAGAGACACCTCGGGGGACTGCATAAAAAAGAAAACAAAAAAAAAAGGAGGCAGTCAGTACAGCACACTAAGAGGACATGACGGCAAATGGAGGAAAGCAGCTCAACTTACAATGCCTGAACTCGTGCAAGTAGGAGAGCTGGTCGCCCCATTGCGTCAATATCCGCAGAGAGTCTTCAAGGAAGGTGACGACGATCAAGAAACGGCCAATTGCAGGGAGATACCTTCCAACCGGAGAATTCTGTCAGTAAAAGTGCACGCATGCAAGCAGCCAACTAAGCGAGACCAATTGTTTTTTCTTGGAGAAACAACAAAAATTGAAAACACGGGACTTACGGCTTGACGGGATCGGACAGGGTCTCGAGCCAGTCCTCGATCTTGCTGGTGTGTTCGCGGATGGCGTCGAGGGGGCTGGGATCGCTGGTGGCATCAGCACGACCGGGGCCCACGAACGGGTTGCTATGGCCGAGATTGTACCCGGCGGTGCCACGGATTTGAGCCATGACGGGAGGGAGGAGCTAGCGATGCCCGGGGTCTTGGGAAGAAAAGGAGTGCGAGGGCAGAGAGAGAGTGGTCCTTGTTTCTTGTGGTGAGAGCGTCCGCGCGGGGAGGGATGTGAGGGGAGGAATTGGGTAGGTTGCGGAGGGAAACCAAGAGTACAATTGACAACAGCTGTTAATCCCGCTTTGACCGGGGGGGGGAGTGATGCAATTGGTGGCGAGGGCGGAGAAGGAGAGAGATGCGCAAAACAGCAAACAAAAAAAAAGGCGCACGCAGGAGAGAGGAGGGCACAGAGGCACAGCCTAAGGATAGCGAAGAAGCCAGCAGCAGAGGAAGAGGCAGAGAGAGAGAGAGGAAGTCGTGAAGTTGCAGTCGACGACGCCAGCCGCAGTACAGGCCACGATGCGAGAACGGGCACGCGGCTGGCTGCTCCAATCGGGCCTGGTTGCCAAGCTGCCGCTAGCGGGCGATCAGTCACGGGCGCGGAGGAACGTCGGGCCGGGAGAAACGAGAGACCGAGAGGGAGTACCTAGGAGTAGTGGGTGGTGGGGGAGAACAGGATGAAACAATAAATGGAGAGCCCGCCCCGTGGGATGATGCGGAAGATGCCATCTGTCCACTTCGATGCGCCCGGCCCCAGCTACCCGCCGACGGCCGAGCGAACCAGCGAACTAACTCCCGAACTAGTCCTGCTGGGCCTGGACCGGCACGAGGCTTCTCGCCAGGATCAGGGGCCCAGCGGGCAGAGTCGGCGGTGGAGACGCGCCGAGAGTGAGAGCCATGGGACGAGGCTGAAGAAACATTGTTTTCTACCGCAGGGCTCTCGCTAACTACTACATAACTGGTACTTAGCATACACACCCGCTTGTGCACCTCCTAGCTCGAAGGACAAAAGCCACCGCCGTGTTAAATACACTGGAGCAAGCAAACCAGGCAATACATGTACAGAAGGAAGTCGATCGAAAAAAAAGAAACACGTCTAGAAAGCGAACTCAGCAAACTCAACGCAAGCTGGAACTAAAAATGCGGCAAAACAATACAATCAGATAGAATAAATGTCAACATGTTTGTGTGTGTGATGCAGGTTGGTGGTGAGAGATGAATGGAGGCATAATAACAGGCTCAATGTGGGGGCTGCATTCTGGAGTCATAGGCCCATAGAAGGGCGCTGCGGTTTTTGTCCCGGTGAGGGCTGAATGTTAATGTAAATATGAAGTAGAGACGAGAAAGGATGTAGGGTATAATGGTGATCATGTTGGAATAGGCAATGCCAAAGAGACGATGGTCACCCCTTTTGGCTCCTCCATCTTGAGATAATAGAGAGTTTTGAAGAGAGTTTTGAAATGGTGGTAGAGTGCCTGCTATGCATAAAGACAGGGCAATAATGTGGTGCACGCAGCTGTGGCGGGGGTAAGTCTTTGTGCAAACATTGGACTTAGGGTTTTTTTGTTTTTGGATGCATTAGAAGAGAACAGAAAAAAAGATAAAAAGCAGCAACCTTAGGACACCTGGGAGTAGTGGAAATGCGGGACAAATAAATGGAGTTACAGCTGTAGTGCAGGCCAATTGGCAGTCAGAGAGAAGCACTAAGCCGCCCATTCAGAGTCAAGAGGATGGCCAATGTCAGCCGTGACCTTCTGCTGCACAGAGGCAGGGCGCGGGGCAGCAGAAGCAGTAGGAGGAGGGAACGCAGGTGCAGCCGACTTCACCACAGGGGTCTCTGAGCTGCTGATGTCGCTCGCCGCCGCGCTGGGGTTGTTTGCTCGGCGCTTGTCCTTCTTCTTGCTGACGGTCATCCACTCACTCTCACTGCTCATCGCACTCAGCATGCGCATCTGCTCTTCCTCCGAGGGCAGCTCGTCAGTCCAGCTCTTGGCCGCTGGCGTGGCTTTGTTTTCTTTGCCTTTCGACAATGCGGGCTTGTCGCTGTGGTCGAACGTGTCGAGGAGGGGCACGGCGGCCTTCGCAGGCTTCTGCGTTCCATTGACCGGGGCACCAGACTTCCACGCGTTGGAGGTGGGCGGTTTGGCCTTGGAGGCTTCCTTGCGCTCCAGCTCGCGGGACGTGTGAAGCTGCTTCTCGAGAAGAACGCGTCGCTGGGCTTCCGCCTCTTCGACCATGCGTTTATTATTCTCGCGCTTGAGGCGCTGCTGTCGCTGCTTCTTTGTCTCCGCAGGCTTGAACCCATCTGATTTCTTGTTGGCATTCTTCTTCTGCTCACTCTCCATAGGTCCTGTCAGTCGAAGAATCGATGCGCCAGGCAAGGGGGCCTCCAGCATGTCTGATACATCGCCAGTGGCCTTGACCTCCGGAGATCCAATGGACGACAGGTCGTCATCTGCCTCTGCTCCCGTCAGCGAGGAGGCACTGGTCGAGGCAGGCGCATCGCTGTTGCCAGTTGCTGGCCGAGAGACCGGCCTGGGGACCGGAACGGCCTTCTTGGACGGCGCGGTCGAAATCGCGTTTCCTTCTCTGATCTTGGACAGCTGCTTGGCAAACTCCAGGGTGTTGGCGTCTTCCTTGTCCTCCGGGAGAGAGGCACGGGCGGCAGGTGCCGCTGCGGCTTGGGTTTGGGGAGTTGGGGTGGGGCTTTTGCTGGCCGGCTCGGGGGCCTTCTTCGGCTTACGTTGCTTCACCTTTTTGGTAGGCGACGGGAAATGGTCGAATTTCTCCAGACTGCTCGGTTGCAGGAACGTCATCTTGATCTTGGACGATCCGCCACGGTAGTAAAATGCCAACCCGCCGGCGATAACGAGCAGGATGGCCCAGTTGAGGTATGGATTCATCTTTGCGGTGTCTGGCCTTTGCAGGCAATGGGAGTCAGTAGGGGCTCCGACAGAACGAAAGATGGCCGACTCACCTAGAGAGAAGATATCTGGTGGGATCTAGGGAGCAGCGGATGCCAGCGGAATGTGATCAACGTGTGCCCTATCCGGGTACGAGTATGGCTGCTCGTTAGACTCGGGCCGATTGGCGACGCGTGAAGGCGGAGGGAAGGGTGGCAGAGGCGCCCCGGAAGCGTGTTGATCTGCGGTTGATGTGGCCGCAGGGGGGCGCGGAGAGAATGAAGCGAAAGGGGGTCAGGAAACGACACGCCACCAAGCAGTCGAGGAGCAGGTCGCGGTACGGGTCGACGCGGAAACGACGAGAGCTGCGGGTCAGACAGAATTGTTGCTGCGCGAGGCAAAGCCAGCGGTTAGTTAACTAGCTGCGACGACGCTAGAAGGCGATCGCACACAGGCGGCGCAGGCTTACAAGATGGCAGAGTCGACAGGGACAACCACGGGCATGGCGGACCGGCCAGCCTGTAAAGTCGGGAGAGCAGGCAGAGAAAGGGGGAGGGCGGGTGGTGGTGGTAGTGGTAGTGGTGCGGGCTGATGATGATGATGATGATGATGATGATGATGGCAGAGAAGCGAAGTGGGAGGAGGGATGGGATAGGATAGGGATGGATGATGGGCCGGGTTGAGGTTACAGAGAGTCTGGAAGGGGGCTGAAGGGCGGGCGAGCTGCGGCTGGTTGAGGCCAGCTATCCAGAACGCCCGCGTATCACCGCAGCCCGCGCCGGGCGCGCTAGGCGTGATCGGGCATGGCGCCTGGGCATGCTGCCTGTCCAAAGACCTAGGCACCGCGCCACCACGCCGGGCAGGGCAGCAGAAATACAGTAATCTAGGCATGCCGGTGTGTGCACTGGCGTGAAGACTCTCCCAGCTGTGTGCGGCTTCCTGGTGGTCTCCCACTCGTGTGTTTGCCTCCTGGGCTGCTGCGCATCTGGCCCCCCCGGGCTGCCACTGTTCTCCCGGAACACTAGCGGCATAGTGCGAGGGCCACAGTGGGCCGGCATGACAGGCTCCAAACTCTGTCCGTACCGCAACGCGAGCTGCGCGAAACAATTTATTAGCCATGGCGATGGCGAGTCGCCCGGAATCCTGCACCGTGTCCACAGGCGGCCGTCGGGCGGCGCCGTGCTGGGAGGGAAGAGGGACTCAGGAAGACTCATGTTTCGGGGGGTCGCGCGAGACCGCTCGCCGGGGCGCATGGGCTGGGCTGAGCGAGGGATGCGCTGCTTGGCCGGCCTGGCGGTCGCTTGCGGCAAGAATGATATTAACATAACCTCGTTGTCTCTGTTTCGCCCGTCCAAGCACCGCGCCGAAACACCGAGCTGGGCAACCGCGCAACCCAACATGCGGCGGCCCATGTAACTAACTAGTTGCCGGTACATACGCCCATCCAACCCTGCCCTGATGGCTGCAAGCCATGCCGGGGCCACGAGCCTACCGCCCACGAGGCGATCGGGCGAGGGGGGAGTGGGAGTGTGTGCTCGATGCCCGCATCGTATACGGCGGGCGATCCGTCGGTGGCGGGGATTGCGCCGTCGTGGATGGGCGAGAAAAAAAAGCAAAGAACCGCCAGGGTGCCGGACAGCCATGGCCGGAGTGGACTGGGTGTGTTATGCTCGACATAAGTCCGGGCTGGCTTTCATTGTACTGTAGGGATGCGCCGTGCGGTGGGTGCATGGGGGGTTTTGGCGGTCTTGTCCGGCAAGCAGGCAGGCAAAACACACAGCCGGTAGACACTCACACAGAGTGGCTGGTTGTTTGCAGAGATGCTTCATGCACCGACTGTACGGAGTAAGCAAGACACCATCACTGAACACACTGTCTAAAGCATGCCTATATGTATAAATAGCATGGAGTAAATACACCACATCCTCAACTTGGCATCGCCTCGGTCCCGTCCGCAAGATCGATCGTCCCGCGTGGGATCCTTTCTGGCTCCAAATAGCCCCCTTTCCTCCCCCCACACCGCACCCCACCCCGCTGGCCGTACTGCAACGCAAGCGAGACATCGCGCAGCACCCACGTACGTCCCCTCGAATCGAACCGCATGCATCCCCCTTGCTGAGCGTCGCTGTGCCTGCTGCCCGTCTCTTGTCCTAAGTAACTAACCTCTTGTTCTCGTTTGTTGTTCTTGCACGCCGGATATCCGGACCGAGAGAATTAATTTCCCCCGCATTCCGGAACGCTCGCCAGCCCGCCCGTCCCCTCCCACCCCCCCTCCCTGCGGCAAGCATGGCGGTTCAGAAGAATAAAGTCATTATCGATACAGACCCGGTAAGGGAGGCCGGTTTATCTTGTTACTTTAAATAGGCTCCATGATACGATCTTGAATATTGCCGTTGGACAACGGCGTCTCTCCCTCGCAGAGTTAGCGCAAGCTCTAATGCACATGCCCAGGGAATCGATGACATTCTCGCCCTTCTGCTCGCGTTTGCCTCCAAGCCAGAGGAGATCGAGGTGCTCCTCGTCTCTCTGACGTTTGGGAATATCGACGTGCGAAAGTATATACCCATAATCCCCTTTTTCTCACCTGCCTTGTAGGTATCTGTTTTGTACATCCGTGCTAATCGATCACTAGCTGCCTCCGAAACGCCGTGTCGTTGTTCCATGTCATTGAGCAGGAACTTGAATGGCGCCGCAGCAATGGGCTTGCCGAAGGGTTTGCGGCCTTGAAGGCGCTGAAGCCCATTGTGGCAGTGGGTGCGGATGGGCCGCTGAGCGGCGAGAAGCTGATGGCGGACTATTTCCGTACGTCTTACCTTGGGGTCAGCTAGTACAGTACATATCTAGATCTAATGGCTATGCTGCAGATGGTCAAGATGGCCTTGGTGGCGTTCACACGACAGTGGGTTAACTGACTCTACGCTCCCGCACGCTGTGGACTGGCCCAGCTAAGCTGACCGGCGTAGCACCCCCATCTCACCGCCGCCCAGACATGGGAAGTGCTGTTTTCTCCTCTGTCAGCGTCGGTGGAGGAACTGGAGGCGGCGGCGCGGAACCATTCGTCGTTCACGGCCTCGCACAAGCCCGCGCACGAGGAGATGCTGAGGCTGCTGCGCGAGCATGAGCCGGACACCATCACGATCGTGGCGCTTGGCCCGCTTACGAACCTTGCCCTGGCAGCGGCACAGGATCCCGAGACCTTCTTGAGAGCCAAGGAGGTGGTGGTCATGGGTGGTGCCGTGGATTGCCCAGGAAACGTGAGTATCTCGTTCTCGGCGCCGCACTCAAAAAAAAAAAAAAAATCAAGGTACTTAGTTACATCATGCTGAAAGCTGACCGCCGAACCAGGTCACGCCCACGGCGGAATTCAACACCTTCGCGGACCCGATCGCCGCGGCGCGGGTGTACGCGCTGACCTCCCCGCTGCCGCAGACAACGATGCCGCCGGCGTCGATCTCGCTGCCGCTCGCCGACTACCCGGCGCAGCTGAGCAGGCCGCTGACGCTCAAGCTGATGTCGCTGGGCCTCACGCGGGCGCACAACCTGACGCGCGGGCACTTCCAGGCGCGCATCGCGAAGCACGTGCACGCCGGGTCGCCGCTGGCGCAGTGGACGACGGCGTTCCTGGAGCACACGTTCGCGACGCTGGACGCGCTGCACCCGGGCCACGCGGGCGACGCGGCGGCGCTGAGCCTGCACGACCCGGTGTGCGTGTGGTACGCGCTGACAGCGCCAACAGCGGCAGTGGCGGCGCAGTGGACGCTGTCGCCGGACTCGCCGGTCGACCTGCGCGTGGAGACCAGCGGGCAGTGGACGCGCGGGATGTGCGTGGTGGACCGGCGGCAGCGCAAGCGCCGCGAGCACGACAACCCGGACGTGACGGACAACGGGCTGTGGCTGGGGCGGCGGGCGGGCAACCGCATCGAGTGGGTGGTGGGCTCGCCGGGCGCGGAGGCGCTGGCGGAGGTGCTGATGGCGCGGGTGTTTGGCACGCCGTAGGGTACGGAGTACGGAGTACCTACATAGGTTAGTGAACTACGGAGTATAGGAATATCCTCCGTATAGCCATGCCGTACTCCGTAGTGACAGCGACGGCTGATCGAAGTGACGATTGCCCGAAACGGCGCGCACGTGAGGGGGCAGCCGGAGGGCGGCCGAGCGAGGGAAAGCGCGCGAGAAAGCAAAAAGGGCAGTGGCGGCTCGCCGTTTGGGGTTCGTCCGGGCGTGGGCGGGCGGCGGGCCAGCCAATGGCAGAGCTCGAGGCGCGCATGTGGAAAGCGGCGGAGCGCTGCCAGCCTATCAGTCGCAGCACGCGGCACGCGACACACTGCCCCGAGCTTGCGGGCTTTAAAGGGCGTCGCGACTCCCTTCAGTCGGGGCGAGCTGGCTGTCCGTCTGACAGGAAGTCAGTCAGTCACCATGCCGACCTGCCTTCCGACTGACTGCGTGACGGACTGCCTGCCGGTGAACTGACAGCAGATATTGCCTGACGGCCGCTGCCACGCACGCCCCTTGCGGCTGCGAGCCTTCCTGACCGCCCGCCTGAGCCTCATCTCGCATCGCCTGACCCTCTCCAGCTCACTGCCTCTCTCCCTCGCCAGCATCGCCATCATCACCATCATCACCATGCCCAAGGCTCAGTTGCCGCTGACCCCGGCTCCCTCCGCCGAAATCGCCGCTCTCGACAAGAGCATCAATTCGCCTGTCGATATGTACTTCGCACTCCCGCCCTCTGCCATGCCCAGCAACAACAACAACAACAATACCAACAACAGCGCCAGCGCCTTCACGCCCCTCTCGCCCTCCTCGCCCGAAGTCCTCGCCGCCGTCGCCGCCGCGGCCGCCAGCGAGTCGTCCTCCCGCACGCTCCGCCAGCGCTCGTCCGCGAAGCGGCCCGCCGCCGACTTCACCCTGCCGCCGCCGCCCACGCGCACCCGCAAGATCATCCAGGTCAAGCCCAAGGGCCAGGAGCTGCATCAGCAACAATCACAACAACAGCAGCAGCAGCAGTCACAGTCACAGTCACAGTCTCGAGCCACCGCTGCTGCTGGTGCCGGCGGGCAGGCGAAGAACGGAAAGGACGGGGCGGGTGGTGGGAGTGGAGCGGCGGATGGTGGTAGTGGTGGTGGAGGAGGAGGAGGAGCGACGAAGAAGAAGCCGGCTAGCGCAACGACGGCGGCGGGGCGCAAGATTGCGCGCCGCACGGCGCATAGCCTGATCGAGCGCCGGCGCCGGTCGAAGATGAACGAGGAGTTTGCTACGCTGAAGAATATGATCCCGGCGTGCAAGGGGCAGGAGATGCACAAGCTGGCGATTTTGCAGGTGAGTTCTAGCAGAAACGGAGACAGGTGGTGATGGTTTTTTGTTTTGTTGCTGTTGCTGACGATGGGATTTGGGTTCCAGGCGAGCATCGAATACGTCAACTACCTCGAGAAGTGCCTCGTCGATCTCAAGGCGGCCAACAACAACTGCCGCGAAGCCACGCCGACGTCGCCGACGTGGAAGCCCGCGCCCGAGCCGCGCACGGGGCTGTCGTCGTACGCCGCCTCGCCCGAGTTCGCCGCGCAGTTCGACTCGCTTTCGTCGTCGCACGCCGCCTCGCCGCACACCGCCGCCGACCTGCCGCCGCCGCGCGCCTCCTTCGAGATCATCCCCATGATCCTGCCCAGCCCGGCCCTGGCGCCCGCGCGCTCGCCGCCGTACCCGCCGCGCGTGCACCGCGACACCTTCTCGTCCACCACCTCCACCATCTCCTCGCTCTCGACCGCGTCCAGCGCCACGTCGCCCGTCGTCATCCCCCAGCAGCAGCAACAACAACAGCAACAGCATGAGCCGGCGGTGTACACGCCGTCGCTGCGCGCGCAGGGCCGCCACGGCTCGGGCGGTGTAGCTGCTGCTGCTGCTGCCAGCGTGGATGTGGACATGGACCGCGAGGCGACGGCGGCGCTGCTGATGCTGAACATCGACCGGCGCACGTCGAGCGGCGTGGCGGACCTGTCGAAGCCGGTGTTTTTGCGCAATAACTCGGACGACGGCAGCAAGAAGGGCATCAGCGTGCATGACTTGCTGAGCCATTGAACGTCGGGTAATTCGGGTTTGTTACGTCATGCTGTCGGGGACCTTTTTTCTTTCCTTTCCTTTTGTTTGGTTTCAATCCTATTTTTTTTTTTTTTTTTTTTTTTCTTTACTGTCGATGATCGATGGTGAATCGCGCCTGCTTTTCTGGACTGGAGGCCAAAACTAATGAGCGATGAAATGGTGGCTGGCTCCGACTTTGTACGCTGCAAGGATGAATATGACTGGTTTTCTTCTTTCTTTATGATTTGGGATCGGATGGGGAGGGGGGGCCAGGGAGCGGTTTCACCAACAAAAAATGTCAATTAACTATCTGTAAGTAGCTTTGTACGCACAAAAAAAGAACACTGGGTAACCAAAAATGGGAAGGAGGCCCAGAATGTATTTATTGGTTGTTTGTATGTAGGTTAGGGTGAAGGTCAGATCAGGCTTGGGGTGGGGTTGTTGGGATATCATGAGATGGCAAATAGTTAGAAAATGCCCAGGAATGCAGAAAAGGCAGGTGAGAGTGGGTATACAATAATGAGAGAAAAGGTCGTCACATCGTGTCGGTCAGGCTGAGAAACAGCAAAGAAATCAGAGCAAGAAGGAGGCTATGAGCAGAAGAAGGCTGAATGAACGCATAGCGCTGTGCAAGAAATCGAAAGAAAAAAAAAATTTGGTCGTGTGGGGAAAAAATTATAGAGGGACAGCACGCGCCAAGAAGGATTCCGGGGAAGAAACACCGAGAGATCGTTGAAACAAAAAAAAAGGGGGGGGAGGAAAGGAAATGACGATATCCTCCGATACAGATACTCCGTACACACACGCAATGGGAAATAAGAAATAGAGAAAATAGGATTTCAGTCTCTGATGCAGTCGAGCCAGACAACCACGGCGTCCTCGACCTTGCGGCGGGCGGGACTCGCACCACCACCAGCACCACTCGATACCACGGCGGTCACCACGGCGTCCTTGGCAGCAAGGGCCGTCGTCGGAGTATTTGCAGTAGCAGTAGTAGTAGTGTTGTTCTTATTGTTGTTGTTGCTGCTGCTGGTGAGCTCGGCCTGCAGGCTGTCGAGGTTCCACTGGGTCAGCGGAGTCTTGCAGACACGCGGGTCGGGGCGGTCGAGCAGGCGCGCGCGGTGGTAGGCGACGAGCGAGGAGGAGGCGTGGCGCAGGCGTAGGCGCGACGACAGCGGCGGGCTGCTGGGAGGCGGTGGTGGGATTGCGGTTGGTGGTGTGGGTTTGGAAGGAGGGCTGTTGGTGGTGGTGCTGGTGGAGGGTGTGAAGAGCTGCTTGAGCGTGGACGGGCGGAAGAGCGAGGGCGACTTGCTGGCGGGCGTGGGCGGTGTGAGGGCCACGCTGGGGCTGCTGGCGCTGGTGGGCGAGGCCGCCGTGGTGGTGTGGCGCGACGAGAAGGACAGCGAGCGCAGGGGGAGCGGGAGCAGGCGCAGGCGCCGCTTGGGCGAGGTGGTGGGCGGGCTCATGGTTGGTAGTTGAGTCGCTGGGGCGCCGTTTCAACGGGACGGGTTGAAACGAGCTGTCTGGTCAGGAGGAAGAGACGAGAAGAAAGCTGAAGAGCGAGAGCTAGGCAGTGAGTTAACTCGTTAGCTCAAGCTTCTTTAGTTAATTAGGGACTCACCACAGGCTAAGTGACACTAAGCTCAATGCAGTTAGTCAAGTTCATTCTGTATCAATATATGAAAATTATAAAATCATTTAAATCAGTTAGATGGTAGATACTGGATTTTAGACTGACCGCGGGGGTCCCTATAGGGATCTCTATGGTCAGCCTACAAGGCTATAACTGAGACTACAGGAAAAACATATGAAAAACCCCTAGCAAATTTTCATCAGTCTGATAGTCAGTACTAGGTGGCAAACCTACGATTCTCTGACTGCTCCTGGGCTTAACTCGCAGATTAATACACAAAGCGGAAGGCCGGGTGGTCATCGCCCAGGTTGTCCGCGTCCGCGCCCGCCAGCCGCTCCGCCCGCCCGCCCCGCGCCCGCACCGCGTTCTCGCGCCAGCACCAGCCCAGCAGCGCCGTGGCCGCCAGCCCGCTCGCCCACACCAGCGCCACGCTGGTCGAATAGCCCGCTGCGAACTGCTGCCCGCTGCAGCTACTACTACTATTGCCCACAAACACGTTGCTGGCCACCAGCCCGCCCGCGTTGCCCGCCCCGATCTGCACCGCCGTGGCCACCGCGCGCTTGTAGTGGCCGCCCATGTTGTTGCTTAGCCACCCCAGCGCCGCCGGCTGGGCCACATACCCGCCCGCCGTCACCAGGCACACCGCTGCGTAGCGCGCCCCGACCGGCACGTGCGCGGCGTTCAGCAGCACCGCGTAGCCCGCCGTCGCCACCGCGCACCCGCCCGCCACGAACCCGTACCGCTGCTGCAGCCGGTCCGACGCCACCGCGCACGCCAGCGTCACCGCCGTCGACGCCGCGAACACCGGGATGCTCATCACCTGCGCCCGCACCGCCGTCCACCCCAGCTGCCGCGGGATCGTCGGCGTGAAGAACGACGTCGCGTAGCCCGTGTTGACCAGCCCGAAGTACATCACCACCCTAGCGAGTATCCACGTCAACTCTGTCAATACAGATCAACTAATAGGTACTTATGTAGGAGGGGAATACCCCAGGTAGATCTTCACGTCGCGCACGCACCGCCGCACCGCCGCACTGCCGCCCCATCCAGCCGGTCCATGCGCGCCCCGAACGCGTCCGCCCGCAGCCGCGCCGCCAGCAGCTGCCGCTCGTCGTCGCTCAGGAACCCCGCCGTCTCCGGCCAGTCGACGATCAGGAACCTCGATGCTGCCGCCGCTGCCACCGTCACCGCTCCCTCGACGATGAAGATCCACCGCCAGCCGCTGTAGCCCGCCCGCCCGTCCAGCCCGGCAATCGCGTACGCCAGCAGCTGTCAGACATCTGTCCGTTAGCCATATAAATATACATATATATGAGGACCCGGCTTACCCCGCTGACCGCGCCCGCGATGATGCTGGCGCAGAAGAAGAAGTTGAGCCGTTTCTGCAGCTCGTATCGCTGGTAGTACATCGAGATCAAGTACACGCATCCTGCGGCCCGTCAGACCCGCCAGCCTCTCCATACGATTGATATGATGGCATACCCGGCACGAAGCCCGCTTCAAACACCCCCAGGAAGAACCGGCACACCACCAAGCCCGCGAAGCTGCTGGTCACACCCTGGCAGATAGTCACCACCCCTAGACCTGCAGTCAGCCACACCACACCTGGATTCCGAAGAAAATAAATAACTACCCACCCCACGCCGCAATGATGCCGCTCAGCCACGTCGACGGCGCCACCCGCTTCAGCACCAGGTTGCTCGGCACCTCCAGCAGGATGTACGGGATGAAGAAGACGAACAGCGCGACGTTGTAGTCGCGGTGCTGCATGCCCAGGTCGCGCTCCAGCCCCTGCAGCCGCGCGTTGCCGATGTTGATGCGGTCGATGAACGATAGCATGAACAGCACGAACAGGATCGGCACCACGCGCACGTCGCACTTCCGCACCAGCGCCGCCTCCGCCGCCGCTGCTGAGGAGGAGGATGGTGGGTCATCGCCGGCGGGAGGGCTTTTTTCGGTGCTGGTCACGGCGGCCTCGGGGTCTGACGGGGTGGTCATGGTGGGGGAGTAGTTGGTTAAAGGAAAGATAGGGCAAGTAAAATGTAAAGAGAAATGAAAGAACAAGTTGTCAGGCAGCTTGTAAGGTGAGTGAGGTGAGGACTCGTTGATGTGTTGGTTGTGAGATGAGAAATATCATATCACACAGCTAGAGCTGTTTGCCCGCGAAAAAGTGAGAAGACACCTCGCCAGGGCAACTAGCTGGTTGAGTTGACGCAGTGATGGTCAACACACAGAGCACATGGCTGTTGGCCGCATGGTGCTTACTCTTGCAACACAGAATACTGCTCGAAAAGACCTGTTCTTCAACAGCATGGCTGTACAGAGCATCTATTCTCTGAGTGAAGCTCCAGAGAAGAGGAAGAAAGAGTCAGACCACACCCACAGTATCCCAGCCTGCACATGGGGCTGGAGTCGGGATCTTCACGGCTGCATTCTTTGTCGATTTCAAACCGGGCCAACCGACTCCCCGCAGTCGATCCCTGTCGGAGTGAACTCGTGGTGAGATGGGTTTACTACCTAAAAAAAGGTAGGAGAGAGAGAGAAAACAAGAAAAGATATATATTTGATGAAGAAGACATCGCTGCTAACAGCAGAGATTTTCACCCTGCTGAATGTCTGGGTATCTCTGCACGTCCCGCCCTGCAGATTGGCGCTGCAATGGAGATCATCTGCGCGGGAGGGTGCCCGCCGTGTGAGCAGTGCCATTGCACGGTCTATGTGTCTGTCCACACCGCAGCACCAGCGCTGTCTATCCAGACCAGACCGACCGTGTTGCGAGATGATATCGCCAACAAGCACAAGACAGGCTTCCTCTCGCTCAAGATGACGGCTGACTTCCTGAATACCCCTCACCAACGGGCTTATCTCGGGCACCACTCCCTCCCACTGTCCCTCCGTCTCCCTCGCACGCTCATCCTTCACAGCCGTCGCTGCAGCCAGCGTGGGCAGGCCGAGGTTTGCAGGCCGCGCGCTGGTCGTTTCGCGGAATTAGGGTTTTGCTGCCGCAGCCCCGGCGGCCGGCCAATCACACGCGCGCGAAAGGCCGCGATGGTAATAACCGCCGGGCTAACTAAACTAGCCGCGCCGGAACCCCGCGCTTGGCCGCGGCGCTGATTCCGCGCGTTGCTTCTCCGCATCCGACGACGCTGCGGCGGTTCCGCGGCGGAATTCAAGGTAGTTAGTACTGGTTGGTACCTGTTTAGCCCGGCCGGCGCTGACGTGGGAACGGCGATCCGCCCGCGCCCTTCCCCGCAGCCGCGAACTCACGCCTGGCGCGCGCGATATATATAACGAACCTCCCGCGGCGTGCCTTCGCCAGCCCAACGCTTGACTCCCGGACGGACGAAATGGGCTACCAAACCATCGCCATCGCGGTCGTCGCGGCCGTGTACTTCGTCATCAAGTACCTCAACAAGACCGATGTGCCCAAGATCAAGAACCTGCCGGAGATCCCCGGCATCCCCATGTTTGGCAACCTGGTGCAGCTGGGTGATAACCACGCCAAACGCGCCCAGGAGTGGGTGCAGAAGTACGGCGCCGTCTTCCAGGTGCGCCTCGGGAACCGGGTGCGTATAGCCAGCTCGCCTACCGTATGATATATGCCGAACTAATCCCTCCCAGCGCATCATCTTCGCCAACACCTTCGACTCCGTCAAGCACTTCTGGATCACGCACCAGTCCTCGCTCATCTCGCGGCCGACGCTGCACACCTTCCACACCGTCGTGTCCAGCTCGCAGGGCTTCACCATCGGCACGTCACCGTGGGACGAGTCGTGCAAGCGCCGCCGCAAGGCCGCCGCCACCGCGCTCAACCGCCCCGCCGTGCAGTCGTACATGCCCATCATCGACCTCGAGTCCACCGTCAGCATCAAGGAGCTGCTGAGCGACAGCCGCGGCGGCACCGTCGACATCGACCCCAACCCGTACTTCCAGCGGTTCGCCCTGAACACCAGCCTGACGCTGAACTACGGGATCCGCATCGACGGGAGCATCGAGGACAAGCTGCTCAAGGAGATCTGCCATGTCGAGCGCGTCGTGAGCAATTTCCGCAGCACGAGCAATAACTGGCAGGACTACATCCCGCTGCTGCGGCTGTGGCCCAGCCGGAATAACGAGGCCAAGGAGTTCCGCGAGCGCCGCGATCGGTACCTGTCGCTGCTGCTGGACATGCTGCGGGACCGCATCGCCAAGGGCACCGACAAGCCGTGCATCACGGGCAACATCCTGAAGGACCCCGAGGCCAAGCTCAACGAGGGTACGTCACCCCTTCCCATCCCTATCCATAGGCATACCTCCTAACCCTCCAATCCCCAGCCGAGATCAAATCGATCTGCCTGACGATGGTGTCGGCGGGGCTGGACACGGTGCCGGGCAACCTGATCATGGGCATCGCGTACCTGGCGTCGGCGCACGGGCAGGAGATCCAGGAGCGGGCGTACGACGAGATCGGGCGCGTGTACCCGCACGGCGACGCGTGGGAGCGCTGCCTCGTCGAGGAGAAGGTGCCGTACATCACCGCCTTCGTCAAGGAGGTGCTGCGCTTCTGGACCGTCATCCCCATCTGCCTGCCGCGCGTCAGCATCAAGGACATCGACTGGAAGGGCGCCACCATCCCCGCCGGCACGACCTTCTTCATGGTGCGATCCCAAGCCCGATGAGTTCGTTAGTTGGACTGACTGACTGACTGACTGACTGACTATGATAGAACGCCTACGCCGCCGACTACGACGCCACACACTTCGACGACCCATACTCCTTCCGCCCCGAGCGCTACCTCCACGGGACCACCGACGGCGCGGGCACGCCGCACTACGCGTACGGCGCCGGCAGCCGCATGTGCGCGGGCTCGCACCTGGGCAACCGCGAGCTGTACACGGCCTTCATCCGGCTGGTGTCGGCGTTCCGCATCGTGCCGGCGCAGAACCGCGCCGACGACCCGGTCATGGACTGCCTCGAGGCCGGCGTCAACAAGTGCGCGCTCACGCTGGACCCGCGCCAGTTCAAGGTCGGCTTCCGCGTGCGCGACCAGCAGCGTCTGGATGCGTGGATCCGCGCGAGTGAGGAGCGGACGAGGGATTTATAGGATTGGGATGTTAGATGGTTGTGTATGTTTTGGAAACGGGGGGGGGGGCGTTTGTGGTTTGTAACTAAGTTAACTACCCAGAAGCATGCCGTCAAATTGGAAAGAAAAATACCATTGAATTTCTGCTGACACGTAATTGCTGACCTTTTTGTTCACTGATATGTAATTATACAGAGAAGCTCGTCGGGAACAGATACCAAACTAGCTAACTATTCTAAGAGAAAGAATCCATCCATCCAACCAGCCGAAAGAAGAATAAAACGAACCTCCCCCACCGGTCTCTTTTTTCATCTCATTGACAGACTCTCTTCGCATCACGATTAACCCTCATCTATCATCACACCCCCCGCGTCGCCACATACGGCACGAACCGCGGCTGCTCCACGAACCGATCGGTCGGCGGTGGCGGCGGATAGGCTGCGTGCGCGAAGAAGTCCTCGCGGGACTGATACGGCGAGATAGCCGGCAGCAGCTGCGGCGTGCGGATGCGCGGGCGCGCGGTGACAGCAACAGGCGGCGGACGCGGCGCTCCGTTCGCCACCACGACGCCGCTGCCGTTGTTGTCGTTGAACTCGCTCTTCACGCTGCCCAGCGAACCGTAGCGCCATCGGCCGGGGCGGAAGGCTTCGGCGAACTTCTCGGGCGGAACGGGTGCGGTGGCGGCGGCGGGTTGGGTTTGTGGTGGTTTGCGGCGCCAGGCGGGTTTGGGGCGGAAGCACCAGGGGAAGAGCTTGGAGGCGTGGGCGTCGTGGGTGGTGGGCTGGGAGAGGTCGAGGCGGCGTTTGCGGACGCAGTCGTTGAAGACGATGGTGCCGGCGGCGGACAGGGTGATGATGACGAGCATGCCAAAGGCCACGTAGAAGGCGCGCTGTTCGCGGCGCTCGCGCAGCACGCAGTATGCCTTGAGCTGTTTCTCGTTGCGCGGATAGCACAGCTTGCAGACGTCCGTCTCGGCGGTGGTCATGCGCACCTTGGGCTTGTTGCAGATGACGCTCAGGTCGCCGATCCGGCATACTTCTTCTTCGCAGGGCAGTTCCCGCTTGGTGAATAGGGTGCTTCGTCTGCGAGGCGTGGTCGGGTGAGGTATGGGGTCGATCGTTCGCCGGCTGTTCTGGCTGCGTCTCGCACGCTCATCTACCAGTACCTTGGAAGGAGACGCGGATCCATGATCGTTGCCCAGCAGGTCTGGACTTGACTGCGACAAATCCACAAACTGATACTCCTTCTTCGCCCACCGCAGGAAGGTAAACACGGCCTCCTGGCAGGCCCTGACGCCCGCACCCTTGGCGCCGGTCGAGCCGGCGAGCGCGTTTTCAAAGCCGAGGAGATCAGCGGCGCACGTCTCGAAGTCGCCGACGAGCCGGCGGAATCGCTCGGAGCGGAGAAGCTTGAGCTTGAACACGGGGCCCTGGTCGCCGTAGGGGATGGCGTCGTCGAGGAGGGGCTCGTCGGCTGGTGCTGCGTGAGAGACGGCGAGCCGTGATTGGGCGGGAGCGGTGTCGCCCGGATGTGTTTGGCGCGAGAGCGCTGGGGTGTTTAGTCCCGGGTGGTTCGGTTTGGCGAGCCGGGACGTACTGTACAGGGCCAGGGTAGCGGTGGTGAAGACAGCCAGAGCCGGTTTCCAGAACATCTCGGGTAATGGATTCCTCTGCGGTAGACAACGACGGCGCTGGTGTTCGATTCCGATGGTCCAAGGGTTGGAAGAAGAGCGGCGGTGTCGCGAACAGCACAGATGGTGTCGCGGGCGGAGGCAAGCACAATCCATGGCGGCAACTGCAGTTTCCACTCGAGGATATAGATTAATCAATCGTATTGAGCTGCGCAAGAGATGGGAAAACCAGTAGGAAAAAACAGAAAGCACTAGGGATGCTTCGATGTGGCGTCCTGACTATAGATAGTCCACTGATTAGGTATATAGGGATTTTGTTTTTTGACCAGAAACAAGAACTAGAAAACCCAAAAGCGATAACGTCAAGGTTAAGCGTGACAAAGGGGTAATTTTGTTATGCACTGTGTCGCGACGGCGGCGGCGGCGGCGGCGGGTGGTGGTGCTGCTGGAAGAGATGCAGGCCCAGCGGCGGCGCGGACGACGAGACGGAGGCATAGAGGCGGTCGCGGTCGTAGTCGGGCGACGGATAGTGCGGCGGGTCGACGCGGGCGGCGAGCAGGGCCTGGACGTCGACGGCGTGGCGGGCGAAGTCGTCCCGCGGGCGGCGCACGTCCCAGCGCACGACGGCGTACTCGAAGATGCAGTGGGCGTCGTAGATGAAGGCGGTGGCGCGCGTCAGGCGGTCGTCGTGGTGGTGGCCGGTGGGTATCGCGAGGCCGAGCTGCATGGGCGACAGGAGGCCGGCGGCGGCGGGCGGCGAGGGCTGCTGCTGCTGCTGCTGCTGCTGCTGGTGGTCCGGGGGGAAGGGCTGCAGGACGTCGTTGGGGTGCTGGCGCAGGAGGTTGAGCAGCGTGCAGGCGACGGTGTAGGCGCGCTCGATGTCGAGGTAGGAGAGCAGGGCGGTGAAGGCGGAGGCGGAGGCGATCTCGCGGGCGAGCAGGGCGACGAAGGCGGCGGCGTAGTCGAAGAGGCGGCGCGGCTGCAGCTGGTCGAGGGCCGGGGCGCGGCGCGAGGGCGAGAGCACCAGCACGACGGTGTACAGAAACTCGAGGCGGAACAGCGTGGCGAAGGGCGCGGGCGCGTCGGCGGGACAGCTCTGGAACCAGGCGGCGGCGGCGGCACAGCGCTCGGCGGCGAGGTCGCGGGCGTCGGCGGGCGTGGGGGCGCGGCCGCTGAAGAACATGTCCTGGTAGGCGGCGGACTGGAAATGGCGGATCTGGAAGATGCAGCGCGCGGGCGCGATGCTGCGGAGGAACGGCGCGGCGGGGGGGTCGGGCGAGGACGAGGACGACGGCTCGGCGGGGAAGGGCACGTTGGCGGAGTCGTCGGAGAAGGAGAACGGGCGGCCGAGCGCCATGCTGGCGAAGCGGTCGAGCGCATACACGCAGTGGAACGTGCGGCGGCGGGCGTCGAGGGCGGCGCGGCCCAGGGCGCGCGACGAGGCGTGCTCCTGGTGCAGGCCCAGGTCGGTGGCCACGCGGGCGGCGGCGCCGACGAGATACCACGGCCGGAAGCAGGCGGGGTGCAGGGCGGCGTACTGGGCCAGCAGCACGAGCGCGTGGATGCCGGCCAGCGAGCCCGGGCGCAGCACGTCGTCGGCGTCGGCCAGCGCAGCGTGGACGTGGGCGGCGGCGGCGCGGGCGTCGGCGTCAGCGGCGCGGCGGGCGCGCGCGGCGGCGGCGATGGCCAGCGCCAGGCGCAGCGTCCAGCGGTCGTGCGGCGCGGCGAAGCGGCCGCGGTCCTGGTACACGGCGGCCACGGCGGCCCAGAAGGCGGTCTCGGCCAGCACGGGCACGACGGGGTGCACGGCGTCGAAGTACGCGCGCGTGAGGCCGGCGAGCTGGGCGTGCGGCGGGAGCGGCGCGGGCGCGGGCGGCAGCGGCAGCGGGGCGGCGGCGGCCACGGCCAGCAGCAGGCCGGCGAACGAGGTGGCGGCGCGGATGCCGTAGAAGTCGCGCGACGTGGCGTTGACGGCGCTGGATCTTGTAGTTAGTAGGAGGAATAAAGAGAATAAAGAGAAGAGAGAGTCGTACAGAAAGCCGAAGTCGCCGACCAGGTCGTCGATGTTGGACGTCTCGCGGCGGTGCGCGGCGGGCTGGTCCGCATCACCAGCACCAGCACCAGCAGTGCTGCTCAACAACCGCGCGGCCAGGCGCGCCTCCAGGCGCTCGCACTGGGCCTCCAGCGAGGCCACGTAGCTGCGCTCCTTGCCCTTCGCGAAGCCGCCCGTGGCGCCCGAGCAGCTGCGCGCGCGGCCGGCCTTCTCGCACGCCGAGCACGCCGGCAGCTTGCCGTCGCAGCGGATCTTCGCGCTGCGGCACCGCGAGCACGCCGCCACGGGGCGGCTGACCTTGAGCAGCGGCGTGTCCAGGTCGGGCGACGCCATGGAGTGGACGGAGAGAAGACGTCGTAGCCGTTCACTGATCCGGCGTGGTGGTTGTTCGCCGTTAAGTAGCCTGCGCGAGTCGAGCCGCACCGCCGGCCTCCTAATCCTTAGTCAGCAGCCATCGACCCGGGCCAATATTCCCCCGGACCGCCCTCCCCTCCGCCCACAACTCTCCTCCCTCCACTCCGTCCATTATTTACTCGCCTACCAACCGCCCGTACTTCCTCTTGACTGTCTCTCTCCCATCACGGAACACAGTGCCCGCCCAGCCGTGCCGCGCCGCGCCGCCCTGCAACGGTTTGAGACCCAGCAATGTTTGACTCGCGCTGCGACTCCGTGTGTTTGGGGGGGTGGCTATTCTTAGCCCGCCCGCCGACGCTGTGAACCCCCCATTACTTGAAAGCCCGCTGCACACCACCAGCCGAATTGGCCTGACCAAGGCCCACTACGGAGCCCCTGCAAAAGCGACCTTGCGTGCGCAGCACCGCGTTTGAGATGCTTCTCAAACGCGCCCGCCGCAAAACACCCCCCCAGTCCAGCTCCGTGATTTGTAAAAGAAATGTGATCTTATACACCTGCCCTCCCCCGTCCAGGACCTCCTACGCATCCTGCGGATCTTCGATCCTTTTCCTGGAGATGAACCGTCCGCGCCCACGGGGAGCGATGTTTTACGCCTGCAGTAAAACATCCCCATCAAAACAGACCACCGCACACTCGGTGTTTCGGCCGTCTCGCCTGCGCATAGTTCACCCTCCCTCCTAATTACGACGCGCCCGTCTCCTGGAATATGCTCTCGCTGTCGCAAATGTGTGTTGGTTAAATATCTCGGCTGTCCCGCCAGTGAAGTCAAACCTGCCCAAAAAAGAAAGAAAAAGCTGCCCTTTTTTTTTTTTTTTTTTGTCTCGTGGCCGTGCCATCTGTCAACATGACCTTCTTCGACCGTGTCCTCCTGCTGCTTGCCGCTGTCTTGCCGGCTGTCCACGCCGGCGAGATGCTGGCCGCCGCTGCCGGCGATACCGGCGTGATTCCCAACTCCTACATCGTGATTATGAATGACGGCATCTCGACCTCCGACTTCGACTCGCACCGGACCTGGGCCACCGGCCTGAACAACAACGCCAAACGGAAGCGCGGTGTCAAGATGGGCGGCGTCTCGCGCACCTGGGCTGCCGCCCAGATGAAAGGATACAGTGGTTCTTTCGACCGCCAGACCATCGAAAAAATAGCCAAGAGCGCCTCCGTGAGACCAACAGACCCTCCTTACGTCCTCTGACCCCGTCTAACCCCCGCCAGGTATCCTACGTCGAGCCCGACCGCATGGTCAACATCACCGCCTTCGCCACGCAGGAGAACGCGCCGTCCTACGGCCTCGGCCGCATCTCGCACCGCCGCCCGGGCAACCGCAACTACGTGTTCGACGAGTCGGCCGGCCGCGGCATCACCATCTACGGCGTCGACACCGGCATCGACATCCAGCACCCGGACTTCCAGGGCCGCGCCGTGTGGGGCAGCAACCAGGTCAACACCGTCGACGCCGACGAGAACGGCCACGGCACCCACACCGCCGGCACCTTCGCCGGCACCACCTTCGGCGTCGCCAAGCGCGCCTCCATCGTCGCCGTCAAGGTGCTCGACGCCAAGGGCGGCGGCAGTGCCAGCAGCATCATCAGCGGCATCAACTGGTGCGTCGACCACGCCCGCCAGAACAACCTGCTCGGCCGCGCCGTCATGAACCTGAGCCTCGGCGGCTCCGGCGCCCGCTCCTTCAACCAGGCCGCCACCAACGCCGTCAATGCCGGCATTTTCCTCTCCGTGGCCGCCGGCAACGATAACGTGCGTGACTCGTCGAGACATCTATATTGGGCTTGGGCTGATGCTGACCCCGTTCTAGCAAGACGCTGTAGGAACCTCGCCCGCTTCGGCCCGCGGCGTGTGTGCCGTGGCCGCCAGCACCGAGGCCGATGAGAAAGCGAGCTTCTCCAACTTTGGCGAGATCGGTAAGGAGCATCTTTCACCCAGACCATGCACCTGATATTGACCAAAATCCCAGTGTCGATCTACGCCCCCGGCGACAAAATCATCTCCGCCGCTCCGGGAGGCGGCAGCAAGGTCCTGTCCGGCACGTCCATGGCCGCGCCGCACGTGGCCGGCGTCGGCGCCTACCTCATGGCCCTGGAGGGCATCTCGTCGAACCAGGTGTGCGACCGCCTGAAGAGCATCGCGCAGCCGAGGATCCAAAATGCCGGCCAGGACACCACCGCCAAACTGCTCAATAACAACAGCGGAGTGTAAGTTTCTAATCCATTTCACATTAGTACGCGTTTCCGCCTGATTTGCTAATCCGGGCCTTTTATTTTTTGTTCCAGTGGATCGATGTTCTATAGAATGTGTCAATCGTTGACCCGGGAGCAGGCCCGACGCCTCTTCCCGCTATGCTGACAGCAAGTCACACCACGGGCGGCACTTTCTTAATGGTATGATGACGGGTTGTTTTTTCTTTTTTTTTTTTTTTTTTGTTCAAAATACATTCTTGTGCTGGGAATTAGAACGCACTTTACATTCTTGCATCGGGGATGGAGCATAAGAGACGTTGCGGCGCTGCTGGATGACGGACGCCGCGTGTCTGCACTTTCTCCAGGTTTACTGGGAGGGGGGGGGGTTTATTTCTCGATGTATATAAATATAGTCGTATATAGTTAATTCTTCATCATCACCTTGGGCCTTGATCATATAGAACCCGGTAGTGTCGCACGCGGCGCCCAGACCCCCCAGTCCTGTTCCCGACCAATGGGTTTTATCTTGAGAACCTCCCCCATAGATAACCGCTCCGCAACCCCATAGAAATACCCGCACCGCTTCCAGAAGTAATATAATAAATAATAATAATAATGCCAATTCGAGCCCAGCCGGGCTTAGTTGGCTTTTCTGGACGTCGTGTGACGGGCATGGGGGGGGGGGGGGGACACAAACAACAAACAAGCCACCGCTACGACTTCACACGGGTAACGACTAACTACTAGCGCTACGTCAGGCGGTTCTGCCGGTGTTCTCGAAATTAATTCTTTTTTTTTTTCGCTAGGGTCGTTGACAATCAGGGAAGATGGGGCCCTTGTTCACACTCTCTCATCAAAAAATCGTATTCGTGCCGAGGAAAAAAGGCGTTATCACGTGGCGTACCCCAGATTGACTACACACACGTGACGGGCGCCAACTTTAATCGCACGTCGGCCTGGGCCTTTTTGCTTCACCGCGAAACACCGGCAGCGCCGATTTGTTTTGCTTGGACCCGATGAACGTCGCCGGCGATCAATATCCCGGCCGCCGGCAGACCAAGACAGTTCGAATAAGAATAAATGCCACGACGGACTGATTCACACGACGACTACTACTACTAGGTGCCAGCGGACAATTCAGCGATCGCCGTCGTTTGCTGCGGGCTTCGTTGGACCAGGGGGGAGGGGAGGGGTTTCTCCACAACAATGCCCGACCGAGGGATGATAAGATCTGCTCTTCCCGAGCTATAGGAGGGAAGGAAGGAGTAAAGTGCACGATGATGATGAATGAACACGACGGAACAACTGAGTGCAACCCAAACTCCCACCCCATGCCAAGTCGCGCTCGATCGGCTCGCTCGACTCCCAAGACGATACTCTAGCGTCTCGGCTCGCCCTGAGATGGGGGCCCCAAGGATGACCCTGGCCCGCGTCTGATGAAAGGACCTGCCTAGTAGCTAACGCTGTAGATGCATTCGATGGGTGAATGAATATACTACTACTATAGCCCCAGCGCCGACTCTATTGCACGACGGCAGTACGAGAAACTGACTTGGGATTGTTGGGTAGGTACTTTAATACGGGCTTTTTAGTGAGTTTCAACGTCTGAAATCATCATTATTATTGTCGAACGCGAGAGGCGTAAGGCATGATATTCTCTGAATGGCTTTCCTGTTTTTCTAATCGCTAGGACCCCTTTTATTTCAACTCCTGCCCCGCTGACGCGGGTCGGCTTATGAGGGAGTTTTCGGGGAAGTCCAGCGCCGGAAACACACCTCAGCTCTCGCGATGATCGCTCATATTATTATTACTTATTATCGAGGAGGGGGGCCGGCCGATGGAACGTTTCTTTTGTCCCTACCAATGTTTCTTTGAAACTTGGTTTATAGTTTTGATTGACGAAACAGCCGCTGTGCCATACCACCCGAAGTGAGCAGACGGACGGACATGTGGAGTCTCCATGATGCATTTCAACTTGCCGATCTCACGGCCGTTTTCCCCTGTAATCTGCAGTGCTACCACGCAAATCTATATTATTCTGGTGTCCGCTTAGCCACTGGGGATTTAAACATTTCTATTATATTATTGGAAGTCAGATAGATACCAGTATCCGCCTCGCTACGTGGGCCCATGGCACCCACACCCCCCGAGGAAAGCCGGGGGGCTGGCGTCTTTAAGGCATAATGCTATAAGAGCGGACGGCCCCTTAACTTCAATACGCTTTTTTCCCCTTGGGGTTTCGGGTCTTCAAGCGTGAACAAACCTGTGCAACTTGAACCTCCTGCTGTTCCCTCTCTCTCTCTCTCTCTCTCTCCATTTCGGCCATGAAGTCGCTCACGGTTCTTTCGACACTCGCCGTGTCGGCGCTCGCCGCCACCATCCCCGCGAGTAACGTCGACTACACCGGATACAAGGTCGTTCGTATCCCCACAGAGGAGGCCAACTATGCAAAGGTGCTCGATGTCATCGAGAACTTGAAGCTGGAGACGTGGAAATACCCCAAGGCCGCCGGCAACAATGCCGATATCGTCATCCCGCCAGGCCAGATTGCCGCGTTCGACGCGGCGATCTCGGGCTTGAAGACGGAGATCATGCACGAGGATCTAGGTGCCTCGATTAGCAGCGAAGCTGCTGAAGTTCGATCACTCTCTTGTATGTTCTTGTGTAGACGCCAGCAACGTTGGATCGGCTAATGTTTTCTTTTCAGCCGGAGTCAATGCCACCGATGACTGGTTCTCAGCCTACCATAGCTTTGCCGACCATCTTAACTGGCTGAAGGACCTCCAGAAGCAGCATGCCTCGAATTCCGAGATCATCACCGTGGGCAACAGCCCCGAGGGCCGCCCCATCCAGGGGATTCACATTTGGGGATCTCAGAAGGGAAAACCTGCCGTTGTCTGGCACGGAACCACGCATGCTCGTGAATGGATCACCACCATGGTCAGCTTGGACTTCCTTTCCCTATCTTTCCGTAGGTACTGACTGTTCGTAGGTTGTGGAATATATGACCAACAGCCTCTTCACTGATTCAGCAGCCAAGGCCATGCTCGAAAAATTCGACTTCATGATCTTCCCCGTCGTGAACCCAGATGGTATGTATTGTCCAGACTTGTTATTCTCACCGCTTGAACCCGTGACTAATGCTGCTGGGTGCAGGTTTTGTTTTCACACAGACCGGCAACCGCTTGTGGCGTAAGAACCGAACACCCAACCCGGGTGCTCGCTGCCCTGGTACCGATCTCAACCGAAACTGGCCCTATCAGTGGGAGGGACGTGGCTCGTCGCCAGACCCATGCTCTGACACTTACAGAGGTATATAGACGTGTTGCCCACTATTTCACTTCAGGCGTACAACCTAACAATGCAACATAGGACGCGCTCCGGGTGATGCCCCCGAGACTAAACTCTGGGTCTCTTACTTGCAAGGCCTCGTTGGCCGACAGGGTGTGAAGCAATACGTTGACTGGCACTCGTATGGACAGCTCTTCATGACCCGTAAGTCTTGTCCTCTTTTGTTCTTATCATTTCTTGCCTTTCATCACCATCCTAACCCCCGGATTTTCTTCTTGAATAGCATACGGCTACAGCTGCTCTGCCCGCCCCCCGAACCACAACACCCTCGTCGGCCTGGCAAGCACATTCGGCCAAGCCGCCCGCGCCGTTCACGGCAGCGCCTTCAAGACCGGCCCGATCTGCAGCACCATCTACCAGGCCAACGGCAACAGTGTCGACTGGGCTGCCGATGTCGCCAAGATCGAAATGGCCTTCGCCGCGGAGCTCCGCGATACCGGTCGATTCGGTTTCGTTCTGCCCGCAAACCAGATCGTCGCTGCTGGACAGGAGACTTGGGCTGGCGTGAAGGGGATCTTCTCTAGGATTTAAGTGAATACTGCTGGGAGGATGTTTTCGTCTTGAAACCTCTTGCAGAAATTCGTTTCTAGTACATATATTTATGCATCCATATTTTCATATAATGCATGTTCATCTTGTTGCATCATAAAATGATAATCTTGCGAAGGATAATATGCAATTATAAAAAGGAGCTGCTAGATCCAGACATGCAAAAAGAGGACAATTTGATTTTTTTTTTTCCCGAGTTAAAATGTTGTCGGAAATTTGGCGCAATTCGGGGCTGGATGTTCTGGTTTGAAAGCATGATGCAACAGCATTTTCTCTTCACCGCTTTTAGCGAAGGTTCCTGACATATACCGAGCGCCTATATGCTAGCAAGTACGCAGAAACCCGAGCCTGAATGCTGGAACACTTCCTTGCATGCCCGCGTGGCGGAGCGGTGAGATGAATAATTGCAACCTTTCACCAGTCTCAGCCCAGTGCAGTGAGTGGTCTGTAATCACACTCGACGACAAGGTTTCATCGAACGCAACAACGCCCAGGTTTCGCGGGCGACCCCGAGAGCTGACAATCCAGGGCAGCGCCCGGCCTGGCCGTAGTTCCCCGCCCGGCGTGATTGGAGCGGAGGGTAATTGCACGGCTCATCACGTAAAACGGAGGGGCAGCAGCCGCATTCAACCCCTGGCAGGGCCTGCGTGAACCGCCCATACTTGCATAGCACCGGAGCACAGAAGTGCATTGGTGCCATGGCAGTGCTCAGTGAGGAGGCTTGGATTGGACGCCGCGCTCCGCGTGATTCCACGGTTCCTGCAACAAGCCCCCCTATCTTCGTTGTCATGAAATTGGTTTCACGGCTGGATCGCAATTTTCATTTGTTGAGGCTCAGATGGCGGGGAGCCGCACTGCACGTGACATCTGACTAAGCACACGGCGGCCTGTTTATGTAACTAACTACCTTAACGCCCGCCATCCCCGATTCGGTCAACAGCGACGACACTGTAAAAGCTCCCGCCAGGTTCGCGCAGACCAGCCTGGGGCAATGAACATGTGGCCTGAGGGCTACTGCGAGCTTTGACACCATGCCAATGGACCAGGCTGGCGAAAACCCGCCCCCTCTTGCCGCCCGCAAGGCCTCGTCGTCAAGCGACACCCCCGAACCCGCAGACGATCAGAAAGGCGGGCGGATTGCCCACACATTAACCGCCTGCACACGATGCAGACAGGTATGGCCGAACCCACCCACCCCGCTGCACTTCTGACTTGGTCGGCCCGCGTATCATAAATGCTAATGGGAGGCAAGTAGAGGAAGTCTAGATGCGACACAGGCATTCCCCGCTGCACCCCTTGCCAGCGGAGTAACTCAAAATGCGTTTATTTTGACCCGGCTAAGAATGCCACCATACCGAGAACATACATCGTACAGCTACGCGACAAGGTCCGGAGGCTGAGTGAAGAGCTTGCGCAACTGGAAAGCCAGATTGAACATTCGCCGGACCCCGAAATGATGGTGCGGGGCGGCGGCCTAATCAAGTTCAAGGAGAATGACGAATCGAGGTTCTTGGGCCCGTCAAGCGGCATCGCGATCACTCGCTTTGTGATGGAGATGGCGAAACAGAATACGGATACAAAGAGCATCAAGGAAGTGGTCAATGAGTCCACCGCCCAAGAGATCAAGCATGTGTTCACGAAGGAGAGCCAAAAGCCGACTTCGAAGATATACCCCTTGATCAGCTCTGTCGCGCAACCGGATCTGCCCGAGCGAGGCTTATGTGACAAATTGGTGGATTTGTTCATGGCAAAGGGTATATATCCTTCACGCTCAGGTTTACAGCCAGCTGACTTGCTGTCACAGCCCAGTACATGCTCCCCACCCTACATGAACCGTCTTTTAGGCAAGAAGTCGATGCTGTATATAATGGCTCTGACGACCCTTGTCAGAACTTCCAATTAAGGATTGTCATCGCCATCAGCATGCAGAAACTAAACACGCAATTTGCCGGGTTGGCGGATGCTTTTTACTTAGCCGCGCTACAATATCTGGATGCTTGCATCAAGAAAATGGATACTTCAACTCTGCAATGTTTGGTTCTAATCGGCCAGTACTCACTTCTGACGCCCACACGCACAGCCGCCTACTGGGTCGTCGGGGCTGCTGTGAAGCTTTGCCAAGATTTACGTCTCACTGATGAGACCACAATCACTCGATCCCCTAGTGGCAGGCCGCTAAACTGCCTGGAAATTGATATGCGGAGACGATTATTCTGGATAATAACATCCATGGAGTATGGTCTGTCTCACAGTCTCGGCCGGCCAAGTAGTTTTTGTGTTAGCCACGACCATATCAACGTCAAGTTCTTCGAAATGGTAGACGACAGATACATTACCACCGAAGGCGTGGCACCGGAGGCGCGACCTATAATGAAGAAATGCATTGCTATTCACTTTCTTAAAATGAGGCTGCTTCAAGCAGAAATTCGCCGGACGCTTTATCTTCGAAAGCGCGAGACCCCAAATGATGACCAGGATCCTTGGTTCGCGCAGATGCTGGATAAACTTGACAATTGGGTGACGTCTTGTCCTAAAAATGACGAGGGGAGTGGGCTTAGCCAAGTTTGGTATGGTTGGCCCTGATTATAAAAATCGAATGCAAAGTTAACTGTTCCTAGGTTCGAGGGAAGACGAAACACGATGATTGTTTTCATGTATCGACCTTCACCACAAGTCCCGGAACCTTCATTACAGGCTGCGCAGCGATGTTATGACGCCTGTGTGTTTAACATCAAAATGCACAAGGAGCAAGTGAGAACGGGCTCAGTAGATTTAACCTGGATCTGGACTCAGTCTGTCTGCATGGCTCTCAATACGATTCTCTGGTCCCTATCCTATCCCGATATTCGCCAAGAACACCCAAAGGAGGAGGTGGTTAAACATATCAATGTTGCCATGGAAGTCCTTGCTGTAAGCGCTGAGCGCTGGCCAGGTGTTGAATCCTGCAGACAACTTTATATAAGTCTTATTGCCGGCTGTCTCAAGGCGTACGGGAGCGACGAATCCTTTGTGGTACAGTCACCATCAAATAGGCCGTCCCCAGCTTCTACCCAAGACGTGACAACTCCGCAACAACAAATATCCAGCCCTGACCTTAATGCAGTGCCCAACCTAAGGCCGCCCGATAGCACGTATGCTTTCAAGAGGTCAGCAACTGTATCATCCGAAGGCTCACATGTCACTCACGATTCTTATGAACACACATATCCAATTGTCTCTCAACCATCCTTCCCATCGTACCCCAGTGCGGTTCCTACTCCTCCACAGCCTCTATCCAACTCTATGGGCAATCATTCCTCCAGCCTCGCGGACACACAGTTTTTCTTTGACCCAACCTCATTTCACAATTCAATCCCATCGGTCGTTCCTGGTTTGCAAAACTGGGACGCTAACTATATGACCGCGTCCACCATGGCAAGCCACCTCTCTTCTGGAAGTGCTGCCTTTGATCCCATGGTTTGGACGGGCTCTTTTGGTGATCAGTATTCACAGTTTTTCAACCAATCCTACCCGAGCACAGTGTGGCGAGACAGAAATCTGAGCCGGGAAGAGCAATCAGAGTTAATGGCCAATCTCGTTGACGAGTTGCCGGATGTTTCTTACCTTATCAACGAATCCACTACCTTTTATAATGCCATGAACTGAGAATTCTCTTTTCTACTATTCAATGTTGCCTGGGAGAAGGTTCTTTTTCAGCGATTAATCGTGCTATTCAAAGCTGCGTTTTCTAAATTCACCGTTTTCTCCCATGAACGAGGGTCTGTGACCATTATTGATTGTGCCTATATACATTTCTTCTGTTTCTGCTTGATGTGCCATGTGTTAATGTGACCAATTCAACGGTTGTCCTTTGTCTTTATTTTATAGCCGCCTATTAGGAAAGCTTGATATCCAGCAAAGCGGTGTAACGATTACGACCCTGTGCGTTTGCATACGAAGACGAGGTTATTTATGGGCGTATATTCAATAAATCTTTTAATGCCGTCCTTCTTCGCTTAATGTATGTATGTACGATTACCTCCTGGAATGGCAAAATGGTATCTGGCAGATGCTCCGACATGATCCAGGCCCTCTCTTGGTGTATAGCATCAGCCCCCAGATTTCGACACATCCTCTACGTTCAATCCGAAGGGTCATTGATATTATTGACGCGGAACATTATTTATAATAGGTAGGGATTGACGTCAACGTTGTGGCATGTAGCAAGCTTAGACTATGTCCTATAAAATTTCCATATTTAAATTCCATACTATCGAGACTATCGGGTTGGATGTATGTAGTATGTACATGCGAATGAACAGGCGCCATAAGCCTGGCAACAGGAAAACAACAATGCATGTATCACCGATCTTCTCTTCTCAATATGTAAAGGGGACCTCGTCTTTATCAATTCGGATGCAGGATCTCACCTTCGACGTTCCCAGACGACAATGTCTTCCATCCATCGCCCATTTCTCTCTTTCAATAAAGAATAGCGTTCTCATGCTAATCACCGTCGAAACAAAAGCGCGGGGGGAAAAAAAGGTTCAAAAGAAAGCCTTCCTTAGAAAACATGGAAGCAGAACAATAGATATATTCGCGCTTTTGCAGCGACAAATGAAGCCAAATCAACAAGGAGTAAGCCAAAAGACAAAACAGTAGATGTAAAATCGAGGGGAAAGGGGGGTAGTATTACCTCTCGAATACCTAAGAAGACCACCAAAGCTGCCCGGGTAGATGGCCACGGGACAGCACAAAACATAGAATGCACGATCTGAAATAAACACCGAGCCGCCTCCCAACCAACCAGAAATCCCAATAATCTAGCGCCGATTTTTGTCCGAGGCGGGTATATCCTGCGCCATTATGCAAATTCGCCCCAGGAACGATATTGATGGAGTCAAGCGCAAAAAAAAAAAAAAGAAAAAAACAATAAATTGTGTACAGTGAAGTCGGAATCGAAGGCTTGTGGAAATATGTGTGTAAATTGTTGGCTGTATTGCATTGAAGAATAGTTGAAAAGTCGTATAATCCGGTGCCTGGGGTTGTCGAAGTATCGAATTGTCCCAATGTCTGGCATGCCGGCTGTTGTGTTAACTGTTACGAATCGAGGTTTCCGGTTTTCATTCACTCTCATCTCATTTATCGTAGCATGCATCATCGTGCGCCAACACCAAACATCCCAACACCATAGCTACCTTTTCGTTCCGTTAAAGATGATGGAACTCCTGAAACATGATCCTATAAGTATGATAAAATTAGCCTTAAGTTGTAAGTGCCTGGTAAGACCAGTATCACAGGTAGGTACCTTTTTTCGTTTCTTTTTGACAGAACTTCTACCGCCTTCTTCGCTGTTGGAATAGAAGCTTCCTTCCAAATCACCATCATCATCGGGAAATCCCTCCCCATAACCAACAAAACTGCTGTCGTTGTAACTCCTCTTCTTGCCTGTACGTTTCGGTCGATCAGGATTGCCAGTAACAGGACCGGGGGTTGAGATGGATGTGCCGTTGGTTTGTGCAGGGTACCGAGAAGTTGAAGGAAGAGTATCGTTTGCCTTGTGGACCGAAGGCGCGACTTGTTTAGGTAACTTTTCATGGCCAAGCACATCTTCCCAATACTCGTTATTGGGTATTGGCCCCGGCTCCATCTTCATCGCCCTCATGTGCAGCTTAAAGAGGCTTGAATCCGGCTCTGCAAGCTTGATATCTTTTCCAACAACCTTTTGATTTAGCCATTCATCTTCCGGCCACATCGTTAACTGTCTCAGTCCTCCTGGCGCGCCGGGTTCATGTTTCACCGGTTTGTTTCTTCCAGAAAGTCCAAGACCCTTGATTTTTCCCTCGTAGGACTTCCGTAGCCTATTTATCTTCTCGCCAGTAACCGGATCCGTTCGGGCAACCGAGGCTGCCACGGAACCTAATCCGTACATAGAAATAAGGTCGAAGCGAGGGCTGGGCCCAGATATTGAGTAGGCTAGCCATGTTAACAAAGAACAGGGTAAGGACACAAACCAAACAGTAGATCTGAGGCCTTACTGGTTTTACAAGTATGGAACGCTTGTCCGATATCCATTTGAAGCGCAGCGACTGCTGGGTCCTCGGACGCGCCATCTTTGCGGTCAATATCCATCGGATCTTCAACGGGTTGCAATGCTCGGTCCTTCTCTTGCAGCTCCTGTCGATCTGGCTGACTTGTGGAGGCACGGTAGCCAGCACTTGTAGAAGCTGGGGCGCTGCTTGTATCCATCACGACGCTAGCCGCTTTGTCTGATAGGTCATGAGAATCCTTTGCAGCACCGCTCACGCTGCTGGCAGGCGTCGGGAGGGCGTTAGTGGCCGTTACAGAAGAGTGCTGGCCGGGCAGCATGGGCATCGCGAGAGAAGATAGAGGCGAGGAAGAGTCTGGGGCCGACTGAGGTGCGCTCTGGGCGGGTGACGTCGACTGTGTCGTAGAGAAGCTCGATGCATAGTTCTGAGGGGTGGCGGGCATAAAGGGAGCAGGAATGCAAACGAGAGCTCGATCCTCCAGATGAGCAGCCGGTATCGAATGCGGTCGGCGATGGGGCCACTGGGGTCGCTGGGAGTCCAGAAGTGGCGAATGAGGGACGGAGTGCACAGAAGCCAAACTCACGCGCTGCAGCATCAGACCAGGTTAGAGTAGCAGAGACTGCAAGAGCATCACAGTGCGCAATCGGCGGCCGGGATGCAGGGCGCAGACGATGGACGAGCGGGAGGTGGAGGGCGTCGTCGTCCAGGCGGATGTTCGGTTGCTTCTCTTCTTCGTTTCTGGCGGCGATGGTGTTCGGCGGCCGGCGTCGCCCGCCCTACAAGACACTAGCCCGATCGGGGAATGCGCTGAGTCAGGTGGTCTCGTGAGGCGCCTGCTGAGTCAGACTTCAGCTGTGGCCTGTTTGACAGAGAAGCAAACATCGAATCTTATTCTGACGTCGAAATACATGGGAGATTGAAGCCCTAATAAGAGAGCTATTCTGTATTACAATATCTGCTAACAACTGTTTGCTTTTCAGGTATAACAGCACAAAGTGCTTGGGCGCGATGAAAGTTTCTAGAAACCTTTTGTCAATGTGAAGAAATAGGACAATCGCCAACGACGTACGTCACGCCCACACTAGGATATATCCATCGGAGCCCTACATATCTTGCCGCACCTATGGGAGTTTAACGGGATTCCAGACAAGCCGTCCCACAGGCTTGTCATTGTGGTCCATGATTGGGAATCCTACTTCGCAATCTACTAGCGCATCTCTACCCACAATTCACGAGTGATCCTGATATTGCTTGCTTGAGTTTTCTCAGTGCCGCGTATTGGGGCACATAAACTCAAACTTTTCGAGTGAGCACTTCGCAACTACTTGTCTCTTCACTTTGGCTCCAAAATATTGCGTTTCTCTGCGGCATTTCCTCAAATTCGTGAAGTTGTGTTTGAACAAAAATTGATGCCAAAGCCAACCTAAATTTCCTAGAACACCTGTTTATCCATTCTGCGAATATTGATGTCCGGAATTGATATATGATTGTTGCTGTTTGTCTGATTTCCAAGTGGCAAATACGACTTTTTTCAACTGTTCAGCCCTACTTTGGGCCTTCATTACTTTCGTTTCGTTGTAAAACCTTCCCCCCTTTCTCACAACAGCCAGCAGACTGAGAGACTTGGCCACCACCATGTAACGAGTAGCTTCAACGCTCATTGAATCTGCTTATCTCTATACTAACTCAAGACACCCAGGAATTGTCTATGGTTGCCCACTGCCATAGATGCTGGTGACGAGGGTGGAGCCATTGTTGCCGGATAACCTCACAACTGAGGATATTATGAGTAAGCCGGGAGATTAGATACGTTGAAATAAATATGAGCCAAAAGAGAACCAACCTGCGTTGATGAAGAGGACCTGCAGCTAGAGAGCAGATGACCTCTGCTGTATAGAGTTCTCATTTCGCTAGCTACTGTTCCTCTCCGGCCCAGAAGCGCGCATATTAATATCCAATCCATGCTGGTTTTTCACATATGCCCTCCTCTTGAAAATAACGACGCTACGGTGGGCGGTTTTGGAAGAATTAGCATAGTTCTTGAAAGAGACGGCTATTTTGAGACTATCTACTAACCTGGTGGAATGGTCAGTTTGACAGACTGTCCTTATTTTCTTCAAGCAGATGCAATGCGTTACAAGTGCAGATGACACTGGGACACGAGTAGCAGAAGAATTTCCTTTTCCCGGGGTTGAGCACACCACACCTGCTCATATTCTGGACGCCGTTACTGAAACACCCAAAATTTTCAATTTAGGATCTCTAGCCTCTGGTGAAGATTCTGCTTGTTTTGATCCTACGAAATGTCTCAAAATCACAAACGGCAGTTCACCTTCATAAGAAATTGACCTAGTGTTACCTTTCTTCACTTCAGTATTTGGAGATATATTTCTATGCTCTGCTGAAATCAGTCTTATGCCAAAAGTGTGACCCTAAAGTTGTCTATTGTGATGGGGATTAGAGGGTGATCTTCTCTGACTCTCCTCAAACACCAATATGCCTTTGCTATAGTGAGGATAGCATGCGTTATCAACTCATTCTCATTGCCTTGGCACAATAAAGCACCCTGCCACTAACAGATAACAGGCGCGCTGCGATCTTGAAGTATTCTCGGTCTACATAAACTATCCTAGAATCGTTTAATGTCATTCAGGGAACCAATTCGCTGCGAGCCCGGCGCTTAACACTTTGGCCCACCAATGAGGTTAAAAATTTGACTGCAGGTGAATGCACCAATGGCAATATGAGTAAAATTCGAGATACAAGATACTAATCATAAAAAAATAGCTACTGTGCTCAAGATAATAATAAACAGCACTCATGCGGAGCTTCCTGGCAGTTCTGCATCAACCGCATCCGCCAGCTCCCGTAGAGTTTTGAACTGCCACCCAAAAGGAATTTTAAATATATTGACATACCCTTCCTCACGTCCACTCATCGGGCTTATATTCTCCTCTCCGCGTGAAATCCACACACTATTTAAACCTATCTTCTGAGCTGGCTCGTGATCGTAATGGATGCTCTGCGCCACATGCAAGATATCTTTCTTCTCCACCCCAAACTTCTCTTTAGCATGAGCTATCAGATACTCAAAATTCCGCAGATCGGGCTTGTACGACCCAATATCCTGGGCCGTGTACGCTGCATCAAAGAACATTGAACCAGCAGCGCCCGCAAAGCCGTATTGATTCAGACTGGCCAATGGCCCGCGGAGCGTTTTGCTGAATGATTCCCGGTCGACGTTCGACAGGGGGACGAGCTTAAAGCCCCTGTTCTTTAAGCGGTGCATTGCTTCGACTGTATCTTTGAAAGCCGGCCATGAGCCGATGCTGGCGGCGAACGCGAGACTTTCTTCGTCCAGGAGTTGCTCTGCACTCTTGCCGTCTATGGGCTCCGGAAGGGCGTTGAGTTCCTTCGCCAGAGACTCATAAGCAGCCTTTAGAATCCGATAGTATGCCAGAGATGGCTGCGTAGCTTGAATTGTGCGCTCGTGCGCTGTATAAGTGGTGTTGAGAGCGACAGAATTGGCTTTCAATGGATGGGAATTTGGGAGGCGAGATGTCAGCGGAACCAGTGCCCGGAGGACCCCAGTTTCCCAGTCTATCAGGGTTCCGTAGATATCGAAGGAAAGCAAGCGAAAGGAGTTGAGGCGGCGCGAAGGCATAGTGCTGTGATAAGTTATATTTGAGATGTGAGGGTTTGATGGTTTCGATTGAGGGATAGAAGAGAATGAATGGTTTTTATAGTCAGAGAGAACCATCCTGGCCTCTTCCTCCGCCGGAGTGCGGTGGTTGTCGAGGGGCGTTCTTGCAGGGCGTACGGATGTTGGCAGATTGGAAGTAACGAGTTAGTTGACTAGGTAGTCAAAAGTCCGTTTTAGAGCTCCGAAACATAGGTATACAGTACATATCTGCGGCATTGTGGTCAAAGATTGTAAATCAGAAATATTCTATCTTTGTATATAGGTATATTCGGACAACTTCGTCCATGCGTTAAAAAGCGCTTTTACACCAGAATCCATCACAACACAACCTTAGAGTTGATAATCTCCCGCACCGCCTGCCACCCCTGGCCATGCGGTACTACCGTAACTCGGCGCTCTTTGTGCTCCAGCCCAACAAACTCCGGCGGCAGAATGTTGTCGAAAGAGTAACCTTCTTGCCCCCTGAGTGCGAGATCAACGGCTTGAGCAAATTTAGCCGGGTGCGCTGTCGCCAGCGAGATGTGATGTGTTTCTGGAGAAATTTTAACTGATCCCAACGACGCAGTGCAAGCAACTGCAGAATGTGGGTCGAGAATATACCCTCCCGTTGCGCCTCTTGTGCCATGGCTAGGAGACCCCGTGGGGAAACAGGTGGAGTAGACTGTCTGGATCGTTGAAATGGTCTGGGCGTCCGATACCCGGCAGCTTTCCATGTCATTCTGTGCTGCTGCGAGGACTGGAGATTCAACTGTAAACCCGGCTTTTGTTTTCAAGTCATTAAGCCAGCCGCGGACCTTTTCTCCGGCAAGCTCTCTTCGCTTGGCAACTACTTCTCCCTGCCCTAATACCTGGAATGCAAGGTACCAAAGTAGTCGTTCAAAATTACTCGAGACAAGGATATCCATGGCTGGGCTGAGGGTTTCTTTGACGCTCGATGGTGCGGTGGGGAGCTCGTCTCCTGAGCTGGCCCTCGCGTCCTGGCTCGCGACAGCTTGTTTCGTATATGCACCAGTCCGCCAGAAACGATCGAGGATATCGTTTTCATTCGTTGCAATGATCAATTTTTGCACCGGTAGACCCATTGATTTCGCGTACCAGCCAGCCTATTTACCAGTCAACTCCTGCTCACAGGCCAAAGAGTGGGGGGTTTTACAAGAATATCGCCAAAATTGCCCGATGGCACAACAAACCGAAATGGTGCACCTTCAGTGTAGTTGGAGGATCTGAGGAGCTGGAAGTACGAGTGAAAATAATAAGTCATTTGCGCCAGAATTCGAGCCCAGTTGATGGAGTTGACAGCTGCCAGTTTGTGCACTTTGTTGATTTCGGGGTCGGCGAAGAGTGCCTTAACAATATCCTGGCAGTCGTCGAAGGAGCCTAAGAAAGGTTCAAGTTACTTCTATCCTTCTAGAATAAGATGTGAACCTGAAGTCACGTACCCTCCACGCTGAGATTGTGAACATTTTCATCCAGAACTGTCGTCATCTGTGCCTCTTGGATGGGGGAGATCTGTGCCAGGGTTAGTAACCATATATCTCCATATACTATTTAATACAAGTAGACATACCCTCCCTTTCGGGTGGAGAATGAAAACGGAGACATCCTTCTTGCCCCGTAGGCCGTAGATAGCGGCAGAGCCAGTGTCTTGTAAATTCCATGTCAGCTTTTAACCTACTTCACCTATTCAAAAGAGATGTACCTCCACTTGTAGCACCAACAACAACAAGGTGATGTCTGTCTTTGCCAGTCTTGCCCTAAAAGATGAGAGAAGTGTCAGCGGTGTCAGCGCAGTGCAGAGGTTTCGACAAGAACATTACGGCAGGATACTGACCTGGTTCTTCCGGGCTAGAAAATATTCAAACAGATTTCCAAGAAATTGCAGAGCGACGTCCTTAAAGGCAAAGGTGGGCCCACAAAAGAGCTCTAGAAGGTACAACCGACGCTGTTCGTCGAGAGTGACTAGCGGCGTAATATCTGGAGTCCTACACCAATCCAACCCCTCCATCAGCATTGAAAAGCCCAATTGATGCAGTAAGGATACGCAAGTATCACCTAAAGGTCCCGTAACTCTTTACAATAATATCTTTCAGGTCGCTGGATGGTATCTCCTCCGGCGAGATGTACAGTGAAAAGATCTCAAAGGCAAGCTCCTGGAAACTGAGATTGCGCCATTTGGAGTGCCAATCCGCGGGTAACGACGGAATTTGCTCAGGTATGAAGAGTCCACCATCCGAAGCCAGTCCCTTCAGTACGACGTCCTCGAAAGAGAGCTACCCATGCACGGCGTCAGCCAGCACGGACAGGGGGAAGCTGTTCGCGAAACGAGGGTGGGGGGAGGGGCAGAACAAGACATACGTCGTAAGAACCACCACGCGTGCTCAGGTATCGTTGGGACTCGGTATAAGGCATTGCGGGCGAGCTGGAGACCAGACGCGACTCCGTTTCTGGCAGGCTGAACGAAATGCAGGGTCGACGAGTAGTTATGACAACGTTGACTCGATGCTCGCTCTGGCTTTTTTTTTCCCGCGATCGGAGTCACTGAGCCACGGATACGGCCGATACAAGACCATACGCCGCATGACCACCAGAACCGGGCCTGTTGCCCCTCATATGACAATACGATACGACACTTTGCTAGGGGCTCTTGAGGGCCCTGGACGAAACCTTAACTGGCACGGGCTCAGGCCTGCCAGCCCGCACACAAGGGGGCTTATCAAATGCAATATCGCATTGTTCATGATGCTTCCTGGCAATCCTCATTCAATGCCTGCACGATATTATCGGAATACATACTCAGTACTCCGTACATATATACCTAATACTAACTGTGCCCCTTTCGAAGGTCTTTGTTTGCTTCCTGTCGCTGGCTTTGGGCCCAAAAAACCCACCTTACAGGTGGGGACTAAGTCGAGGGGTCATTTCTGATTCATCATGGACCTGTTTGTATATCCGTTCACGGATTCTCCCCCCAGAAAAATCTGTTCGGTCATGTAAGTAGCTTAATTGGGCCGGGGAAGCATCATCTAGCTCTAGCTCATTTCAAGTTTAGATATCGTATATTTAGGACGCTAATGATAAGACGCCAAAGCCCTTCCGGATCTCGTTTGAGGAGCTTGGCATCTCAGACGCATTTCCTGAGTTTTAAGAGTGTTTCTAATTTTTTTTTTTTCGTCCGGCTTATGGCACAATTGGGGGTTTGAAGAGAATATACTACGGAGCACGACGCTCGGCCACATAAATAAGTGCCTCTGGGTAGGATTGTGAGCTGAGATTGTGGAATACTCGACGCATCTGCCAGGGGCTATATATGGCCCAATAATCTTTGCCGATTCTGCTGCCGAATAGCGTCCTAGAGCTGATTACAAAAGCCCTTCTGTGATTGGAGGCGTGGGGTCTTGCCATGTGAAGCTTGGATGTTCCCTTTCGGCTGATCCTTGACAGCGGTTGGGCGTTTTTTCCCACTGAAACAGATAACCAGCCTGTAGGTATCTCAGGAGTTGTAGCTGCAGGTCTCGCTCTCTTGAAAGAGGCGCAGCCATGGTCTCTTTCATGACGCTGTCCCTTAAATGTAATAAATGAAAAGGAGTAAAAGGAGAGAGTAGAAGAGAGAACTGATCTCGAGGTATTACTAAAACTGCCACTGAACTCCATACGCTTCCCATTCATTGTTGATGCTTTTCTTCCCGTAGCTCCCGGCGCCAGAAAGAGATAAAACAGAGATAGAAAAAGCAAAATGTAAAAAGTGCGAGAAAAAGCAAAGTGTTGATAGAAAAACTCCACCCTAAAAACCTGAAATATTGCTCCAGCCAAATCTACGATTTGTCATTCCCTTGATCGATACCGCGCACCAGCGCAATGGCCGCCCCAGCAGCCAGGCCACCGGCCAAAACCATTTGAAATCCGCCCTTGAGGCCGGCAAAAGTATTGTCTTTGCCGTTCCAGCCGCGCACAACACATGTCTTGACGTAGCCAAAGATAAAAAGTGTAACCCCCATGACACCAATACTCCAGTTCAGAGCTATACTGACACTGGGAGCGTAGAAATAGGGAACTAGAGGAATAAACCCCCCAATGAAGTAGCACACGGCGAGCGTGATGCCCGAAATCAGAGCTTGATTGCGGAATGGCGCTGACTCTCCGTGGTGGAATGTGAGCAGGAAATCCATAAGGAGAGACGGGGAATCGTGTAGATTATTGCTGATATCCGTGACTGTTCTTTCTGGAACTCCAAAGCGAGCAAAGACTTGTCGTACAAGGACGGTGGTTTCTTCGGGCGAAGCGTGGATCAATGCTTCTGTTTCGCGTTTTGTCGCTTGATACGATTCACTACAGGGCGAGCTATTAACCACCGTTTCCTCAGGTAGAAAAATGGGGAGGTTCTTAAGAAGTGAGCGCACATTTCGCTTCTACCGCCAACGTAGCCCCCAAGACCCATGGATATGGCACCAGCAGCCAGTTCAGCGAGGCCTCCGAGAACAACAACCCTAGTATTTCCAAGGGCAGATAGACCGGCGCTGAGCGCAAATGGAACGGTTAGCCCATCAGAAAGACCTAAGATGGCATCCGAGATAATTTTGGGGTTGATTCGAGTACGCGACGACCCGTTGGGAGAGTCATCTCGCGAATTGTTAATTGTGTGGTAGTTCTGATCCTCTAGGTCAAGAAGCCGGCGGTGCTCTCCGTTGACACCATTGACACCGTTGGTGTGTTCTCTCGATCTCCAGATAGAAGCACGGTGTTCTGGAAGGCACTATTAGAACTCAACTGCAAACCGGGCGATCGGTAGGAACGTACCAAGCTTCTTGCGCAGGCTCTCCTGAGCAGATGGCAGATCGGGGCCTAAGAGACTTCTCTTGACTGCAAGCATCAGAGCTTAATTTCCTGGGCTCCCTTGTGATTTTGCAATGGGGAAAGAAAAGAAGGATTGACGGAGAGAGGAAGGAAGAGAAGAGAAGAGAAGAGAATTTAGACACGAGCGAAAGGAAGCGAAGGACACCCTCCTTATGGCTTTTTCCTCAAGGCCCCCCGCCGAGGCCCTAGATGGCTGACACAGAAAAGTAGTTTCAGGCGGCTAAGCCCCGGGGACGGATTGTTTTCCAGGTTCACGCTTCGGTACCGGTTCGCCTGGCCGATCTACACTGGGGCCCGCCAGGTTTGAGGCACGCAACAAGCTTTCATTAGAGTCTTAGGGGAAGACAACGTCGCATCCTTAGTGTATAGCCTGAGCATCCTACGGCTCTTCCTTTGGGCCAGCAGACGTGAGGCCATTCGATGTGGGCTGCAACAAATACCTGGGCTAGTTTTGCCATCGGGGTATCAGGGCGTCACCAGCTCCGCTGTGGTATTTTCTGATGTTGCGCTATTGGGGCTCAAGCTCTGGCGAGCTGGGTCGATGCCTGTTCTCTGGGCCAATCAGCAAGCGCAGGATGGTAAGCTGTCTCCTGCTTGCTGATTGGATGCTGATGATTAGTCATTTGTGGCCCCGGCACGCACGTGCTTCTGCGGGGAATTCGCTCGCGCTTGTCCTCACTCGGGCGAGGCGGTTGGGCGGAGGCAATGCTATTTTAGCCGTTAGGTAACCACCAAAATTAGGGCGCCTTTAGCCAGCCATCAGTCTATACTGTCGACTCTAGCCCAGCTGACCAATCCTTCACGTGATCACCAGAGTGACCTCCGCAAGACTGCGCAGACACTCAAAAGATTGTGAGCATCGGATCCGGACTCAACAATGGAGAGCACAGTCGCTGCGGAGGGCCAGGACCCGTCTGCATTCCTGAGCGCAATCACCGGAGCATCTGTTACCGTTAAACTGAACTCTGGCGTCGTCTACAAAGGTACGTTCCAGCTCGATGCCGCCAAACATGCAGATATGATATTTGATTCTAACACTCGCTCGCAAGGCGAATTACAATCCATAGATGGCTACATGAATATTGCGCTGGAGAAAACGACCGAGCACGTCAATGGCAAACTGAGGAAGTCGTATGGCGACGTGTTTGTGCGGGGAAATAATGGTATATCCAGGTCTTTTTGCTGTGACTTGTCCTCATTCTAATAGTCTGTCTAGTTCTCTATATCTCTGCAGACTAGACATAGCCTTATATGGCTGCTTTGATTGAAACCAGTGTCGAACCGGGTAACCAGATGAAAAATATTGTATGTCGGTAGCTCCGCCCTAGCTATTGTCCCTACCCTTTTTCAGGGCTGATTAATTCATAGCGCAGTATCTTACGCGCCACTACACTAGAAGCCTAAGCTGCGAAAACTTGCGCTTGGCACTAGAATCTTCCCATTATGCGAATTTATCATTTTTGTGCCAAAGTACTTAGAGTAGAGAGTTAACCCTCTCACCGCTTCATCCCGAATACGAATACATAGGTTGAGGATTGCAAATATAAATTTTAAAATCGGTCATAAAAACTTCACCCTTCCCAGTGGGCTTAGCTAACTGAGACATCATCGTACAAGACAAAGATCCCAAGCTTTGATAAGAAAAACGTAAATGAACTTGGAAGGTAGTTCACAAGTCGCCCGGCTCAGAAAATCGGGGGATCTTTTGCATGAGCATCTACTTCGCCTATGCACCACCCTCTCGCTTTGCATACTCTTCCTCGATTCGCTCCTCATAAAGCCGATCGGCTTCTTCCCTGCTTATGTGTCCCTCAGACCCAGTGCCATGCTCGGCTGTTCCAGTCGCAGTGGACGCGGTGTTCGTAGTGGTAGAGGAGGGCTGTGAGTTGGCAGGGTGGCTTCGTGACCCAGATTGCTCACCGCTGGACGATGTAGCCGGGCCTGAGGAGGCCGGGTTTAGTGGGATTGGCATGCCGGAGAGTGGATAATCAAAGGGCCTTGCGTTGGTTGGGGTTTGGTATAATAATAAGAGATAGGGGTCAGGGAACGAGTCAAGTAGGGTTCGGATAACGGTCCGGAGAACGCTGGTCGTGTTTGGAATTCCTCTTGTTTGACATTAAGCAGGAGGCGAACGAAGCATTTAAGAAGCTCGCGCGGGGGCTGGGGGGGAGGGGGGCGCTGGGATGATGTCACCGCCACCGCCTTTTGCGCTGAGCCCAGACAACAAGCCAACACTAACCAGCAGGCAAACCAAACAGCAACCAAGCACCACGCACGCCATCCGATCGACATGCTTCCATGACACAGATGAAACCAGAATCAAAAAGAAGGCACAGCCACCCTTTCTTCTCCAACGCCCCGCGTGTAGCGAGAAGCAAGTTGATGAAAAGGGGGTATCCAATTTTGGAAAGCGAGACAAAAATTGCGCCTCTCAAAGACCCGAAGGCCGATGAACAAGACGAGTCCGCCGCGCGGTGCAATGCAGGGACCATCTCATAGGAGCCCGCATTCATGAGCACGGTTCCCGAGACAAGGTAAGTATGAAGAAGAGAAAAGAAAAGAAAGAGGCGAAAGAACGGCGGGTGAGAACAGCAGATTTATACAGGAGGCGGGCGGCGCTAGTGACTAGCGAGAGGCGAATGGCCGGCTCTGATTGGCTCGCATGGGGAGTAAGCAGGTCATGTGATAATAGCACTCATTGGCCATTTGGCACGCTGTATTAATATTACGGGAGACTGTAGTAACATTATATGCAATACGGATGAGAAGCCAGACAAACAGGAGACGGAAGGGAGGTCCCAGAGAAAGAATCGCACAGAATCGCAGTCCGGTAAAAATAGCTTTTATCAATGCCTATTTGGATATCCTAAAAATAAAGCCGTGCTTTGCAGCGGCGGCCAAGAAACGGTTCCAAAAGTATGTACAGTACATGTGCAAGGACATTTTTATTTTTCACAGATCCAACAACGCCTTTCAATCGCCATCATGAGAACCCTCCTCTATCGGCGTTATCGGCTGTTCGGCATGATCCTCCCTAGCCTCAGCATCACCCACAGGCCCGCTTTCTGTCTTCGAAGCCTTCTTCTTGCGCCCCTTTTTCCCTTTCGCCCGACCCTCGCCGGTGGACAGTGGTGCCTCCTGAACCCACCGAACAATCCCTTCCGCCCTCTCGGTGCAAATCGGATACTCTCTTCCGTCATCTTGCGCCCAGCGTTTGATCATCGAAGAAGCACTTTGTTGGCCGCTCAGCTTCCGCGGCCGCTTTTGCTGCTGTTCCTCGGCCTTCTTTTCTCGCGCTTGGACGGCAGCACGGAAGGTCGCCTCGTCAAAAACTCGATCATCGCCCAATGCCTCCAAGATGGCCTCCTGCTTTCGCGTCTCGCGCTCTTCCTCCATCGATAGGTCCAAGCTATCGCCGCTCTGGGACAGTGGGGTCGGCGCGCAGAGCGATTCCCATGATTGTGGCAGGTCGATCCAATCCTTAGCATGAGAGATGACCTCCATCCAGTCGGCGCGCGAAGGGGAGCGTGGGCCGAGGAATATGGGGTATCCGTCGCTGACGCGTGCGATCCGGGCCACCATGTACGCATGGCGAAGGAGTTCTTTGGAGGATGTCTGGACGAGAGCGTGGCAGAGAAGAACGGAATGGAGGGCGTCGGTCAGAAGAGGGTGATAGGTAACGGCTTCATGGGAAGATCGTTCCTCATTAGCATGGTTAGACTGAGATGCAGGCACTATTTCTTGGGATTCGGCAGGGAAGGGAGGGAGATCTTGAGGAGGCTGGGAAGCGAACAGCTCGGAGACTTTGTAGACAATTGTCGTTGGCTGAGAGGCAGCGCTGCCATGGTCTTCATTACCGGGTTCCAGCGCATTCCCCCCTGACTGGTTCCGTGGGCGGCGCGGCTTGCCAAAATTGCCTGACGAAGTGTAATTCACCTTTCGTAGAAACGCCTCCGCAACCTCAGAAGAAAGGCCTGGAGTGTAGTCAAAGCGAGATAGGAAAGTCATGTAGTCACGAAGCGCCCGCCGCGCATTGGTCTTGACGATTTTCCGCGCCTCCAGCCACCGGTTGTATGCTGCTTTTCCGGCTGCAGACAGTGATGGCGCGCTCTCGCCTTCCTGTTCTGCCTCAGGGCCTGGGACACGTTCGCTCTGGGACAGCTGAAAGTCGTCCAGGGCGGACTTGACGTGTTGAGACGCAATACTCAAGTAGACGCCCGCTCGATGGAACAGGATCTGGGCCTCCAGTCCCGTAGGCTGGTCTTTCTCACTGATTCTCAGCTCATCTCGAATATCCAAAGTCGGCTTGGTCTCCTTTGGCGATTCCGCGCCCTCCTTACCGTCCCGATGCGCCGCCATATAGAGCCGATACACACTCAACCCTTCCGTAAGGTCCTTTGCCGCGCCAGCGAAGTCCTCCTTGAACAGCCTGGTAACGGCGCGGGTGCGAAAGGTCGAGCCTTCGCGCGGGCGGGCGGCGATGATCTCGTCCAGCGGGCCCAGGGTAGTGCAGGCGGCCAGCGAGCGCGACGGGATCTTCTCATGGAAGAAATGCACGTACTTGGCATCGCAGTCGGCCTCGTTGCGCTGCAGCACCAGCTTGGCAACCTCCTCCAGCGCGGACGCCGACTGCATAGTGGCAACGCTGGCCGCGATCTCGTCGAGCCGGTAGGCCTTAGCCAGCTTCTGCGAGGCGTGCTCGCGCATGCGGTGGCGGCGCTCGCGGCTCAGCTTCGCATGGCCGCTGGCGGTGCCGCCGCCGATGCCCAGGCCCAGCACGGTGTTGCTGCCACTGCCGAAGAGCCCGTTGGCGGCGTGCAGCGAGTTGCCCAGGGCGGACGAGGTGGTACCGTTGGAGGCGCGCACGGCCAGGTCGGTGGCCTCCTCGATGGCGCGGCGGATCTTGACGAGGTCGAAGAAGACGCCCGGGTCGATGGGGTGCGGGCGCGGCGAGGCGTAGTTGCTGAACGACAGCGTCTCGAGGATGTCCGGCGGCAGCTGAAGCCACGGCCCGTGGAAGGACGAGATGTACCGCCAGTGCCTGCGAGGCGCGCCGCCCGTCAGTAGGAGCCCATCACTCATCTCATCACTCATCAGTCGCCCAGGGAGCCCGCCACGTACTTGTTGCGGCAGATAATCAGCGCCGGCGGCGACAGCGACAGCGGCCGGCCCTGGTCGCGCTTCTTGGGCGTCGCGGCCTCGGGCGGCACGGAGCTCTCGCCACGCGTCTCGCTGCTGGCCAGGCTGGCCTGCGATTTCTTCGTCGTCGCCATCGTGGCCGTCGGGAGATGGAGTGGCTGGCTGCGAGGGGAGGTTGATGGCAGCGGCAACAGCAGCGGCGAAGAAACTTTGGCGGGCGCCGGTTCCGCGCGCACAAGCGAGAAGCTGCGGGCGGGAAGCTTGGGAATCACAGGATTACGTTTAAACTACATAACTACTCCTATGGATGGATAGCACCTGTCTAGTTACTCCGTCCCGCACCAGCACTGTCTGCCCGGCAGCTGCCAGTTGCCAGCGTCCTCTCCGTCTCGCTCTCCCGGCGCTCGCCGCTGCCGACGCTTCGTCTACTCCGCGCTGAGGGCAAGACATGCGTCCACGGCCTGCCCGACCCTGTAGTAATACGAGCGGGTTAGAGCCGGCTCTCCGTCTTAGCAGGCCACAGACACTAGAGCTTACCTTCCTTCCTTCATGCGTACGACATCGTTGATGATGTCCTTGTCGAGGTTGGGAAACATGCCAGACAGCGTCCTGCAGCGTAATTAGCATGAGCACGACGAGATGACGCCGGTGGCCAATCCACTCACTCTACAACCACACTGTGCTCGGCGCGCTGGATCCGATGCGCTTCGGCGGCTTCCGCACTCGCTTGACGCGCCGCTGCCTCTTGGGCTTCGAATCTACTCGGCGGCGGCAGGGGCGTGGCAGTTTCTGGTTGGCTTCGCTGCCGTTCGCCACTCCTTCTCTCACTGGTGCAAGTTGGGTGCTGCTGATATGGCGTCGCAGAGAGAGCTACGTTCTGCTGCGGGGGCGTAGTGCCCGTTCGTCGTTGCGGGTCGGGTTCGTCCGAGAATATCCGGCCTATCGTCGTCAACGGCTTCTGGATTGTCCTCAATAGACCAGCCATTGCAGGGTTATCCTCCGAGTTGGAGGCGTAGTGTGAGTCGGTGGATCTTGACCCTTGCTCTTCGGAGTTTCGAGGTGTCATATCTCGCGAGCCTGATGATTTTTCGGTTACAGAGTCAAGCAGGCTCTCAGTTTCTTTGTTCTTCTCGGCGATTGCAGAGACAGCTTCTTCAACATTCCGGTCAAACTCTTCTTGGCTGACTGTTAAAGAGGTCCGGTCAAGTGTTTCGATAAATTGTATAGCTCCAGACTACAAATGTGATTAGCTAGCTTCTTGAGATGTTTCTATCGTAAAATACCAATGAAGATAGATAGTAACCAGCTTCTCCCCCGAGCTTTTCTTGATTGCGAAATCGAAGTATGTACTGAAGGTTCGACACCAGATGCTCGGGGTTGGCTTTGAGAACCACATAAATTAGAAGGGGCATGAAAGAATCCGCAGAAGTATCGTTATCCTTAGAATTCTTCAAAAGACCTTTTTACTATTAGTGCCTCTACCCCAGATAGCTACTCGAAAGTTCTTACCGAAAATGACCTTACAACAATTCAAAATACACACGACCTTGTCTCTTGGCGCCCGGTAACCTTTGATTTTCAGCAACTCTAGTGAAATACTGTTAGATCTTTCGAAAAATAGTCGTTTCAGGCCCCCTTACCTTGTTGTGCCAGAACTAAAAATCTATGGCCGTTTGGCCGAATTGAAGGGATATCCAAATGTTCTTCTCGCACCCAACTATATATCCGGATCTTTTGAGCTAGTATTTCATCCCGCTCAACATCCTCTTGATGTTGTCCCCGCCTTCCGGGGCCCTGCTGCTTTTCCAATTCTTTTCTCCGGCTCCGACTTCGAATACGACCGAGCGGGGGAGGGGGCGGTATTGCTGGAGAGAAAGTCTGCGAGTATAGCCGATTCATTACGAGCTTTTCCATGCCTTCTTTCGCATTATCGAATTCGATATCAGAAACTTCTTTCCATACATCACAAATAGCCATCTTATTCGTTATGAAAGCCAAAAAATCACTGATAATCTTCACTTGCTCGTGAACCATCCATTGTCGTTTGCCAAACTCGGTCAAGAAAGAACGAAGAAATTTGGCGACTGGATCAGCAGTTCGATGCCGTAATTGCTCGAGAAACCGGTGGAAGTCAAACGGTTGATCGGGTTCTGGCTCTGGGGGCGGTGGCCCGGTCACATGCATGGCCGTGGCGTCTATGGGTTCAGCACCAGAGGCTTTATGGGGTGTCTTGGGGGGAGATTTCGGAGGGACAGCGGGTGGTGAGAGCGACCGTCGGGAAGAGTTAGATAGAATGGACGAGCGATGTTGCCGAGCACCGGGCTGCGGATCGTCTGTGCTGTCTGCTGGTACGAGGGGTTCCAGGCTAGATTTCCGTGGGGGAAAGGGTGGACGTGCCGCAAGTTCCAGCCTGGGTGACATTATTTCCTCCTTGCCTAGACTAGTCGTCTCATCGGCAAATTGTTCCATTATGCTCTGAATCTCGGACTGCGAGTCTTCACTCTTCCTCCCTTCGCCTGCCACACCGGCTCGATCCTCACCCTTATCAATAGTTTGGACATCTCGAGGAACATCTGGTAGGTCCTTGTGGGCGAAGGTGGGTGTCCTGATTGGGGACAGTGGGCCTTGGGGAGTCTTTGGCGTGGGATCTATGTAAGTGTTGTCTTTCAGTGGTGGAGGAGGGGGAGAAGAAGTGGGATCGGCATTAGTGTAGACGGTGAGGCTGGGTATACTGCTGGCAGCTCGTTTCGACGAGAGGGATAGATCGTCCATTGGTTGTGTAGGGGGACTGGTGACTTCGCTAGGTTGTTCGGAAGATTCTTTGGAAGCATCGTTTCGGGAATTCAATTCTATAACGGCTCCGGCAGGAGGAATTTGTGATTTCTTAGACTCAGCCATAGCTTCCAGTAAGGGTGCTGTAGTATTCTGAGCATCTCCGGCCGGGGTGGGAGATTTCAAGCTGGTCCCAACTAACGAAGCTGCGTCCTGGTCACTGACACACCCGCCAACCTCAGACAGCTCTTCCACTTCGGTGTGTTTACTGTCTACTGCGGGAGGACCAGAGGGGCGAGCTTCAGCGGAAGGAGGCATAAGCTCAAGGGTGTATGTATCATGAGAGTCGTGAGTTTGCGGGAAGGGAACATGTGCAGGAAACTAGTTAACAACAGCAAAGGGTCATTATTGGGTATAGAAAATAGGCCTATCAATCAGAAAAGCTCCCAGCGATATTCCGAAGCAGCCCAGACGTGTGGTTTCGCTGACAGCGGTTGACGACAACGAACATCCCCGGCTTTGGGAACCCTCCTGCCTGGTCACGGGAGCTTATCGCGGGCGATCGTCGGGCCGGTGGCAATACCGAAATCTGCCTCAACTTCCAGCATCATCAACAACAGCAGAGATGGGACCCCGCCGCGTTCTTCAGTTGCTGTGTGAGCATGTGTGGCATCTTCTTCTCAGTGGGTGATACGGAGCCTGCTTACCCGGAAGAAGACACGCTCTGCAACATCAAGAACAGAGGGCCAGACAGCTATCAAGCCCATCAAGTCACCTTCTCCAGTCAAGGAATCGGAGAACAAGAGTGCGGGAAACATCTTACGTTCATTTCCTCTGTTCTGTCCCTTCGAGGTGCTACTATAGCAACCCAGCCCTTCATTGATCCCCCCAGCGAATCCGTACTTTGCTGGAATGGTGAAGCTTGGAAGCTATCCAATGAAGTGCTCGCTGGAAATGATACCTATCGAATATTTCAGCTTTTCCTGGAGTCTATAAAGCCTCCAAATAATGGCACGCTGCCATGTACTCGTCAAGTACCATTGGGTACCCTAGCACAGGCTATAAGTACCATTGCTGGTCCCTTTGCCTTCGTCTTCTACGACCGTCCATGGTCTAGGATTATATATGGAAGGGATTTCTTAGGCAGAAGATCTCTCCTGCAAGGGCGCGACTACAAAGCGAATTTTGTCATATCCAGTGTCTGTGCTGGTACTCCATCCAACTGTTTCGAAGAAGTATCAACTGACGGAATTCATGTCCTTGACCTTACCCGTGACGATCCGCTTAGTGCGGTTGAAACTATTCCATGGCTTCATGGAACTACCTCTCCATCCATCTACCTTGTACGTCCTTAAGAAACAGATATGAGATTGAATCTGACCTAGAAGCACAGAGTACTCCCATCCCACCAATGAACCAGCGCATTCCAACAACCGAGACCATCACTCCCCTGGTCAGGACATTGTCTTCTGTAGTTGAGTTGGAGAATCTACTTCGCCAATCTGTCAAACTTCGTGTCCAAGGAATCCCTAGATTCCCATCATGTTCCCCAGGCGCCGCAAAAGTCGCTGTACTGTTCTCTGGCGGTCTTGATTGCACTGTGCTGGCACGACTCGTACATGATTTGTTACCAGTGGACGAGCCCGTCGATCTTTTAAACATCGCATTTGAAAACCCTCGAGTAGCAGCAGCTAGCCTCGCAAAAAATGCCACTTTGAATTCGGTTTACGAAGAATGCCCTGACCGTAAAACCGGTCGATCATCACTGGCAGAACTATGTCGGGTTTGTCCTACCAGGCAATGGCGGTTTGTCTGCATCAACATACCGTATTCAGAAACACTACAGCACAGAGATACTATCAGGCGGCTCATGCGACCTCACAACACGGAGATGGATTTGTCAATAGCATGTGCACTGTATTTCTCTGCACGCGGCATCGGAGAAATCGCAGGTAAGGATGATAACGAACCCCCAGTTTCATATGAAACCTCAGCGCGAGTGCTCCTTTCGGGCCTTGGTGCAGACGAGCTCTTCGCCGGCTACCAGCGACACGCCCTCGCATTTGCACGCCAAGGTTTCAAGGGACTCATCGACGAGATTGACCTTGACGTGGGGCGCTTGGGGAAGAGAAACCTAGGCCGCGACGACCGAGTCATATCAAATTGGGGCCGAGAAGCAAGATATCCTTATCTCGACGAAGCTTTCATGACATGGGCTCTACAGCGGCCCGTGTGGGAAAAGTGCGGCTTTGGTATTCCAAGCGATGCTTCTGAGCAGGCTGGAAGCGAGAGAGACACTCATACCGGGGAACCAGAGGACATTGAACCGGGTAAGAAAGCTCTCCGCCTGGTGGCGTGGAACTTGGGCATGAAGAACGTCGCACGAGAGAAAAAGAGAGCGATCCAGTTCGGCTCTCGGACTGCCAAAATGGAGAGTGGGAGAACGAAGGGAACGGGAGTCATTTCATAGCTGTGCCTACGGTGCTCACTGTCCCTCTACACTCGAGTTTTGCCCTCTTTTTGTTCGGATTTCAAATGTGCACAGCGATGATGACGCAAACAGATACTTCTGACTGCGACTTTTCTTCCCCGCCAAACTTCGGACCCCAGGAATTTTCTCGGCACGTCTTGCCTTTGTTCTCTTTCTTTTCTGCACCCCATACATCACTTGTAGAGTGGGAGCGCGAAAGTAGAGAGGATATGGAAAGCGTGTGTGAAGAGGAAATGAATGGGGCCTGTGGTAGGCTTACGGGTTGGAGATTTTGTTTGAGCAATGAAGCAGATATTAAAGGCAAGTCTGAGCTGTGCTAGCATTTATCCACATGGTAAACACCGTCTTTCCCGTTGTTATAGCTAGCTTATCAATGTATTTCCCTTTCTGCAATAAGAATCTCACTCTTCCTTGTTAGTTATCTCAGATGGAATTGTCAAATCGTATGGATTGGGATTGGGGATTGAAGGTCTAATTCGAACGTCTTATCCAGTAACATATACTCCATAATTTAGTTAAATCTCAATATATGGTATTAAAGTCATTAAGATTAATAAGTTATCGTAGAGAATTATATTTCAGCCTCCAGTTATGGACGATTCTAACATGCCTATAAACATATTCCGGGGACCTTCATGGCAATGGCAATATCGATCTTAAAGGGATTCCCAGCGAAAATAGAATCAGATGAAGGGAAAACAGGTGCTTGTGCTAGGTAGAAACCTGCTACCAATAAGATAACTACTACCCAGTTCAAGCCTTTGGGTTGGAAGCTAAATAATCAGAAACCAAGTGTCTACGGAGTAAGAATTTACAACATCAGTATTTATAAGAGTAGCAGATAATGCACAGACCAGGTTCATTCTGGATATAACATATGAAACAAGAAAATGGTCACTATTAATTATTATTATAACATCAACATCGAGACAGTCAAAATAGTACAACAAAACTACAGCATCTCATCAACCAGCAAAATACCAATGACCTAACCATTGCATACCCAGTGAAACGACGTTCTGAAGAGCTGCTTAACAGACAGCACACAGGAACGCGCGACATGAGCAAGGAAATGGGGAATTGGCATTATACAAATTGAGAGGGGAAAAAAAGGTGCGCAGGAAAAGACAGGACAACAGTAGAGTAAAATCAAAGCAATATCAAGCGCGGCAACAATTGGGTATCGTGGGTATTTGGGGGGGTATCATTCACATCCACCTCGCAATTTTTGAAAAATTTTGTACTGCCCAAAAAACACAACGCACCGAAAGGACACTATGAAAAAATAACAAAAAAGTCACACAAGCAAAGAGAAAATGCAACAAAAGAGACAAGAATAGCCTAGTCATTCTGAGAGCCGAGTTTGTCATATGCATATGTGAGATACAGAAAAGGAGTGGGGGAGGTGATTGACTGTCTTATCCATTTTTCATGGTTATCGTATCAAGATGTTGTTTCGATTGTGTTTTTGTTTCAAGTTCTCAAGGAGAGGGAATGCCCAGTGGAATCTTGTTCCAAAAAACAAATTTCCACGGAACAAGTCTCACTGGGCTAAGGGGGTGCCAGGACGAGACATGTACTGCTGGTCCCACCACTTCTCGATCTCAACAATGCTCGTCCTGGCCGCGGCCCTTCACGCAGCAGCCTGGACGGGCTGCGCGACGGGCGCGGTGGCAGGAGCAGGCTTATTCTCGGGCTCTTCGGTTCCATTTACGGCAGCAGTTGTGTCCTTGACGGTCTCAGTGACGGCGGCGGCTGGAGCAACTTCGGTGGAGGCTTCGCCTTCAGCAGCGACGGCAGGCTCCTTCTCCTTCTTGACTGCCTTGCTAGGCTTGCGGAAAAGACCTCCAAGCCTTGGAATGGATGGAGAGCGAACCTTGGGAGGCTCTGAAGCCTCTGTTGGCTCACCTTCGGAGGTCTCGACCTTCTTCTCCCTCTTGGTACCAAAGTTACCGAAGAAAGAAGTGCGGCGTCTTTCCTTCAAGGTGGCGCCTGGGGCTGGCTCAGAGGTAGCAGCAGCTGGCTCCTCAGCAGGTGATTCTTCTGCCTTCTTCTCAGCCTTTTCCTCAGACTTGGCCTCCTTCTTATCCTAAATCGGTGTAAGTAAAGGTGAGTGAACACGGTTAACAATGACTAACCTCATTCTTCTTCATAAAGTTTAAGAAACCACCTTTAATGGAGGATGGGGAGGTTGCTGTCTCTTCTTGCACTTCCTTTGCTGGCTCAGTGGTGGCCTCAGGCTGGATCACGCTCTCTGGCTGAATTGGCTCAGCGGTAGCTGGGTGAACGGGATCGTCGAGTTGGGGAGCAGTGCTCGACACGGTGGTCTCAGGTGCCTTGATCGCTGGCTCCTTGTCGGCTTTTCCGTGGCCTTGGCTGGTAACCTTCTGGAATAGAGTTCCAAACATAGAGTTGCGCTTAGCCTTAATTTCGGGCCGTTTTGGCGCTTCCTCTGTCTTGTCCTCAACAGCTGGAGTAACTAAAGATAATTTAGCTGACGAAATAAATGGATTAGGAAAAACTTAGGGTAGGTCGTACCTTCGGCAGGTTCAGTGACGGGCGCCGCTTCGGTGGTGGCAGCGACGGCGGCAGGAGCAACAGCAACAGCAGGCTCTTCAGGAGTTGGCTCAGCTTCCACCTTCTTCACTTCCTCACCTTCAGCCTTTTCTTCCTTCTTGGCTTCAGTGTCCTCTTTCTTTCCAAGGATGGCGCCAAAGATGCTGGCACGCTTGCGAGATTGAGAGCGGCTCTTGGCCTTGACTTCTCCCTCAACCTTCTTCACAACATCCTTAGCCCTTGCTTCGAGACTCTTTTTCGGCGAGCTTGGGGCAACAACGGCAGCTCCTGGTTTGGCTAAGATCAATCAGCATCAAGCTTCCAGATAATGGGGCAGGAGCAATGCATACTGAATTTTTCAAGCTCAGCTTTGTAGGCCTCGCTGTCGACAAGACCCTCCTTTGCGGCCTTTCCTTCGGTAGAATTCTTCTCAAGGGCGACGACCCAGCTGTCGCGCTCATCAGCGGATGATGCCTGGAAAGCGTGCTTGTGGCCATTCCACTTGAAGGAGAGTTCATTGACACCCTCCTTGACAACATCGGAGATCTCAGCCTATCAGACAGTTAGATCTGGTATGACTAAACGCCACGGGAGCACGGTGTGTCACGACGTACCAAGTTGATGATGCCGGTTGGATGAGTCTTGTCTTCCGGGCGTTTGGCGAAGAAAAGCAAGCCCTTTCCAGTCTGGCTGGCCCAGGCGGCAGTGGGGTGAGCGACGCTCAGCTTCTCGTTCTGGAGGTAGTGGCTCAGGTTTCCGGCTTCGACGGCATCGTCACTGAACCAGAAATAGCGTTTTGCAAAGCGAAGGCTCCTGGAGGCGAAGGGCAAAATTAGCTTCGGTGGGGTGAAGTCAGTGAGACGTGGGCTAAAACTTACTTGACTAATCCGGGTGCCTTGTGACCAAGTGTGCCATCCGTGGCTGGCGTGATTTCCGCCTTCACTTCGTCCTTTGCCGGTACCTCAGGCTCAACCGTGATATCCTTGGGAGCTTCTGTGGCTGGAGCTGCAGCGGCAGCGGCGGCGTCGGTCACTGGAGCTGCAGGTTCGACGACGGGGGCAACCTCTGCGACGACGGGGGCCACGGGGGCAGTCTCGACGGGTTTCTGGGCTTCGGACATGGTGACTGTGAAGGAGACAACGACGACGGGGTGCAGAGGGAGAATCGAGTGAGGTTCAACGAGTTCTTCTAGAACACGGCTGAAGCTTGGGAGAAAGAAAGGGGAGCTCTGGGAGCTGGCAGTGCTTTAGCAGGGGGGAGATTAAAATAAGATGGTAAGTGCAAAGATGGGTATCAGGGGTATCTCAAAGCAAGAAACGAAAAGTACAGTCAACGACGCAGCACGCACCGGGGGGTATCAAGCGAGGCTCGCAGGAAGAACAGCACAGCGGGAGCAGGTGGAAGAAGAGAAGAAGAAGAAGAAGAAGAGAAGGAAGAAAAAAAAAGGGAGGCGGTAAATAATAATAAATCGAAACGGGGGGCGGAGATCGCTAGTCCGTTCTGGGCGGCGCGGCGCCGGACTCGCCAATCACGCGCGGGCGCCGGGGCGGTAAGTGGAGGCCGGCGTACGAGACGCGTACGGTCATTACCGACCCCTATCCAGAGCGAGCGAGCGAGCTGGCGGGCGGGCGTGGGAGGGCCGTCGCTGGTGGTGGTGGTGAGCTTGCCCGCGCTCGCTGCTGCCCGCCCACGCCCACGCCCGCCAGCAGCGCCTGGCCACTGGCGCGCGGGGCCGGCGCGCTCCGGGGGGGTTCCCTGAGCCCGTCGCGTCTGCGCTGCTGGGAGGATGAGACGGGTGTCTCACCTCGCAGCTCAGGGGAGCCTACAGAGTACGGAGTACCCGCCGGCCATACATACATACATACAGCAGCGTGTGACCTCGCAGCGTGGCCAACGGGCCTCGTCGACGACTCGGCCACAGCACCGGGCCATGGCGAAAGCGGCGACGGCCGTTGCGCTTCCAGCGACTACTGGCCGACGATCAGGCCATGCTCCAGCAGCATCCCTGCGCCCGACACGGTCCCATGGACGCTTTACGCCCAGCGTATCGCTGTGACGGCTAGCAACCGATCGCCCGCCAGGCATGGAACTGGCCACTCCAGCGCGCTGGGGGGAGCAGCGAGCTTCGCGAGCATGTTTCGCCCGGAGCTCAGGGGAGCCCTTCAAGTTCTCGCGTCGCTGCACAGGCTGCCCGCTCGGCCACCCATCACCACAGCGCCTCTGCTCTGCGCTGCTGCTGCTTCTCGCTGCCAGGCTCGCTGACTGCGGCGGGCGCCTAGGGTTTGGCCAAGGCTGCCGCCATGGAGCTGCGACTCCCGAAGGATGCTTATAATCTGCCGTCGGCTGATCGCATGACCGCTGCTGCCCTCCCTCATTATTCAGCCGTCTTAACCGCGGCTGCTCCGCACGACGTCGCGCAAGTTCCTCTCCCTGCTCCTCCTCCTCCTCTGCGCGCCTGCGCGCCCAGCTGTGGCCATGCGTGCGGTTGCTGTTGCGGCGCTGCCGCCGCACCCACCGGGGCCTTCCCCCCCATCGTCTGCCGCCCGTGAAGTCTGCGCCAAACTCTATGGCGATAAGCTCGGGACCGACCCTCATTTGACAGCTTGAGAGCTTCTCGCCTGTCAGGGGGCGGCGGCGTGAAAAGCTCCAAAGCTGTCCGGAAACGGCCTAGCGCGCCACCCGTATGACATAATGAATTCATCTGATTATGTAATTTGAGCGTGTTAGTCATCCGACCCTCACTTCAAACGATTCAAACAATCGAGCGAGGCATCTTCTTCCAACACGTGCTGAGAGCTTGCATCTCACCCTCGAGAGCATCACATCTTTTACAAAGAAGGCTTTACATCACATCTCATCTTCCAAGCCCTGTCTCTACCGTCAATGAGATCAGGGAGCGATGCGCACCGGTGTTCACCCAGCCGGGACTTCAACATATTGGGTGGGTTGGAGTATTCGGGTCTTTCTCCCGCGGAGAACAGACTCCCCAGAGCGACGTTGACTTCCTCGTGGGATACAAAGAAGACACAACTGCAGATGATCTGTGGCGTATGCCACTCTTGAAACAGCCCCTACAGCACGCGACCCAACGCGAAGTTGATATTCTTTATACGCATGACAAGCAGTCGCCGTCGTACATCAAGGCCCAGGCCATGCTTACTGCAGAGGCAATATACAACGCCGATGGCTCTTGGCTACACAAGAATCGTTCGCGCGCTGAGGAGGCGTTGGTAACCTCCCGTCAAAGGTTGGCGCTTGCATTGCAGCAAGGTGAGAATGCCTTGCAGCAGCTGGATACCATGTCTAAACGGGTATGTCGTAACTGAATGCTTACTGAACCCTATTTTTGATCTTACTGGTAAAAGGATATATTCCAGAATACCTCCTCCTTTGGAGAACTTATTCACCGAGTTTTAACCCTATCTCAGACACTTGTACCAGGTGAAGAGGACGCGAAAATGCTCGACTCTTATTTCGGTTCTGTATATGAGTGGGTGCCTGACGCCTTGAAGCTAATAGCAAAGTACAAAGCAAACGGACTAAATGCGCTGGATTGTAAAGATCTGCTGTTGCTGTCAGAGCTCCTTACAGAAGAGCTTCCACTAAAGATTGCGGTACTGAAAAAGGTCTATCTACCAACATTGAAAGAGGTATCAGATGCTGCAGGAATCCAATATGAAGCATACACCTTTGATGCTTGATTTTTATGTGCCCGAAGAGTTATCTTAGTCAAACATTAACACTGCGGAGCATCTCCCGCCAGTATATTTCAATTCAAAGCCTTTCTTATTCCAGGACGGCCAGTTGTTCCGTAATTGCATGGCGCAGCATAGGCTCCAAATCACTCGGAACCCGGCTTGTGACTATGTCCCACACTGGCTTGCCAATCAAACGGGACTTCCGCACCAGCCACCCCGTGTTCCCGGTCGAAACTGCAACACAGGTCGTGCAATCTACGCGCTTCTAAGAACACACCTGGATACGCGTGCCTCAACGGATCGTCGACTTTCAAATCAAGGTTTTTAGACACAGTCTTCAGGAGAACCATGTAGGATTCCCGGTACTGCCGCGCTTTGTCATTGGGTGGCTGCAGCCATGTCTTGGATTGAGGTGTTTAGTAGGTGCTAGGGCTTCATAAGGGTGTCAATATTATAGCAAACGGACCTCAAGATTGAAATTGTCGGCTGTGAATCGCCGGCTTAGTAGTCTGATTTGGTCGCGAGCTGTGACAAGCCGCGCGATGGCGATACGCTGTTTCATTATTATTGTTCAGGTAAGAGCTCGTAAGGCCTCATAAGTCGGTTGTGCAAGGGATAATGTTAGCACGGGAATGTCAATGAGCTGGGGAGACATATGTAGCTCAGCCCTTGAGGCCACATGGCATCCCATTGGCGGAGTGCCAAACAACTCTTCCGTGAGAAATCCGATTCCTTTATTGGATCTTGGATCCCAGCCAATCTCCGCTTATTCCGTTCTACTTAATTTGAAGTGATCCTATCCCTAGCACATACGACCACAGGAAGTGGAATACAGGGCTTCCCGTCCGCTCAGCCGTACTTAAGCCACTTGCCGGCCGGCTAGTAGTTGGGTGGGTGACCACCAGCGAATCCCGGCTGTTGTATGTTTTTGATTTTTTTTCTTTTTTCATCAAGATTTACTTACTTCAATGCAAACAGTTAGAGGTTTGTATGACATGGTTTGGGGCATAGGTACTCGTTGACAAACATTGATATATCAGCAAAGTCGAGCTTATCATCTTTGGCCCCATGAAAAATGGCGAGATTTCTCTTCAACCGAAGAATCAATAGGCAACTTACCATAGTCCTTTAGAAATTTTCTATTTCCAGTTTGCCCATGTCCTCAGCACACCGTATTTTTGGGAAAGATGTCTATATTGCACAATACAGCAAATGCTGATATAGTCCTTTATATAGCAGAAATAATTGACAGTTTCAAATTGGATAGAAAAGACCATATACAAGCAACGCAACAATTGGAGAAAGATTGCTGAGAAAGACTATACAAAGCTGTGGCAACTGTACAAAGTCGGAACACTCCCATATCATCTCATTAAACGCTTGATTCACATATCCCACAACACCATACAACATAATAGTCATCATCGTGTGGCCGTTAGAACGTACCTGAAATCGGTGTTAGCTGGAAGAGAACCTAAAACGAAAAGGAAAAAAACTTACGAGGTAATACTCTCCATCCTCTCCGCGGTTAACTTCAAGCTGACCTTCATCATCTCCAACGCTACCTCGCCATGGCTCTCGCTCAGTTTCTTCCATCCTTCTTCGCCCATCACCCAGACGACAGACGCCGTCTCAGCTCTAACAGTCGCGGTCCTCTTCGTGCCTCCAAAGAAAGGCAATTCGCCACACGGCCGCCCTGCCACGATCAGCTCAAAGTAGTGCCCCTGCGGCGTGTCGTACTCGGCCCGCAGCATCCCCGATTCCAGAAGATAAAAGTATTGCGCGGAGTCGCCGCAGCGATAGAGCACGCTGGAGGCTGGGTATTCTGCACGGGTAAAATGCACGGCCGCGGGGGCCCAAAAGTCATCTGGCTTGGTGGTGAGGCCTTGAAATGTGTGGAGCAGAAGGGGGAGTGGCGGTGCGAGCTGCTGCTTTGCATTAGAGGGCCGACGGGCGGATGTAGAGGAAGAGGCTTCCTCCTGAAGGGTGGTCGCAGCAAGTTGATTGAGGTAGAAATGGCGAGGCGAGTTGATTGGAAGGTCTACTTTTGGTGGCTCAAGTATCTCTAATTCATTATTAGACCAATCCATCGGCTCCGTTGTAGATGAGTGGCGGGATAACTTACGTTTGACCGGTGGAGACTCCGTTTTGGTTCCTGTCATAACATCTCTGCGCTCATGCAGCACGCGTAGAAGCTCATTTTCGCAAAATTCAAGCGCAGAATTTAAATTCTTGAACACATGAACTTCGTCTTCTTGCTCGAACAGGCCAACATTTCTGAGGCTGAGGCCTATTTCACCGGTAATATCAACGCCACATAGAATCATGTGTACTCTTCGCACACGTAGCACCCTGTTTAGCCTGGTAAATGCTTCAGCAGCGGAGAAATCCAGCCCTTTGACATGCGAAATATCCAAAACAAGGAACCGAATTGGCCGATCATTGAATACTTCCCCTTCGATTAGCCAACGCACTTGTTTCTCTACGCTGACAATGGTGCCGAAAAACAGGAAGCCCGAGAGTTTGATCACAAACGTTTGTCTTCCAGCTTCTCTGAGGTAACGAACGTGCAACGGGTTTCGCCGAACTGTGGAAAATGCGACTTGTCCTGTGTACGTCGCTGTAACGGCGGATTTCTGAGACGCCTGAACGACGAAACTAAGGCAAGCCAAAAATATGCCGACCATAACACCAGAGACGAAATCCCATGCACCCATAGTAGCAACAATTATCATGACCTAAACGAGGGTTAACGCGCTTCAGCCGAGATGAGCTTGAAGACAACGACTTACTGTCATATATTCTAGTGTATGAAGCTTTCCCCAGGTATGAACCAAAGCCTCCTCCATCAATTCTATTCCAAGCATATATATCAACGCACCAACAACTAAAACAGGAATATAACCTATAAGGCCTGGCCCAGCCAGCATGATTCCAAACGTCCCAATGGCCAGCATTATACCAGCCAAACGATCATTTCCACCGCTCGCGATGAAAAGTAGGCTGTTAGTATACACCAGATAATTCTGGGACAAGTCAGCAGATAGTAGCAAGGCTTATGGTCCATGAAAATACCTGTACGCTTCCAGCAAAGCCTGACAACACGTTAGAGACTCCATGAGCGATAAGCTCACGATCAACATTTAAATTGTCCTCTTTAGTGGAAATGCCCAGTGCTGGGACGTTTATGGGCACATGAAGGATACCAAAAAAGGTCAGCGCGAACATGGCAGGAATCGTGTCAGCGAGCGCGGACCAGTCGACGGCAGAGAATTCTGTACAGTATTAGGCCGTGAATGGAGTAAACGAGGAAGAAACGCACTGTATAATGTATAGAAATGATACCAGGGATTTGAGGACGATGGAGCCTCAAATACCCATCCTTTGTCGCGCAAAGTCTCCAATGGAATCCCGGAAAACAATTTGACCACATAAAACAAGACTCCAACTGACACGAAATATCCACCGACCAGAAATGTTGACTTGACATACCGTTTGAGAACCAGTAGGCCAATGGCAACAACAAGAGGCGTCGTCCAAAGAAAAATTGTATCAAGCTGGAAAAGCCTGTGTAAGGTATCTAGGTCATAATTGAAGTTTCCTGACAATCTGGCAGATACCTCAATTCCAGTAGCGACCAAAAACCAGCCAACGCCTCCAATACACCCAATTAAAATATGCCTGGGAAAGAAACCAATAACTGAGCCGAGCCCACTGGCACCCATGGCAAAGAACACAGTTCCCGTCAGGAGAGAACTTAGCGCGTATGCTAAGATGGTAGTCGCCAGGACGGAATCCATGTTCTCCTCACCCACCTTTGCCAGGATCATTAATGCCATCTTATGAAAGAAGGGAACTATTTCAATCATCTCTGATCCAATGCCTCCTTTGAAGACTGAGCCGCCGCAGGAGATGACAAGTTGTGAAATGATCGTGCTAACGTAGAACATGGAGATACCATCAGCGCCCAGTTCGGCAAACAATGGCTCGCCAAGGGGAAATAAAATCATTCCATAAGACAAAGCATCCAGGATATTAAGAATAAGTCCCAAAATGACGGCTGGCATAAGACTTGCTGGATACGCAATGCCCTTTTCGAATATAGTCCGTCGATTCCATTTTTTAGGGTTAAAGAAATTTTTCCAATGGATTGGTGACTGCCACTTAAAGTCTTTTTTATCCCATTGAGGCGTGCTTGTTGGGAGGAGAGGTGGTGAGCTCTCTATGTCTCCGGATGTACCGTAATTGTCACGATGGCTCTGCGACTTAGATCGTTGTCTAAGTAGAGGTGCATCCTCTGATACGGTTTCTTCGAGATTTTCCACATGGCGTTCACCACTAGCTCCCCTTTTTTTAGCTGACGGCCCAAGAAGCAAAGCCGTCAAGGCAGACTCCCCCGAATTAGCAGCGACGGATCCAACTTTTGGGGTCTCAGAGTCTGAATCTTCCTCAATTATTACTTCTGGGGGTATGAGCTGGCTGTCAGATCGGCCCCTGATGCCAAAGGTGTCCGGGAACCTTCCGTCCAGAGAAGACGCGACATCGTCGCGATATGCCGAAAAGGAAGAAGATCTCAAGCTATGGATCGATTCGGCATCTGATATAGCTCGCGATTCTAATTCGGCAGTCTGCTGTCTAACACCGTCGAAGGAATACTGGCCGTCTTCTGCAAAGGCACGCAAAACCGTGCTGTTAGCTTTGTTCGATCCGAAAAGTGTGTATGCGCTGCAGACAGAGAGACATGTCACACATCGCCACGACTTACCCAATGGCCCGTGAAACGCTCGATGGTAGAACGACCTTGCTGGCGTCCTTTCACTCACCGACGCCCTGCGCCGGTTCATGCTCCACGGGCTGGAAACCCTGTCAGATCCCCGCGCCGACCGGCCACTCCCATCGTCGCTATCTCTAGTATCGGCTCTCCTGCGATTCGGCAGCCACTGGGTAGCCTCTTCTCTACCACTACCGGCTGCCGGCACAGGCGATCTCCCTCCATCCATGGTTGGTCGAGGTGAAGCCTCTGGAGGTTGTCATTCCTAAGTTTGAATGCGTACCTCCTCGGCCAGTGTTCTTGGAGACGGGGTCAGCTGAAGCAGAGAGGAGCGTGATCGGCCGGTCAACCTTAAGCAGGAAGTTTATGTGCCACGCTATCGCGAGCAAGCGGGCGGGGAAGAGAGTTGTTGTGCCCTTCTTCCTGCCGCCGAGTTTGCAGAACTTGGATGCCGAGATGACGTAGCGCAGTCTCGCCTGGACCGGCCAAACTTTCGCCAACAGCCAAGACGCTGCCGGTGTGTCTGTTCTCATCGTCGGCCGTCTCGTATTGTTCTCCTCATCTCTTTGAGCTTTGGTAATGGCTTCGCTTCTACCCGCTGTGTTCACGAGCGCAAAACTTCATGGCGCGGGCCGATATAGCTGAAAAGATGGAGAAACAGACCATGATCTCGTTGGAAGGTGCTTGCGAAAGTCTACTTGAAAGAACGCCGTGCCGTCTTTGTGAGAAAGCCAGTTCTAGAATTGGATCTAAAGATACGGAGTGTAGTCGAAAACGACAACAACGAACACAAGCCCGTTCGCGCGCCTTTACAAAATTTGTGGAGACACGACGCAACCAAACTCGCTGAACTCTGGAACCGACGGCGGTTGGGTTTTGTTTGCCGTGGCCTCTGAGTCATGCTGCTCGGCTGTAGAGCTTTTCAATCCTCCGCTTTGTCCTCGTGTTGGTGAAGCAGGGGTGAAATAGTCAGTCATTGTGTCTAATATAGCGTCTCACGACTCATGCTTTCCTCTTTGCGCTTTGGTGCCCATGGGGTACGTGAGTAGTATTGCGACCTTCCGACGAGCATACCTCGAGCGGTTGAAACCGGAGGGCATTCCAGATGCCATAGCTGCTCTGCACATCAATTCGAGATGTGCACAAAGATGGGCAATCTTCAACAGATAGCTGGTAGCACGTTTGTTTCAACTCATTCGCATAAGATATCCCTGAGATATGAGCTTCTCGACATCTCCAAGGCGGACATAAAACTGGCTATTTTTCGTGAGATTGATCGAACTGTCCGCACCCACCAATTAGAACGATAGGACAAGATCAAGAGTAGCAGTAACATACCCATACTCCATCTGTATTTCTCCCACATCCTTCAACACCCGTACGTCAATAAATAGGTCCTGTGGGGGCTCCAAGCTCCCAGTCAGGTCGATATCAGTCCATTGCCCCTTGTACCCAAGGAGCATGTCACCATATTTGCGTAAATAATCCTCCTCTTCGGGGCATAGTGAGTTCCCACTCCCGCTGCTACTCCCACCCTGGGCTTGTGTACTCGTTTCAGCTAGGTGCTGCTGCTGTTGCTGCTCCTGGCGGTAATCCATCACGTCCCAGCCTTTCCAGCACAGCTCCTCTATTTTTTCCGCCCTCACACGATGATAGCCAAGTAGACATCTCTTATTCCTTCGCATGCAAAGATGATTGACTAGTAAGGCGCACGCAGTTGCGGGTTCTGACGATGGATTAAACGGCTGGGAGCCGTTTTGGTCGTAGGGCAAGAGGAGGCGAGTGACATTGTCGTTGAGCTCGTGAACTTCACGTATAAGACTTCGAATAATGTCTGAGTGGTATGGAGGTAGATGGGGTAAGGATTGGATGCGTTTGGCGTGTTGGACCTGGTAGAGGTTAGGCGTGTCTGGGACGTGTTTTGGGGGGAGAGGATGGTACCAATTTGTTTCCTAGATCGCCATACATGCTGTGTAATATCAAGCGGAACGAAGAGTAGTAGGCTCTATATCGATCATGCCAGAATGCTGCTTAGATCAAAATAATTTGGCCGTTGGGTGTGGAGTTCTTTTACGGAGGAAGATCCGCCCGTGCGCCACCGTAGAAAACCATCGCGAGGTTTGCAACTCCCATCTTACAATTACAGCCTACCCAGCCAAACACGCTGCCCACCGGTTCAAAGCGTCTAATTTCTATACAAAAGACGCAGATTCTCAGGGAATATTTATTTTCTACTACAAAAACGACCTGGTTATCGGACTGAAACCCAGATAAAAAAAAAAGATGAAGCGGAGATGGACGCCTAGTTTCATTGAAAAGAAAATCCCCCATAAGACCGCCGCATCCAGTTAGATCAATTTGTGTTTGGATATCGGACGTGACAAGGGAAAGTAGTGTCGAAGAACCCAAACGCCATTCAGATCTCCAAGGCTACATACACGGTCGCATCCCGCGTCTATCCATCCAAGTCTTTCTTTGGAACGCAACCAAGCTCGAGATTAATAAAGGAACAAGAGGAAAGGAGTAATATCAAAAAAAAAAAAAAAAGAAATGACAACAGACGAAAGGCCTACGGATGGCCCAATTGAAAGAGCCTGAAATCATATTGCCGCCCGCGCAACTCCTATTTCCTTTTTCGATCCCAGACTCCGTGTCGTATTACCTGTTGGATAGAAGGGCAAACGCTTGGCCTAGCAACGAAGAACAAAAAAAGAGCTGTAAAGGTCATGGAAGTGTTCTAATCAGTATGCAGCATGGCCTGTTAACCACTGATCAAACTCTTGCCCGTACTCCTGCTTCACTGGCTCCGCGACCGGGCCTTGGCCTTCGCTCCACGATTCTCTTCCCTCCACCATTGGTGTGCTGTGGTGCAACCCTTGCTGAGAAGATATCATTGAATATCCTTCGCCATCTTGCACTGGAATAGTACTATGAACATAGTGCTGGTTGGTGGAGGGCGGAGCCTGCCAGAGTTCAAGCTGGCCTGGGTAATTACTTGCCTCGGCATGGTGCATTGCAGCGGCTTGCCGGTGGTGATTGTTGTACTCGAGGAGCTGGGGATCGACCTGGCCTGGATCCTCAACAGGACGATTTGGCTGCTGTGATGGCAAGAGGTCGGGATGCGGATTTCCAGGAAGACCAGTCAGCGATCCCTGTGCCTCGTATGACACTCCCGGCATGCCCATCTTTTTATATGTCACATCTTCGATGTTTGGTCCGAGCTGGCTCTGGTGAACTGAGGGCTGGTAGTAGTGGCTATGCTCTGGTGGGGAGAGCACACCGGGAAGGGGTCGGCCAGGGTTTATCATCTCCCACGATGACCGATTAATGTCTGGATGATGCATATACATCTCAGCATTGTGCCGATCTAATAGTGGCGTCGAATGGCAGCTTTCAAAAGTCCTTTCTGGGTCAAACGGGGTCGATGTTCGGCTTCCAAAGCCTTCATCTACCTCGGACCGATCGTTCCATCGTCTTATTGTTCGTGGGCACGAAGCAATCTCAATTCCCGTGTCGTCCAGGTCACTGCTTTCTTCATCCTTGAGTGAAGATTGGCTCTTCTTCTTTGGTGTGTTTTGGGCCTTGTTTGGCGCAAACTTGTAATCGGGGTGGGCTTTTTGGTGATTATCCCTCTCTATGGACGCATATCGCTCGTAGAGATCTCTAATCTCTTTTGGCTCAAGTGGCCAGCTTTGACCTGATGCGCGCGACACAACCTGATGGTTGTTTTGCGCACACCACTCCTTCGTGCGCTCTGCGTACGCTGAACGGTATAACATGAATGAATTCATCGGTCTTGCAATCTTACCATTCTTTGCGACAACTTCTCTTCGACGGACCTCCGCTGTTCGGTTTACCCAGGCCTCCATGTCGCGAACCGGAATATGTGCCATATGTTTAGTTAAAAAGCTCAATGGTGCTGTGACGATTGGTCCACATTTATTATCGACTCTTGGTGTTCTTGGTCGTCTTCTGACTCTCGTCAACCTCGCGACTCGAGTTTTATCTGTCTCTGGAAACTTAGGCATTTTTGGCGAACCCTTAGAAGAAGTGGAATTCCCACTTCGTGTTCTTCTCATGTCTGCGGCGCGATGGTGGCTTGGATGCTGCGCTGAGCGCACAAATGTCTGATCGTCATTGTTAATGGACAGGTGCCTTCATTATTCAACATATGAGAGCATACCAATTGAGTGGAGGTGAGTTGTGGAAACTCGGCTGCCGACACCCGACCGTACGTACCGTTCGACGGGTATGCGTTCTTTTATTGTTTCATTAGTTCTATAGTTATATCCAAGGCCAGTGCGAATGACTTACCACTATCTCAGAAGCTTCTCCGTTATCCACCTCAATTTTGCCGAAGGGGTATTCCTGAGTTCCGGGTCTTGGATACATGGCCGTGAAAGAAGGTTGGGTTTGGAGGAACGGAGATTGCAAGGTGTTATTTTGGGGCAAGGGCTGAAAGGGGGCCTTCATCTCGTCCGCAGATGGAGAAGGCGACGGGGGATGCTGATGATTCATTATTGTCAAAGGGCTGAACAACTAGTTGTTGCGCTTGCGTTTTACCTTGTTTGGCCAAGAGAAGTTTCGTTCTCTTGCTCTTTTTATCTCTTTTCTTTCCTCAATAATTGAAGGGTTCTAAGCTTCCTTTTGAATGAGCTTGGGTATATGCTGACTCAACAGATGAAACTTTGGTGCGTGGTGGGAAATATCGATGGAGGGTCGAAACTCTCCGGATTGCCTATTAATGGAAATGTCCAAAAGTCGTCAAGTCCACAGGAGCCGGTGGGGGCGTCAATGGCAACGTTTTTCCCTGACGAAGATAACAAAATTGTCAGTTTCGGAGCCCCCTCGATCATTCAATTCATTGACACAGGGCATCAAAACAAGGAATGAGAGAAAATGGAAAACATCAATGAATGGCCTCAGGGTAAATACCTTCTTTGGGGGATTGTCGGAATATTCCTTCTTGTTCGTTCGTCGTCCTAGCCTTACTTGTTGTCACCTTGGGTGGCAATAAAATATACCCGATTTCAGCTTGGCGTGCCTGGTGAACGAAGTCTGAGCTCCTCTTCTTTACTTTGCACGAAGCACGGATGCGGCGATGAAGAACAGGCACAAAGACGCGGGGGTTTCGAATTCTGCCGTCAAGGAGATAAGCTATGTTGCTAAGGTGGCTCCTTGTTGAAGAGTGCTATATGCTTCTTATTTTTAGACGAAACAGGAGCTTTTGCCTATGCACTCCCAAGAAGACTGAAGGCAGCGCAACTGAGATTAAAGTAGACCTCTGATCGCAGAGTACTGATCTCTCCTGTTAGGAGAAAAAAAGCCAATAAAATAGGTCAAGCCAGGAGCTGAGCGATATGAGAATTAGTCCGCTTTAGGTATGAACTGTTGCAACCATCCGCTTGAGCAGAGGTTCGGCGGGCAGATCGGCTTTTCCCGAGCTTGCTCTGACAAATATGCAAGACGGAGACTCAAATTAGAGACATGCAGCAAGCGAGCGTCCGACCACGTGTTCTAGAAGCTGGATGCTTCTTTCTTGTTGTCTGGTAGCTGGTCAAGAAAGTTGGTCAGATGTGTCTATCTTGTTCAAGTGCAGATTGAGGGATCTTGTTTTTTTTAGGAGATATGCGCCCGCCGCATGCCCTCGCATACTGTCTTCTGCGTGGGGGATGGAGCCAGCAAGAAGGGCTCTAGCTTGAGGATGACAGACGTCCCACCTCTCGCGCAAGTGCGGCTGAAGTAGCTACTAGAGCGGTAGGAGAGTGGAGGAATGAAAACATGAGTAGGTTCTTTGTTTGCGATCTTTGTACTCACCTTGGCTAAAACCGTTACGGAAGCAGGAGTAAACTCTTTGATGGGGCAGGCTCCTCTCTCGTGGGAGAAGAACCGGGAGTCAGTGGTGCTTTGTCTCGGGAGGTTTTGTCTTAATTCTTTTTGTTGTCAGCGGCGTGTCCGTTTGCTGGAAAGACTGAGCTAAACCGGGGAAGAAGAGGCAAGATGTGAAGAATCAGACGAAGCTATTGTACGAGTGAAAGGAGAAGGGAGTGAGGTAACTATGAAAGACCTGTCGAGTTCTGTGCTGGGGGGGACCTGCTGGCTAATAAATGCTTCTAGACCAACACACCCCAGGGAGAGGACAGGACAGGTATTTAATGTCTGGTTGAGGTAAGACGAGAAAAGGAGCGGGGATGAAGCGAATATTATAAAAAGCTCCCAGCATACGGGGGGACAGGGCGCCAGGGCGGGTGATGGAGGCCGCAGGGTGCGTGTTGATAGGGACAGCGGAGAGACAGGCAAACCACAGGCAGGCGGCAGAGAGGGAGAGGGGCGCCGCAAAGCACAAAAATAAGAATTAACAACAGATCGACAGGCTGCAGGGTGGGCTTTGCCTCTTCTTGGTTTATTTTTTTCTCTGGCTGTCTGTTCGACCTACATTAGCTTGTTTTACAAGGCCCACTCTCTGGTCGACGGATTTGGGAGAGAGGATTCTGGATCTTCGCGGGTCCAGGGACGCTGGGTGGCGGCGGAGTGGAGAGGGGACGGAAGAGCTGCAGGAGACGAGGAGGCCAGAAAGAGGCGCAGGGTGTTTGGGCCTGTGAGCTGGGGGCGGCGCACCCTGTGTTCATGCACAGCCAGACAGCAGCGTAGAAACCGCAGCGCTAGAGACAGCGCTGGGGGCGGTTGTGGCAGTTTTGATATGGAGAATCACGGCTGGTTGCTGCGGCGCATGTCCATGACAACAACGGGCTGGCAACAGAGGACTTGCCCACGGCAGCCTCGGACAGCACGGGGTCTTATATGGGCTGCAAGCGTAGGCGCCTTGCCTCTCTCGCCGTCTACAGTCCCGACAGTCTGTCTCGAGGATATCTCCAGGCCGTCCATGGCGAGTCTGGTCGGCGGTTGCGAGGGTTTCGATGCTACGGGAAACAGTGCCTAGCGGGATGGGCGGGGGCTGGGCCCGCCAACGGCAGGACAAGACGATGCTAAGCAGCGAGGCGAAGGCTTGAGCCGGATGAGAGCTTTTCTTTTTTTACCGCTCATGCTGTCGTCGCATCCAGGATGGCCTTGCGCTGGCCACCAGCAAAGCCGACGCCGGAGTGACTAAGACAATACGACGGCGCGCGGTGTGCGTCCACGGTTGACTGCGAAGTTTCCGGCCGCCAGAGAAGCGTCGCCAGATGCTATTTCGGCGCCTGCGTCGTCTTCGGGGTTTGCCTGGGCGTGAGGAGGGCGATTCTCACATCGCAAGACCCATGGAAGACGGGCGGCCGGGGCTGCGCTGGGATCATCCCTGCCGCTGCACAGGCTGACAGTGATCGCCGCCCTGATTCGATCGGCCTCTCTAACCGTCGCCCTCACGTCCTGCATGCCAGGTATGGATGGAGGGATGTACGGAGTATGTACGTCTGTATGGATGGGGGTACAATGTGTGTCCGTTGCGACGCGCTGTCGTGTGGTGACGCCGGCCGCAGCCCTCGAGGGAAGCCCATCTTGTCCCACGCCCAACACGCTTCTCTCAGCCGTGAGACGCCCAGCGTTAGTGCCCTCTGACTCGCTGTCTAGCCTCCGCGGGAACGTGCTCCGTTGTCCGCTCCGAGATGGCGAATTTTATGGTTCCTCGAAACTCTGCCTGGGCCTAAAACCGCAGCCGTATAAAATGCCGGCTCCTGGACGATAGTATCGAGGGTTCGACGCCCTGACTGGCTTCCGGCGCGTCGGGCCCTGTGTTGCCCAGCCGAAAAGGAGAAGAAGAGGGGCCTATATATTTATTATTTGTCAAGCCTGCAGTGCGTTTTGGCAGACGACGTTGGAGTGAGGCGAGCCGCCATTGATGCACCGCGCCTGTAATGCCAGTTTTTGCTGCTCCACGACGGAAGATCAGTAATGTGAAGAAAGCGGCACGGCCAAGCTTACCGTAGTCGCCACAGTTGATTCGCCTCGAGAGGTTCTTCACGCTCGCGCCCGGCCGTCGTGAGCGCGAGCGCGAGAAGCGAAAAAAGGTGACTCGTTGAATGCGGCGACCGGGCGGCGTGTTGATTGGCTGCATGCGACCCGCACATAACCACTGCGTCGGGTCGATTCTGGTAATGTGACTTGCCGATATGGACGTGCCGAGCTAAGCCAGCCCGATGCGGAAAGCGTGGTGGGTTTTGCCTCCCGGCAGCCACCGCTGGTTGGCTGCCGCTCCGTCGGGCCGCCCGCTGATTCGCCGGGGTGATCGCCACGGCGTGCCGGCCGGCGATTGGCCCAGACAGAACGCTTGGCGTAGCTTAGCGCGTGCTGACTCAGGCTGCGATTTGGAATTGCTCTCCACGTGACGCCCTGTTTAGGACATAGCGGCTGACTCAGCACTCGCTTGCTGGCGCCGGCTCGTATTTTCTCCGCGACTTCAACGCCTTCATCGCCCTCGCAAACCTTCGCGCGGCTTCACGGACGCGCTCTCGCTGGCTTGGTGTGATACTGAGGACGAGACGCGGGTCGCTTACCTTTGCAAAACTCTATCCGCTCTGCCTTAGTGGATCCTTGACAGAATCCGGCGAATATTCATGCCTATTTTTACGCCCGTCTCTCAGCCGGTGCTGTTCTTCACCCCTTGAACATGTGTGTGCCGTCAAGCCATGGCCAGTAGTAGTGCGAGGAGAAAAAGTACCAAAGCCTCTTTTTCCTCGTCACGTCATTGAGGCAATTTGGCGTCCCTCTCCAGGTCATGCGCGATCTCATCCTTACCCATTCCTCACAGGATGTGATGCCCAATTGACTAATGCTATTCACCCATCTCACTGGGGTGCAGCCTATATTGATTTTACCAACAATATTGACAGAATTATAGAAAATTATTGAAACAAGCTGCTCTGCACTCCTCTTCCTTCCCCCTGGTTGCAAAGTCAAAGCATAAGGGATGGTATACCAGTGGGGTCGATTGTCTCCATTCTTGCCATATAGCTATGACCTGCAAGCCCGCGAAAACAGGCTCAAGCGCAGGGCGCGTGCGGTCAGCCGATGTGCATACACACATACATACGTATATGTGGGAATCATATTGATTGGTAGCACTATTATCCGCCGTACAACGTGCCCTGCGTTTCGTAACTTTTTGGCTGCTCTCCGTCCTGTATCCTCAACGTATGCATGTGAATGTCAGCTATGGCATTATTTTTTATTTTTCCTTTTTTTTTTTTCTCCCTTTTCTTCTCCGGATGGCTCCCTGGGGCATTTTATCCCCTCAGCTGTGCCTTTCGGGCTGAATATTCAGACAGGGTATTTTTTTTCCGCCTCCAGGTCCAATTCTCCCCCGTTGACTAATACCTCATGGCCAGAGGAAAATGCCTCATCTCGTGCTGCAACCGATGACCACACTTCTCTCGAATGGTTTGGGGGCAATAATTATGGAGACTATGCCAAGTGTTTCAACCCAACAGCGGCACTCTGCTGAAACCTGCAAGGTTGTTCATCTTTTGATTCTAGCCCACACCCCGGTGAGAAGTGCTGCATGCACCGTTCCACAGTTTTGACAT